TATGGATAAAATCTCATTTCTTTCGGTATATTAATTCCATTCAATTCAAGATGCTCAAATACATTCAACTTTGGTTGATAATTTCCATTTTCAAATATTATCTTTGGTTTTGCACAAACAACTGAGTGTCGTTTTATCTTTTTGAATTCACTAAAGGATGAATGGCATCTGAACATTGAAACACTGGTTAACTGAGACAAGTTAATAATAAAAGAGAAATGATGGAATTTATGGCTTATATCAGAGTATATATTCAAATTAATAACCTCCTGTATTCTTTACCTGAATGTCGTTCCATAACCGCTTTCTTTCCATCAAATCGGTATATGTTGACATTTACAAAGAAATGGCTTTCAATCTCTTTCAATTCTTGAATATCAAGTTTGGGATAACACTTCTTTACGTTGGTTTTGTAATAATCCTTGTAAAGATCTTTTGCTTTCTTTGATAATCTGTCTAATCTGATTTCTGGATACTTATAACGAGCAAAACTACCAAAAACAAAGGTTATTTGGGACATACTGGAATGAAACAATGCTCTTGCTATTCTTGATGAAATCAGGTAGAATTACAGATGCGCCTATTGATACCTCTGGAATGGGTGTTGTTAAAAGTACATACTCGTAGATATTTTCAATACTCCATTTGGAGTTTGAACACTTCAATTTTTCCAGTATATCATCACCATCCAATTGGTTTAGTACCGTATCAATAGTGGAATTAACTAGTGGTGAATCATTGATATTAAAGCAGGTATTATCAGAGGGATAAAACTGAACTCTATCATCAGTTTCAATGTTCCTCAGCACATATCCGAATTGAATATCGAACCAGTATCTTAATGCTTGCTTTTTGTGATTCTCTTTGATGGTAAACTTCAATTCATCTAAAGTTGTAAACAAGTGTCTCGACCAATGAATTGGTTTTGATTTTGGTCAGAACGAATATTTCTTGATACGATATTGTGAAAACGACCGTTGTTCTTGTCCAGCTTTCTTTCTGTTTGTTTTGTAACTGTAAAAGTTGGTGATAGGCTTTAGCATCGTCCATTCCACTGAAGATCCCTTGAGTGTGCTTTTGAATCTTAGTTTAACCTTGCTAACCCGCCCGACATCCAGATTTGTAATTGAACTAATCAATTGTTTGTACTAGTTTTCTCTTTCGTCTTGTATTTAATAGCAAATCGATATCTCTCAATGTCATTTACTTCAAAAAGAACCTTGTACAGACCAACTGTGCTGTCATTTCCTTTAATCAACACTGCATTTCCATTCAAATGAATTTGGGTTTCTTCCAATATGTTTGACATTTCTGATGAACTTGTTTATCATTTGAAAAGAAATTAAATATTCAATTTTATCTTGGATTAAACTTATCAACTATCTATGATAGTGGCTGTGATTGAATATTGCATCTTTTATTTTCTAGACTAGATTTAAACAATATGTTGAATTTACCTTGCTCAAATCCGAGATCAAAGTACATCAAAAATTTACTAACGGACACAATTTATCTCGATCCAAGAAATAATCATATCTATCAAGTTGTTGAAAAGCGTGTCAATAATTCGCTGTTGAAAGTAGCGTATAATTACGTTGGAAATGAAGAAGCGGTTGTGTTAGATGATGTTCCAGATTCCATGTTTAGACTAGAAAACCCAATCGAGGTTAATCCATCGAAACTATTAAAAGGCAGAATATTGTCTTTGAAAGAAAAATGCCAGTCTATTATGCGGCATCAACATAAATCACTATAAAAGGATTAAAGAAATGATAAGCGATAGTTGCTATGAAACAAACGATACCATTTATTCACTACATTATGGGTTAGTTGTTTTTTTCAAAAAGCATTATCCAACTTGTGACAATGCGAAGGTTAATCTAGAAATGATGGGTTATCGAATCTTTGCAAACATAAAGATGCTGCCAAGAGTCATCGAAAAACAGCAATCATTACAGGAAAAGTTGTACAGAATTGTTATGAGCGATGATGATTCTAATTCAGATGATGTGAAAGAAATTATCATGTAAACTATTCATCTTCAATGTCACTGTTGTATCCAGTAGTTGTTGGAAGAATCGATCGATTCCATCCTGCTCTCTTTCTTTGGAATTAGTTCTTGGATAAAATAGCAAGTCAATAACTTCAATGGGAATGGTTGGCTTCAACATATTTGATTCATTTTGTTTTATCGAAATAGTTGTATATCTGCCAAAGACTTGGATCAGGAAGCTAATACGTTATGCCAGTTTGTGTGGTATCTTTGGTCAAGTGTGTTATATCAACCTCGTAATTGCTATCATTTGGTGTTTAATGGTTTTTTCAAGGAGCTTATTGTGGAACGATCGTGTGGTTTTAAACTGAGCACAATAACCTTTTCGTTGACATTTCTTGGAGCATGTCAAACAGACAAAATGAGTTGCGTTGAAGCATTGAATTAATCGTGTGATTACTGTAGAAAAGCATATTGGACATTGCGTATTTTCATCATCAAGTCAAAGTGTGACGTTAATCTCATTCTTACTGTTTAATACAAGTAATGAAGAAATAATTGAAATTAAGTTGATAATTCAATGAAAACTATTGGTATTCTTTGTTACCGTACTTGTGATAGCTTTATATACATTCATCAAAAATGTATTATATAAAGCGTTGGTGTGAGTCTGGCACTGAAAACTCCTGATAGTTCAAACTTATAAGCTATCCAGTGCTCTATACCATTGTTTTTGACCTTGATTGCTCATCTCTGATAACTTGCTATTTTTGACAACTTCGGACATAATTCACTGGTAATCATTGATCAAGAAAACTGGTATCATCCGGTACCCTATCTATACTACTTTTGCCCAAAAGCGTATCAAATTGTAAATCATTGTCATCAAAATCTTGTCTGTCAACTAGTACGATGTTCTGATGATACAATACTGCTCCACCTGAAAATGCTACCACACAAGATATTGCTCGACTTTCTGATTTCAAGACTTGCGTGGCAGAATTAACTCTTGAAAGGCGTTGCGAGATATAACAATTCATCAAAACATAGTGTTTTTATTAAAATATGATAGACATTGTGGAGCTGATAGGGTTTGACCTTAGTAGACATTACACTGCAAACGGTGTTTCACGATCTTGAGTTGCATTGCAAGCATACACATTCAAGTATTTAAACAGCTCCAATACAGTCATGCACAACTGACAAGTGCCAGTAAATCTGATTGTATTAGCTTTTAATCAATCATCAATATAACTGTCGACTCCATCAAAATAGCTTGCTAATGTGGATCTCATAACAAATCCGAGTCGAATTTCTTTACGAACCAGCAGATTTCATATCTCGGCAACTCTCCAGTGTCAATATTCAAACACAACATTGCTGTGTTTGAGTGATAGGATCTGTTATCGCCGACTTGATATCTGCTTACAAGACAGCCGCTGCACCTGTTTGACTCTACTCCTATTGACAAACTCACTGCATTCTATTATGGGTAGAAAAACACTTTCTGAGCATCTGCCTCTTGTGTCTCTTTTATGACTCTTCATCGGTTGGTCATACAACAACCATTAGTTACAAGCTCAAAAAACGTCACTATAAACCAGTATTTAGTTTAGAAACAAAACTTGCGTACAGCACAAGGGAAGCCTCAGCCAAATGCTGGTTCATAGTAGTAGTGTTGCTTTTTGAGTTTATAATTAGTAGTTATTCATACAACCCTGCCAATGGCAAGTCTCAAGAAACAATAAAGGTTGATCTTTATAAAGTATTTCTCCATCTACAACAGAGCAGAAAATGAGTTTTCCAATAGTAAAATCAGACTCAATACTGTCTTGTAAGCAAACCCTAGACCAGAAACGACAGACCGTCTCCCTCAGGGACAACAATACTCTGTGTGAGTATTGACACTGGAGAGTTGCCGAGATATGAAATCTGCTGGTTCGTGTGAAGAAAAACTCGGAGTTTTGTCGCAAGATTCAAACAGTTCATTTTGGCGAATTCAACAATTATATTGATTAAAAGCTAATACAATCAGATTTACTGGCACTTGTCAGTTGTGCATGACTGCATTGGAGCTGTTCAAATACTTGAATATGTACACCTGTGATTATGTTACAGATTCACCATTCATGACTATATAGTATTAGTCAATCCAAAAACCCATTTTTACAATAGATCTGATTGAATACAAATTGAACAAATCACCCATTTTATAGCTGTGTTCACGTAAAATGAAACACTATCTTGCAGCACCACTTTTGCTTTGGGATGACAATGGTTGAATATTCGTTACACTTTTTTACTAAAAATTGGCTTTAATAGGCATTGACAATTCATTCAACACAACGTTCATTATATGATACTCAAAATCAGACTATAGTTTTAGATCTACTCTTCTCCTCATTTGGTACTCATACATTGTACAATCACCAGATTCATATATTGCGATCCAGATATTGTGCTTGATTGTCTGATACTGCCAAACTCTGTTGTGTTTAAAAACTCGTACGTTCTAGTTTAAAATTATACATTTCAGGAATGCGAGAGTTGTTTCCATGCCAATCACCCAACATTGTAATGTTTGGGTTGGATGGAATGAGAGTTGGAGATTGAGCAGGTGTGGGATTTACTGGAACAGAGGTATGAATATTCGTTTAGTTGTTTTTATCCAAGAATGGGTACAGATGAACCCCAGTCAACTTTAATGAGTTCAAGACACAATGCTGTCTAATAAATTTGGCGTGAATGATCAATCCATGAGATTGGCTGATTATGCACCTTGGCATCTTTATTTAGTGTTCCATTTTACGTGAATACAATTGTAGTAGTTGGTGATTCCAAGCCAACTATTTATCATATCATTACACAAAATGATGCAAAACATATGTTTAATAAGTGACGAATGAAAGTGATTAGATAGTATAGTCGTATGTTTTTATAGATAATGTCGCGATTGCAGCTTGACAAATACATTATGGCTTTATTGGAAAGCTTGGAAGCGGCTGCTCTCGAAGCTATCAAATATATTAAACATAGTGAGCATATGCCATGGTCTACTTGAAAATAGGTACGTATTTTTGGTAAAACTAGAGAACACACGCAAGGTTTTTAGATCATACCTTCCAAACATCCAACGAAGACCGCTGTTGAAATTTTTCCAACTTCTTTAGCTTGGCATGTGCTCGCAAGATCTCCTGCTTTTCTTTTTTGGGGGTGGCTTGCAGCGACACACAAAGTCTAAATTCCTTCCATTGTGGCGAGCAATCCTTCCAAGTTCCATACCGATAGTAGCTTTTTAGCTGTGGTAACATGGCTAAATATAAAATGAGTCAGCTGAAAAATTAAATCACTCGAGCATTGGTTTCAAATTTATAAACAGTCGCTGGCAGAAATGATTGTCAATATATAACAAATCTCATGGCTTGTCATGAGATATTCGTATCAACTCTTACTATAGCATATCTGGGCATCATTGAACAGCCCCAACACACTGCAGGAATACTCTTGATCCAAATCGTCATCCATACTGTTCTAATCATATGCATTGGTAATGAGAAAATGTAGACTTTAATAGCAGCATTCTAAATTACATATTTGAATGCAATATCTAGTTGTACCTGTTATGATCTTGGCAATATAGCAATATTTGATGTTTAGCTTGCAACTTCTATTCGGAAAATTGCAACAGATCGTACACTTGAATATACTTTCAGTCCAATTGAACGGGAGAAGCCAAGAGGTGTATAAAACTGCTGATTTCAACAGTTTTATGGAATCAATTATTTCACTGTTTTATAGATCAAACATTTTTGGCCAAAGTGGTTATTTTTGGCCAATTTTAGCATTTGGCCTAAATTGACCAATCTTGCCAAATCTTGACTTTGATTATCAACTTGCAATAATCAAACTTGCAATTTGCCATCGACGTAGTCGGAGGGCCATTTAAAAAATTGCCTTGCCAATACAGAAACGACTCTTTAGAAACACCGTTCTGGAAATGACCGAAAGTATTGTCACTCGGAGACTTTCCAAACGCTTGGCATCGTTGGATGCATTTCCAAAGATTGAAAAGCAGTTGCAGCAGACAACCAAGTCTGGCGGTCTTGTCTCGTTAATGATGTTGGCTGTTCTGGTGTATTTAGCCTGTACTGAAATTTACAGATGGAGGTCCATTGACCAGAGATACGACTTTATTGTTGACCAAACTCGATCTCATGAACATTCGCTGCAGATTAATGTTGATCTGACAATTGCCATGGACTGTAAAGGTAGGCAGTGTATGCAGCACAAATCAGTACGGATTCAGCCCAGCTGTCATTAGCGAATGTCGCATACATATATTGTGGTTCTTGTTTTAGCTATTCTGACGCATCAGTCTTAAAATAATCTTACTGCTATCTAGTTCTTCGTGCGGATATACAGGATATTTCTCGAACTTCGTTGGTTTTGAAGGATGCCATTCATGCTACACCAGTATGTGCAATGAATTGAAAAGTTTTCCATCATGTCAAGTATACTGTTAACTAAATATTGGTTTTAAACCTTGCACTATCGTTATTTTTGGTTTGACATAGACTGTCTTTCGGACTCAAGGTGCTGTGAAGTATACACGGTAAGCATTTCAGCTAAATAACTCCAATATAGATCGATTGTATTTTTCTAACATGACGTACATTGATTGTAGTGAGCATAATCAATATATTGCTCAGATTCACAAGGGATTGCGAGATTCGTCCAGAGATCTTGAAGATCATGCTTCTGAAAGCGGTAAGACTCGATGGAATAGACTAATGCAATTTAAACCATCAAAAATTGTTTGTTTAATTTGAAACGTTTTTAGGAACACCGGATGCATGTCGTTTTCGTGGATCTTTTCAAGCAAACAAAGTAGAGGGTATGCTTCATTTTACTGCGCTTGGGCATGGCTATTTTGGAGTTCATACTCCGCATGATGGTTAGTAGGGTTCAAGCAATTGTATTTTGGCTGTTATTCAACTTCACGACTTGTATTAATCATCTACCCACTATCTTGCACTATAGCAATCAACTTTACCCATCGAATTGATGAGCTTTCTTTTGGGGCACGGTATCCTGATCTTCATAATCCCTTGGATCATACTCTTGAAATCGGAACTACTAGTAGGTATTATTTATTACTATTTGAATATACGAGTATTGTACTAAACAATGGCTTTAAACGTTTGCTTTATAGATTTTGATAGTTTCATGTATTTTTTAGGAGTGGTATGTCAAGACTCGAGCTATCTTTATGTTTTGTATAGTAATGAATTGTAATTGTTTCTAATTGTATTGCCTATAGGTTCCGACTATTTATGTAGACAAAGCGAGATCACTGTTTGGAGCAACTCTTTTGACAAATCAGTATGCTGTTACTGAATTCTCCCATGCCGTGGATCCTCAGAATCCAGATGCACTTCCTGGCATCTTTATCAAGTACCACATTGAACCGATTTCAGTACGTATCACAGAGTCACGTCTAGGTCTCGTTCAGTTTACTACTCGAATGTGTGGCATTATTGGTGGTAAGAGTTTAGATGCTTGAATAGAGTATTTCCAACTAAAGAGAAATAACATGACGATTTCATTCCTAATAGGCGCATTTGTTACTATTGGTGCTATTCTTGGATTTTTCCGGAATGTTCGTACAATGCTCTCGGCCAAATAAAGATCATAGTATTAATTCTGTCAATATAGACGATTCAATCTAAAAGTGATTGTCCCAGACATGAACTCTGAACACCGCTTCTAAACCCAGCTGAAGTTATTAGTGGCAATTCCCACCATTTAGCAGCATCCGAAGAAGGTGGGGGAAGAGGTCCTAGCGGGTTGTTCCATAAAAATGGATCGCTGGAAGTGAATGGATTGAGAATTGGTGCAACTAGAACAGTTGATACGTCTAAAAATCAGAAAATGTATCAGTAATAGTTGAATGCATTGTGAATTTCAAGTTTTTTATATAGAGCCAATGTCTTCAATTGGTATCAACGCCTGAAAATCTTTTACCTTGGTCGTGTGAAAGATCAATCAAAGTTCCTGTCACGGCAGTGGCTGAATTTGGATTTTTTTCGGCCTGGATATCGAATGCTGTTGGTGAAACATTTGTTGAAATCACCTCTTTCTTCAAACCGGAAAGCTGAGGCTCAACTTTAGTGTTACCTGCAAAAAGTTGCTGTAGAAGACCAGTATGTATCGCGTTGAAGGTTTGAAAATCAATCTCATTTACTTGGACCAATAAAATTGCATGTACTGATTGGTAGTAAAATAATATTGAAATTATAAGCTATATATGAGCAACAATAATAGAAAAATTAGCAAAATATGCCCTTACCTGGTCGATGGTCGGACATCTGTAGTTCTCCACGTGTATATTCCTTCAGTTGGATATTATTTCCTTTGAAAAGGATTCGATCTGTCCAAGAAGGAGTCCTAGCCTTTTCGCTAATTAAAAATACGGTAAAAACTAAATTTTAGTACACATTAAAAACACGAACCATTACTATAAAAAGCATTCACCTTGTATCATAGTTTGTAGACCAGGTGTCATATTTATAGGTAGGTTCAAAGCTGAGAGGACCCTCTATATATTTGGTAAATGCTAGTCCCATTTGAATTTGTTTGCTCAACTATTGGCTCGTAATGTTAAAAAATTGGGTGTTGGTAGAATAAACATAATCATGCCTATCAAGTGCTTACGAATGGAAATATACCTGATCATGTGTTGATAAAAACAGCAGCTCTTTGTTTTGAATGCATTTTCTGACCTGCCATATCACACAATATATCATTATGGCTGTATTGAGCCGCCTCAAATAAATTCAGCCAAAACAATTACCTGCTCGTTGGGTAAGTCAATACGATAGTTAAAGTCACCTAACCAGAATACCATACTGAAACATCCATCAACAAACGTATTAACAAGCCAGTCGATTTATATACAATTAAAAGCCATGGCTGCACTTACTCGTGATCGTGTAGTCTTTTTCCTCGAAATACAAGCCCATTTGTAATCGTCCAATAGTCGCGATTGCGTTCCTCCACTGCCAATGTACCGGCAGCAAGATGAGCAGTAATAAAAACCATAGATGTGTCATGATAGGCAATGCTTAATCCAACTCCTCCTTTATTGGCAGCCATACCACCAAGTCCAGTCTAGCAAGAATCATGCAGAATTTAGTAAAATAAGCGCAGATGCGATAAAAATCAATCTTTCCTACCCAAAACATATAAAATAAAACATACTTTGACGGTAGCAGTTTCCAATTTCTTAATATGATGGGTTATTTCTGGTTTGACAAAAACAAATAAACCAAGTGCAACAAGATGAATTGACCGGAGCACCACATATTTGACTGATGGTTTGGAATTCAATGCCGTGAGCAGTTTTGCTTCCAATTGAAAACGTAAAAGATTGGTATCTGTAGATATATACTTGTTTTAAATGTCAGTAAAATAGTGTACTTGGTTTTTTATATATGATATTAAACAAAAAACAAAAATTACACGATCGGGCGTCAGTTCGATTAGCTCCTGTACTCCAATCACAATAATATCTGGTAAAACTGTATAGGTTGGATTAAGCCAGGTCATTAAAGCCTCGATAGATGGCATTTTACCATGCAAGTTGTATGTTCTCAGTAGAATATTCAGCTCTGATGGCTTGGCATACTAGAACATTTACACAATAAAATTACTAAAATAGCCGAGTAAAGCAATATCAAAACCTTGATCAGCTGAAATAATTGATCTTGAGCAAGTCATCAAACCTCGTATAAACGGGCTTGCATCTGACGTTCAGCAATATCATAAGCTGGGTTTTGCAAAAGAAGACTGCTTGTTGCTGGCCCCTGGGAAAAAAGCAAATTGATCGCTTCCTGTTTTGCCTTGTCTTGGAAATTAGACACATAGAATCTATTCACCGACTTTGCGGCATCGTCCAAAAATCCTACAACATATATTATAAGAACATTGAAACACTTTAAATCAAATATTGATTGCCTACCTAGCATGGTTTGTTTTCCTTTACGAGTGTACGAAGACTTGAGAGCGCCAGTTCCAGCTTAATTTGTATGTGAGTGTTTGAAAATAAAAACGCGATATTAAACCGCACATTATACTATACCATATATCCTGCTAAGCCAGTCTCCGTTCTACAGAAAATTTACGATCGACAAGTGAAGACTGTATAAACATCCAAACCAAAACCATTACGCCAAAATATCAAGCAGTATTGCTTACATCTGCCCATAGCCCATTGAACGCATTATTCCAATTCTCAACATCAGTGGAATTCAAACGAATATTAAATCTTTCAAGATGCAAATCAAGCATGTGCCGAGCAAAAAACCTGATCAATTTAAATATTGACAAGTTAAAGCTCATAAACCTTTGATTAAACAAACCAACAGCATATTACTATGTATACATACGTTTGTACAACATTAGTGCGATCTAAACAATCCAAGCAATTTGTTCTAAATACGCCAGATTGTCGAAAAACCACCGTTTTTTCTTGATGGTCAAATATAGAATATCCAAAACTATCTATGGATGACCGAACTTGATCTAGTAAATTGTCCAGCTTTTGACATTTGGTAAACAAGCAAGTGTATTAGTAAAATATTACTGGAAACCGCTAAAATGAAATGGCATTTTGGCTACTTACTCGTTCATACTGATCGCGTTTAACAATCGCATGAAAATCAAAGGTGCTGTAAATAACTCCAGTGGATATTTCTTTAGGAAGCGACAAAACAGCAGTGCGATAGGACTCATTAAGAGCATATTCTGCAGACGTTGGCGATTGAGAAAGTAAATTGACCACATTAACGGCCGAATAAAGACGAACTAGTTCCTATAGTAGTTTGAATTACATGACCAAGAAAAAATTAGAATATATCCAAGACAAGCGATACATCAATATATACTATATTTAGAAATACCTGAAAATGTTTTGTAGCTGCTGGGAGTGCTGATTCAGGACCTCTAGAAAGAATGACTTTGTGAGATACCTGGACACCGATTTGCTCCCAAAATACAGGAACTAAGCATAACAGATCAGTCAACATGTTTAGAAATGCTCAAAATAGTCTAAAATATACATAAAAGTGCAGTCTTACCGCTGCCTCGAATTTGCAAAAAGGATGTCCAGTATTTTTCATTGAGCATTAAAAACTCGGTCTGGAAAAATCAAAAAGTTTGAAGTTAACCAACTAAAACAAGACGAATGTATGATTACATTGCTGATTTGAAATAATCCAAGGTGCTAAAAATAAATGATATCTAACCTCGACAAAATTGGAAACGTATCCGTCATCGTTGATTCCTCTGGCGTTAAATCTGGTGCCAGCACGGTTACATCCCATTCTAGAAATAATTCCAAACTGCCACTTTCCGCTACTGGACGAAACATTTGTAAGACCCACAAACCCTTGAATAATAGCAAGCACATGTCCGCCCATATCAAACTCTTTTCGCGCACTTGGGGACAGCTCCTGTTCTCGGATTTGCATCAGTTGACGAAGCATATTTCTGTTCCAGACATAGTTTAAATCCATTGTATCTAAAACTGACTCTACTTCTGTGGTTATATTGCTAGATTCCGACAACTGAGACTCGAAAAATGATGACAGTCTTTCTTCCATGCGATGGGTGAGATCAAATGTGGGGCTATAATAGAATGATCCATATGAAAGAAGCTTAATCAAAGATTGACATGGATGGATCACGGATGATGCTTCGTCCATGAAAACTCCAGTTGATACAGGAGGGTCCAGATTAAGCCTGTCGTATTTGTTGGACAGCAAGCTGAAAAATGAAGTCTTCAAGATCCTGTAGATTGGCTGTCCATTCAAAAGACCCACCATCTCTGTTTCCAATACCAGCGAAATAAATATATCTAAAATAGAGATTGTATGAAATTAGTTAGCAGCGGTCCATGCACTCAAATCTGAATACATTTGGATGATGAAATTGAAGGACTAGCCAACTGGCAAGTAGAACTCATTCACTACCATAACCTCAGATCCACAGCAGTTTATCACTTGAATTGGAGTTTGTTTTCAAACCCACCATTCTCAATTGTCACAGTCCCAAGACACCCATAAACTGGAAATGGTAGCAGTGGTTTCAATGAAGCAAAGTCAATTGTTTCGGCTGGCTGGAGCAACATTGAACTACATAATCCTCGATTCGTCTGCTGTGAAGTGAACACAATGCATGTTGTAGAGAAGTTTGCTGGCGGTCTTACGACAACAGTGCGAGTTGGATAATCTTTGTAGAGAATGGTGGTGGTTGCCATCGAGTACTAGCAATGCATTAGCAAGAAGGTAAGAGTGTGCTTGCAGTCCTATTCACGTAAAATGGAACTCTATCTTGCAGTCACTGCTTTGGAATATTATTCGTTGCACTTTTTGGAACTGGCTTTAAATACAATGTTCATACAAAATCAATCTCTTGGTTTGGCAATCATGCATTGTACAATCACTAGATTTATCCATTGCAATCCATGTGTTGAGTGACTACTCGATAATACTCTACAAACTCTTGTATTCTAAAAACATACGGCCGCGTTATAGTCCAAGAAACATCTCTGGAATCAACTGTTGTTTCTATATCGATTACCAGGAGAAAGACTAGTGAATAGTGTTGTTCAGTAAATTGACAACAATCACTACATGGGATTGGCTGTTTATTATGTAAACTCCTATTTTAGTATCCCATTTTACACAAATATAGCTGTAAAAATATTATCGAATACTATTCAACAATGTATAAAACCTTCAATCCTACTTATAGCCAAGGTTTAAATACGTGAATTCGTCTGAATAAACCCATCTGGCATTTTCACCAAAGTTTCCCAAATTGGAAAAAATCGACGGGCCAGATTATCAATTATATCAGGAAGCTGATGTAACCCTTTTGTTGTGTTTTTCAATAGTGCTTCTGAATCGCTCATTGCATTTCCCAGCTTGCCATATTCGCTATTTTGTTGCATTTTCGTAAATGAGTCCATGAGTTGGGTTTGTTGTTCATCAGCGTCAGGATCTATCAAACAACTAGTTATAAATAGAGCAATCATACGTGCACAAAACCGAAATTCCACAGAAAGCAACGAGACAGGTCTAAATCCAAGAGTGGCCCAAATGCCTTGGCAAGATCGATCCTCACTCCAACGAAATAGTGCATCTCCAACTAAAGGCAAGTGAGCCTTCAGTCTAGAATGGCCTTCTGATAGAGATGAGAGTTCTGCTTGAAGCAGCTGTCCAAATAGAAATAGCAGCAGTAGTATTTTACTGTTTATTCCATACCCATATTAAAAATATTAGCACATAGTCGTAAACACGTTACTGTTAAAACTCCTGTCAATAATAGTTTAACATCACTCACCACTCTTGGCCCTGAAAAACATGCTCTATTCGAATCGATACAATCCATACACCCAGTCTCTCGCCAAGCATAACTTTTTCATCAATTTTCGTTTGAGATATGGCCAATGTTTTCAAAGAATAAGCATACAGTGTAAAGGCAAGAGCGTGATTTAGACAATGCCGTATGAATACGGCCTCGTCTAATTCTGGAATCTGCAGAATATCTGTAATCATATTCCATTGTTGAGGATCCATGCATAGTGCAAAGTGCTTGCTAATTGAATACTCTGAAAGCATGGCCATATGCTCCACTAAAGACATTGATCGATATGCTGCCATTAAATATAGCATAGCGTAATTGGACTCTTGAGTGGCAGCTATAATACCATTCCAAAGCTTTGTGCAGATTTTACTTTCTTTATGGCAAGAATTCAGCAAAGCAATAGCAGATTGGATTGATGCAAGCAAAACGCTTTTTGTCAAAGTGTCATGGGCTAGGTTGTCTGACTGAAAACGCTCAAAATGCTCTGCGATTTGCAACGTCTCGCAAACAATTCCACAAATGTGATCCAGGGCAAAATTGGGTTTGATTGATCGAAGCAAAAGTGGTACTTGATCTGCTTTGATCTGAGTCTCCACAAGAGCCCACACAAAGTTGACATATACGAGCAGGTTTTCCCGAGCTTGGATTAACTGGCCACCCTCTAAACCTCCAAGCTTTCGCAACAGCGCTAGACTCAGCACAATGGGAAAATGAGATGTAGTGTCATTCAGTAAAGTAGTTGTGGCTTGCTCATTCCATTCTAGTGGCAATGCTCGCACAACTTGTTCGTAATCAGAGGTAGAGGGAAGATGACTAAAATCCACGCTGGTAAGCCAATGAGTCAAAGATTGAAACCCGATAAATCTACACAGTAGTCATTGGCAAACAACAATTGATCGTGTTAGCAAATAATAAACCCATCGCGAATGTACTGTATATTGGAAAATAATACTGACTTGATAATGACATACCTATCCGAATCGACTGGCCATACTTTACCAGCCAAGTATAGTATGCCAAATACAAACTGCCACACTGCTGGCATTGAAGCAAGTTCTGCAGGCTTGATACTATCTCTAAAAACGTTTACAGCAAATACACCAGTCTCGTCCATTAAAGCATCCAATGTCAACCACTGATTCATACTGTCAATCGCAGTGATGGACATGGTAAAAGTAGACCATTGATATTTTGATGCAAGTTTTTGCACTGTTTTTAAAAATATTGGGTTGACATTTGCACCAATCGCGTCCGCATGAAACTTCCAAATAAGCGACAAAAGCGACTCGGATCTAGTAAAGCAGGCAGCAGTACATTATTTTAACACAGAGCTAAATTGGCTAATGTCCTAAATTTTCAAGTTATGACGTTACCTGTTATACATGGTGCACAGTTTTGACAACAACTTGAAATAAAGTGATATAACTTTATCAATGACTACAGCATTTTTCTCAGTCCATTCACGCTTCCTACTAACGCTGTAAGTGGTACTAGACAATTCTTGTTGGTTTCGATCGAGTAACATCCACGGAGAAAATAATGACATAGCCATCTGACTCGTTTCAATAAATTGTATGCAGTCAATATCATTTTGCATGGACAGAGCCACCAGCACAACGCATCCCAAATACAGAGGTTCTAACATGCAGTTGGAATTAGAATCTGCAAAACCACTTGATATGATCTCTTCTTGAAAAACATCAATCAATTTTGTCCATAAACCCGTTGTCTCCATATGAATTAGTGTTAGTGATGTCAAAGAAGAAGATGCAAGAAATCGTTCCAGCTGATTATCCAAATCCATTTTTTCTCGAGACTCTGGCAAAAATGATACAGTCAGTCCGCTAATAGCATAGTGCTGAAGTTAGAAATAAATTGAAAAGTATATGATTTATAGTATCAAGGTCCGTGAAAAGCATTCTTACATGATGATACTAATATCAATGTTCCCGCGCATAGCAGCCTTTAAAATAACCGGAATGCATTCCGTCCATATTCCAGGCTGGTCAAGCACAAATAGTTGAACCATCATTTCGTTATGAAAATCAAAGCTTTTTGTTTTTTCACATGCAGATAAAACGCTATAAAACAGCTCCGTCTTTTGTGCCTGTGTTCGTTGGGACAGCTCATTCAACCATCGTTTTAAATCAAATGCTTTAGAAATCAAAAGAAAATCAGCACTATTTAAAGATAAAGATAGCGATCGATAAAAACGAGGGAAATTGTCAGGAGAGCAGCACGGATCAAACAATTTTGCAAGAAGATTCACAGCTTCTCCCTTGTTAATGATTTCAAAGATTCGAATCGTTTGGTCTTCTGAAAGTGCAACAACGCTTGGACCTATAAGGTGTATTAGCGATATTAGATATTTTCAAATTCTAATGATAATAAATGATATATTACAAAGTAGTAGATTTACTAACAGCCAAAACAATCATACCCAATTGACGTGTAGTCATTTCAGCAAGAAAAGCGGCTGGAGCGTATACTGAGATTCCACAAAGTGATTGTATGACATCAAAAAACACCTTCTCTTTAATTTGAGACGATGATGCCATAATGCTTGTGGTCAACAAGGGATTCAATGATAGTTCATGTTGTTCAGATCGAGCAAGCCAGTCAATAACTCCAATAATTTTAAGTCCACTGGTACACAGTGAGGAATCTAGAAAGTCGGCGAGAAGCATTAAATCGGCTTGTTGTGCAAGGTCACCGGCCAGATTTCGCATATCTAAATTAATGCTAGCCTCTTGCAAATCACATTGCACTATAGCATGCCCAGAACAGCCAGAAGAACACGCCCGCTCCACTCGAATTAGCCGTTTGCTTGTGGTGTAGAGCTGACGAAGATTTTCTAAGCATTCTGTCTGAAGTTTCTCAATGCGCGACACATGCGAAATATAAGCCTGCGCGGCTTTGATCAAAACAGCCAATTCTGTTTCAAACATCTCTAAAGCCAGGTTTTCAGTTAAAACATGGGCTGGTGGAATCAATGGAAAGCGTAGAACAAACGGCGGTGCTGAAGCAAGCCCATATAGCTTTAAACCAGCAGAAACTCCCTTTAAATGCGGTGTTGCTGATACAGCGTGCCGATTTGTATCAATACTAGTCTCTACTGCATAATGGTGAGCAGCGATCCCATTATGTGAACTAGCAGTAGAAGAAATTGGCTCTGCAATATTTGTTGGAAAAAGTGTAGATTGACGATCCAGAGATGCATTTCGAATCAGTCGAACCCAAGTGGTATCTGCCTTGGACGTATCAAATATGTTACATTCCTGAAGCCAATCCAACAAAAAAATTCCATCAGTGGTAAATGTTTTCCATTCAGCAGTACGTAATTGTGGTTCACTAAGCCAAAGCTGCATTGCTTGGTAGAGTGTTTGCGGGTGGGTGTCATGAAATTCAGAAGATATTTTGTGTATATTTAGCTGATCTAGTACCGACATAAGTTGAGATAGGTGCAGAGAACTCGATATAAGAAAACGATACCCAAAAGAAGAGTGCAAAGGAACAGCAAATGGTCGTTCAAAGTACAAGCTAAAAAATCCCTAAAATTTTCATGATAGTAAGCTCGTAGTGATGCACCAAATAAAACTGCTTCAAAAATAAAGCCTACTGTCTTACCTGCCAGAATAATGGCATTGCAGGGTGATGCAATGGTAGTTGGAAAATGAGCGAAGCCCAGCGAAATATTGAAAAACTTTCAAGTGGCTTTAGCTGATGATTGTTTTCATCTATGTTATGATGAGAGTTGGCTAATGCTTGCTGAACTGTCAACTTCAAATCTTGTGATAGAGCGCGTCCAATGAGCTGAACTAGAGGTCGCTCACTAAGAGACTCGGCAATCAGAGCCTCATAAGCCAGCCATACAAACGGTGCTTTTCCTGCAGTTGATGTGCTAACTAAAATAGGTAACGGTAAATCAAAATAGTTGTTGGCTGTAAGTGCACAATACCCTTTACTACATACTGATATCTCAAAATTATACAACGATAGGGAAAGTCGATAGCTTTAAGCAGTGTTACCTAATGGAGGAATCAATGTCGGATAAGTATGCCAGATGTGATCCAATGCACCCGCTAGAGAATAAATCGACTCGACAGGTCGTAAATAAGAAAAGTTGAAGGGTTTCGAGCAATTTTTCTGGTAATTCGCTAAAAGAGCGTGGTATTCTCCAATAAATGCACCATGTAGTGTAGATTGTAGACCTGCACGGATATAATACTCACATACAACATCCAATATCGTAAGTGAAGACATATTCAAGCTCCATTCAGCATCAGCAAATACAGTTCGAAGCCAGAAATTAGCAGTGAATCTGCTATTCACAGGAGTTGCAGTATGCTCTGTGGCTTCGCGTAGTGTTGAGGTTACAAAAATACCAATCTGATTGTTTGTATCTCTAATCCCAACTGAATCCACTATTAATGAAGTCTTGTATAGATTTTTAAAGGTATGGATGAATTCTGCTGTTCCAAACACGTCAATCCCTTTGATGGTGGAAAGATGTCGAATTACTAAAAATGAGACATGCATGAAACCCCTTATAGGACCTTTGGATAATATTGTGGAAAGTAGTGACCAACCATGAGTCTGGAATTGTTCAGGATGATGACCAATTTCAGATATCAACAAAAGCACCAATGCAACAAGCGCATTTGATTTAGAGTGAACCAGTAGCGAACCCATAAGTGAGCCATCCAATGATTCAAAAGGTCGGTCGTAGGGCGATGCAGAGTAAATATCTGCATATCCAGGAATCTGATACAAATTCATTGAAAGAATTGTATTCCTATTTTCAAAATAATAATTAGTCGATGGAAATTTCAAATACCTTAGAATTCAACTGTACGAGTCTATACTACTTTGAAATAAACAAGACTCACCAGCACCAATCTAAAAACCCCTTTTCAAATCCTGAAAACATGGTTGAGATGGCAAACGGAAAAATTTGTTTAGAAACCATTTCTACTGTGGCAAGAGTAACTGCAGACGTGGTTGAAATGATACCAGACCGCGCCTCTTTTGCACTCTGACTATCGATTGCTCGATGAACCAGATGAATGGCCAATGCCTTTTGGTGACGCTGTGGAATCAGCATAGATCCTTTATCAGTCAACGCGTTCCAATCAAGGCGAGATATTATAAACATGGCAAACTGAAATCGTTTACTGTCTAGTGGATCATTCAACAGATTTTTCAAAATATCTATATCTTCTGAATCAATAGAAAATAGTTGTAATGAAATGTTTGAAAACAATTTCTGTAGTATTGACTCAAGCTTGACAAAATTCAGCCAGGTTGCTTTTAAAATATGCGACATTGAAAAGGGAAACCAAGTAGAGATATCAGCAAGACAGCTGGCTGCAGTATCGACAAACATTTCCTGTATAGCAGGTTGCAGTAGACAGCTATCAAAGATTGTATCAATCAAATGGGCGACATCCAATACGGTTTCTGGATATCGATGCATGGCCAGTGTGTCCAGATGAGAATTATGTGAAGCATTTTCTCGCAAAAATGTCTGAGATCCCCAAATGAGAGCCACCAGAAATTTTAATAAAGCATCTACGTGTTCGGGATTGGATAGAAACACAAAGGAAAGGGATTCTTGTGAAGAATCAGAACCCATATTAAAGTATGATTTACTTGATATACTAGTGGTGAAGAGTATACGACGACATTGTTCGGATAGGTTTTCAATGGGGATCTGTACAAGATACTCCCAAAAACCTAGCTGTCCGTTTTGAAGTAAAACTTTGACAAGCTGTAGTACAAATGCCTCAAATTCTGCTTGGACTTGAAGATGTGGCGGTTGATATGAAGCCTCGAGTCTATGGTTAGTGGTGGTCAAAGGAAGATAGCAAGCCATTGTATTTGAAATTGTAACAGTGTGTTCGCATATGCCTTTCAGAAAACTTGCATAGATATGGGGTATAGATTGAAGTGACCTAGAGTGGCAGTAGAATTAGCTTTCAAAAAACAGCAAAAATTACAATACAATTTTGGTGTAGCCTTACAGTTTGAAAAGGCCGAGTATGTTATCCGCAAAGAAAAACAAGAGCGAGAATACTGGTGGAGCTAGAAGCGTAGAGTGTAGATCAGACAAACCATTAGTCTTTGAATGTTCCATCATACAGTAAAACATTAGCGATTCAAAAAGAGATGAGATGTTGAACTGTGCCAGCAATCGCATGTAGTCATCTTCGCGTAGATATACAACTGGGTCTGGTGAAAAAGGGGTGAATAAGTGTTGATCAATCACCACCCATTCATCTTCAACCTCGAGACGTTTAAGATTGAGGGTAACAAACTTTTCGTCCATAGCAGTCTGTGCATGTGCTTCTTCCAATTCTTCAATTGGACCCAGCAGCGCACGGAGGGATGCAAGGTATTGTTGTATCCATGACTTTGTCCATTGAGGTGGTGATGGCCATTGAATAAAATGAGAACCCCAAAGTCCAATTCCTGGGCAGCGAATAGCATGAAGCAGAATTTTGCGATGTGAATCGGGACTACCCAGACGAATGATTGCAGCCACAACGTACGAGATCCAAGATCGCACATCTTTGTAGAATAAAGAAGGTTCTTCACCTGAAGGATCGAATGGAGTTGCAAATGATCCCTGCGAATCTGGAGTTGATTGATATAGCGGCACAGGTGTGCCAGGTGATTTCGAGGGGGATGCAAGTACTCTGCGACGCTCAAACGAAAATAAAACGTCAAGATAATATAAAAGCTGACGAATGTTTGGGTCAGTTGATGGCATGTTTTCCCATTCGATAGCAAATGTAAATGGTTTAGATTGTATGAGTTCGAGCTGAGATTTAAAATGACTGGACAGATACACGTCGAGAGTATTTTGGATCCAAATCTTGGCCATTTTGGATTCAAATAGAGCCTTATTTAAATGAACGTGGTATAAAAGACGAGAGTTTTCCCATGAAAGACGCAAGTCCTTTTCTACATCACTGCTATATACAGCATCTTCGTCTGTATATGTATGTGAGACCTGTCGGCCATCACTGCATACAGCAGTTGCATGTTTTGGGGTTCTGGATATACGCCATAGTCGGTTAGAGAGGTTTTTTGCAGAGTGACGAGCAGCATTGAGTTGACTGCGAACCTTGAGTGTATTTTTGAAGGCAGTATCGTAGAGCAGTACTTTTTCATAGAACGGATCCATTTCACCCAAACGATTGATATGCGATCGAAATTCGTGGACAAGAGTATCGTGCATAGAACTGATAGTGTCACTGACAATACCCTTGACATGGTCCGCATCATGCACTTTGGGTTCGATTGACAGACTCTGATTGGATATAGGACAAGTGTCTAGCTGAGGAGCAGTCAATAAACTCAATGATGGAGCAGTTGGCACAAGAGGAGCAAACGCCAATTGTGGCATGTCGACAGCCATGGAGGGCGGAGCAGAGGGATACATGGGTTGAATGGACGCATTGTGTATCTGAGCAGCAGTGGATGCAAACGAAGGCTGATCGGGGATTGAATAAATAGAAGATATTCGAGTAACAAGAGCCGAATCACCAGCCCTATGCAGACTATCCCATAACATATTGGTGTCTGTGCAATCTGCCAGATTCAATGTCTGTTCGACTACGTCTGATTGAGCCTTATGAGCCATACTAATGACAGGACGGTTGGCCGAAGTAAAGTCTATTCGACTTTTATCCGGCTCTTGACACTGTCGTTGCTCTGCAGTTGCTGCTGGAAGACTTGTCGAAGCAATATCAGGAATATCATCCACTTGTCGCTTGGTTAGTTTCTTCTTCCGACGTTGGCCCTGTGCAAGTGAAGGTCGTTGCAGTTGCGCTTCCATGTCTGTTCAAGTACTATAAATATAACAAGAATGTGGGATTGATGGTCGGTCTAACTGCTGCAAAGTTTAAACTTGTTGCTGTCAATCCAGTCCGACAGTCATTTGGAATCACTTTATTCAAATAAATCTACTACCAGCGCTACATTCACCAATCCTGCTTGCTCAATTGTTTGATCCATCTTTCTTAGTAAAGTGTCCCGGAAATGCAGCAACTGCTTGTCCAGAATTCATGTATTGATTGTCGGTGTCAGCAATGTATTAGCAAATGCTGAACAAGTTTGCTTAGCAAGACCATCAATCACATACCTCAAATGACTGAGTGATTTCTGGGTGCGCTGCTTTGATGGATTCAAATAATCTTCGAACTAGGTCGGACTTGAGGAACCGATATACACTTTTCTGTCCATTTGGAAGTCGAAATTGAATTCGTGTAATCGTATCTGGAGATCCTGTCGGTTCTACATATGGAACTGCGTCAATCTGTTTAAACACTAATAAAGAGTTTCATATTTATAAGCACTATTATTTCAAAAATCAATATGCATTCAAGTGGAAATCAACAGTGTTCTTTGACTTACCAGCCAAAGCATATTTTGGATCATCTTTACTAGGAAGTGGCATGACGTTCAAGTTACTGGTAGTATTTGCCATGTCACGATTGCCTGTTTTAGCTTCACCAAGAGACGCAGAAATTGCAAGATTGAGCTGCTCTTCTTCTGTAAGATCTATAATCTAATAAACCTATGTATTAGCGTGTATATCTTGTATTTGACTGTCATACATAATAAACACCAATGCAACCTTTGATGACTGCTTGGTAGTTGGGTTGGATGCACTGTTTAAACCGCTAATTGCTGCAGAGGAGGTGGGTTCATTACTAAGGTGGGTTTGATATCGATCCATAAACTCGACCACTTGAAAAAATAATGCAAAATATAGTATCCGGCAATCATTAGTATAGTCAATTTTCCCTTTCTAAAGCATCGCATCAATATAGCTATATACTACCTTCTACCATAAACGCTGATGGATCAATTTGAACCCTCCAAAGTTTAATTCGTTCACCTATAAACATGGTTAGCAATGATAGTAAAAAACTGATTTTTGGATACAAAAATCAAAATCTTACCTGTGAGTGGATCAATAATGCCAATATATGGGTAGTTCTCGATTGGGTAAAAGTTAATGTGCATTTTTCCTTCAGAGCTTTGAGATCCAAACTATAGCATCGTTTTACAAAATATATGAAGCCAACTACAAATAATTTGTGGGTATTCATCATCATACAACGTTACCTGAACAAATACAAAATTCTCACGAACAAGATCTTTGACAGCTGAATATCAAGTCACAAGTTTGAAATAGGCAAAAGTATTAATAATCAATCTGGACATGTGCAATACAGTAAAGCAAATACTTGCTGGGATTGCGCCAAAGATCACGATTCATGGCTTGACAGGCAAATTCGCTTGGGTCATGGATTGCCACCATAAGCCATTTCCCTGTTTTACGGGCCAAATTGCGAGCCTGAAAAGATCAAACCAAACGATTAATCGCTTTAAATAGCATTGAAATTAAAGCATGGTATGAAACTACCTCGTCAAAACTGCCTTGAAACATGATATCCAATGGAGGTTGAAAAAGTATTGCAAGCCTATCTTGTCTACTATCACTAGTATTGGCTGATGAACATTGATACATTTCAAAAATTAGTTTGCTTGACTATTAAACATTTGGTATGTTTGCACAGTTGATTAATTCTACCATTGGTGGTTTCTCGAATAGTCTCCTGGCCAATGTTTCGAAACGGCTCTCGTGAAGTCTCATCGGTTGAATAGTTAGGATAAGACCTGTATGCACGACCTAAGATACTATGGTGAGCAAAACACAATCTATACTCTGCATGCAATCGTATTAAAACAGGTTTTGGCTGCTTGCCATCCCGTTAAATTTACACACCTCGAACTTGATAACTAGTGTCTACCACATTCCCATCTTCAGTATCATCTCCAATCAGTATACTACGACGAGCTGGAATAGGATCTGGGTTGTGATGAGTAGATTCAGATCCAACATATACAGCAGGCTCAGCATTGGTATGAGCCATGCGCTGAGGTGCATTCGAGATCGGAGTAGTATTTATTGTTGATTGATGTGTATCGAGGCTACTACCACTTTCCAGATATAAAGTGACGGCGGCTTCTGCATCGCCCTGTGCAAACTAAATGGTGGTAAAATGAGTATTCTCGACTACGTGTATCTGACAAACAAGAAACGTATCCAATACTGCCAAATGAGATTTAAAATGGTACATAAATGTGCCATTTTAATTCAATGGCAATACTATCATATACGGATAGCGTGAGACCAAGGAAATGCATCCTTGTTTCGGACTATGCCGACTTTGGATCATGCTCAATAAACTAGTTTGGTGTTTGATACCCTGGGCCAATGACCTAGAATTACAACAAACTTACTTCAATATATCGCTGAGCAGTTTCAAAGTCTGCTCCGGTGATCTCTATAAAGTTGATAAGGGCTTCACTGTCTGCATAGCTTGAGCTTTCGTCCATTGTAGCAAGTTTTACGACAAATTCAAAGTTCAAAATGTTGAGCAATTTACACCAAAATTGCCCAATTTTAATTTCGCTCAAATATCAAATTGCCCAAAACTGTGATTTTGCGGGTCAAACGTTTTTATCAGATTGCGAGAATGTCTGACTACAGTTTACAACGGAAGCTGGAACCCATTTACGATGTTCTGGACAATCAGAATTTTAAAACCGCTATTCAGTTGTGCAACAAGGCTTTACGCAAATCTGGCCCAACTAATGCTATCCAGGTACACTTGGGCTCGTTTGAACTACAGCTGTATTCACAAACTGAAGCGCTTGTATTGATCTTGCAGTGACTTTGGAATGTACAATGATTAAATACTCGTTGTCTTTCCTACTGGGAGTTGGCTGCCTTTTTAAAACATAACGACCATCATGTGATGATCACAATCAAATCATTCCTTTCCTCTCTCATTTGACAGTTATACATTGTACGATCACCATATTTATCCATTGCAATCCAGATACTGGCTTCGCTATTATCAAACTCTTTGTTGTCTTGGAATCTCGATACATTCGCGTTCTAGTTCAAGATAGCAATGATTGCACATCTCAGGAATGTAACTGTACATGCCAATTACTGAAAGAGATGCGGTAAACTAAGGAGTTTGAAAGGCAATGCTTTCAGTAAATTTGGTGGCAATTATCATTCCATAAAATTGACCTCCTTGTCTAGTGTTCCATTTTACGTGAATACGGCAGCAATAGATTTTGAAAAATTCATTTGGGTTTGATCTAAACTTTGACAATCTGTACTAGTCAAAAGTGAATGATGATGCATTGTATTTGGTAACATATGATTAAACATGTTTGATTTGCCAAATGTATAGGCTCTCAAAGCATTTGCTCTGTCTCGATCTGGGTGTGATGATGAAGCGTTAGATCTGTGCAACAAGATCATGGCTTTAAAACCAACTGATGCTCCTACTGTACAAGCCTTAATGTTGACTTTCAAGTTTTTGAATAAGAGTATGTTTTGAAATGGCATGATCAATCAAAGTGAAGTTTCTAACAGTTTGTATTTAAACTGAATTAGACGATCGTCTTGTTGTTCTTTATGAACAGGCGTTTGCGGCATTGCCCAATAACGAAGAATGGGCCAATCATTGGTTTATGGCATTGGTGCGTATCAATGACCTCAAAGGTTATCAGCAGGTACTTTTTCATAATCTATTTTCAACCCATTCAATTTTGATTTCAGGTCAAATATCAAACTACTATTGTTGGTCATATCTGATAAAATGCGTTTTTGACAACAATTTAAATAGGCTGCCATGAAGCTTCACAAAACATTTCAAGAAGTCAAATATTATTTTTGGGCCGTCATGTCAATTTATTTGCAGGTAAACCACCAGGTTAACTGAATGGCATTTATAGCCACATTCATGTAAAATGGAATACTTGCACTGATCTTGCAGTGGCTTTGCTTTGAAATAAGCAATGCTTAAATATTTGATGCTTCCTATTACAAATCAGAACAATGATTGAACGCATTATAAATGTAACTATACATGCCAATCACCGGGAAAATGTCAGTGAGCTAAAAAGTTCAAGGCATAATGCTGTTTGGTAAATTGGCATCAATCATTTCATGAGATTGGCAATTTATCATGTACTTTTTCATCTTTATTTAGTGTTCCATTTTACATGAATATGTCTATAAAAGTATCAATGGAAAAATACACTACTTAATGTTTGTTTACTCCATTTCATTGGATTAATTTCAGTCCAAGATACCAGACTGTCCCAACAAGTCATTGCTGCTCTCGCTTGCTCAAAAAATGATGGAAAAGGCCGAAAAAAATGAATGGATCAGCACTCCAGAAAGTAAATGACATTGAAAATACTTCATTGTATTCAAGCGTGATTTTATGATATTGTTGACTGACTGTAAAACTATGTATAGCACTGCATCTATATATGATGATATTGGAGGAACAGTCCAAGTATACGGATATGGAAAAACTTGTCAGCGGGAAGTTGGGTGGATTGTTGCGCATCGAGTCTGAGCGCGATCGTGTACTTCTCGAGTCATTAGTCAAGAGAAATGATCACATACTTGCTATCGAGGTATCCCTTCGTTTGTTGACATCCAAGTAGGTCACAATAGAGCATTGTACTACAATATATACGCGAATTAGATCATTTGACTAATTTAAACTCATTTAAAACCACCTTCAGCATTGACGATTGGTTTTCATATGTGACTCTTTCTGACTCGCTTTTAGAGCTTAAAGATGATTCTTCAAGGTAGTACTGATATAGTGTACAACTGCTTGCTTAAAAGCCATAATTGTACTCAAATTTGATGAGTAGAATTTCAAAAGTGTGGGCCACAATCGCGACTTTACAAGAACGTGCTTTAAATGAAAGGCAGCCATGTCGAGGTCCATTCCTAGCTGAACTGTTGCTGATTAGCAAGAACTTGAATAGATGTATGCGTATTAATGATCTTTTAAGCATGCCAATGCTTGTCCAATTTTAGATTTATAAATCTAAAATTGATTGTTTTGATGAATAGCTACGGATCCGTCCATTTCGCAGTCATTGCTGATGTATTTGAAAAGATTTGGAAAGGCGCAGTCGTGCTTTGATGACATGAAGCCGTATTTGAATCATTGTACAGATGAAGAGCTTCGCACTGTTGTTGATGCCATATTGAGCACCGAAACTACTTCCCCTGAAGAAGACACTCCAAAATCGATCAAGGTATTTGTTTTAATAGGCACTGATGCCTTGATTGATCAGCTACATATTCATTAAATGATATACTTTCAATTTGTGTAATATTTTGCTGTGAGTAGATTGACGCACTTCGTCGGGATATTAATGCTCGAAAAATTATTCGTTTTGCTTCCAATACAGTACTTCTACCAGCAGATCGTGATGCTCAACTGACTCAGCTAATCAAATGCTATCATGACAGTATCCCACTGGGTATGATACTTTTAAGCGAACTTGGGTATTGCAAAAGTATACCTACTAAACTTTGAAAGAAAAAATACACTTGCTGATGTTTTTATCTGGACATGTTAGGGGCTGAGATGGATGTGCGTGAGCTTCAGCCCGGCGATGAATATCTTGTTATTTCTACAGAATACATTCTGGAACTATATTCAATTGATCGAGGTGAGCATCAACACACAATTGAATATTTAAAAACAATTTCATATTTATGACTTTACTAATAATTTGAAACTCCAATAGATGAAAAGATACTGGTGAACGCCATTGGGCTACTTGAGTTTGCACTCGAAAAGAGCAAGTACAACCATCAGTTTAAACTTTTGCTTATTCGTATGTATTTTGAAATTGGTGTGTATCAGCGTGCTATTGATCTCTCAGCTATGATGGACATCAAGCAAATTCAAACCGATACGCTCAGGTATACTTTCAATTGCATTGTTGTTTATTCACGACTTTTTGGTACTTTCTAACATATTAAACCTACCTTTTACATTCTAGTTACATTTTTACAGACGATCTGGAGATTTATGGTTCCTACAATCAGTCTATAAACCAGTTTCTTCTTGGGTCAATGGTTTATACTCGCAATGAGAAAGAGGTTAGGACTAGATAAATCATTGGTTAATTGATTTGTTTACTGATATAGTTGGATGTCTTAGCTGCCAGAGTCAATCATCCAAGCATTCAAATATGCTTCGTTCTCAAAGGTATGCGCATTGTGTTGCTTTTATGTTCATATCCATGCTAGTGGCTTGATGGATATTTTGATTTCACTGTATTGATAGCTAGTTTGTATAGATTCCCGAGTTTATGCTATTTCAAGAAAAGCTTTCCAAATCTATTCAAAGAATACATTTTCAACATCAAATCATTCGATCTGAAATTATTTCCAAAACCAGTAACATGTCAGAGCTAAAGGAATTTCTTTTGAACATCAATCCTAATACTCTGGCATTTGAAGGTGTGTTTGCAAAGTGCCTTTATTAGTTATTTCACGTTTTGTTTTTTCCATTAAAATATGTTGTAACTTTGTAATGAATTGCGTCAAACAAAATGACAGACGACAAGGTGCAGCACTACTATGACAATCGTGACTTTACTGTTCTTTCCGAGATTGGCGGGTTTAAAAAGTCATTGGCAAGTAAAATTATGGCAACAGATTTTCCAAGAACATCGGTGAGAATAACTTTTTTAAATTTAATCAAAACATTATTAAGCTATTTTAACTGATTTGAATATTGCTTGTTATAGTCTCCATGGCGCAAAATGCGATCTTTGGTGGTTTTGCTTCTTCAAAATATGGTGTCCAACAAATATTCAAGTGCAGAAGTTGCTACCATGGAAAATCAGCTTGAAGTTGTAGTGGCTACGCTACCTGATGTAAAGGCTCATGTATCATGACGTGTGTTGTCAACTTATGCTGAGTACTAACGACCTCTACCCTTTTGATATTGTTTAGCATGAAGCAATACCTGCCAAAGTGATCCTTCATCTTTCGCGTTTAAGCAGTGGCCGACTTGTCGATCAATCTGAAGAAAAAGGTACTGGTAATGATACATGTACTTGGACAAGTGAATCCAACCTGGTCAAACCTAACTCGCTTTATTTGGAATGACAGGTTGGAAGGAAGTGATTGATTTATACACATCTTTGACCAGCATCATTCTTGACAGCAATCAGTTTGGACTTTCTCGCTGCTTTGCAGAAAACATGACTGGTGTGATAGAGGTAGGTTAAAGTACATGTAGCTGTCATGCTAAATACGCGACCCTATGCATCTTGGCAAGTCGGTGTATTGCTTTTTGGTAACTTGGCGTCATGCTTGCTAACTGCCATTGATTTTATAGGCATCTACATATATTTATGTTGCATTACTGTTTTCCAGTAGCAATCTCCAGTCATCCAAAATGACAAATAGATTCAAAACTAAAAACGACACCATTGCCAGTGCATACGCCAAGTTTATACAAGAAACAAAAGCAGTTCATAGTACTATCAAGACACGACTTAATCAAATAGCACAGATGGACAGCAAGCAGATACAGGCCCATTTTGAAATTGGACAATCTGGAATTAAAACAGACTTGATATTTTTGACCGATACCCAGGTTAGATGGAGCTGCCAATAGTCTGCATATTATGTTGGGTATATAATACTGTAACAAGTTTACTGATAAAATAGCTGTGTTTTAAATAGGCAGTCAATAACATGACAGAGTTCATTCAACGTGGCTGGACACTTTCTTTTAAAGGGTACCAACAGTCTTTGGAGCATCTGACAACTATGCAATGATGCCAGGTTCAAAAGCTTTCATGTGATGACCTATGTTACACGTTTATGACATGTTAGCATCAAGTGAATGTCTGACAGATATGTCACAATGCTGATTTCAATAAACAACAATAAATGCCGAGGTGAATTCAAGATGCAAAGCATATGTTGGTTCGAGGCTTACAGTTGGCGATTCACGCTTGGTAAATTCGACAAGTTTAGATATCTCCAAAGCAGTCTTGATTAGCTCCTTGATGGCATCTTGAGCAGGCACATGGAAATCAGACACCGAGTATTTTTCAACATAAAGACGAATTGTAGCGCCTTGAGAGCCAGTGCCAGAAAGACGGAAAATAATTCTAGATCCATCCTCAAAAATCACACGAATCCCCTAAAATTAAAGCACATTTGGTAAGAACCCAAACAACACGCTTGTAAAAGTGGCTAGTTGGTATACCTGTTTAGAAGTCACGCTGCCATCGATGGGATCGGTGTACGTAAAGTCATCCATAGCAGTGACGGTAAACCCATTCAAAGTTTTTCCAACAAGGCTGGTGCTTTTACCGTTGATATAGGCAGATAAGTGGGCCATGACCTTGTTGGCATCCTCACTGTCAACTTCTTCGTAATCGTATCTGCAAACATATTAGCATGATAATCCGTTACCGGAAAACATAATAATTGTAAGAGCCAAGTATGATCCACCACACCAAAAATTTGAAAATGGGTCATCAATGAATAATGGTAAACAGACCTGGAAAAATAGTTACGTCCATATTCAGAGTAGTGAGTATTCAAAATATCTTGAAGTGAAGAGCCGGGCTTTGTCTTGTTTGCCTCGGCTAAAATGGACAACCAGGCTAACAATTTAGATGGTCAAATATGAGTGAGTAATGCAATAGAAAAGTATACCAACCAAATAAATGGATTGCACAGTTTAAGCACAGATATGGATAAATAACAAATGCATAGTTTTGACTAAAAGGCAAACCCCACCAAGAACAGCCCATATTCCGTCCTTTTCACGAATGTGGTCAGATCCAGTTCCAAAGCTTTCCTCGCCACAAATCGATAGCTTTCCAGAGTCCATCAAGTTTCCAAAAAACTAAAAAATCAAAACATATTAGCCTAGAGTGGTGTATTGACAATTGAGTATATGAGTCAATACCAATGACTTTACCTTCCAGCCAGTAGGCACTTCAAATATTTGATACCCCTTCTTACGGGCAACTCTGATTAAACGATTCAAAGCATATATGTTCATAATAGGTTGGTTTAAACTCGTCTTGAACAGAATCAAGAGCTTCAAGTATGAATCAGTAGCTATACCTATCAATGGCGCCACTAGTAGGCATGCTACGAGCAAGACCATGGACACCCGACTTTTTAAAGTAAGGAATAGTCTCGGCATTGGCGGCAATGACTATAGTAGTGTGATGGTATCGTATTTAGAGTCAGAAACTACTGCAAAGTATAGGCATGTTTTAAATTCAAGGCCAAAATTGCTTTACCGGCAACAGAGTCCGAAGGGTTTACAAACGTTCCTTTTCCAATAATCATGTTACGATCACCATCACCATCTAATTTATTTGAATGCAATTAAAGTAGTTAGTGGTAAATACAGACATTCTTAATATGGCTGGTTACAAAATGATACATCTTTGCTTACCGAAAGCAGCACCAAAATCAAAGTGTTCTTTTTCAACGCGTTCAACGAGTTCGTGAGCGTACTAAAAATATATGCCAAGCAAAGTATCAGACCAAAAGTCAACATGTAATAAAACTATCTATGCTGAACTTTTTGATAATAGAGGTTTTACCGTCAAGTTTGGATCAGGATGGCCGCCACCAAAGTCCATCTTGGGAGTGCAGTTCATGGTGGAGCTCTCTGAAAGCTTAAGTTCGTCGACAAAAATGCGTTTTATATACGGCCCCGTCACTAAACAGCATCAAAGATAGTTTAAATGACAGGGATCTTAGCGAATTTGTTGTGGGGTATTAAAATCTTGGTCGCGCAATATACACCTACCGCCATGCATTGCATCAAACAAAAACTTGAAAGACGATTGTTTGAAAAAGCTGCGGATGGAATCAAAATCATAAATTTCCTTGACAAGAGCAACATAGTCATCGACTGCATCAACAACTTGAACAGTGAAAGTGCCAAAAACATGAGTCTTGATAATTGAAAGATCAATCTAAATCAAGTCAAGATATCAAGTGTCACTATACTGAATATAAACTGTCTAGATGCAAGTATAAGCCTAGCATCTAAAAACAAATAAAATTATGGATAAAGCACCTCGGGGATATCTCCAACTGAAAAATGAGCAAGGCTTTTTGAAACTTCGTAAATCTTGTTAGTGATTGCCTCGGGAGCAGGTCCTAATATACATGAACCGTCAGTATTTTGTTTATGCTGATTATTAACCATTAAATTATGCAACGCTGTTGATAGCCATTATATACTTACCACCATTCCCAATGTTGTATTTGATTCCAAAATCATTTTCGGGACCACCAGGATTGTGCGATGCTGTTAATAAAATGCCTCCGGTTGCTTTTAATTTTCTGATTAAATTGGATGCAGCTTTTAAATGAGATGTTTATGGTTAGTGTAGTCGAAAAGATTATGAATATGATGTAGAGCTAAAACTCACCTGGGGTTGACAGAATGCCGTTTTGAGCAATAATCAGTTTGGAAACCTAAAATGGTTAGATTAGCAAATGGCTCGCAAATATGTGGTTGCAGTTTCAAAGAAACTATTCAAATACAAAGATGACTACAAGAGAAGTCGCCAATGCGCTAAAGTCAAGACTGATAAACTATGGATTGCGTGTATATACAGATAGTATGGAATTCAAGCATGACAATAATCATAATAAATGGAAATGCATCACATAATACAAATAGGTAGTAGGGTAGATTCGGATGCTTACAGCCGTATCCACGTAAAATATAATTAATGGAGTTGAAATACATAATAAGCAGTCAATTTCATCGCATTTACTGGACAATATTGTACTTTTTGAACTTTTTAGTTGACTGATATTTCTTTTGGTGGTCGATATGAAAATAGCAGTTCTATTGAACTAAAGGGCAAGCGTATCTGTGGGATTTGAGATACAACAAAGTGAAGAAAGGGGTGGTTTGATTGTATTATATGAAGGTTATTTGAAGCAATCAATCTCTATTAGGAAAGTGCAACTAATATTCCAAACAGAAGAGATTTTGACCGCTACTACTCCATTTTACGTGAATATGGCTGTAAATTGAGATTCAGACTACCGCTTTACCTTGTTACCAGCAGCCACGCGAATGATGGCTTGAATGGCCTCGGCAGAAAAATAGCGACCATCACCACCAACAACAAGAGTAGTTCCCAAAGTAGGCTCAATGGTAGTCATAATGGCTTGTACAAAGTTTTCTGTGTACTTGGGCTGCTGGAAAATCCGCACTCGCTTGCGTAGACCAGATGTGCCAGGCTTCTGGTCATTAAAAGGAGTCGTTTGAACCTGAAACAAATAAAAAAGATGGAGCAGGGTTAATACAAGATATTTGTGCTGGCATAGATGATGGTAGACTGCAGTTTTGTTTAGTATTTGTAGAGATGATCATATTGTCGCTGAATTTAAATTGAAGCTGATGGAGATCAGGATTAAACTTTGTAGGAGATGTATTTTAAAAGTATACAAGTAACAGTGAATTACCATTGAAATAGCAACCATGACTGTATGCAGTGTTATTGGGTTTAAAGTAGAGTTGCAGATCGTGAACTTGACCAAAATGCATTGATGGATTTCTGACCCTAATGTAAGCTCAGCCAGCTTTTCAGCCAGCTTTGCTGTGCAATTACCGCCATTCTTCACGTAAGATGAAGCAATATCTCGTAGATTGTCTTGGAATAGACAATGGTTAATATTAACTGAACTTGTTGGAAACTGGCTTGATAGATACAACGATCATTTGATTCATTCATTTCAATCCAGATATTGGGTTTGCTGTCAAACTCATCCTTGTATCCTAATATCAGATACACTTTAGCTCAAAAAAACAATCTCAGGAATGCAACTATACATGCTGATCATCACAGAATTAGTCAACTAGAGAGTTCAAAAGCAATGATCGATAAATGTGGTAATAAGTAGAGCCAAGATTGTGCTTTCACTGGTGTAATAACAGTGTCATTCAATGCAATTCGACTTTAACATTTCAGTTGCATTTGATGACTGCTTCTCGAGAAAAAGACAAGACAAAGACAGTGGTTTCTTCTACCAAGAACCAAATGGTAAAGACTAAAAGTCGGTTCAAGCGAATGCCTCCTCGCTGTCATGCCGTCCGTTCTACAGATATCTTTGTTTCTAAAAGATCTTCTTTCCCTGCCCTGACAAAAAGAGCTCTTTCTTTCTTGGAACCATCAGCGACTGGTCGTAAGCAAGTGATTATGTTTGGTTATACCATAAATATGCACTATTAAATCCTTTGGCAATCCTGCTATGATGGTTGTTAATTCCATACTTTGATCTCATTCTATACGCATTTGTGGGCTCATAGACAGACCTCTCAAAAGGTAACGATCCATGGACTAGGCGCTGCCATTATCTGTGCTGTTCAATTAGCTTTGCATATCCAAAAAGCAGCATCGATCTCGATTTCTTTATCAACCACTACCTCATCTGTCACTCTCATTGACGATGTTTACAAAAGATCGGGTGTAGATTCTGACACTACTGGATTTAATCAGAGCGAGTCTGTTGTGTGCGGAAATGGTGAAGCAAAAGTGTCGATCGATCCCAATGATAATGCAGCCTACAATCTAGACGGTGCTGACATTTCTCTGGATCAGGAGTCTCGAACAAACTCCGCTATTCATATTGTACTGAGTACCTTGTGAGACTACCATGATTGTCCATTATTCAACTCTCCTTCAGTAATCAATAGAGCCCAAATACATGGCCGATAGTACAATATAGGATTATCTTGTCATTTTTTATAGAAATGTGTTTTCGTCGCAAATTGATGCAGCTGTTGTTTAGCTGTTCCAGAAGAAATACTTTGGCGAGCAAGTGCTACACCTTCTTTGAGATTAGAGGCTGCTCCAGCTACATAAAGTAACGCTGCTGCATTCATCAACACAAAATCCACTATTGGACCAGTAAGAGCGTTATCGAGTAATGCTGACATTGTGGCAGCATTCTCATTGGCTTCACCGCCAACCACATCTCGCAATGGATGTTCAGCGAGTCCGAAATCAGCAGGAGAAATAGTGCGCTCAGTGATCGTTCCCATACTATCAAATGCCCATACCAGAGTGGATCCTTCTGGGCTGATCTGTAAATCAATTTAAAAAGGTTGAGTACAAATCAAATGTGTCAGGGTTGGCTATTGTTCTCACCTCGTCCAAACCAACAAGCCCGTGCACTACCCATCCTTCCCGAACTCCGCTCAAGTGGAGTGCTTCAGCCATAATCCGGCCGATATCTTTTGAAAACACTCCAACCACCATTTTGGAAGGGCGAGCGGGATTAGTGAGCGGCCCAAGCCTGTAGATAAAGTTTGGTTAATCAGCGCGCATCAATAAGCTTATTATGCATCGCATGAGTATAGTAAACTATTCCAAAAAACACTTGCATGTTAAATATTGTACGAACACCAAGCTCTTTTCGAGAGGCTGCCACATGTCTCATGGCTGGATGGAAACTCTGAGCAAATAAGAAGCAAAAATTACTCGAGTCGAGGATTGAGCCTACCGCTGTTGGAGAAACAGACTCCAAGTGGCAACCTAGTGCTTCAAGAACATCTGCAGATCCTGATGTTGATGAGGAAGCTCTGCTGCCGTGCTATTAAATATATTTGATGTGTAGATGTTTTAAAATGATATGAATTAGCACATGCCTCAAGCTAGATGCACACTATAACAATCAGCTTATTAAAAAGGTAAAACAAAGACACATGTTGAATGTAGGAAAGTCTAGATCGATATAGTATCGAATGCAGTACCTTGGCAACTTTTACTCCAGCTCCAGCAACAATGATGGATGCAGCGGTAGATACATTAAATGTATTTTGGCCATCACCTCCAGTGCCAACAATATCAGCTACATCAAATGGCAGCTCAACTGGGAGTGCCTTACTCTGCATGGCTTTGGCAACAGCAGCAATAGTAGCAGGATCAGTCTCTTTACCCAGTAGCTTTATGGCAACTAGAAATCCACCAATCTGTGAAGGAGTCAGTTGATTGGCCATAATATCAGCAGTAATCTTTCCTGCCACATCGGGTGTAAGTGATAGAGGGTTTTTAAGAATAGATGCAAGATCGCTCATGTTGTAAACAGCAGCCGGTTGCCTTGAATAGTCAATTATAATAGTTTACGGCTGGTAACAAAGGGTATGAGAATGCGGAGATAAAATGAGAAAGCGTTGACATATCATGTGTTTAGGGAGGTGTTCACGTAAAACTCATTCGACCATACAAAAGTGTGGTCGAGTTCAGTAGTTTCTCATTGGTAGATTGTTCATCTGTTGGTTTGGCATGAATATCCATCAATCGTGTTTCCTTAACGCGGCAACAATCTGAATTGTTGAGATGGTCTGCAGCTTATGTTGATTCAATATAGGACATCACCTATTTGGTCTAGCGACAGCTGCTTACTGATCTTGGTGTTGATCTTGTTTCGACGAGTCTTGACATTTCATCTATATCGTGTATACTAGCTTAAACTAATCGTGCAGTTTTACAAACAAGATTCATGTTTCCAAAAGGCTGCAACAGCAGTCTACTTGATACTATCAGAATGATTTCAAACCAGCGAGATTGGGTTGTTAAATAGACATTTCATTCTTTTCGTTTCCTGCTGTAGCTTGATTGCTCGACTTGTCGCGTCCTCAGGTCAAATTGCAAGTTTGTGCGGATACAGGTCGAAGCTAGACAATCCAAGTTTCTATCCATTCGAAAAATTGGTAGGTTGCATCTGCGGTGCATCCATCCACACCAGTAATGCATCCATCCATATCATGCATTGATACTAACATACTATTGTTTAAACATGTGTAGAATATGGCTGACACTGCAGCGGCCGAGCGTGGTAAGTTATGGCATTCTTTTATTGGTGTAAGCCTGTCCATCTAACCTTTGCCTAATGCTATTTTGATTAGGACGAGGTGCTTTTGGACGTGGACGTGGCGAACGCCGTGGTCGCCGTGGTGATCGTGGACGTGGCCGTGGCCGTGGTATGTTTTGAAGTCGATAGATTGCAGGCTTTTATGCCGAGTCTGATACAAGGAGAGCTAAACTTGAATGGTTTGAATCATAGGTCGTGATGAAGAAAACAAGGCTTGGGTCCCAGTCACCAAGCTTGGACGTCTTGTACTTGATGGCAAGATCCGTTCTATTGAAGAAGTCTATCTTTTCTCTTTGCCCATCAAGGAGTTCCAGATTGTCGACCATTTCCTCCCCAAGCTCAAGGATGAGGTCATGAAGATCATGCCTGTGCAGAAACAAACTCGTGCTGGTCAGCGTACCCGTTTCAAGGCTTTTGTCATTGTCGGTGACTCTGATGGCCATGTTGGTCTTGGTGTCAAGTGCTCCAAAGAAGTGGCCACTGCCATTCGTGGTGCCATTATTCTTGCCAAGCTTTCTGCTATTCCCGTTCGTCGTGGATACTGGGGATCTGTTCTTGGTGACCCCCACACTGTTCCTGCTAAAGTTACCGGAAAGTGTGGTTCCGTTACCGCTCGTCTTGTTCCTGCTCCTCGTGGTACTGGTATTGTTGCCGCCCCTGTTCCCAAAAAACTCATTGAGCTTGCTGGTATCAAGGATTGCTACACCACTACTCGTGGCTCTACCAAGACCCAAGGAAATTTCCTCAAGGCCACCTTTATGGCTATTGGAAACACCTACAGTTTCCTTACTCCTGATCTTTGGGAGGAGACTGCTTTCCAAAAGAGTCCCTTCCAGCAATGGTCCGATCTTTTGGCCAAGTCTGCCAAGAAACACTAAACGCTCCATCAATGAATGTTTTTCAATCGTATTTTATTTTTTGGTGATTTCTGTAATTCTATTTTGCTAGTCACATTATGCTATACAGTGATGGTTTATGCTTTGTAGTTGAACCTTGCTTGATTGAATAAATCGACTGGATCGATATTCACTTTTTTTATGCAGCGACTATTCTAGATACTAATCGATATACAAACACAAGTTTATCATGGGATTAGACAAGTACTGTAAAACAGGGTTTTAATCATTACAGTCGTATTTGTGAAAACGAGACACTTGTATTTATTGTACTACAACATCTCATTTAAGCTCCAGTTCAAAAGAACAACGATTGCATGTTTCAGGAATACAACTGTAATGCCAATCACCAGAAAAAGAACAGAGGATAGTTTTCAGTAAATTTGGACATTATCATGCCATGAAGCTTGCTACACTTTGACATTTTTATTGCATTTTACGTGAATACAATTGTAGTATTGAATGTCTAGCACTCAGCTTTTACGACTTGCTCGGATGCTTAAGCAATCACCTAGCACAATGACATCACCCATAGCATTGCAAGCACTAGAGAATCGCTCGTATGATCCTGAGACGGATATCATGAACATGTCGGATGCCACATTACTGGAATCAGTACATATTCCAGGCAAATATCAAGACTTGTTTAAACCCAAACGGATTCGACCTCTTCATGACGCCATTTCAGTTGAGTATCAATGGAGTATGGCTTTATTTTGCTCATTCTAACATATAAAACAGTCATCCAATGATCATGCATCTAGACGAACAACATATCCCAAGATCATTAACAGCCCAGACATTCGGGCACTGGATGCTGAGCTAAAGCCATTAACGCCAGCACAACAACGACTACAAGGACGGAAACTCAATCGAGTGGAAACGTACATTGTGGAGATCAAAGAGTCTCCACAGTTTTATACTCATCTTCAATCATCATTGTGGGACATTTGCAGAGTTGAGTAGTTTGTATTCAATGCATTGCTACTTGATTAAAAGTACAAAGTAGCTATGACGACCATCCACAGCAACTGATTCTAACATGAATTGCAATGGTATTAATCATGCTAGACAACATTGTCATTTAAGCAAAAGACATGCTATATCTGGTGGAGCCTTTCTGAAGAGGGAAAAAGACAAAAAACGGACCCAGTAAGTTGATCCTGATATTAGTTGCAGCGTAATAATCAAAGCATATTCCATCTTGATAGTCTTCCCACTGATGCCATTGAGTCGTAAATATATTCAGGAGAAGCTTGGAGCGATACTTGACAGCAATAGAGATCTGGTTCAGGCTACAATGGGGAAAATGGCGATGCGATGGCATGGATCAGGCAAACCGATGTCCAAACTAATTCCACAGATTGCATTTAGACTGGACAAGGACGCTATTAATGCTGCAGTGCTTGATGGGATTATGACCAAGATCGAGAGTGAGTTGAGCTCTAAAGCACAATAAAATAGATGACAAGTTTCAAGTGTGTATACAATCCTATTGCTTGATTGCATATCTTCAGGCAATTCATTAGAAACTTTAGGGTTTGTCAATTCAAACTGTCCAGCAACACTTGTCCGGTATAAGCGGACAAGTATTACTAAAATCCAAATGCTTATGATGGACATCGATCTTGGCATCCAGCAGTCTGCAGATTCCGAAATGGCTCTTGATCCGGATCATCCAGATAACGATGCTTTGTATGCAGCAGAACACAACGCTCATCCTGGAATACAATCCACTGGCTACACTGCAACAGGTATTCTGACAGACAATCCAAGAAAACTGCAGCATACCAACGAATCCATCTTGCCATGCGAGTTTATTGCATCGCTTCGTTCGGTTGCTCCATTTGTTACTATCCTTCGAGCCATTTCCTTCAAACAGGTAGGTTCCAACCAACACTAACTCTTTAATCAAAGCATGCCATGTTGCTGATATCAACGGTTACACTATTCATCAACCAGAAAGCATACTGTACAATCGCTGCAGAGGGTATGAGACTGACTGCAGAAGACTCTCGAACAGTTCAAGCCAAAGCATACCTTCCAAAATCATTATTTCGGGAATTCAAATTATCTGATGGATCGGCATTGACTCCAGATGAAGAGTTGTCGTTTATGGTCGATATTCGAGTTCTCACTGACTGCTTGACTATTTTTGGCGCTCAGCAACAACCAGGCGGTTACTCTAATGAAGATCTTCCTCAACAACAACCTCAACAAGCCTCTCACATCGGAATACAATCTTCGCCAGTTTCATTGCAATTGAGTTATCCAAAAGGAGGTGGAGAGCTTACGCTAATGTACGAAATCTGCACAATCGTTTTTGTTGAATTTAATGTGTAGCTTAAACCTGTTTTAACAGATTGGATGCGTGAATGCTATTTGGTGTGGTGATTCCTTATACTGCAGTATGAACGTATGACTGATTTTAAACTCGTAAATATGCAACTACAGGCTTCAAGATGGAAACATTGTTACTGCTTGCAACTTGGCTACATATGATAATGAGCCCATCACTGATTTACATGCTACTTTTGGGGATCGACAGATTGTTGGAAAAATTATCATGAAGGTATACTCAATATTATAATATGTATTAATAGTATAGCTCAAATGTGCATGATCCAGATGTAAGAACGTGTTGGTATAGATGACTCAATATGTTTCAATGTAAACCTTTTACTAGTCGGATTGGCTCAAAACTGCGTTTGGCGAATTGGATAGTACGTCAAGCGATCTTACTCTTTCCATCTCACCACAGCATCCATTTTTGCGGATCTCTGCATCAGGACTGGCAGGAGAGTCTGAGTTGGATTATCCGCGTGATACAGAAGTTCTTGAATCTTTTAGTTGTACCATGCCCACCTCCAACAAATACAAATTCACCATGCTTCATCCGTGCATGAAAGCACTAGGAATGTCAACCAAAACATCAATACGTGTAAACGAAATTGGCATCTTGAGTTTGCAGTTTATGATTCAGCTGACAACCTCGCAAATTAGTTTCGTGGACTATATTGTAAGTGATTGATGCTACATTGAAATGCCAGCCGTATCATATAAAATGGAGCTGATTCTTTTATGCGTTTATTCTTTTAAATGTATCTTGCCGATGCAAATGGCTCAACCAATACATTGAATAGGTTCTCCCCATTGAAGAAAACAACTAATTTGGCGCTATTTCCATTGGATTGGTAGTGAAGCTGGTTTGTGCAAAACCAGTCAAAATCTCTTCGACTGCCTCCTTTGATTCCTGATGTTTTGAAATTAATATCATTTATCAGATTATAAAATCATGCATGAGTGATCAGTATTGTGGAAATGTGCATATGATATAACCAAAACAAATATGCACCTGCTCAGCGTCAGCAAAGGCTTTGACGAGTGCATTTCTAGCATTTGGTGAAAGTGCGGTGCCAAACTATAATCATATACATAAGCTCACTCATTTTAGGCCAAGTAGTAGCACAATAATGTGTAACATCCCCAGTTGCTATATCGTGCTTACCTTTTCAATTATATCCTGAACTTTACTATTCAAGATTGCAATGGGCTCCGCTTTTTCTTGGCTCTACATGAATTGCAGTCATGTTGGTGAATGAGTTGAATGCAATTAAAGACTAGATGCGTGCAGTTAAAAATAGTCAATTGATAAATTTATGTCAATCATCATACCAGTTCTGACAGATTTATAGGCCGTGCCATTCGAACCGTGTTAGAAGTAGTATTTATATTGCTAAGATAGTAACGGGGTGTTGCATCAGGTATAGTAGTCGTGACTGCTGATTTCGTATCTTTAAAATCACTAGTACTGTCATTATCTCGTGCATTAGCTGAAGCGATGCGCTGTGATGCCCATCCAGGTTTTGGAGGAGGTGGTGGTGGAACAGCAATGGTTCGAGATGCAGAGTTTGGAGAGTTGGGCGTATCTGTGGATCGTAATTGTTTTTGAAGCAGTCCTGTATTGGTCGATCTTTGTGGTACTTTACCTTTGCTGGACAAGGATGCTTTTATGGTTCCAAAATCCCAAGTTCCACCGCCAGTAACACCAAAATCCTCATCTTCCTCACTATTAATTAAAGTAATAGCCAAAAATTGATGTTTAGTCTTGGTTAAGAATCATGTACATTACAAACCTCTTTCAATTTGCTAAAACTGATTTCTACAGGCCTACCATAAAATTATTTGTCATGGCAATAATACACTTACTCTGACCCTGGCTCTTGAGTCGGCTGAAGAGGCAAACTTGCCATTTTTTCAGCTTGCCATCTTTGATGACGATCAATGAGCTCGGTTAGAAACGATGTTTTTCTTGGTGTTTTGATGAAACGATGCTTTAATAGTTCTTTAGCAGTAGGTCGCTATATAATTTAATTGTGGCAAAAATGGTTGGTAATAAAGCTTATAGTTTTTAAACCCCGTTTTTCTATTTTATCATATCCAGATATGCACAAAAAGCCTGCACTGCTGATCAAATTACCTTTTCGGCATCTTTTTGAAGACACAAAGCTACAAACTCTTTGAATGCTTTTGAAAAATTTCCCTCCAATGTAGGCGGGTCATTTTTAGGAATAAGAAAAAGTACTCGCATTGGATGCATATCTGCATAAGGCGGATCTCCTTTAGCCAACTCTATAGCTGTAATTCCTAAGCTCCATATATCTGCCTACCAGTCAATGTTAGTCTATTCATAGATCCAAGTTTGGAGACTCGGCTTTGCAATACACTTTAGCAGATTTAGTCAACGCAAAGTTACCTTGGCATCATATCCAACTTGGTGAATAACCTTGAAAAGTATACGAGTTAAAGACACAAAACAGTTATTTGGTGGCACATTTTATACAATAGGGTCAAACTACCAACATTACTCAGAAACGATGATACTCCAAGTTAAAAGTTTAAATCGCATACCTCTATTCATCAGTATATTTTGTAGAGCATAGTCCAAATAGGTTAGTAATTTAAACCACGAGTTTTTAAAAACATGTTTTTACCTGGTGCCATCCAAAACGGTGTTCCTACAAATGTGTTTTTTTTAGTCATTGTTGCAGTAAGCTGGCCAGATACGCCAAAATCGGCCAATTTAACTCGACCATCAGCACATATCAAAATGTTGGCAGCCTTGATATCTCTATGCAACTTTCCCTCGGAATGCAAATGATCTAACCCCATAAGCAACTCTCGGAGTACGATTGAAATGTAGACTTCTTCAAATGGGCCAGGCTTGAGCTGCAGTGAAAGGTGTCGAGTATTGTGTTTTAGCAAAGTCTTTGATATCGACACGGTTTAACTTTGAGTCAAGTGATTAAAACATCCTTACCAAGTCAAGACATGAGCCGCCTTGGCAGTACTCCATTATGATCCACAATTTTGATCCTTTCATATACGATCCATAGTATTTTGTAGTATAGTAGGAATCAAGCTGCGACATGATACTGATTTCCTGTTGGATATCTTCAATATCATCCTCAGCCTCTGTGTGTTGATACAAACATGTTAGTATACCATTTTAATATCCACCAATGCCATCAAAATTCTGGTAGTTGTTTGAATAGAACGCACCATCCAAGTCGATGATTTTGATCGCGACGGACTCTCTAGTTTGTAGCGAGATTCCTTTGTAAACCTGGTATGTAGGCAGTGTTGGTAGAATTGAGTATTCAAACTCAGTAATTCGGTGTCTTTAATAATAGATAACGTTGGTATTGAAGGAAACTCTACCTCTCCAAATGAACCTCGGCCGATCCGCTCTAAATGAAGCAGCACATGTAAAGAGAATTAAACTAAAGTCTTGCAGTGGTGGTAAAAGGGTGGGAAATGGGTAAAGTGCTAATGTAGTTTCAAGGTAAGAGCTGGTATACAACACCAGCCATTACTCGAGTTGGATAGTCCAAAATTGCCCTTCAATAGCATTTGCAGTACAATAACAGCAATATCTAGTTTTTTCAAGCCTGTTTTAAATAAAATACAAGTATATGTATGTAGGAATATGTCCAAGTCTTGCTCACCATGCTTTTCATATAGTTGCTCTGGATCCATCGTGTTGAGTAGAGTTCGGAGTTTGTTTCTTGCAGCCGTATTCACGTAAAATGGAACATAAAATACGCCCAACAATCTCGAAATAATTGGTCGGTTTATTGGACAAGATTGTTTTTAAACTCTTTAGTTGACTGAGATTTCTTCTGGTAATCAGCATGTATAATTGCATGTTTGATTCGTGCAAGTATTGGTTTTTTGAACTAGAACGCAAATCAACCCGAGAGGTTTTGGTCGTATTGACAATATTTGGATTTTAATGCATGAATCTGTGATTATAAAATAAATGTCAAAAGAAGACCATTTCAGTTTAAAACTAGAGTTTTTATTGAATCATTGAAATTGTTTATTGAAGAAGCAGTCAATGTCTAGTAGGAAAGCAAAACTATTATTACAGTCAAGCTAAACATTGAATAGTACTGAATACAATCACTGAATTAATCATCATTTTTTCTATGCAACTATTGTTTTAGATACTAATTGGATATACAAATATATAAGCTTGCTATAAGAAATGATTGAAATTAGATGAAATGATCGCGTTCGATTCATTGCTTTAGTTTGCGCCAAATGGCTGTAAAATGATGAAAAGTTTCCATAAAATATTTTCAATTTTGCATGTTGTCAGCCATGACAAACGAAACAACAACGGCTCAACAACCTACTTCGAATGCTAATACTGGAATCAAGATTAAAAAAACTCTTAATGGAAATAACAAAGTGGAATCGCTGATAGTTGATTCTGGACCACTTATTAAAGGGCACCAGCTTGTTCATCTTGCAAACTCTTTCTATACTGTTCGTGAGGTTTTGGATGAAATCAAGGATCAAAACACTCGGGATATGGTCGCTTCATTGCCGTTTGACCTGGTGGTGCGCAATCCTTCAAGTGAGGCTGTAGCCGCAGGTATTAAATTATGCTACCATGTGTACCAACTAGTCTGATTTTAGGATATTGCTAATTTAATACTTTTATTTGAATCAATCCAATTTACAAAATGTACATGTTATATAGTGGCGGCATTCTCCAAAAAGACTGGCGATTACACTTCCATGTCTACAACAGACATGAAGATTCTAGCCTTGACATGGATGATTGAAAAAGAGACCAATGGTTTATCTCATATACGGTCTCAACCACTACATGCAATGACCTCGAACGGCACAAATAATGATGCCAAACCAGTCCCCAAACCAGCTCTCCAAAAAACTCAGAATATCGCTGTAGATCAAAATGTTGAGCCATTGGTAGAGGCTGTCAAGGTAACTTGATGCCAAATGCCTAAATTTTGCAAATTTTATTTTTTAATCCTGTATACTTGAATCTACAAAACAAGACATTGCCTGAAGAACCTACTACGATTGAGAATGTTGCATTGGATTTAGCCGATATTAAGATCGATCCATTAAAAGATCTGGTGTCGAATGTTTCCCAGAGTAAATCTAGCGACAATGTGACCAAAACCAACTCAAAGAAAAAGCAGGCCAAGGTTGCAGCCGAAATGGATGATGATGCAGGATGGATCACTCCACAGAACATCGCCAAGCACAAAGCAAAAGACTTGTATGGATCTATCTCGGTGAAAAATGCCGCCAAAGCTCCCTCTGTGGCTTGTATGACAACAGATTTTGCAATGCAGGTATGTACATGCCCTCTACTGCACACAATTGTAAAATATCAAGTATTTTAATGCCGATTATTTATATACACTGCCCTGCTGTGATAGAATGTACTATTGCAAATGAATCTCAATGTTCTTTCTGTAGATGGAATCACTGTTCGAAAACTGAGAAGCTGGGTGCTAAGATGTCACAGCTGCTACAAGTATGTGACGTTTCTATAATTTGGCTGTTTATTACACCAGACTTTTTTGATTCATCGATTGGAGTCGCTTGTTCACATGCTTACATATATTGCAATGCTTTTGACAATTTAGAGTAACCAAGGACATGAACAAGCAATTCTGTCCGTCTTGTGGAAACAGTACACTAAATCGTGTTTCTGTAGGCATCAATGCCAATGGACAAACCATTTACTATTTAAAAAAGAATTTCCAGGTCAATTTACGCGGAACTCGATATAGTATTCCAAAGCCAAAAACAGGACGAAATGCCAATAATCTAATTGTTTGTGAAGATCAGAAAGAGTACCAGCGTGCATTGCAGCAAAAACAAAGACGTGATAAGCAGTTGCTAAATCAAGATTCCATGTCGCTGGACTCTGCTATTTTAGGCAGCATTGGTCACAAAAACAGCGATGGCGGTCCCTCTCTTTTGACCAAATCTGGTATGCCTCTGGTCGGATATGGCCATCGCAACGTGAACGCTAGCCGAGGCAGGCGTAGAAAGTAGTAAAAGATACACTGCACTTGCTTGTAACAAAACGGATTAAAATACAAAGTGGTTTGAATTTTTATAATGGGTTTTCATTAAGTCAACGACTTCATCAAATTAGACATGGCTAAAAACTTTGCCGTTATTACTTGTTAAAACCAGAAAGTATAAGACTCGCACGCAGCAATGAGAAAAGTAGACTCGTTTGATGAGTAGCAATGGAATAAAGGGTAACCATGCTGTCAAAGAATCACTTTGACACCATATTAAAAAAGCTTGGCCCACTTGCTTACTCAACTGTCACCGACTTGGCAAGATTGCGGGGGAAATCAACATCAACGCCGTTCATAACAGCAAGGTGGTATGACAGAAGCTGCAAGGGAATGATGTTGATGATGCCCTGCAGACAATCTACCAGCTGGGGAACGCGAATGGTTTGGAATTGCTCAGAAATATTAGCATCGTTCTTGTTGCAAATGATAATTGGCTGTCCTTTGCGCGCAGTGACTTGCTGTAAAGCACTCTGAACCTTGGGGTAGAGAGAGTCGTTGGTCATTACAAGAATGACAGGCTAATGTCAAATATACAGATTGGACATCTACAGTTAATACCAGCACAAGCAAAGTAGAATATAATCCAAAAACAAAAACAAACCATGTTCTCATCAATAAGTGCCAAGGGACCGTGCTTGAGTTCACCAGCAAGAATACCCTCGCTGTGCATGTATGAAACCTCTTTAATTTTGAGAGCACCCTCCAGACAAGTAGCATATTGGTAGCCACGACCCATAATCAAAAGAGATTTCTCCTTAAGAAGAGTAGATTTGGCAAGAGTACGCAGCTCGCCATCAAGAGCGAGAGTTTCCTTGATGTATTTGGGAAGCTGATAAAGATCATCGATGATATTTTTGCGACGATTGGCGAGAGAAATACGATCAGCCGAAAGCTCAAGAGCCATCATAATCAAGGCAATATACTGACTAGTGTATGCCTAAACAGGGGTTTACATGGTTTGAAAAATCAGTTATAATTGTCCAGCTACTTGAGCATCAACAGTACAACCCACCTTGGTACTAGCTACACCAATTTCAGGACCAGCGTTGATATGCACACCACAGTGTGTTTCACGAGAAATGGAAGAGCCAACAGTATTAGTGATGCCGACACATAGAGCACCACGCTCAAGACAGTAGCGAAGCGCAAGCATAGTGTCTGCAGTTTCACCCGATTGGGACACAAAGATGCACACATCATCACGAAAGATTGGAGTGCCTCTGTCAAGGAAATCCGATGCAAGCTCCACGCTGACAGGAATCTCAGTGAGCTCTTCAAATGTTGCGCGTGTCTGGCAAACAACAGTTAAAATCCAAACTATTCGAGATGAATTATAAAATGACAACTTACTGCAAGACAGCTATGGAAACTGGTGCCACATGCATTAAACACAATACGACGACAGCGACGAATGGTGGGTAAAAACGCTTTGAGACCTCCAAGGTTAACCGTTCCATCATCAAAGTTGATACGACCACGCATAGTGTTCACAACTGACTCGGGCTGCTCGTAAATTTCCTTTTGCATAAAATGATCAAAAGATCCCTTCATGATCTCAGCAATCTCCATTTCAAGAGTTTGGATCGAACGAATTGATGAAATACCATCCTCACGACGAAGACGATGGATATGCAGTTCTAAATGTATACAATGGATGGATGAACGGTATTACTAAACATAGCAAAGCATTTTGGAAAAGCCAATACTCGAGTAATACATACCGCCTTCGTTGATGTGGGCAATATCATTGTCCTCGAGATACAAAACACGCTTAGTGTGTTCTACAACAGCTGAGGGATCTGAAGCCATAAAGTACTCGATGGGCTGAGGCATGCCATCCTCGCTTAAAAAGGCACGGGACTGACTGCGTCGAATTGCACCATGTTGGGCATTTGCTGGAATTAGCATGCTGCCATCATCTTCTGGGATTTTCTCAGTACCGTCGGCACCTCCAAATTCAACATCGACAAAGTCTACTTTGAGTTTCTTTTCGGTTTTTACACCAATAAGCAAGGGAGAACCACGACGAGCAGCAATGATTTCGTGAGGGAAATGAGTGCTCTTGATGATGATGGCAAAAGCACCCTCGAGTTCCTTGACAACTGCTTTGATAAGCGAAGTCATGGAAAGTTTGGCACCTTTTTGCGAGTCGAACAGGTATTTGGCAAGTTTTGCAATACACTCGGTATCTGTGTCCGACTCGAACACATAGCCCTTCTTTTCAAGAACAGTTCTCAACTCTTTGTAGTTGGTAATGATACCATTATGAACAACAAGAAACTCGTTTTTAGGATCAGATCGATGAGGATGCGAGTTGCGTTCAGAGGGTTGTCCGTGGGTGGCCCAGCGAGTATGAGCCATACTGGTGTGACTGACAAAGGTTTTACTAAAATCAATAGTCTTGTCTTCAACAATCTTTTTGCGGAGCGCGGCGACTTTGCCAACCTGATTGCAAAATAAAGTGAGTATACTATAAAAGCAGCACTTATTTCAGTATAACCGCACCTCTTTGTAGATCAAAGCCGTGCCTTCCTGATCTCCATCGATAGCAATACCTTTTAAAAATAGATTAAAAGCCATCAGTCATGTGCACAGCAATACGATTGTGCACACATATCATTCAACTTACTAGATTAGATAGATTGGTATAGCCAGAGAAACCAAGTCAAATCAGTGAAATGCAATTTAGTTTACACTCGGTATAAGGTCACAAAACAATATATGATGGCAAGATCAATAGTTCAAGACAAGGAATAGCAGTTGATAGTATTACCCAGCACTGTCGTAGCCCTAAATATTACCATGTACAGCCACACAGACACAAGTTGGTTAGCAAATCAACTCGCTTGTGGTAGATAGGTCACAATACAACTGTGGAGTATGTTATTACTCTAACAATACTATTCAGTCGAGAAACCAACTCAAGACACCAGACAGATGAGCCTGACAGCAATGGTTAGATAAGAGTAGTTTCCATCAGAAACCACTCCCGCCATGCTCTTCAGTCTTGACAGTTCTTGGTATATCCTGACCCATCTATGCCACATGAACAGTCTGAATGCCACAACTTACTCTGTATTCCAAGCGTGACAGACCAGTCAATAAAGTATCGACAATATAGCGACGGTCTTTTTCAACCTAGACAGTAAATGACAGCAACATAACAGATTAGTTATCTACAGTCAAGCAATACGCAACGCATAACCCAACAGATGCTCAGACTCGTAGCAGCCAGGGGTATTGCCAAGAAGCAACAGTCAGCAATGAATTCAAGATTCAGCAGATATTTTCATTAATACAACATGCAAGCAAACAGAATTCATCGACTGTTACTTACCAGATAGTTCAAGTATGCAAAAATACCACACATGTTCAAGAATCAATCGTAGATTTTGGTCAAGTTGAAAATACAATTTATAAATATTCGTCTTCCGCCCAGAAACTGGCTCCGCACATTTCACACCAGCAAGCTCAAGCATTGGTTTCCAGTTTGTCACAAAGTGCTTATTTTCATTCTACACCACTGCCTCATTTCTTGTAGATTCACTCGAGTTGGGAATGTGTGCTTCTGTCTGGATTTAACAAAGTTGCATTTTCATCCAAATTCAAGCCTATCAAGCCTGTCAAAACTGCAAACGCATTCCTTTCTCTGCAGTTGGAAAATGCCAGATTCTGACTTGGACAAGACTGACAGTGAACTCTCTAAACTACAAAATGGTAACTCATGTCTGTTTGCGACCTTTTGGAAACTTTCACTTTACATGACTGCTGATATACTGACTTGTGGCTTTTACTGGACTCCAACACTCGACTATTCTTTGTGTCAACTGCTCTTTAAAATCATATAGCTGCTGCTAAAAAGATCCCACTTTCATTAGAAGATCTTCTTCGCAAAAAAACTGAAGAAAAAAATGCTGTCATCAAGGTATTGAATGCCATTCAACTTGAAAACTCAACCTTGGATCCTTCAGATATCCATTTGGCTTCAATATCATCAAGCCCTTGACTGTATAGTCTGAATGTTTGATCGCTTTCTCACCTGTTTATTCATGTGTTGCATTAGCCAGTATTTCTTTCCAAAGAAGAACGAGCTAAACTTGCTTTGGAGCGTCGTCAGAAACAGGTCCAAGAACAACGCGCAATACAGGATCAGGAGCGTCGTGATACTGCAACCTTTTTTTCTCAAAAGGAACCCAGTGTATCAACTAATTTAAACACTAAATACGAAAAGAATAGTCGTTTGGATCGTAGAGGATCTACTGAGCCAAATAGTCGCAGAGACCGGGATTCTAGAGATCGAGATGCTGATAGATCTGGTCGATCCATTCGAGATGAAAAAAATGGACGAAGCGAAAAAGGTCGTATTGCTGACAAAGAAACTGATGGCTCCAAGGATAAGCATAGATCAAGCGTCATGGAGGTCAATCCAAAAGAGGGCTATATTATTTTGGAAGAAAAGGAAATGGCTGCAATTAGAGTAAATAGACATACTGCCACCTTGTACTTGTTTTGCTAATACTAATACAGCTCGATACAATTAGGAAAGATATATGGGAACTGAACGCAAAAAAAGAAAGATTCGTCGAATGAATGAGAAAAAGTTTGTTTTTGATTGGGATCAAGGCGAAGATACATCCAAAGATATCAATCCCATCTATGCAAACCGACATTCTGCTCAGCTATTTGGTCGTGGACTGATTGCTGGAATTGATATCAGAGCACAAAAAAAAGAACGTGCCTCATTCTATGCCAATATCGTACAAGACCGTCGGTCTGCAGCCGAGCTTGATCGTGCCAAGTATGTGATGTCTTTATCTTGTCTAGTTTATGTGTCAATTAACATGTCACTACCTTTTCATTGACTGTATTCCAGTGAGTTGATTGAGCTTCAGTCTCTTAAAGATCGCAGGGTTGCTTTTGATGAACGGCATTGGTCAGAAAAGAAGCTGTCGGAAATGAAAGACCGCGATTGGCGTATTTTCAAGGAAGACTTTAGTATCTCTACAAAGGGTGGAAATATTCCCAATCCACTGCGCACCTGGGATGAATGTGAATTGTCCGAAACCATTCTTGGTGCAATTTCTCGAATTGGATACAAAGAACCAACTCCCATTCAACGACAAGCTATTCCGATGGGACTACAGAATCGTGATATTATTGGCATTGCTGAAACGGGTATGTTGCTGCATTTATAACGCATCATGGAAAATTTGCCAATTGCAATGTTGATTTACATTGGCACAAATTTAACTGTTTGATCAATATTGTCTTGCAGGTTCTGGAAAAACAGCATCGTTTGTGATTCCCATGCTCAAATTTATCACCGAAATGCCACCACTGACAGAAATCAACTCATCACAAGGTCCTTATGCGCTTATTCTGGCACCGACTCGTGAACTAGCACAACAGATTGAATCAGAAACATCAAAATTTGCTAGAGAGATGGGCTTTATTTGTGTATCTATTGTTGGTGGTCACGCTGTAGAAGGACAAGCATTCAATCTTCGCAATGGTGCACACATTGTCATTGCTACTCCAGGTCGTCTTCGCGACTGTTTGGAACAACGCATCCTGGTTCTCAGCCAGTGCACATATGTAGTTATGGACGAGGCTGATCGTATGGTGGACATGGGATTTGAACCAGATCTCAAGTTTATTCTTGATGCTATGCCTGTGTCCAATATAAAACCCGACTCTGATGAATCGGAAAATGTGCAGCTTTTGAGAGAGCTTACTGGAAAGGTCACACCGTTTAGACAAACTGTCATGTTTTCTGCAACAATGCCTGTTGCTGTTGAAAGACTGGCCAAGGCGTAAGTGGATGGATTGGTTTACAGCTATTAAGCAATGATGCGCTCTTCATTTTGAATTCATTTGAAACTATTCTGTTACACTTTACCGATTTAGGTATCTTCGTCGTCCTGCAACAGTCACGATTGGTATTGCTGGTCAAGTTGTGGATCGTATTGAACAGCGCGTAGAAATGATCAACGATGATGGTAGAAAGTTGTCTAGGCTTCAGGAAATTTTGACCAGCCGACAGTTTGAACCTCCAATGATTGTCTTTGTAAACCAAAAGAAGGGATGCGAGGTCATTGCACGAGCATTAGATCGTCTAGGAGTGCGTATATGTTTGATTTTTACCGATGCAATGAGTCTTGTTATACAAGTATGGATATAGTCAACTAATACAATCAGTTGTTTAACTTTTGGTGGCATTAGCTCAAAAGCACAACCCTGCATGGTGGAAAATCTCAAGAGCAGCGTGAAGCCTCATTACTAGGACTCAAACAGGGAACAAAAGATATTCTTGTGGCCACTGATGTTGCTGGTCGTGGTATTGATGTCAAGAATGTATCTGTTGTAATCAATTTTGACATGGCGAAAAGTATTGAAGGTATTGTGTGGTTTTGGTGTATTTGCGATGATTAGGTGATATCTAACAGTTGTTGTGAATAGACTATACTCATCGTATTGGTCGTACAGGACGAGCAGGTAAAAAGGGTACGGCAATTACCTTTTTGAGCAATTATGACACCGATGTCATGTATGATCTTCGCCAAATGATTCTCAAATCGCCCATTTCCAAAGTACCTCCTGAACTATCCAAACACGAGGCAAGTTTAAACTGTTTGCCAAATCGCTTTTAACTAGATAGCGCATTATTAACAATATGTATAAATCAATGTTCTGAACACTAGGCAGCACAAACTAAGCCCGGGATTTTCAAGGCAAAACAAAGAGAATAAACTTGATAGGTTTCCCAATTAATCAGACAGTTAAATAGGGACAGCCATCCGCAATTCAATGTTTGGCGTGTTTTCAATGGATTCCTTGGTCAATGAGTGAGTTTGAACATTGTTGTTTGATATTTATTCAGATATGTAGTCGAGTCTTGTCCAAAAAATATACATTAGTATTTATAGCCGTATTCACGCAAAATGGAATACTAAATAAGAGTGTCGAAATACAACATGAACGCGAAGATATTCAAATGTTTAAGACAAAAGATGAGTTTACAAAGCTTGAAAACAGTTGAACCAAATGTTTAGATTGCAGTAAATGAATCTGGTAATTGTATAATATATGGTTATACCAAATGAAAAGTCTCGGTTCAAAACTATAGTTTGTGTTGATTGAGGAATTGAAATAGTCAATTTGTAGTAGTAAAATAATGAATGTTTAACCAGTGTGCACCCCAAAGCAAAATAAACAATTAATACAATATGAATACAAACTGGATTGGTCAAGTGTCGATAAGAGATTCAAATTGAACGATCACTTGTAGTATCGTGTCCGTTCTAATCACGTGGATATATTTGTTCCCGCTGCAACTCGACAACTTTCCACTTGTTCTGCCCAAGAAATGCCTTCCATATTGGCCTGCTTGTTGTTTTCCGTAAGTTCAATTGGGGTTTTAAAAAGAAAAGAAGATCTGCTATTTTAAAAGTCTATCTATCAGTTGCTTTGGCTTTCTGGCAAAATCTAACCATTGTATGAATCTATTCTTGTTTCAACTATTCCATCTTTAGGCTGGCATTATTTTATTGCTGCACGCAGGATACTCTGCTATTAATCGTAAGTTTGTACCAACTAATTTTAATATCAAATTCGCTTTTCCATAAATGCTTGACAGTATCCAATCCAGCACTGTTTACCAATAGGGCTCAGTCCAAAAGCATTCCAATATTAGATTTTAACCGGCTTACCGTTTATTTTTTAGATTTTGCCTATCTCAAAACGATTGGAAAGCACGACTCTAATCTTCCAACAGATATTATTTTCGAGATCCTTGTAAGCATTGTCGTTTTTTCCCAAGGAGCAGTTATGGTTGCTGGAGATCTTAAGCCCATTTCCCTACAGCTTGAACTTTCACAAAAGTAAGTCTTTCCATGGTATTGGCGTGATTCATTTGGCATTTTATTCATTTCTAAACCCACGTATTTGAATGTATTGACTGTAGAACTATGGATTGGGTTGATGCAACCCCTGGATTTAAGATAGTCAATCATCGTGGAAGCGCTTTATTTGCTGAATAATATAAATAACACCTTTGTATGTCCAGATCTATTTTATTTTAATTCAATGTGCTCAAGAAAGCAGTATTGTGGCTAGTTTTAAAGCTAGAGCATTAAATACGTTCAAATGTCTTGCTACTAGAATTAATGCGTTGACTTACAGCCGTATTCACTTACAATGAAGCACTTTTGTATTCATATTGTATTGATTGTTTATTTTGCTTTGGAGTGCACACTGGTTAAACATTCATTATTTTACTACTACAAATTGACTATTTCAATTCCTCAATCAACACAAACTATAGTCTTGAACCGAGACTTTTCATTTGGTATAACCATATATTATACAATTACCAGATTCATTTACTGCAATCTAGACATTTGGTTCAACTGTTTTCAAGCTTTGTAAACTCATCTTTTGTCTTAAACATTTGAATATCTTCGCGTTCATGTTGTCCAGCAAATGTGAATTGACACCCAACACTTCACGTGACTGGCAGTTTATGTTGTATTTCGACGCTCTTATTTAGTATTCCATTTTGCGTGAATACGACTGCAACAGGATCATGACTCCAGATGAAATCAATCAGATTTCTGCGCACATTGCACAAGAGTAAAGTTTGATTATATACTACTGAATATTAATTTTTTTAAATTCAATCACCGATACGATCTTTATACTAACCTCGAAAGATGCATTGTAATTGGCCTATCCAGCCACAAGATGAGCTAATCTGACATTTAACTTTGAAACAAATCTAGGTTTCATAGACTTCGAGCAGCTAGACAGCAGTTGCGAGCTGCTCCTAATGTAGCATCGAGTTCTAACCCAACTATTACAACGGCCCAGCATCTGGCTGCTGCACTCGAAGGAGCAGGCATTGCTCCTAAAGCATCTAAGCGATTGTTTGGTCCAGTTGATGAACAAAACTTTTTAAGCCGGTAATTGATATTTGCTGTTTTAGCAAAGCATTGTTGCATTTGCTTACCACTCTTGTCTGAATCTGACTGCTTAAACTATAGATTTGCCAGTTCTCTTGATTTGGTACTTTTATATGAAGACTTGGACCTCCAGGTAGAATCATGGTTTATTTTACTAGTTTTTAAGCCAAAGCATCTCTTGGCTGAATTTGATTTTTCTATTGCTATTTAGGACAAGGCTCGCCAGGTCATTCCAGTGGATACACTTCATGAAGAAGCTCATCGACTCCACGCTGAAACCCCAGAAAAAAGCTTTGATCGAATGCTCATGCACTCACTCATGGCATGGTTCAAAAAAGATGTAGGAGATGCTCAATCGTGTATCTAATGCAATGATCCGATTTCGGGACTTGCATGTAAAAATCTACTGACTAATCTTATTTTAATTGTAGTTTTTCAAATGGGTCAATCAGCCTCCTTGTGATTTCTGTCAGGTATGTCTTTTGACAATTCTATTGGTAGATCTGTCCGCTTATACGGAATTGATGACATGTTTGTTTTTCAGGGTAAAACAGTTGGTACTGGAAATGCAACCCCTACAGCCGACGATCTCAAGTATGGTGCCAAAGTTGTGGAGTTGTACCAGTGCGAGAGTTGTCATAAATACACTCGATTTCCTAGATACAAGTAAGACCGGTGTTGGGTTGAAATTCTTTTTCAAAACTGGCAATTGTATTGCTAACGCTATAACTGGTTTATACTTGATACAGCGATCCAGCTAAACTACTCGAGACTCGCCACGGACGATGTGGTGAATGGGCCAATGTATTTGCTCTGTGCTGTAAAACAATGGGGTTTGATACTCGCTATGTTGTTGATTTTACAGATCATGTCTGGACTGAGGTGTATGATACTACTCAAAACCGTTGGGGTGAGTTAATGTAAACCTTTGTATCAAGCACAGTTTGTTATTGATTTCAGAGATTATAATTGTGATTATTGTGCGTTTCTAAACCCATCAATTCAGTGCATTGTGATTCTTGTGAAGGAGAAGGCGCATATGATACTCCGCTAATGTATGAAACAGGATGGGAAAAGAAATTGACGTATGTAATTGCTATTGGAGTATATGATGTGGTGGATGTCACAAGAAGGTACTCCAAAAATCCAGATATTTGGGAAAGGCGAGTCCTAGTTGACGAGCAATGGATCGCTCCGGTAAATACAGTATTAAACTATTCAATCTAGAGGAATGACAAACTAACCCTGTGTTACTCATGTCTATGACACTGTTTTAGGCATTGAAGTCGATAGCGTTAAATCGTAGACGTATGATTCCTGAATCTTTACGACTCGAACTAGCATGTCGCGACAAAGAAGAGGAGGCAGATTTAAAAAGTGGAGGCCCTCCAAATGCAACAACATCTGTTCTTCCTGGACGTCAATCTGGTGCGCCAGAGTGGAGAGATGCTCGTGGAGAAATGGGTAAACCGTCACAGTAGGATATGTTTAGGATTGATGGCATAGAATGCCATCTTGCAGAGTATTGGAGATTCTTTGAATGTGACTGCACAATCAGAGATACGAATAAACCACTTTTAATAGCCAAAACAAATCTCGGTAGTTTTTGCACAACAGTAGTAAAATAGCGATCCTAAACGGCATTTGCAGCATTTATTCCGAAAGTATTCTAAAAAGCGAATTTCTGGTTTGTCGAATCAAGACGACGATTATGCTTTGAAAAATAGTATTTGGCCTATTTAAACATCAAGACGATATAACTTAAAATCAAGAGTATCTACTTATTATACTGACTTCTTAGCTTCCATACCCGGGTGCTGCGTCCAGTAGTCAGATTTTTGACCCAGCTAGACTCGAATGTTTTATCACGAAGATGTTTGACTGCTTCAGGATCCCAAAGTTCAGAAGCTATACCCAAATCTTTACATGTACGCACAAGAGCAGTATATTCACACCATATGTGTGCATCTTGAGACGACGAGAACGACGATAAAGCACTCTCACCAATAGCTTCAGATATAAACTTGCTGTCATGTAATAGAGCAAATGGTCTATATATGATTTTTTTTGAAGGAGTAAAAGAGATTGGTCCGACAGGTTGTAGCGACCACTGGCCTTGTCCCAGAGCAGCATTTAAACGTTCCACATATGCAGCTTGTTTAAGATACAGCCATCCTTTGGCTGATTGCAATGTAGGTCAACATTGAAGAACAATCGACCTTGTTAGCACAATATTCTGTACAGTAATAACTATTAAATGCACTATGTAATCGTACAATAGCAGTAATCATGCTAAAGCACACCGAGACAGATCTTACCTTGATCAATACTTAATTCTGTTGGTAAAACAGGCGAAGCAAGTGTTTTAGCAGCAGTTGCACCCAGGGGAGAACAAGAGACATTGTAGTAGAGAGAGTGAGCATCAGTCCATCTCATCCATGCATCAGGAATATCTTTGATGGGAATATCTTTAGCAATGGGAGCTGAGCGAGCAGCTCGTCGTATTGCAGTGACCAACATTTTTGATTTTTGACTAGAATGAATTTCAAGTGTGAAGAATCAATAATTAACTTTTCCGATTGTTGAGTTGTAAGTTGTTTTAATGAATTGTTGAATTGATTATTGAATTGATTGTTGAATTGATTATTGAATTGATTGTTGAATTGATTGTTGAATTCATTATTGAACTCATTATTGAACTCATACATTAGAACTGGTTCTTGTTGGAATAGAATGCGTTCAACAATTGGATTTGAAACTTGAAACTCGAATCACTTTGAAGCTTGTAATCAAATCAGTTTCCTTCATTTCCGACTCCTCACATTCATGTCTGCAGAGTCTCAGTCCGCTCTTCTTCTCAGACGACAGCTAAAAGGTTGGTTCATGTCTGCTGAATTGTATCTGATTTGTCTATAAGTTGCTTCACATCCATCTTTATGTCTTGCAAATGAAAGTGCGATTTAAACACTTGGCAGCAGGGAGTCTACTGTCTTTTAGGTTCACTGACAACTACTCTTCATCAAGAGCCAACTACGTTGATTCTGAATAATGCTTGAACAGAGTGTAAATAAGGATGAGCTTGAGATGCAGTGAGTATGAGTCCAAGAAATGGCATTGGTAGAAACATGCCAATTCAGCAGCTATAAGCACTGGTCAACAGTAGCAAGGCTTGTTACTAGTACTGCTATTATATAGTTGGTAGAGTGCTGTCTTTGTTAAATAGCAAATCATTGCATCGACAATCCCATATTGACTGCAATAATAGCTGTCATGACTAAAGTGACCGACTCTAGATCTCGCTAATCCAGCGTATATAGCGTTGTTTATAAACTATTAGTCATTAACCCTATCTGTGTTTTATTGAAATCTAGAGCTTGCCAAACATCCAGTTGAGGGTTTTAGTGCAGGTCTTGCAGACGATGCAAATATATATGAATGGTATTGTACAAACTACAGCTCAAGCAGTCTTGCCATTCAACTGTTAATCTGGTTTAATCCAAATATGTATTGCTTTAGGGATGTAATGATTATGGGTCCAGAAGGCACACCCTAGTAAGTTTATTGAACCAATGTTGCTGATCCTTTGCCACTGACACGACGATCCATACTTGAATACGTCATATCTAATTATCCATCTTTAACTGCATATGGTAGTGAGGGTGGTTTCTTCAAGGCGCATCTTTCGTTTCCCCAGAATTACCCACAAATGCCTCCTGAGATGAAGTTTATTAGCGAGATGTGGCATCCTAATGTGTATCCCAATGGTGGTGTTTGTATTTCGATTCTTCACCCTCCTGGTAAGCGATACCTGGTTACGTTTTAAACTTGAATGCAAGAGAATCCAACTTTTATTCACCGTACTATGCATTTTATTCACAGGTGATGACAAGTGGGGGTATGAGCAGGCAGGCGAAAGATGGTTACCCATTCACACTGTTGAAACCATTGTTCTTTCAGTAGTTAGTATGCTTTCAAGCCCAAATGACGAATCACCCGCCAATATAGAAGCCGCTGTAAGTTCATTTGACTGTCACGCATACAGACGATTCTATTTTGTATTTACTATTGATGCATGACTAAACTATTTACTTGTCAATTGTAACTTTTAGAAAGAATGGCGAGATAATAATAAGGAATTCAAGAAGCGATGCAGGGTTATTGTTCGAAAAACTCACGAGGGATAAAAGTCTAGTGCATTTTCAATGACACTTATTCAAGATGCATCAGTCTTGGAAAAAAGAACAATAGTAGTCGAATGATTAAAGTTTTGTAATTTCATTCTCTTTTATTTCATGCTTTGTGGGCGAGGCTTAATTTGTGATCTAGTAGCAGGTTAGAATACTGTGATTCATCATCGAATTGAGTTGCTCTTGTCGGTCAGATTAAGTCGTGGTGGAATAAGACCATGCAATTAGCGCTGATACAATGGATCCTAAATCATGGCGTAGATTCAGATTAAATTAAGCGCGAGGTTGGATCATGGTTTCTGTATCATCACCAAACTCTGCAATGGTCCGGGCAACAAGAGAAGCCATATCAAAGAATGACGATACACTTGTTCTAAGCATCTTGAGTGATGGAGATGTAAATGCTCTACAATTGGAACCATCCATTAGATAAACATACAACACTGCCAATATAAAAGGTTTCAATCTCATACAATCAGAAATTGATCGTTTTTAATCGCCATCAGTATAAAACCTACACTATCAATTCACTGTTATGTGTAGATATGCTTCGTTGTACCATGGACTGCTGGAGTTCGTTATCAACCGACAATACTTGGGCTGCAACATCAGCAAACTTGGATGATCCAAAAGGAATGTTCAATGTCCTGAAAATAGGGATTAGTATTGACTCGACCATCACATGCAATTGGAGTTTAAAACTGTATATAGTTCGTATTGTGCTAATAAATACCGCCTGTTGGCAGATAGCTTACATGGAGTGCATTTAGAATCTGCGATAATCCAGCAAATGAAGTTTTCAAATCGCATTCATTGCATGTCATCACGTGATTGAATATTTAAAAAATAGAAATGCTTTTTCAAATGCATTCATCTGTTGGCAACAATCTGCAGCATGTCGAGCATGAACAGTGACGTAAAAGAGGTATGAAGTTGGTGATCAAGCTGGATTTGGCTGGTATTTGTGACAACCGATTGTGTTTATTTTAGTAGCAGCTCAGTTTAAAACATCTCATTTATTTAAACATCAACATTGCATATCGAGCCTAGTTCTTTGGATTCCTCTCTGATGCTAGACTGGATGTATGTGGTACTGCATTTATTTGAATTGATTCTAGTGTTTTGAATTAGAATGATTGTGTTTAATACCACAATCGTAGATACAAGACTCATGAATTTGTTGCTTGCCATTTAGGTCAGGAATATGGCAGTCAAATATGCTGCAGGATTGACTGGCTCACCTGATATGCTGCCATTATTCAAGGATAACGATTTCAAGCCAGTAAAGGATTTAATGAAACTTACGACAGATGAACCGGTGTGTTGCTTGGCATTTATGTTTTTGTAACCCAAATTTACAACCGCATTCACGTAAAATGGAGCACTATCTTTCAGTCACTGCTTTGGAATAGATAATGATCAAACACTCGGTTTTTCTATACAAGCTGACCTGATAAGCATTTTTAATTCTTGTTTCAGACACACAGCGTCAAACTATAACTTTGAACCTCTTTTTTCTCCTCTTTTGGTATAATCATACATTGTACGATCGACAAGTTTGAAACCAAACTTATTCATTGCAATTCAGATGTTGAATCCAACTGTTTTGATGTTGTCAAACTCTGTATAAACTTATTTGTTGTATTCTGAATCACATACATTCGCGTTCTAATCCAAGAGAGCAAAGATCATAATCTCAGGAGTGCGACTGTTGTTTTCATACCAACCATCCGGAGAAATACCAGTGGCATTTGTCAATTCATGAAACAATGCTGTTCAGTAAACTGGAATCAATTATTTCATGAAATCGTCTGTTTATTTTACGTGAATGTGACTGTAATTACAATGGTTCAATCAAACTTTTGGACAAGTGCTCAAGTATACTATTTTTAAATCATTTTAGCTTACTGCTCACGATGCCATCAGTGCCCTTGTTAATCTGTCTAAAGACCCAGCCATTGTTGAAGTCATGAGTGACGATGCATTTTTAACCCAAATGATTGTGCATATTATTGTAAGTACAAGAGTGCTATTATCTGCCATTGTATCCTGTTTGATCTATACTTGCATATCTAAAATATGGGTTATGGCTAAACTGAAAAATATAAATTGAAGCTTCCTAAAAATATCAATGCCGATCTGTGTTGCATGCTTCTTAATAACATTTCCAAGTACGAGATGGTTGCAAAAAAACTTCTTGTGGCCGTGTCTACCGGATCAACCAAAGATTCTGAATCACTGCCGAGTGACTCTACGATCATGCGAACCCATCGTATTGACAATCTTTTGGAAATATTTGTTCGTGGTGAAACATCTACCTATAATCCCGAAGCCTCGTTTCATTTTCTTGGTGGAGTTTTTGCCAACATCACCACTACACCACATGGATGTCAGTTTCTTTTGTCGAGATCTACTATTGATCAAACTCTTCGTATGTCAAAACTAGTTGTTTTCACTGAGCATAAGGATGTGATTCGTCGTGGGTCGGTTGTGTCTGCCATCAAAAACTGCTGCTTTGGAGCGAGTGTTGCTCAACATGGCGAAGATGTATTGTTTAGCGACGAGCTGAATTTACTAGTCTATATTTTGCTTCCTCTTTCTGGACCAGAAGATTATACTACAGAGGTATGGTCATACCGTGCTAGTACCGATAGATTGCTGTATAGTGTTTGACTGTCTTTATGATAACTACGTGGATAGGAAATGGAGGGCATGCCAGACGAGCTTCAGCTTCTTGAGCCTGAAAAGAAACGTGAACCAGACTCTAAAATTCGTCTGATGCTTGTTGAAATCATTCTTCTTCTCACGTCCACCAGATTTGGCCGCGATCGTATGCGTGCACTCCAGGTATACCAGGTGATTAAAAAACTACATCTTATTGAGCGCGACGAAGCCATCCAATCAGTGATTGAGGAGATTGTCAACATGCTAATGCGTGATGAGGCTAGCCAAGAAGTTGCGCACATTGAGCCTGCACATTAAGCCAGACGCTTGGCAACGATAATAGAGGATGAAAAATATTAAAATTATGGTATAACTTTATTCAACCCACCACATAAATAGCATTCTTTGTATGCTCTCTACTTTCAAAATTAGGAATGCTTGCATCATTTAGAATTGAGGTGTAAATTGGAATATAAAGCCGCATAGTGTTTATTTTCGAATAGTGTGATAGAGCGCACTGATCGCCCCATTGGTTCTTGGCAAAATCACCACCAAAAAAATCGCAGATATAATACAATCGTGACAACACCCACTACAATTGCAGGAGGTCCATATTTTTGATAAAGAGCTTGAAGATTTAAATGCCGTGTATCTTTTAAATATTTCTTTGACTCTGCTGACAAATTTTGAGAAATGGCCGACATATCTAGTGGTTTAAATACAATTGTTAGGATTAGTCCATTATGGGGTTTCAATGATCAAGTGGTTGGACATCTCCGATGTTGTTTGCTTGAATCAAAGCATAGGGCAGTGTTGTAAGATCAACCCACCATCTAGCACTTTTCCCCGTCCCAAAACATCCTGAATATTTTTAGTCATGATTCGGGTCACATCGCTTAAATCCTCGTTCAATTTGTGCAAATTACGCTGGGTACGAGCATCTTTGTAAAGTTTCTTTGTTTTTTGGATGAATGAATCTAAATGACCAAGGCGTTATAAAGCAGTGAGTGCAACATGACATCACGAATCCATTTCATAAAACCCAATCTAAAGCCGTGGTCTTGTCAACGAACATTGCACATACCAAATCTGACGAATGCATAAGGCCGACCAATAGCAGCAATCTCGTTTCCATATAAAGACTGAAACTCTTTTTGAAGTTCCTCAAGGTACTGAAATGCAAGTTTCTTGGGATACGAGCGGTCACATAGACACAAGTAGCAGACACCAAATTCAATCAGATAGCTGATCATTTAGTAGATGATTGCGAGAGTTGATGCGAGTTAGTAAAGTGTGGCATGAGAAGGCCAGAATCAAGGATAAGCACATTAGAGAGCAAGCAAGTGATTTGCATTGTCTTGAAATAAACGACTCAACTGAAACACATATGGAGGTGAATCCACAGAGCAACGCTGTTCAGCATTATGGGACAGACCCTTGAACAGTAGTTTTGCCTGGTTCTTGTAGTCGGCAAGGTTTTCAGACTCTTCATCGTCCATAGAGGCAGCCAAAGGAAGACCATCAGCAATACGAGCAATAAGCGTAGACTTGACCATTGCTGTTTGAATACTTGAAGGAAAGAACGACACGCGGCCCAGCCTGCAGATCACGCATGGAGTGATGGATGCCATCAGACCATTGCAGATATCACTCATGGCTGACATGCATGGATTGACAATGACCGAGTTTGTAGATGAAATGCGAGTTTGTAGATGGATCGTGATGAAATGGCAGCTGGTGGAATTGTGTTGGCAGCAGACGACAGACTCGAGCCATTCAATAGCAATCTGTTGTATTTTGCTCTTGTTCATCTTACAGATCCGGACAGTATTATTACAAAGATGAATGGCATGCCTACGTTGAACGACTTGCTTACTGCAGAATCACGTACCAAACCACACTACAGTCTGCCCTCATTACTGAGCAATGCTTCATCTTCACGACCATTCAGTCCAGTCGAGTCGTCTGTCAGTCAGCACGAAGTTTCAGATATCTTCTCAACTGCTGACATGTCCTGCATGGATATACAGGACATACTTGGATCTCAAACAGACGATGCAAGAGCATTGTTTGGTGCCGATCCATTCGTACTGTCCACTTCATTATCTCTTGCGATTCCTACATTCAATGCACTAGGTGGTCTTGCAGCATCAGATTCCATTCCTTCCAAGGCTGCAGTCCTCGAATCTTCAACAGCATCCATCAACTCACAGACTGGTGCACCAGCAAGCACTGTGTTTGGGTTTGGATCGTTTGAAAGCACATTTATGACTGATGAGGAATTGGTATGAGCAATGCCTTGTAAGCCATTGCCGTATCTGTTAATGCTCAAATCTACATGTTTGGCACATGTATTTCAAACTTCATAGTTGGCAATGTATACATCTCACTTTTGATTCTGACTATTCACAGGTTGCTGCACAGGAAAAACTGTCTGCAGACGAGGTTAAATCCAAGGAGCAAGCATTGGATGAACTATGCAGTCGTTTACTCAAATTTCAACTACATCCTCAACCAGATTCAATGTCTAAACTGCATGAATCTATCAACTCGGACAACTTGGCTAGCTTTTATTCTGATATTACCATATGCTATGGATTTGTATGGCTTTCAATGGTTTGTTACACGACATATGGTTCGATCACTAACTTTATTTTTATAGATTGAGTTTGGCAAAGGCACACTGTGCATTTCTAATCAAAAAATGCATTGGACTGGTACTTTTCCTGGAGTATCGACCGATACCATTTATCTAGTCTTTTTGCTCAAAGATCTTGGTAGTGTTCAAACTAAACAGGCCGAAACGGACTGTCATTTTTTGAATATAACCATTACACACGATACATTCATACAGCTAAAATGTCAAGGTATATCATCAACATTAGCCAATCTTTTGTTACAATCAATGCGGTCTTATTTCAACAAAAGATGCACGGCACTGACTATCTTGCCACTTTATTTTTAAAAGATAGTTTAAAGTGTCAAGAAATGGCTACTTGCATCCGTGCCGCGATAGCAGTATTACAAAAGAATATGGCTAAAGACGCAACTCGTTGCAATATTACATACGCTGCTGAAACTGAAGACGTAGATACTGACTTGACCTTGGAATCACAGGCATCTCTTGACAAATTGGATCATGAGTACAGGTACATGGCACTGCTGTCTACATGTTGGCTTTAATAGATCAATCCATTTAGATATTTTTGCTACAATCTAGACTCAAGTTGAACGATGCTCAAGCGCGACGTGACGCAGCAGTTCTTATGGCAGAGTCGCAATATACCGCCGAGTGCACGCAACTTCAATTGAATTTCCAAGAAAAACGACTTGCTATAGCCATACTAAAACCAAGCCAATCTGCATCAACTACAAATGATATGGGCACCTCTTTGATCACACAGCAAACTTATGTTGGCATCTGCCAGTTGTGCTGTGATGACATGATTACCAAAGGTAGTTATGTCGCAATACACATATGCTCAGATGATTTAAATTGACATGGGTTGTACTCTTATTATAGTTTTGAAGCCATGCTTGCACGCCGTTTGTGCCAAATGTCTTGATCGTCTTCGACTCACATCTGCATTGTTTAAATGCCCGTGGGATCGTTTGGATGTTGCAGAAGTTCAGACGGTTTCAGACACTCAATAAATCTCATTTTGATTTGCTGTAATCTTGGGAAATGCATTGTGTGTAAATCTGGCAACACTTGTATTTTACACATCTATTTCTTTATTAGAACAGTAACAGATCCCACCTCTATTTGGTGTGGTAAGATATCAACGGGCGTGATTGACAAGATACGATAGGATTGATCTACCATGGTTACATTTGCCTTTTTGGCAGCGTATCTTCCATCAAGATCAAACAGTCGCCGAGAAGAAAGCGACCGCCAAGTCTTTTTGGTAATGTGATTGTAGCCTTTAAATTCACTATTAGAATGCTGCTCAAGAATGTCCATTTCTTTGAACCGCTTGAATCCTAAAAGATACGCTACATCTAAACTTTGAATATAAGCATCTGCATGCAATAAAACAATCATACGAGGGCCAAATTGTAGCAATCTGTCCAATGCATCGACAGACAATCCCTGAACCGGAGAATGGCAAAACACCATCGAGACTTGCAGATTTGGTTGATTAGATAGAGTTGAAAACCATTCTTCTACAGAACCATTGTGAAGAGTGTAGTTGTTGATTTGATTGTCAGCAGCATTGGAAAATGCACATTTGGATAAACTTGTATGCGCCTCGATTGCAACAACATGTTCAAACAATGGAGCAAGCAAGAGTCCAAAAACACCAGATCTGCAATACGCATCCACCAATGTATGCCGATCTTGTGCAGGAAGATGCGTGTGTATCAAATCGCGAATAAATGATACCATGGTAGGTACAAGGTACAGATTGTCCAAAGGGCTATGTCCAGCTGGAAATCGGATAATTGTATCATCTACAAGACTAGTAACGATTGTTTCCTTGTTGGTGACGATTCCTGAACCCCACGATGCCAACACTTTTTTTGCCTGAATCAAGTCCTTATCATCAATGCCAGAATGAATACCATGTAGTTTTGCTTGACGCACTACATTTCTAGCATGGATGAATTGAGGGAGAAACTCGCTAAAGGACATGTTGTTTGGCGGAGATGCAGTTGCACATATAAAGTGTTTGGAAGCAGGTTGCTCCATCGGTCCGTAATTACGAATCAACCGCATTGTATTTTTCATGGAAGCGAATCCGGCATTCACGGTGGTATTAGAAACTGAGCAACTATCAATATCAATCACCTGGTTGGCTTCCCCTTTGCCTAAAAATCCAAAACAATCCATTTGCTGTCCTACAGGTACTTTGCCACGATGTCCATGAATGTAGTGACGGTATCCAGTTTGTTTTGAAGTAGATAGAGTGGGCATGACAAGATGGCCAGCAAGAGATTCACCCAAAGTCTGCACAAATGCAGACCACACTCTATCATGTTTCATAGACATTTGGCGATCATAGGACATGTGCATCATCTGGCATCCACCACATGTGTTGAAATGGCGACATGGAGACTGGACACGATCTGGGTGCGACTTGACAACATTAGTGAGATGGATCAACGACACACCATCCAGGTTTTGGTATACCTTGCCCATAACAACCTCGCCTGCAAACACACCTGGTACCATGTACAGCCAATTTCCCCTTCCAACAGCAATTCCCATTGTCATGTTTTTGTTTGTGAGCACAACAGGAATGGGATCTGTCATGCTATCAATCTTTAGAGGATTAGTGGAAGGATATGGCGAAACTGATATGTTGTCTGATGGAGAGTGCAGATGGTGGTCTAGATAGGGAATGTGTTGCTGTGGAAGGAGGTCCAGTAGAGACTTGGCAAGTTGGTCCAGATCAAACTCTCTGGCTACTGGATTGCTCAATGTCTGGTTATGTAGTGGACGATCAAGTGATGTGTGTTTTGTATGAATAGTCAGCCTAGGATATGACAAGCCAAGTCCAACAGTAGATGCATTGATCTGGGATATGGCAGCAGTGCGACCCAATCGATAGATGCGAGGAATACAAGACCCTCTATACAACCTCCCAGCACTCATTGACTAATCTGTATGTTGACTTTCAAGCCCGAATTCCAAAATAAAAAGTCTTGAAAGTACACTCTAATCAACCACTCTTTAGTTTTAATTATTACCGAATATTGAAAAAAAAATATTTATTTGAATATAAAAATGTGCCGAGAGAAATTGCCAGTTGCATCATCAGCCATAAAGATAGAGGGCCGGTTCCGCTCTGGCACCCGATTCTCTGGATCTATTATAATATAATGCTATGGGCGTCCCTTGACGACAATCTTAGTTCATGGATGACCTGCACGCCTGCTCCTCGACTCACTACAAGACGAAAAACCGACAGTCATCTACCAAGAAGTGCTTTTGATAAGGTGCCGACTTCCTGAAGAAAAAAATAAATCAAAAACCTGACCTTTATACAAGTTTCTAAATCATACCCTCAGGCATCGTATTTGTTTTTATCGGGTTTAGGTTGGATTTGACAAACTGGTTCTTGAATCGGCTGTATTCATATTAAATCACTAAACAAGGATGTCAAAAATACAGAATAAACAATCTCATAGACTGATGGATTCCAGTTTACTGGTCAATATTGTTTTCAACTCTTTAGTCGACTGGTATTTTCTCCCAGTGATTGGCATCTACAGTTGTATTCCTAGTACACGCGATCGTTCTCTTGAACTAGATCGCATCTGAACTCAAAGTGCAACAAAGATGACTTTGATTGACAATACACCTCAATACTTGGACTGTTTTGATTGCACAATATATGATTATTCCAAAAGAAAAGATCAGTTTAAAACTATAGTTTTTATTCTACAACGAACATTGTTTTGAAGAATGGAGAATGTCAGTTTCTAATCGAGGCAAAAGGAATATTTGACCATTTTTTATTTTGGAGCAAAATAGTCAATACAAGATAAATACAAGAGTTTTACGTGAATACGAGTGATTGCAATACACCAGGTTACACCCATGTATGTTCTAGATATCTGCGAATACATATCTGACAACAATCTTTAAAACTGATTTTGATATTTCTTTACTTTGCATCCAACCATTTAGCTAGTCTCGAGGTTTGTTGCATGATCACCAATATACAAAAGAATCGTATTACAGTCGGTCTCATTGTAGGCGTATGTAGCCTAGCAGTGTTTACAGTAGCATCTCCTATATCACGTACTGCTAAACACCGCAAATGCTTACAGCAGCAACCAAAAGACAATCGCCCATCACAGTCCTCGACAGTCAAAGATTAATTCAAACGGTTTGATCAACTCATGATGGCCCAACACCTGTTTTCTATCAGGAGTTGGGATCTATATATGATCAGCTATGTTTATTACATCCTTTTTCATCATCCTTGTTAAAACCATGGGGATTCTGCATTGCTACAGCACCACATCTTTCCCATACCAAAGACTCTAGCACATTCGTTAGAGTAACTACTTGAACCTGATCATTTTTTCCCACATCAGTTTGATCTTTTTTGTTTGCCAATGGAGTTGGATATGAGATCTCATGAATGCCCATTTCTGCCAGATACACTGCAAGTCGATCATAATGCATTCCAACGTCCTTGGGTCCGTGGCTATCATCCGACACACAAAACCGTAATCCAGCATCAATCATTTTCTATCAAAACCACAACCATCTAATTAGTATCCTTTGATCCATCCTAGCTTTAATATATGCATATATGACCCAAACCATATTTCTATTGTTTCAATATATACTTTGGCTGAATATGATTCAAAATGGGCTCAGTCGTGAAAATATACCTTTAGAATATCCCGTTGGGGATAGGCATCACGCAGCTGTTTCTTCCATGCTCGTGAGTTGATTTCAACAAGACCACCATACTGGGAAATGAGCTGAATATTCCGATCAATTTTGGTCCACACCTGTTGACTTAGTGGAAAGGTGGGTCTAAACAATCTCACTAGATCAAAATGAGCAACCACTGCAGGTCGAATCTGATCTATTAAACTATACTGCGCATCAAAATATTCCTGAAAAGCCATTTCAGTTCCAATCGATGCATCTTTAAGCAGATCCGATGCTACGGTTTGGTTGGATTCAAATGCTATTTGATCGACAAGATGCTTCTCGAGTTTCGTGAATCCAGGCTCATCGAAATCAATTGGAAATCCACGCACATGATGAACGGATCCAACCAGATAGTCAAACGGAGTTTTTTGACAGATTGACTTGATCTCTCCAAGTGTTGCCTCGTGAATGAGTTCAGTTTCCATTCCAATCAAAAGTGTGATTTGGTCCTTGTACTTGGCCTGCAAAGCCTGAGCATGGATGTAAAAGTCGCTGAATAGGATAGCCAAGTCGGATGGTGTGAGATGCGACTAGTAATATATTCGCAGCAAGTTATATTGGAATGACTTGTCAATTGAATACATCAACGTGCAGACACTGCTGAATCAACTGTGGTCATGATTTACCTCTTCAGGATACAAGTCCTGCAATCGAGTTCGTGGCATGTGTTCGGTTAAACCATACACTTGGAATCCAAGTTCAATTGCCCGCTTCACCACATCTTCCAACTGCCCAGCTGCATGCATACAGTACTGTCCCGAGTGTGAGTGCAGGGAAATCATTGCAGGTTGCTTTGTTTTGGCAACGGATAGTCGTCATGATTTCTATCCAGTTCATTGCTGTCCTCAGGATATACCATGACGGCAGTCTAATTCCAGCCATTGAATGATTAAAATTTGAAAGCATTTATTAAAGTTAATCGACTACACTCGACAGGTAGTTTTCAAGGACGACAGCTGGAACATTCATGAATTCGAACCCATGCATGTGATCAGCACCATTTAAAAATGATAAAGTCGTCGCTTCTACCTGCACGTATCTTGGAGTTTAGCCACCTATAGATTCCATTTGACTGACAAGATCGTCACAGATTTTGGTGAGTTCTTGATTTTCCTGCACTTTGGTTTTAAGATTGCAATCAAGTGTTTGCATTTGGATTTCTACACGAGACAATTTGGCTCGCATGGCAGCCGCTTCCTTCTCATAGGATGCCCTGACACGAGCAATCTCAACATTGGCTCTAAAAGGTAAAAGTACAAAGGAAATGTCAGTATTGGAAATCTTGAAGCGCATACCGAAAATTAAGCTAGTAAAACGTGGCAAACTTACTCGTCCAGTTTGGTCTCTGCATGAGCACGAAGTGAATCAAATCGCTGGTTTCCAGTAGCGACAGTCTGTTCAAGCTCACTGATTTGTTCACGTTGGCGTTCATCCAACTACAAGTATTCAAACATTCGCGGTTAGCTTGAAAATTGCATTGCTGGAGATGAGCACTATATACATACCTCTTTCAAATCGGAAATGTCCACTCGCAGTTGCTTATACTTTAACGACATTTGATCCAATTCTTTTTTGCTCTCGTTTCGTTCGGCATACGCCAAATCCAACTGCTCCTTGAGACGGTCAATTTCTGCTTGTTTCTGCTGTTTGTCCTTGTCCTTTTCAGCTACAAGCAACGTATTAGCACCAGCCACTATTATATTCGGCATCATCAGTAAGATAAGCAATCCAACTTACTGATCATAAGTTTTACTGCCTGCTCCCACTGCTTTAGAGTATCCTTCATTTTTTGATTTTCTCTTTCCAAATTCTGTGAACTGAGTGTTAAATCCTGGATCTCCAATTGGGCCACCTCAAATTCGTTTTCAAACTATAATCAATGTTTAATGCATTTGATAAATACTCGCACATAAATAACTGTTGATCAATACAGATCGTTTGGCAGACTATGACATGATCGATTACATTCTCTACACTTACATTTTTCTGTAGCCTTTGACGTTGTTCGTCTAGATTTCGTTGAGAAAATTTCAAAATACTGTTGGGTGTAGAAATTGGAACAACAACATCAAGCAAGGATTGTATTGGTGTAGATGAAACATGAGTGCCATATTTCACACTGGCAGAAGCCGCTGCAGGCGATTCAAACCGCATCATCCAATCCTGTGGAATAGTACCAATTGGATCAAACTCTGATATCTGCGAGGTTCGACTCGTAATGGGTGTCCTGTGGTGTTTATGTTCAGATTCAATAGCATGCTGAGATGATGCTTCTGTTTGCTTTGAATTAAAACTGGGTGGTATATCCGCATTCATAGGTGAACTTGATTTTGAAGGTGTGCTCAATGACAAACTACGGCTACGTTCATACAAAGCACCAATATGATTGTTTAAATGATGGCTTTCAGTTTTGGTTGGAGATGCAAGTTCATCCGAAAGTGAAAGCACCTGCTTTAATGGGGTCGGCATTTTGGTAGACACATGTTGACGCTGCTGAGGAGACGACACACCAGATGGATGCACAAGAGCAGCACCATCCATGCTAGATAGGGACGACAGAGACAAAGACATTAATGAAGGTCGCACAACTGTAGCAAGATCTTCGGCCTAGAAATCGCGCATTGATAAATCATTAAAAGTTGTATAAAACACAATCACTCAAGCCATTCAAAATCTCGGCAGTAAATAAGCTTAAAGCAGATGATTGAACTTACAAATGAGGCTTCGAGTAGATCCAATGGTGCCTGCTCAGAAAATAACAAATCGTCATCTTCAAAAACCGGTCCCCTTTCCAATGCATCCACAAAACTATCCGATACTGCGCTGACCATTCCGCCAACAGCATCATGTTCAGACTGGCATATATCTGCACATTCAATCTCAGGAGATTTGACCACAGAGTGGTTAGATAGTGGACTGAGTGAACTGGAAGACTTTAAAGCAGATTGAACTGAAGATGCCATAGACATGTCTGTTGAAATAGTACCAGATAGCTGTTGTAGTGGATGCTCCTCAACTGGAACAGTATTTCGATGCAAGTTTTGAGTTTGCTTCCTAAGTGCAGCTGGAGTAGTAACAATAATAGGTTCATGACCTTCGTGATGTGCCCGTTTTAGCGCATCAATGAATGGACTGGAATCGTCAGTATTCGGATGAGCGCTTAAATGTTCGTTTTGCCGCGATTGGGAGGATGGTGCGGCAGTCTGATACACTGGTTGAGATTGTGGAGTGGTTCTAAACAGTGCTGATAGCTTGGATGAAGGCATCGATTGTTTAGAAGTTTGTTTTTGAGAAATAGCATGGTCTGCATCTGTCTGAGAAGATGAGCTACTGTCCTCTGTCGATGAGATTTTATGTTGCACAGACTCAATCTAAAGAATTGGTACAATTGCAGAGTAGGTTAGTACATGTAAATACACTTGAATCAATGCAAAGTATGATGGTTATGGAAACTCATTCGTACTCATAACAGCGACCAACTGACAATAGTATTTTTGGATAAATTCAAAACTCACATCATGGGTAGATTGCACTTCTTGTGATGGGTCAGAAGTTCCAAACACACTCCATGCAGGACCAAGCAGCCAGCTTGAACTCGATGGTTTAGATGCTGCTTGCTGGGATCTGTAATCATGTGCTGCAATGGGATGTTCAGGAGAGTGATGTATGACAGATGGTTCATTGTGTTCAGACTGCTGATTGTCAGCACTGTTGTTTCTATGGAATGGAGAAATGGCCGACATTTGGCGAAAGTCCATTCAGCCTGCAAATAGGGATGTTCTGCTCAGACTAAAATGAAATCAAGACTATGCATTAGTTTGTGATGTACTGTGTATAAGTAGAGCATTTAATCAGCTACAGCATTGCGTCGAGTATTTTCGGACAATGTCTAATCTATCAGCCCAACAGAACAGACTCTAGATGTAAAGAGTGTCTTGCAGTCTGTCAATTAATAAAAGTCGGTTATTACCGTCTGATAGGATGCTTACCAGTTGCTATTTCAATTGATTGAACAGAAACAGTAAACCTTTCACTTTGATTTCCACCAATAAAGCAATGACTGCTACGAGTCGGCTGTTTCCATTGACTGATTCGTGTAATCATTTCTGAGCTTTATTACTTTAAAATATCAGTATTGGAATATAAACTTTGGATTCGCACAAGGATTTAAAGACACTCATTGCTGATCCGAATATAGCCTATCCAAGCATGATACATCGCATCCAACATTCCATAGCATTGAATATTGATATCTCTATCTTCCGTACTATATTTAAAACAATTCCCATTGCGACAGTCAAATAGCAATGTTAAAGCAAATGATTCTACTTGGATTGCGCCATTTGGAACATATATTCGAATGTGTTACCTTTTGAAATTCCCATTCACGATTGTCAAGCGGACACACTTGCCGAGTCTTGAGCCATCGAGAAATACAATGAAAGTGAAAGGCATGCTAAACGACAGTTGAATCCAATATCGTGGTGAGTTGGTCAATAGAGCCGGAAATCCAACTTGAATAATAAAAACAGCCACATTGCAAACTCACATTACATACTCCCCATGCAACAGTACATTCTTCTGTGGTAGCGGATCCCTGGTTGGCTTGACACTCGATGCCTGGAAATAAATTGTACACGGATGATAGATATGTATATCAAGGTCGTTTGGACATGCATTCGAAATTCATAAGCGTATCCAAATGACAATAGCTTAAAATCACTTACAAAGATCCATGATATGATTACGGCAAATGGCACAGTTGTCAACAACAATATCTGATCAGAAGCAACACAATAGTTGATAAATCCAGTAAGAAGCTAGATCACAGAAACACATGTACATAAAGCATTGAACTAAGCAATCTGGTTACCCCAAGCCCACATGGTCACTGCATTCCACTAAATATACAAGTTTGAAAATTCAAATATGGTTTAGTCCAATATCCAGTTATAACGAGCTGCAATATTTAAAGTCAAGTTCAAGATGGGCAGCCAGTGTGGATGATTTAAAGATGTGTAAATACAACTTGGTTGAGATCCAGTCATAATTCCAGGACTTGAAAAGTCGGATAACCTCGACATGAAACCCCTGTAGTAATCAATATGACAATCCCATCCATGGCTAGACAACAGATTGCTTCAGACCAACGCACCTTACCTTTTTAACCTCGAAACGTTTCTTGACAGCAACATCCTTGCTTTTGCTAGGAGCAGCTACATCATCACTTCCTCCTGCAGTGGGAACAGGCTCATCAATATCCATAGCACTCATCTGGTATTAGATTCACAAGTTGTCGAGTTTTTGGGTTAGATTGAATATCAAATTCGCTTTCAGGATTTGCAAGTTTGAAGCCAGTAAAAGTGTTGAATTTACAACTACTATGCAGTCGAGCCAATAATTAGTAATTGAATCTAGTCGAATGCATCGCTGATTTTGTATTTGTTTCACTGAGTTGACTCGCACATTGTCTAGAGAATAGCAATACTAAACTGTCCAATGACACTCATGTATTGGCCCGTTAAAAGAACGAACAAGCGACTCACTCGAATCCTTGTCAAATTGCTTCGTTTGAATCAAGTTGGGTTACCTCGATATTCAGAATCCCAAAAATGACTTCAAGAAGAGCAAATGCTCTGCGGTAAGACTCGCAAGATTGAGTATAACTCTGCTGTTTTCTTTTATACGCAGTCCTTGTTTTTAGTTATTTAGAATCTTTGTTCATGAGCACTGTCAAGTCATTCATGCTATCCTATTGGCTTTACCCTTTTGATCTCATTCAGCATAAGCTAAAGTTTAGTGGCTTAGTCACCACAACTCTATCCCAGCAAACACCATTCTATAATCATTATTCAGTCAATATACTGGCTTTTTAGATTCTTTTCCAGAATAACTGCAGTGTCTATCATTGTATTCACGTAAAACGGAACATCAATGGCCATGTATCTGGAAATATACAACGGTTGCACATTTGATGCGCTTTCCTATTACAATTTCATTTCAATTCTTCAACACACCATCCATCCTATCATGCAGTCAAACTACAATATGAACTGGAATTGTCTTCATTTTGCATAGCCATACATTGTATGATCACCCAGTTTAAACCTAGATTCATCCATTTCAATCCAGATATCGGGTTTAATTGTTTTGATGTTCTCAATACAACCCTACAACATGAATCTAACACAATGACATGTGGTAATCTCATTCTCAATGATATGGGATCTTATAAACAGATGTGGTTTGGATCCGGATTTTCATGAGCTATTGATGAAACTTCACAAGACAAACTCTGCGTCTTTACAGAAAAGTCTTTTGGCTGCAGAAGTACAGTCACTTAGACTCAAAATGTATGTGCCAGCAAAGTCAGCAGTAAGTGCATATGTGGCGGATAACTATTTTGCTTCAACCCTTATCACTATAAAATCTAGTCAGAAATGCAAATGTTCAAGCCAGTGGCAAAATTAGATGATCGACTGTTTACATAACAACTGGCTAATACCATATCTGGTAAACACTAGACAGTTACTTGCCATTTGGTTGTACGAGCTATGTTTTGCGAAATGATGGGGTATGACACATCTGATTTTGCCCATCTTCCAGCAATTATGCTTTGCCAAAATGCTCGGACTTTGTACGAAAAACGTCTTGGTAAGCGAGCGTGCTGTTTGTTAAACTATCACATTATAATTAGGCTACTTGGATTTAGCTTATCTTGTTTATGAAACCCCAATCGTATAGCACATTTGGCTGCATCTATATTTTTACAAGGAAATCAAAAAATGAGTTTACTAATGACCAACACGCTACAAAAGGTATGCTTTGACTCATTCAGCCATGTCTACCGTATACCGTTGTAAACCCATACTATTCTAAACTCAATCTTGTCAATTGAAATTGTGGGTCAGGATTTGGGGAGTTCCAATCATTTTGAAGTCACGATGGCCCTATCTGTTTTATCTGCAACCTCTACAGTAGATATGGTTCCACTTCTTATAAAATTTGTTGAAAAGAATCTCAAACATCCAAAGTAAGCTTTTATTTGAGAGTTGTAGCAATGTGTTTTGGAATACAGTGATTTGCGGGATAATTTTTTAAATTCTATATTGTTTCCTGTATTTATTGCTATTCCACAATCAATTAATCAGCGAGATGATTCGACGTAAAGCAGTACATGCTTTTTATCGATTTTATCAACTTGATAATCAAGCAGTTTACCCATATATTAAGAAACTCAAGCGATCACTTGCAGATACACATCCCAGCGTTATGTCTGCAGCTCTGATCACTCTCAACTATATTGCAAAGGACTTTCCAGAAATACAGGCATTGCTGGCACCAGCTGTGGTGCATATTCTCAAACAAGTCTTGAACCACCGCCTTGATGCTACTTACAACTATCACAGTGTTCCTGCACCATTTATTCAGCTTAATTGTTTGCGCATGATTGCAATGTTTGGGCCACTTTCTCAAGAGTACGTTGTATAGTTTGGCATACTTGTATGGAAAATTGAGCATGTCACGATTTAACCATGAGTAATTTGTGGTGATTCTGTCAGAATGGAACAAACTATTTTGGTAACAGTGTTGGAATCTCTTCACCAAGTCAATGCACGTCAACAGGATGATATTGTATATAGTGAGTAGTGAACTTGCTCAGTTGTTTAGAGTGTATCCAAACCGCATCTATGTGCTAATTACAAACTATTGCTGTATGATGTGATTCTATTGTCAATCTTGTATCCAATCATCTAGTGATTATTCTTCAATGTGTACAAACCATAGCTGCTCGTTCTCCTTCACCAGATGTTTTAAAAAACATCATGACTGTAATTGGCCCGCTTGCGACAAGTACCAATATCTCTGAATTACATTTGGGTGTGCAATGTTTGACTGCAGTGACTATGCGCTCATTGAACCTACATCAATCCGCAGTGGATCTGTTTATCAAGGCATACAATAATTCTGAAACAGATCTTGTACTAAAATACTCTGTAAGTCTGATTCATGTCTATAATTTGCAATTAAAAGAGTTGATTTAAAAATAGATTTGGCTTAGTTTTGATCATTTATTTTGATTGTTTTAAATATCAGATTATTGAAGCACTAATGCATACATGCCAAGAACTTGGTCTTGCGCGCACTCTTATACCAATGCTGCTTGACACAATGCGTAGTTTTATGGGTAACGCGTACATGCAGCAATGCTGTATCAACCATATTTTGGCAATGCTAAAAAAATACGACATGGATCGCGTACTATTTTGTAAAGCAGTATTGGACTCTGTTGAAATCATTCCCGACGAATGTCGAGGAAATATAACCAATACGATTACAACCTATGTGACAGATGGAAGTATACTTGCCGACACTGCATTGGCGCGTGGGATAGAATGGCTAGAGAATCCTGCCCATCCACCTTTGTTGACATGGCTTGCCGTATGGGTAAGTTTCTTTTGTTTGATCACTGCGTCAAGCTTAAACTTCATTAACATGCTCATGGAATACTTTATTGTTGGATTTAATGATGCTAGATTTGCAGAACTATTGGTTCACACGAGGTACTTGGCAAAATAGCAGTACTACTAAACCATTTGATCAGTGTAGATTCAGGTATGTTTTGCTTAAACTTTGCATCTATCTACTTTAAAACATATTCCCTGTTTGACCACTTTACCATGGGTTCATCACCGCTAACTCATAACGACTGCAGGACTCAATACTGATTTGATTGCACATGTAATTGAGACATGTACAAAGATAAGCTCTTCTGCTGAAATCAAATCTTCAGCTGCTCTAACAGAAGCAATCAAGCCTCTATGTGACTCTGCACATCCAGGAATCGCAATTGTAAGTATATTTCATATCCATACCTGGCAATCTGAATTTGTAATTGGACCATACTGATGTAAAATGTTTATTCACAATTTTTTGTAAACATCATAATGGATGGTGGATCATACAGCGAGCACGAGAATATTTTGATGTGATTTCAAAATAGCTTTGCTATGGCAATTGTAGCAAAGCACTTGTGTTTGCTGAAGCCAACTCGTTAAACCATTTACATATCAAATAAATTAAGGAAAATTTCCATCGGTCTATTAAAACCCTAATGCAATGTATCCAACACTGGCAGTGGCTACAACAGTGCTATTGTGGGTCATTTCGTATCCAACGTACCCTGATAGAAACCCTGGAAAAGGAAAAGGTTGTGGATCAAAATGTACATGCTCGCCTGTAACAGATACCTTGCCCAGCGATGTTTTTGCAATAAATGTACCATAATAATCTCCCACCTATACAACAGTCACTATCAAAAACCCTGCGTAATGTATAAAACTTGACGTGGCATCCATCACAAGAAATCACTTACAAAATTGAGAGTTGTTACTCCAGCATCATTTATCGAAGTCGTAGTTGATATGTTTAAGGGTTCAAGATCCAACGTGATAGGACCAGCTCGGCTTTGTACATGTAGCGTCGAATACGATGATAGCGATCCTTGAATCCAGCCATCATCAGCGATAATACTTGCTTTGCGAACAGGCTCATTTGATTCTAGTGGTGATACAAATCGTGCATCCATTTGTATATATCCAGAATTTGACTCAAGATGAAGATGATCCGTAATATTGGCGACGGCATGAATCGCTCCAGCTCCAGTCTGCATTTTAAGTGATTTTGCAAAAAGTCCCTAATACATTCCAAACACGCAGCAAGTTAATTATAAACATACCAACTCTGGCACATAGCCAGCATATTGTAGTAGAGGATAGATGAACATACGTTTGTATTGATAGCGCCGACATCTAGATTAAAATTAACATGACCCATGGCTAGTGTGGAATTGATGGGCGAAACATTAATGACTCCATTAGAGATTTGAACATTGAGATCAAGTGTGCTTCCTTGATCAAGTGTACGAGGTAATCCCAATCCAACGGCAAGCATGATTTGCTCAGCTGGTCCAGCTACATTGGGAGTTTGGATATGCACTCGAGTTCCCCCTGTATGAACTATGGTGGATATATTAACAAATTCTGCAAGAGATTGATCAAATGATTCCACGACAAATGCAAATGATATGAATCCAGGTAGAGATGTAGATGCTAGATCTGATGTCACATTCAACATATACACCTCCAATGTTGTCTTCTAAAATCAATCAACATAAAAGGTATGTAATTTCAGAATAGACGATATAGCATTGATGGCCATCTCAATTCAACCCCATTAACAATTTGGTGTGCAGACTTACAACATTGCCACTAATCAGTAATTCGAATGAGTCGATAATATTTAGATTCTGTATACCCTGCATAATCGGAAAAACACCAACGCTTGGTTTGAAATGATGTGCATTGGATATCAAGGGTGCTAATTTAGAATGCAAATAAGGACCAATGCTGAATTGGTTGGGTTCCAAGTGAGACTGACATGGCAATAAAGTCATCCATAATAAGAGCAAGATAGTGAACATCAGAACTGTCAAAAATCCAAATATTCGCTTCATGACTTGGACATGTATAGAATGAGTGTTGCTGATAGTTGCCAGCAGTTTTGGATTGTTATTGGAGTCTTGACGACAGTTTACATATTCCAATAATGACTGGGCTGCATTCTCCTGGTTATCTATATCGACTATAGTTTGATGGATACTCTGGCCCATTGAATACTAAAACGGGTCAAGCAATAACCTTGCAAAATAGAATCAAGTTCAAATCAACAAAGCTTGTTTTTAGTTGGTTTGAACGGGTGTTTGAAGCTTATTCGACATGCAACAGCCTATAAAATACACTGACAAGACAATTGTTTTGAAATATCTATTATAATTGTACTCGTATAAAATGAAGCACTTTTATTTATCTTGACATGACAAATTCATTCAAATCCAGATATTGAGTTGAATGTCAAACTCATCTTTATTGTATCTAAAAAGTCAGATACGACTGCGATCTAGTTTAATCAACACGACACATCTCGAGAGAATTGTTTGCATGTGTTTTGAAACTAAAGTGCGTACAGATCGCAATTCGTGCGACCATTCAATCCAACTATAAAAGTAAATTTATTCGGCAATAGTGCTTTACATTTTTATCACTCCTAAATGCAAGTGTCAATTTTTGATGATATCAAATTGGTATATAGCATTGTATATGAACTTGAAACAACAGCAGACATAGTAGATAGATCAAGTATGAAAGGATAAGCTATTTCGTTGGGTTATTTAAATTGAAAGCGATTTTTCACAGTAACAATCAAAAAATACAATTTCAAAGCCACTAGGCGACCGAATAGTCCCAATTGAAGCCACTATAATCTGTCGTTTTAATTTTCTAAAAACATCTTTTACGTATCAAGCATCATGTTGTAGCATCCTGCTAGGTATATGTGGCATCTACGTTGTGTCAACAAGTGATGTATGGTTTGAAAAAATGGAGCGATTCGTATTATCAAATATAGTAGTTTAGCAAATCTTGAGTAACGTACTACAAATGATTGTATATCAATATCTAAAAACATGACGACGGATATACATACCCGTAGGGTAGCTTCTCGAGCAGTAGATGCATTGTTTTGACGCTGTGGCCATTCAGTTTTCCATCGAGTCTCTCCTATTTCGGAAATCCAGTCCGTCAGTCCTATATAAAGGTATTCGGCATCCATAACATCGTTGGGCATAAATATAAAGTTGTAGTCCGGACACTCGCCCGCTTTCAGCAATCCCAAATTCCATGTCAATGCTTCGAAATAGTCTTTGGTCTGCTGCAACTCCTGTCCAGTCTTTTTCCTAGTCAGAAGCGTGTCGCTAGGTAGCAGCTTGTTGCTCTTGGGATATATAGCACCCATGATGGCTGCAAGATCAAACGTAATGCTCTCATCTTCCACGTTCACAAGATGGCCATCGCTCTTGGCATCAATATCCCCAGTATCATATTTTTTATATTGCTGGGCAAGATACTGGTTAAACAGTTTTACAAGTCCGATGTGTTGGATTTTATCCAAGTAATCGTTTCCCAAAAGAAGTGTCAAAAATGCAATATCATGCATGATTCGATTTGTATCTTTTGCTGGTGATTTGGAAGCCAGCTGTTTTCGCAGAAAACCAAATGATAATGGAGAATCCCACCATCCACGTTGGATAATGCAGTCGATATCTGGAGTAGCAACCATTACTATTTCAAAACACATGTGTAGAGGTTATTATACAGATGCCTGTAACAACGCATGCATCATGTAGATTATAAAGCAGCGGACTAGCTAAAGTTTTTGAAATAAATGTAAACTTACAATGCATCAGGGCGTCGGAATCACCAGATAGCATAGTAAACGTTTCAGGAATTTGAGAAGAGTCGAATGCATTTGTAGCACGCAGTTCTAGAATACGCTTCATGACCTTGGCTTCGCCTTCACCAGAATTGATCGAGCCACTGATCTTGAACTCCTTATAAGGACCCTGATTCCATGATTGAGACTCGGCATTAGAATCAAATGTTTCTTTTAATAGTAGTTCTAGACGTCCATAGTAAGCCGATCCGGGACTTAGATCCAATCGATGAACTTTATTCATAATTCCATATGGTGCCTTTAGATGCTTCTAAATTCCCTAGCACATATCCAAAAATTGTAAATACCCAATCTGAAGGTGATGGAAAGCATACGAACAGCAACATTGTAAAGTGATAGGAAGCAAGCCTTGATGTGGATAGCAGTTGCACAAAGCTCAGAGTATATTTACAACTGTAGAGTACTCATGTGTGACCATTAAACAAAGGTCTGGCACTACAACAGACAATCAACCTACATTTTTATCAAAATACTGTGCTCTACGTAGAATCTGGACAGGCAGCTTGGCAATAGGAGCAGCACCGTCTATAGCAATGAATAAAGACTGTCGCGGTTTATAGCTCTGAACAAGTGATTTGATGCTAGCAATAACGCTAGAGTTGAGCGACCGTTCCACTACCATATCGGCCTTCATAGAGCGATGAATAAACATGGTCAAATCCATAAGCAAATGATCAGTTGGCTGCTTTTTCAGTTGAGCCGTATTTCTATCATGCACAATAGCTATTAATAGTTCATCTGGTAGTATTGATCTGGAGTCTTTATATACAGTCACTGTTCAGTCAAAGATCATGCAGAACTTATACTTACTGATGAAGCGCAGTAGGAACAACTGTTTGCAGAAACCTCCACAGTTGAGTACCACCCATTGTAGCAAATGCAGGTGTCAACTGTTGTAGAAAGAAGTGTTAAATCTTGTTTTACAGTTGTACTCACGTAAAATGAATCAAAGTGTCAAAATGTATAATAAACCAATTCACATTTGATTTACTGAACAGTCCATGACAAGACTGTTTGCAAAATCAAGTGTGATTGGCATGCAAACAATTCTCTCGAGATGTGCCGTGTTGATTGAACTAGATCGCAGTCGTATCTAACTTTTTAGATACAACAAAGATGAGTTTGACATTCAACTCAATATCTGGATTTGAATGAATCTGTCATGTCAAGATAAACCCCAGTTCAAAATCATAGTTTGATCGAGTATCATATGATGGGCATTGTATTTGGAGAATTGAAATCAATGTGTAGTAGAAAAACAAGTGAATATTTAACTATTGTATACTTTGAAAAAAAGGCAGTCACTACAAGATAGTAATCCATGTTACATGAACATGGTGAATCTGCACCAACTAATTCATCTTTGAATAGTTTAGCAATCGTAATCCATAATAAATTGATATGTTTTAAATGTAAAACTACAGTTATCTTGATAAACAAGTTTTTCAGATAACGTTGATTAAACTTGAATATAATCTGATGCTCAAGCAACTCGGCTATAGCCAATCCATTTATCACGTGACGACATAGTGGTCAATCAAACACTACAAACTTGAGCAAGTTCCAATCAGCAACATAACAAGCATGGCAAAGGGTGTTCCAGCAGTAACAGCACGCAAGGTCCGTAAACTTCTCTGTCTGCATGGCTATACTCAAAATGCGACAGTGTTTCGAAAACGTACGGCTGTTTTTCGCAAGGATATTTCTACTCACTATGAGCTCGAGTTTGTAACAGCACCCCATCAAGCCAACGTGCCTGCTCGCACTGATGCTACAAACGTTTTATCCATGTTGTCTAAAACGTTGAATGATGGGAGTAGAAATGGATCGTCTGAAGATACTGATGAACAACGGGCATGGTGGGTTGCTTCAGATTGTGGAACAGTATACCAAGGACTGGATGAATCGCTAAAAATGCTGGAACAAGTATGGCATAGTCGAGGGCCATTTGATGGAATATTGGGATTTTCACAAGGTAAGCCATTTTTATTTTGAATTGGATATGAAGCTGCAATGTTTTTTAAGCTGTGTAAACACCATTCTGGCATTGGTTTCTATCGAATTCAACTAAAGCTACTCTCATATAACGATAGGTGCTACAATGGCGTGGCTATTAGCAGGCTATCTGCATCGCACATATAGAGTAAAACTACAGGCTGAGCCACTATCTAACACAGATGCTGGCGCATTTAATACATCACTAGACGATCAGTCAAAATCTGCCTCTGCAATACCATTGATGGTTGTTGCTGTATCTGGCTTTGTACCAAAGTCTGATCACGGACTTGCTTTAATCAAAGATGCTGGAGAAGCAAAGATTCGGGGGTTACATATTATTGGTCGTAGCGATACTTGGGTTGATCCGATTCGTAGTGAGCAATTAGCAATGATGCTTAAAAGTATAAGCTCAAGTTGTACAAGTACCTTGTTGGAATCACCTTTAGCACTGAAAACGAATTCACAAGAAAGTCCTAATGACCACCAAATGATGATGAATGAGTCCAATCCTGCTTCGCCAACTACTACGTGCGAGTCAAATGGCATTGACGGACCTATTCAATCTATCTTGTATCACGATGGCGGGTATGTCAATTTAACGATCAAGTTTATTTGATTCAAGTATTTGAATTATGATGCTAATTCGAGTTTTTGTTTGTTTCCAGTCATTTTGTGCCCACGGATGCTGCCATGCGTTGTAAGATTAAAGAATGGCTTTTTACAACTGTATCAACGTAAAATGAGCCGCTATATAGGTCGAGATATATAATAAACAACCAGTCTTGTGGAATGATAGTCCACATCCAATTTACTGAATATTATGTTTTAAACTTGACAAAGCTAAAAATTCAGTGATTAAGCATGGTCTGCCAACCATTCGACAAACAACAATGTTGCGAGATGCATAGCTTTGTATGCCTATCAAGCTGACCTGATCCATTATCACATGCTATTGTATACGTCTAATCAAGATAACAATCGTGTGTATTGTTCATTCAATACAATAATTTGGTGTAAGTCAACGCAAAAGGAAAACTTAGATCACTGCTAAATGAGCAGCAAACATTAAAAAATCAGCTGAATCCACATGGAAAAATACCGCATTATATTATTGAAAGCACCAGAACTCCAGGATTGAATAGGCCAAGTTTATAGAAAAGCAGTATCTTGACACGGAATGACAATTTACAAAGACAACACACTATGATCTATACGCAAGTCAAACTCTCCACACTATACCCACAGTATGCCTCAATGATGTATTTTACAGATACACTTGTCACTGTGGATATGTAAATTATCGAACCTGTCCACAAACAAATTCAAAGGCATAGTCGCGTGATTCCAACAGATCAAATTGCATGTTGTAATCCTCGTGTCAAAACGCCAAAATGGTATAAGCGTTGTTACCCTTGCCAAAATCGCTTGTAAACACATGATTTTGAACCAGCGACTCATATGCTTTATCCCATGGTTACGGGTTGCAGCACTCATAAGCGAAGCATTTTTTTAAATGACAATAATATAATACTATACACTATTGACCATGTCCTTCATATGATGGGTCGGACTTGAGTAATTAGCTTCCACGTATTTAGCCGTCATGCCCAGTATGGATCGGTCAGACACGGCTATTCTGAATTTACCAAAGTCAAACTAGCATCCATATAATGGTTTCAGATATTGCAGAGTTTATGTTTGCAAGTGAAAATCTATAATGAAAGACTGAGAAATAGCCTATATCAAAGGTTGAATTTTGCAAGGCAGGGGCAAAATCTGATGCAGTGAAAAGCCGATATATTGCAACTCAAAAAGTAAATAGTGGCCACAATCCCCTTGTCTTGGGCTGTAAACGGATTATGTTTCGTGTCATTTCCGCTTCAACTCTGCCCAACTGCACTCCACAACGGGTCTTTTATGCCAGCAACCGAGTGCACCTACTGGCTTAGGCAAAACATTTTAAAAGAGAAGCAGATTAAAATTATTTGCTACGCACGCTATAGCTTAACTAAGCCGCCGATCTAGAATACGCCCAAAGCTTTGACTCGAGTTCAACCAAGTAGCAGCATATCCAGACATATATAATAGCCAATTAAATAGCCTTGTCCCTTTGCTCACAAAAAAACATGAATGTCAATTCCGGTGAAATCATATGCGCTAGTAAGCTGATGACCAACACCAACACGAATATCCCAGCGCCTGTTGGGTTTTATGATCAAAGCCAACACACTGCATCTTCATTCCGACAAAACTACTGCTCATCTCAGCCAAAAGATCAAAGCAGCTACTTTTCAGAAAATGCTTCCAAGAATATGCAATCACTTGGTAATTGTACAGAGCAGCCATCACTTCAGCTCGAGCAGTGTGGTACAGCTCTGCAGAACCATTTGGCCTCCTCTCCATCGCCCACCTTTGTCTCGTCAAATCTGCTGTACCAACAAAAACAGTATCCACAGCTATTTACTGGAAACGTTGGCTCAAGAGGTTGCAGCATAAATGTGTCCACCCAAATCTTGAGGGATAACAGTGCCGTGACATCACTGCCAGCGCTTGAGCCTGAAACACCAACGCTAGCATTAGTGGGCGGAAGTATACCTATACATATTACTACTCCTCCGGCAATGCCAACGCATAATCGCTCTACCGCGGGAGAATTGAATTCCGCCCAGGCCACTAGTCCATCAAATACCATAACACCGAGTCATGTCACTTTGGGTACTTTTTCAGTAGATTCTGGATCAACCCTTAGGACTGGTGCGGTAAGCAACTTTGGTAGTGACATGAAAGCTTTGAATCTACCCTATCAAGTTCTTTTTTCTCCAGACATCCAAGGTAATGCTTACTAATGAATTGGCTATTGATTTGTTTACCTGTATTGTCCCTTTATGGCCTTGGTGTCTATATATGGCCACACTGCCTGCTATTGTGCAACTTATTTGAGGGTATAATATTTTAAATGCGCATGAGTACTCCAAAAACGCATAGATTGCATACTCTATTACACCATCACTTGTTCTGCGCTCATACTGTTTCAGCCTATTAGATGAGTGATTTGAAGTTTTGCTTGGGCTTTTAAAACGCCCGCTGCTTTTCATCTCTCCTAGTGTGTAGGCAGTGGCAGAAATGTAATATATGGGGTAGTAAAGCAATCTTCTAAAGTCGTTTGGTAAATGAGTAATTGCAGGTTTTTATGCAAAGGCTCAAAAAGGCGGATAATTATCATGCAATTTCATTTTACAGCCGGTATTCATCCCATAATGCCTCTGAAATAGGCAATAGCTAAATACTTGCTGCACTTTTTTACCAAAGATTGCGCTATTTTTCCAACATTCTCAATTCTTCCAACACAACCACTATAATCCACAAAATTAAGCTATGGTTTTGAATTGGAATTCCCTCTACATTTGACATAACCACACACTGTATAATCACCACGTTTGAGATCAGATTGATTCGTTGCAATCCAGACATTCAGTTTGGCTATTTTCATGCTGTCAAACTTTTTGTTGTATCCCAATCTCAAATACGTTCTAGTCCAAGAGAACAAAGATTGCACGTTTCAGCAGTACAACAACTGTTTCCATACTGATCACTAAATGTTTACTTAAAGGAAAGGGGGATTGAAGAGATGTCAAGGATGTGAGATTGGCATAGTGGTGAGCATTCATTCAATTTTTTATACAAGAATGATCGCACAAATACCAGTAAATTTGGCGAGTTGTCATTTTATGGGACCGGCTGTTTATCATGCACCTTGACATCCTTATCCAGTGATTCGTTTTACATCAATATATGACTGTAAATAGGTTTAGCTCACATTTAATGAGTTTAGACGATGCATTCATTTCTTCCTATTCCGACTCTAAAACAGATCAAGCTGTATCAACGTTCCGTAGATTCAACTTGACTTGCTTTTATCTTCTATTCAAAAACTCAATTGCATGGTAGGCTAAACCAGTGCTTTTAAGATTGGATGCATTTATCACCAACTACCGCATTATTTCTTCATGTGCATTTTCATCCACACGTGTTGTAGGCAAACCTGATAGGGGAGATTCTGGTGGTTGGTGATAAATCTACCATGTGATGGGCAAAGTGAAACTCAATATACTGTTTTGTAGATTATACTTCCAAAACACTGGATTTAACCTTGGCAGTTTAAGCATTGTCCTAAGTTGTACAAGAGTCAGGCATAATATGACCGGCGTCATGGTTCCAGCATTCACAAAAGACTGGAATGCTGGACTTTAGTTTAAGAAACTTTTTTAATGTTGCATCATTCAAAACAAAGATCCCCCGCCATTGAAGGGTTTTTAATCAGGCATGAATTCCTCCCATCTCATTTCGCCCAATTTTGAATAACCAATGCGCCAGCAACCCGTATTCCTCGTCACGCTTCCCGCATTTTTATAAACGCATTATTTGTGTTGTGCTTTAGCTCAGCTATTTAGCAGTATTTCCCCTATTCAAACCCATATATTTTATTATTCCGGCCTATTACTATTGATATTTCTGCATTTTCTGTCATTTGCTTGGATTTTTGGACCTCAAATACTTGTGCAGCTTCCTCTTTTTGACTCCTTTTCAATTTAATTTCATTATTGGTGGGCGTCTTGTTTCAAATTATCCAAGCTGAACCTACTTTCAACTAATTCAACACTGCGTTACCTAGCCTTGACTAACCATCACTCTACTATTTGGCTGGTCCTTAAAATTATTTTGAACTGGTTCCACTTTGCATGCAAAAATTAATCATGGCAGCCCAAGGAGCATATATCGACACTTGTAATTCTACTGATTCATCATCCATGGATGCCTCGTTCAAGTCTGCTGGGTATGTACATTATCGACGTTTCTGATATAATGGACGCTTACAGAACCACTCTGTAGGCTTTCCCATAACTTGTATTGTCTGATAACCCGAGCTCTTTTAGCCCATGGTTTCAATACCTCACAGCTTTAATTTGGTGTATACCACTCTTACCACCCTGCGTGGTAAAGTATTGGTACAATAGCCATTGTTATACCAACCCTTGCATACATGTTTCAATATTCTACTCCTGACATGTCATGTGTCGTAATAATTCTACCAAAGTCTAACACCACTTTGCTATATATTACAGTCAGTTTAATTTGAATACAGCTCCATTGACTCAAAGTCAAAGCGGAGGGAATAGCGTAAATGATCATAATGCAGAGAAACGAGCTACTCATAATGCAGTGGAGCGTGCCCGTAGGGAATCACTCAACTATCGCTTTCAAGAACTCGCCGGTGTTATTCCCTCTTTGAACTCTGTTCGCAAGCCATCCAAAACTGTTATTATTCAACGCTCACTTGAACATGTACATGAGCTCCGTCGACGCATTGAAATCAAAGACCGCACCTTGGCCATGTTTCGTCAACAGATTTCAGAACTCAAAAGTGAAATCAATAAAACTCGTGTCCATAATGGCTTTGCTCCATTAACCATTGACATTCCGGACGAAGACCAGCTTATGGAATCTGCCCTTCTGGAACGGGATACTCAGCAGCGCCAAAAAAAGCGCCATCAAAAATTTTTTACTGCAGGTGGTCTGCCCATTCTAACCCGCAATACATCCATCAGCTCAGATGTCATGCTTAACGAATTCCAAAACATAGATGATGAGGAAGAAGACGACCAGGACAGCATGTATATATCCTCTTCCATACCATCTGGTTTATCTTATATTAAAGAAGCGGAGATGGGCACTTTTTCGCCCTTTGATCCCAACTCTTTTGAGCATATGCAAGCATCTAGGCAGATGCGATCTTCGGTGGGGGGCGATACCCAAATGTTTCGATCCAACGCCAATCAATCGACCGACGGAATTGCCTTTTCCCATTCTCTACCATTTAACCGTCCGTTCCGTGCCGGCTCTCTTGTCATTGATGGTCATGGCAGTCAGCAATCCTCCTCAGGTATTCCTGGGGTCACTAGTCCAATGACCATGTCTGTTCCAGGTGCCATGCCACCCATGACACCGTCTCCACTCCATATCACAGGATTTGATCACATTGGCACAAACGCAGCGGCAGCAGTAGCCATGCATTTTCAGCAAACCGGGTTTCATCCAGCTAGTAACGGGATTGCTTCATCTTCTACACCTCCATCAGGAAATTTTATGGGAAATATGATATCAAAGGTTGATTTATCACAACGTCCCTCGTGGATAAACACTCAACCTACGGACAATCTGACGACACGAAAGAATAATTTTGAAGAGTCAATGTTAACCCAGCTACTCCATAGCTCGGACATGACTCAGCAGCAGCAACAACAACAACAACAGCAGATGCAATCGGGACAAGGGAATATGTTGCATAGTCAGCAACATCATCACTCGCAACATTCGCCTCAACATCTGCAACAATCACAGTTTCAGTACCCTATTCAGCAAGCCTATTCCCAGTCACCCTATCAACAACCACAACAGCCTCAGCATTTTCAGTCAAAACATCCATTAGCACAGCAACACTAATGGATTCATATTGTAACTGAGTTTAATCCTGTCTATAAACCTTAACTTGGTTACATTTCCTTTACTGCTGGTCTAACTCGGTTTAGTTTATAGACATTGTTTCAGCACACACCTACACTTGAATCCCCCGCCTCGCGGCCTTGTGCGTATCGCTAATCTTGTATTCACATGTCTTTTGATAGTATATGCAATACTATATATAAGCTCCCATAGACACTGTAATCTCATCTTTATATTCTTTTTTGGATCATAGTGCAAAATACGAAACTGTTAATATATGGATCAACCTTTTTGAAGTAATTTCCTGTGTATTGTATTGGCCAAGTGTAATAAAGCATAGTTTATTCTCAAGCGTTTGATTTCCACGTGACCATCATTAAATTCGTGTTTTGCTGTTGAGCTGGCATTTTGTGGTTTATCCCTTGATGCACATACAGTTGAATTCAACTGGGGATGAAGACGCAGAGCCTGAGCTCAACTGCCAGTTGATGGATGGTGAGTGTTACTTTCTATTTTTAGCTGAACACCTGCTTTCACAACTAAAGAATAGGGACTTGCTGTTGGGGATTTCTAATAAAACTACTATTTACCTGCACTTGCAAAAGTCATAACTGTCCTAAACTTTTGATTACTTTTCTTTTTCATACATGGCCAAACTCCTATTGTTTGAAATGGGTGAATCATGGCCTAGGCTTCGCGGTTGTGGTTCAAGTCCTGTTGGCTTCGATTGCACTAGGATCGTTGTTTATTAAACGCCACAGAGAAACCCCTCGACGTCCTTTGCTTATTTGGTAAGCTGCTCGACTTTCCGAATATGAATCAGGGCTAGATAAACTGGCATATGACTCGATAGGCTTTGGATGATGTTGCAAGTTTGAATGAGCTTCAGATTCATTGTTAATTTTCTGTTTGGTTGGATATACTGCGTGTATGTTTAGGGCTATGGATACATCCAAACAGGCGCTAGCAGCATCTATGGTGCATTTTGTGAATGTGTTTGTGTCTTCTGTAGCTGGAATAGACGCAGAAGGATCTAAAAATGGCTCCACAAACCCTTGTGTGTGGTACTTTCTGAATGTAAGCTATTTTTGTTTGATTCGCTTGCAGTTTTAGATGGCTGGTTGATTTATACTTGCAAATCTGTGTAGTTGGGTTTAGATACAACTATTGGTGTTGGCATCTTGTATATATTCTTAAAAGCTGTGCATGCGATTGCAGATATGCTTCAGATCTCCGACACCACATCAGGAGAATATGGCAATCCGCCAAGGTGAGATGATTTGCACACTACCAAAATATAGTATTGCAATTTGCTTTTGAAAATAAATTGATGTTAATGTTAAACTTGCGCAATCCCAGGTTCATGCCATGGTTTAAACAGCTTTGTCTGTTTATCACGGCATGGTTTTTTGTCAAACTCCTTGTGGTTATTTCTCTAGAGCTCTTTCCATTTCTTGGAATATTTGGAAAGTGGGTTTTGTCCCCACTTACTGCAATCGGAGATCCACGCTTTCAGATCGTGGTTGTAATGCTGATATTTCCATTAATCATGAACATTGTGCAAGCATGGCTGATTGATATGGTTATCAAGGGAGATATGCACAAGTTTCGTCGAATTAGATCTAGTATGGATCAAACTGAAGCTGTTGCTGCATCGTTGGGTACAACAGGTCCAGAATCACAATCTGACTGGATTATAGGCGACTCTACAGAGCTACTACAAGACAATGATGTTGTTGAACATGAGGAAGGGTTGAATGTCCACGAGAACGTTGCTCCAGCACAGTTGTTTACACGCATGTTTAGGCATCCACAAACATCATATGGCTATCGAAGGGTACAGGGTCAGCGGGGATGGATTGAATGGATAAGCACGCTCTTTGGTCGAAATCAACGGGGAGATGAGAATCGTCGCGATTTCCGAGCCAGAGCACCGCTATCTGAAACCAATTTAGTAGTCTATGATGATGATGAAGATACGGGCTTGCATGAAAGTGCATCTGCTTCAAGCATCGAGCCTCAAATGGATTGTAAACCTATTCTTGGATCCCACTCTGATTAGCCCATGTCTTCAAATTCTTGATGAATATTCGAGTTTAGTATCGCATTTTACATGGTAGCTGGCAAAACATACCCATTTTAATCTTTTGGCATTGATGGTGTTCACTGATATTGTTGTTTTTGGAAAGAGGTTTACATTTCTCTTGATTTTTACTGATCCAATACATATACATTTGATACTACGATTGCTTTGATGATTTATTAGACCTTTGCTTTATTGGAATGTACGAGAAAGTGGATTCTTGTCAAACCAAACAGGTTTGTGTTTTGAAAATAGATTTGCAAAGGTTGAATGCAAATATTTACTGCCATCTAGTATTTTATCAATACTGGCTACAGTTGAATGGACGGTTGATGCTGATTAATGAAAAACTTCAACTCGACAATATTCTTTCCATTCCAGCACTGTCAATCCTATTTTGAATAAAATTGGTTGTTGCATTTTGTTGAGCTTATGCTTGCTATTAAGATTCGTGTTTATGATTAAACCGTATCGTTATATAACGCCAGCTCTCATATGTCAGTACTTTACAGCTGTTGAATTATATCCAGTCAGTATTGGCTGGTCATTTACATTATTGACTCACTATCTACCAGTTTATACACTGACATTTGTCAACTAGATAATACATATCAGATATCAATTTCAGTATTTATTTGTAATTCAAATTGCACAAGTCTAGTGTATCAAGTTCAAGATACTAGTTTTTGGTAAACTTTGATGTCAGCTTTTTCAAATTGCTTTCTGATTCAATGCCGTGCCCTTTTTTGAAATCATCCAATTCACGCTTGGCTTGCTCTCTTTTTTCTTTTACTTCCCTATAGCTACCATATATTTCAAGATCACTATGATATTTGGCTTTTTGTGCACGCTCTTTTTGTGTCAGGCTAGAGTCGGGTTTATGTAATAGAGCTTCTAGTTTTTCTTTTGGTAGATGAACCCAAGTGGCTCCAGATTGTAAACCATCGAAATGTTTTGATGCCAGATAAGGTGATTTTTTTTCGAGCTGCTTATATTTTTCATACTTTTGCCTGAGCTGAAGATACTGACTTTGAACCTCGCCCGTTTCGTCTTCTGAACTGTCACTGTGATCTTCATCTTCATCTTCATCTTCGTCTTCGTTGTCAATAAGCTTTTTCATGTCGGATCCATTATTTTGAAACGGTAGTTTTATGCCTTTGCCAGGACTACGTTTTGATAGATGCAGTGATTGAGTTGTTGACTCGGATGCAATCACTGCTGCACTGACAGTCACGGACATGGTCAATGCAAGTACGATATCGATAAATTTCATATTGGCGAGTTTGTAATTGAAGTCGAATGGCTCAAGATGATGTGGAAGCTAGTATTCAATTGAATGGTTTTTAAGATTAGGAAAATGGCAGCGTATTTAAGCATTTAGCTTGGTAACCCTTTAGTGTATCTCCCTGACGTCGCATAAATATTGTTGGAAAAAGTGTATTGGTTTGTACAAACCGGATCTTTTCCCGGACCACAAGATTAGTTTGTGGTCATTTTGTAAATAAAAGATCAAAGTGTACATGTCTTTGGACATGCTATTTAGGGTGACTTGTTTCAAAAGCGCGGTTTAAAAATGGTGTATAACAAACAGGGAATCCCCTCCCTGACTAGATATGTTGGTGTACCCAGATGGCATTTTGACAGATGCTGATGGGATTGTGCATCATGATATGTGCAATGAGTATTGATTGAATAAAGTATGACAGAGTCGGAAATAGCATGTATTACAACAGGATACTGTTGATATTTGTTAAATGGTTGTCAGATTATTCAAAATTAACAGATGTGTATGGCTTAGATTGGGCTAACAATCGATTATAAAGCAGCTAGCTGAACGACAATCGTATCAGATATAAGGCTGAATGTGAATAATGGTTGTCATTTATACACCGGTGTTGATACCGCCAAGTATAGTTCAAGGTTCGACCATTCATTAACAATGAGTGTGATTCAGCATGAAAAATGCTGTAATATGTTCAGCAATATCAACACCAGTGTATGAATGACAACCATCATTCACGTTCGGCTAGCTGCTTTATAATCGATTGTTAGCCCAATCTAAGCCATACACATCTGTTAATTTTGAATAATCCGACAACCATTTAACAAATATCAACAGTATCCTGTTGTAATACATGCTATTTCCGACTCTGTCATACTTTATTCAATCAATACTCATTGCACATATCATGATGCACAATCCCATCAACATCTGTCAAAATGCCATCTGGGTACACCAACATATCTAGTCAGGGAGGGGATTCCCTGTTTGTTATACACCATTTTTAAACCGCGCTTTTGAAACAAGTCACCCTAAATAGCATGTCCAAAGACATGTACACTTTGATATTTTATTTACAAAATGACCACAAACTAATCTTGTGGTCCGGGAAAAGATCCGGTTTGTACAAACCAATACACTTTTTCCAACAATATTTATGCGACGTCAGGGAGATACACTAAAGGGTTACCAAGCTAAATGCTTAAATACGCTGCCATTTTCCTAATCTTAAAAACCATTCAATTGAATACTAGCTTCCACATCATCTTGAGCCATTCGACTTCAATTACAAACTCGCCAATATGAAATTTATCGATATCGTACTTGCATTGACCATGTCCGTGACTGTCAGTGCAGCAGTGATTGCATCCGAGTCGACAACTCAATCACTGCATCTATCAAAACGTAGTCCTGGCAAAGGCATAAAACTACCGTTTCAAAATAATGGATTCGACGCGAAAAGGCTTACTGGCAATGGCGATGACGATGAGGATGACAGCCCAGAACACGAAACGGACGAGGTTCAAAGTCAGTATCTTCAGCTCAGGCAAAAGTATGAAAAATATAAACAGCTCGAAAAAAAATCGCTTTACCAGGCATTAAAACGTTCTGGTGGTTTAAACCCTGGCGCCACTTGGGTTCATTTATCAAAGGAAAAAATGGATACTCTATTACATAAACCCGACTCTAGCCTGACACAAAAAGAGCGTGTACAAAAAGCCAAACACAATAGTGATCTTGCAGCATATGGTGGCTATATGGAAGCAAAAGAAAAGAAAAAGCAAGCCAAGCGTGAATTGGATGATTTCAAAAAAGGGAGTGGTATGGGATCAGGAAGCAGTTTGAAAAAGCTGACATCAAAGTTTACCAAAAACTAGTATCTTGAACTTGATACACTAGACTTGTGCAATTTGAATTACAAATAAATACTGAAATTGATATCTGATATGTATTATCTAGTTGACAAATGTCAATGTATAAACTGGTAGATAGTGAGTCAATAATGTAAATGACCAGCCAATACTGACTGGATATAATTCAACAGCTGTAAAATCAATCTAATTATCCAAAAGATTGCTGAGCAGAATAAACGAGTGTCAATACTCTTATTTTTCAAATTACTTTGCGATTTTGACAGTTCAATCGCAGTTGACAGACAACTCACTCTGAACCACTTGGTCTATCTATGTAAACCTGACACTTTGCTTACAGCTGGAGTTGAAGAACGTGAAAACAAGTGAAAAATAACTGATCAGTAAAGGCATTTCCTTCATTGATAAAATAAGCCGCATCTGCGTAGAATTCATTCAAATGTGTGATCTTGCACGATCGGCTGGTGGTATGCGGAGTAAAGAGTGTTATTGTATGCTATATTACGCCAATCTCGTCTTGGGCTTGAGAATGCAAACATCATTTCGATAGGGTTGTGAATTGGCTCGAATTGATTTTGTTTTAAAAAGTACATCATACCGCAAGTGGTGATGCTGTCCGCATGTTACATTTACTCGCTTAAACATTCTTGCGAATCTGCTCCATATCTACACGACCCGTCTGTTACACAAGAATGAAAGCCGCCACTTGTTTATCTTGCGTCAAGATGAGTGATCTTTCAGGGTTTGTTGATCGTGGTTTGCTTAAGCATGCAGCTTATCGATAGAGCGTCTGTCACTGACCTAAGCCAATCGCATAATTGGACGTATAGACAGATATTGTTTTTAGAATACTGCCAGTTGCAAGACATTTGTGGTTTACTCGAGAGAATAATAAATAATTGTTTTTCCCATTCTCATCTTCGTCTTCAGCTGTAAATTTCATCATCTGTAGCTAAACAGTTCTAAATTAGCATGAATATTTTTATCTAATCATATTAAAATTTCCAGGTTAAAAAAATATGACAACGTGGCCGAGTGGTTAAGGCGATTGACTAGAAATCAATTCCTCTCTGAGGGCGCAGGTTCGAGTCCTGCCGTTGTCGCTTTTTTAATTTCATTTTGATTAAACTGGTAAACATTTACACGACTATTAGACATTGTTTCTAGCAGTACACTTTTTAAAATAAATATGTTTTAAAACCAGGTATTTCATTCGATGCTAGACTACTTTTACTTGACCATTACCAAACCTCGCACATTTATCAAAAACCTGCCAAACATCTCCCTCATTGCTCGTTGTTCAGGTGTGCCAACATTATCTCGTGGATCGTAGTACATACTTCCACACCCTTGCCCAATTTTTAATTTTCCGGCAAGCAAAAGTGATCGCTGATGCGTTTCATGTGTATCCAGCATAGCAGACAGCGACGAAAACGCCTCTGTAAGCTGTTGTGAAAAGGCATGGGGTTGGCTTTGAATAATCTGTCCAGCAATAGCTTGAAATGATTGGCGACGAATAGAAACAAGAGAAGACACGGCATCAGCAGCAGAGTTGATGAGTGAAGAGTCAAATGTCTTGAATAACATGCATGTGAGTGTTTCGTGGAGTAAAGCATCAATATGAGCGCTCTGTGGACTTTCATACTGGATAGAAATGCCGCCGGTAGAATTGGACATGGCTTTAGAAACTTGTTCTGACCACAAATACAAAGCAATGGATTCCATTGCGCGAAGTGAACCAATGCTGAGTGAAGTAATATGCTGGTTCAAACCATAGACCAGTGATTTGAAAAGACACGATATCAAATTGTCCGATAGCTGCATCAATCTATCAGGAAAATATTCTACTATATATGTCACAATGCCAATATACCCTTTACAAAGTTGGGGATACTGCAGTTGATGTATAGGTTGAAAAAGTATAACCAGGTCAGGCATGGTATCAATTAGCATCTGATTTGATTAATAAAGAACCCAAGATAGTCATGTTAAATATTGGTTTAAACAACTGCTTACGCTCAGCATCTCTTTAGTGATAAGCGGAATCAGGGCATTGACTCCAAAAAAGACGACTTGTACAACATCCACAGCAGTGGCATTGGTCGACTTTCGCAGCCGATGCACCACATCTGCACGATCTAAAAAGAAAAGTAAGTAATATAGCTCCAACACTATTGAGTAATCTAGTAGAGCATTATATCCAATCAAATATACACTTACCCAGTCCTTCATATTCAGAAGTGATAAGGCCAGTCAGCATCTCTAGCAATATGGACAAATCAACATTGAGTTCCGAGTCTACATTATTAGGCCCACGCTTACGACCCACTTCATTCTTTGCGTAGACCTCGATCAAATCCCACACATTTTTATACAGTACATCATAGTGATGTTGCTGTAGTGCGTCCAATGCCTTTAAATTGACAAAAAGCAGATTAATACAACAAATTCAATATGATTCCCAAATCAAAGTACTATGAAAATTACCTGGTATTTAACAAGGTCGCGAAAGAATTGCAGGATATAAAATTCAACGTCTGGGTAATTATGATATAGATCCAGCAGTTTTACAAAAACAGGAAACTGTCTTGCACATGCTTCAAAAATTACAACCATATTGGTTTCGTCCGCAGCAAGCGCAAGTCCGCCATACATCTCCATCACATTAACAACCTGTTCTTGAATTTCAGACAATTGATACACAGTTGAAAAGTCGGGACGATGAACTGTCCTGACAAGCATGTTCTATTATAAACGTATCATTTGGTAAGATTAAAAGCACATACCAGTTATAAACAGTAAAAACTGGCAAGTACCATCTCACCTCAATTGCAGTGATCAAATTAGTAAAGTGAGCAGTACGCTCAACACCAGTAGCGTGGGTGTAAATGTAAGCGATGGTTTGTATTAGATTACTATGAAGCGTGGCTGGTAAACGACTTAGATTTGCCAAAAAATACTGGACTAGACTATTGAATGTAGCTACACCATTGAAAAGATAGAGTTGCGTGGTCAGAAATAGCTGCATTTCTATACACACACGACTTGAATATCAAAAAATAAGTTGTCGCTCACCACTAGTCAAAAACATATTTCTAGCATCCTTATTGCCAGATAGACCTTCAATTACAGATAAAATCTGACCAACAACATCCACATCGGAATGCCACACAACAAAATTCCGTTGGACTTTATCCAACAGAAACTCGGTTGCTTGAGGAGCACCTCCCATCTTTCCGAATGCATTTACAAAACTTGGGCTATATTAGAAATGTAAAATGATTCAGCAATTAATCAAACCCCCAGATCAATTCGCAACACATTTCTATCCAGCCACTCTACCTCAAATCGGAATAGTTTGAAGGATCAACAAAAAGATAAGTACAACCCCATCGTTCAACAAACCAAAGTAATGTCTCTACAATCAGAGGGCTTGTTATAGCATGTTTGGCAGATCCAGGCTCAACAGTGACAAGTTCAAGAATGTTGAAAATGCAGGTTGGCAGTGCAATACAAGGATCATCTTCCATTTTTTCAATTTGTTTCTACAAGTACACAACAATTAAAGTATAGTTTAATCATCATGAATCAAGGTTATGATGGATTCGGTTAAATTAGTATGCAATTAAAGATCTACCGAAAGTTGCTGCAGCAGTGTTGGGATTAAGGGTTTTTCGCCATCCGCAGAGTCAGCCAACACATGACCTGCAATTAGCGTAAGCCAGTGAATCTGTTCATTCAATAATGCAATCGTCTTCTGCGCTATATACATGCATTTAGTACAATTCAAATTCCAGTGACAACAATACAAATATAGCAAAAGCAATCATTTACAGGTTGACTGAGGATTGACGTAAATCTGTGAAAGATTGCCGTAGTGCTCGGTTAGCAATTGACCAAGTTGAACAAGACACTTGGCACTGTTGACGCGTGCAATGGTTGCAATGTAGAGCAGTTGATCGCCATATAAATGCTATTGAATTATTACATATATATCAGTTAAGCAGTTGATTTGATAGTATTACTCATTCAAAATTTACCAAATCTTTAAAGTGAGTTTCGACATCCTCATCCTCCTCAATAGTCTGCTTTGCAAGACGCAAACGAACGTCAAGATACGCATGAAATATTTCAAAACAGATGGTTGATATAAAAGAAAGCATTTCTTTTGCAGAGCCAACATTAGGTCGTGCTTCTGATGCCATATCTTCTGACACTATCACGTCCTCTAAATCCTGCACTAAAAACACGAGGTACCCAAACATGCATATCAATATGCCGATCAAACCACACATGACAAAACATGTAAAAATCACAAATGGGTATTTTGGATTGAAGACGTCCTATAAATCACTTTACCAAAAGAACACCACATAGCCAGTAGCTCCTCAGCAGTATCTGAACTCCAGCTATCATCCAACTCATCGACCATATTTTGAAGGCATACAATGGTGAGTTTTCCGAATCCTTGAAGAAACGGACCAAGCGAAGGAATGCGTATCAGCATTTTGATTTGAAAACGAGCCAATAGCTGCTTGCCAATCTGAGACATATCTGACAGAAGTTCTCCTGAATTTTCAAACGATTCGTCTGTGATGGTTTGAAAAACACTAAAAATAAAATTGATTGATAAAAATATGGTAAACCAAACATGTTCATATCAACAGTCAAACATTAGTAGACCAACTTATTCACATACAAATCTAAATGCTTGGTCGTGTTTTCCAGTAAGCAGTGGACATATTCTAGTGTTTCTCCTTCATTGGCAAGCACATCTCCATGCAGTCCGGCCAACTGAATCACACACTTGTGTGCCTTGGTCGATATGGATGGCTCGCGCGCAAATAGCATTGCAATCTAATTTAGTAGAGTTGCATTCAAAGTGGTTGAAACCCCACACCAAATCACTGGTCAACCCGAATGCTTGAATAATAGTAAAACAGTATTTGCGTCTCAAAAGTTGTGTACCTGGAAAAAAAGACCTAAAACATTGGGACTAAGCAATACAGTTCGCCAAGTAGCAGGAAAATTTGGTGCATCATAGAATTCCTCTTCATTGCTATTTACAACAGAGCAAGCTGGAGCTAACGTGGCGGGGCTTCCAGAGATGCATGTCCAAGAAAGGATTTTTTCGGCACAAAACAAATTGTGGTTCAGTATTTTTTTCCCATCGATAGTGGATAGGAATTGTGGAGAGCGAAGCTCGTTGTGGATTGATCTTAAAATTGATTCAAAGACTACTTGAAGATGCGATCGCTAGAAATTGTGTTGGTAAGTCAGGGTAAATCAACGAGTGAGCAGTTTCTCTGATCATCTCAATAAATTTATCGAGAATGCTGATGTTTACCTCAAAGGACACCTGGCAGTCGTGATGAAAGTTCCAAGGCAAGCCCAAAGCCGTTGCTTTTTTAGACGAAAATTCTTCCAGCAACGCAATTAGTAATTGGAGCGCAGCGTGTCTCTAGAGTAATATCAAGCACAGCAAAACCATATCAATCGGCTGTTTGTCTATATAAAACGTGAATTACTCAACAATTCAAGCTTAAAAACCTTGTGCCAGTCAGGATTAAAAAGTAGCTGAATGATATCACTTAGTAATTGATCTTTGTATTGGCAAGTGTCTTGTAAGTAGCCAAGTTTGATTGCAAGAGCAGCAGTGTATGCAACTTTTGCCATGACATATTGCTGCAAACTATCCATATTCAATCATTAGTTCCAAGTCGTTCATATGATGGCAGTTTCAGCTTTGAGAATTAGCGTATCAAGCAATATGTTGCCAAAAGATTGAACAAAAAAAATACTTGCGTTGCGCATCGCTGAACGAGATATTGAACCAAATACTGCTGTAAAGCATGACGATCCTCTGCAGTCTGTTGAATGTAAATTCGTGGCAAAGCATCTTGCAAGGCGATGGCCGCGTGGAATTGGGCAGCAGGCAAAGTCGAGGTTTCTTTCAAAGTGACGGTAAATTTAGATGCGACATAAATCCAATAGGCAGCATATAGCTTGATCATAAAACCCACCTAGAATATACTTGCAGGTATTGTATAGATCAGGCAGTTTGCGAAAGTCCTTTAAAAGCTGTTCCCCCTGCACTCTAGTTTGAGGCTTTAAAACAAACCAATTAGCAACCGTAATAGAATTGACATCCCATCAAATTTATGATGATGAATTCTGTCTATCGTCCAACTAGAGCCAGACCAGACATTTTATAAAGAATACCGAGTATTATCTATGGCCAAGTTTGAACCATTGAAATCACTCGAAAAACCAAGGATTTACCAGCAGTAATTTGTTGACAGCATCTTCGAAATGAGCCTTTAACGCAGCAGGCTCGATTATGGGTACAGGAAGTCTCTGCTGCATGGCTGTCATGTCGTGATGAACGAGAATCAGATACACTGGACAACTTCCAGGTTGATGCTTGCTGTTGATATGCAACTGAGTCACGTGGAGTTGTCAGAAGTCGATTGCCGAGATTTGACTCGTTGGATTCTTGAAGTCATGGCAGCGAGAGAAGTGTTCAAGCGAGTCATTCCTCCGCTGAGTACACGCTTGCACAAAGGCCAGTCTGGAAGAATTGGTGTTGTTGGTGGGAGTCTCGAGTACACTGGCGCTCCATATTATGCTGCAATGGCTGCACTTTATACTGTAAACTCGAATATGCTTGTCAGGACATGACTAGTATCGATTCTGACCTCTGATATTCCATTTGTTGTCTAGGGTGTGGATCTATGTCATGTGTTTTGTGCTCAAGATGCAGCTCCTGCTATCAAGTGCTATTCGCCAGAACTTGTTGTTCATCCATCGATAGTGTCTAAAAGGTGTTTAATCCTGTGTATTTGTAGATATCGAATCCAAGTCTTGATCCTCTAATCTGAATCATATTTAGAGACTGCGAGCATTTGAATCCAGTTGCAATCGATAATTGTATAGAAACAGCTGTAGATCGCATGTCACCTCTACTTTGCAGGTTAGATTCGTTGGTTGTTGGACCTGGATTGTCCCGAGATCCAGTTATGCTAGCTATGGCAAAAAGAATTGTTGAAAAAGTCATTTCCCTTGGCACCCCTCTTGTAATTGATGCAGTAGGTGGATTTTTACTGATTTTTATTCAACTTTTGTTTCAGATATATTTGATTTGTCTAATCTCATGTGTATTGAACAGGATGGACTTTGCTTGGTTGAGCAAACTCCTGGTTTAGTTATGGGATATCAGAATGTAATTTTAACCCCAAACACTAACGAGTTCAAGAGACTGTGCCATTCTGTTGTAAAGTTTAATTTTCATCACCTTTAATCCTGCTACGTGTCTAAGCGATGGTATTCACAAACTTGTATGTTGTAATGATTGTAGAACATTGATGCTTCAGAAAATTGCGAGGTGGCTGCTGTTCAGCTTAGCAAAGCCCTTGGATCTGTGACTATTCTCTGCAAGGGATCCAAAGATCTGATTGCTACAGGAGATGACATTTTATTTGTCAGTGATCCAACATCATTGCGACGATGTGGAGGACAGGGTGATGTACTTGCAGGGATTCTTTGTGCATTTCTCGCATGGAGAAACGGATACCAAAGTGGCAGGTGGACTGCACAGGACCAATCTACTGATATCTCCTTGATGATTGTTGCGAGTAATGCATCCAGTTTTGCACGGAAATGCGCTGCCTTGGCATTTGAAAAGCATAAGCGGTCTATAGTTGCATCGAGTATTTTAAAAGAAATAGGACCGGCTTTTGACAGTCTATACGACGATGAATTATAAAATGCGATGATTGCAACTTGCTACATACAGTGAATTTCAATGAGTTCTAACTCTACAACTACCAATGCAAATCAAGAAAATAATATTAAGAATGCGTTGCACTGAATGATTGACAGATTGAATCTATAAGAATGCAAGTGGGAATGACCATGAATCATGTAGATTCAAGCAATGTCGAATCTGCTGGTTCGATTTGCAAATTTCGACAGTCGATTCCAACTTGAAGAGTTCAAGACAGTCAGTGACACTGTTGGACACTCTTGCTAGCACTATATTACTGTATAACTGCTGCTTTATCATTCATTTTGATACACTTTACCAGTGCTCAACTCTACAACTGTCATGGACCTGCCCGTTGATTCTACATCTGGAGTCTTGTCCATGACCCAAACTGTTGGTTCAAACTTCAAAGGCTCTCGTAGTAACCAGTCTGCTCTGGATTCACTCACTAACAATACTGCTAGTCTTGGACGCAGCAACACCACTGGGTCGTTGCATGCCGATATCGCTTCTACTCAAGATAATCCCATCGAGTTCATATTGCCCACTCTCCAGCTCATCAACAGCTCTGAACAGACTGGGTCTGATATAAAAGGAAGCCAATACGTTCATGACTATTCTGGTAAAGGTTGACCCTATCTTGCTTCATAGCACCATCTACCCGCTAACTTATTTCATGTGCTGCGTCTAATTATATGCAATACCGCTGGATTTCGTTGACCTTGCATTTCACTACAATTAGAATCTACTATAAATGCCAATATACTGGCAATCACTGGAGGCATCCCACCGCTAATACAAAGCCGAAAGGTATCGACAACTAATAGAAACCCTGCAAAAAGGTGGCAATGGCAGCCTTTTACTCATTCAGCTAGATTGGATAATTTCAAACTGTACCATTGGTCGTCAGATCCGAAAGCTACAGGTGAGATGGACTAGTCAATTGAATCGTGTTTTTACTTGTTATCTAAGTAGTGTGTATTGTAATAGATTCAATGTTTGCCTCACAGAGCGTAAAAGCGTCCATTATGACTTATACTGACGAAGAATACGAATCATATCTTCAAGGTATGTTTTGGCTTGACTCTTGTATTGCTTCGAACTTTTAAATATTGTTATTTAGATTAGTCCATGTGCTATTGATTACCCGAATTTCAGATCCAAGCTGGACAAGAGAGGAAACAGATCAACTGTTTTTGCTATGCAAAGAATTCGAACTCCGGTTTTTCGTTATTGCCGATAGGTTTGAAACAAACACTGTCCGCACAATCGAGGTGAGTAGTATACCTTGGGAAATTTTAAACCATGCACAAAGTGTAGCATTCAGTCGTTGTATAATGCTACCCAATTATGTTCATTTCAACCTAAATTGCCTTGTTTTGTTATCAGGACATGAAAGATCGATACTATTCTGTATCAAGAACTCTAGTTCTAGTTCGATATGGTGCACAGGACGCACAAGCAAAGTTGATGAGTGCCAAATTTGGATACGATAAGCCACGCGAAGTTGAGCGGAAACGACTACTGGCTAAACTCCTTAGCAGGACATCGGCTCAAATCCAAGTAAAGCTATTGTTTGACACACTTTTCTTTGTTGATCATTTTAAATTGAATACTTGATCTATGCAGAGTATGCACTTTTTTGTGCTTGCCGTGAGGTTTCTGTCATGCTAAAATGGTATATTTTGTAGGAAGAGGAAATCATAATGCTCGAGTTGAAGCGACGCGCTTTGAACGAGGATCGATGGGTTAAAGACCGCGAGGCGATTCTCCGCTCACTCATGAACAACGAGCTGCCAAACGAACAAATAGCCAGTACACCACATTCTGTATCTTCAGTCGAGATTAAGAAAAAACGTAGATCTGTTCGAGGAGATGAGACACCTATTTCATCTACTGCCGATGCTTTCAAGAATTCAAGAAAAGATCGGACTATTGACGATTCACTATTAAGAAAAGAGAAGATTCCTGCTGGCGTGCATCTGCGGAGTTCTAGATTTCCTCCAATCAAGGCTTCATTGCAGGCCAAGGTGTCTACAATGATGATTGAGTGTGGAGCAGGTACGCTTTTTATATTTTTTGTTTATTCTACGAGGCTTTCTAGTAAGCATTGTCAAGCCCTAATATAATGATTTTTGTGCCTTGATATGTAGGTATTCTTCCAAGTATGCCTACGACGGCTGTATGTGCCAAATTTGAAGCTATTCGACAAACAATTGTTGCATTGATTGAAGGGAAAAAGATGCTGGATCGACTCGAACATGAGTATAAAGTGACTTTGATTCGGAGAACAACACTCAAGGATGGAATCGAAGGTGGAGTAAAGCCTGCACCATCAATCACGGCTGTCACCTCTGCAGTGAATCATGGCACTGCTCTCCATGCCACGCTCGCAGCTCAGACTCCTGTTTCTACACAGGTAAAGAGTGCTTAAGACTATCAACTGATCTTGGTTTTTAAATTAGAGCTGTCATCTGCACTATACATTTTGTATTCTACCACAAATGTATCTAATGGATATTCCTGTTGTCATGTTTGTAGAAGCGACCCAGCATGACACCTCCTTCACAGCTAAGAGATACAAAGCGACCTCGCCATTGAACAACACATCTCATTGTTTAGCACTATCACTTCTCTACACTGTAATACTAATAAATCAAATGTTTGGCTGCTTTAAATTTATCAAAATAGTATCTACTTTTGTCGTTACCCTGCAAATAAAAGCATAATGTAGAATAAATGGAATTCATTCAAGAGTTGGAAATGTAAAATTGTGATCTGGTTGCATGAGTGTGACATGTGTATAAAGTCATGCTTGTAAACATACAGCCAAACTATGTTTTGCTCATGCTCGTCCATTCTCTATAAGTTTAAACGTGATAGTCTTCCCATCCCACCTCGGCAAGTCTATTGACCTTGTTGAGCACTTCTTCCTCTTGAAGTTTCGAGTATTCTTGAAGTTGTGCAAGGTAGCTTGGCATATGTGCACCAAGAATACGAATAGCAAGCAGAGCAGCATTGGTGGAATTGTTAATTGCTACCGTGGCAACAGGAACACCTCGCTAATAAATAGGAATTTGAAAAGTCAAAAGAAAAGACAATGTTAGCAGCTATTTCATCATCATGAAAATAAAATGTCAATGTACACGCACCGGCATTTGAACAATCGAGTGGAGTGAGTCGACGCCATCGAGGACTTTGAGAGAAATGGGGACGCCAATCACAGGCAACGGCGTGATGGCTGCAACCATGCCAGGAAGATGTGCAGCACCACCTGCAGCGGCAATAATAATCTTCAATCCTCGTTCATGAGCACTTTTTGCATACTCCATCATACGATCAGGTGTACGATGGGCCGAGACAATAGTCAGCTCAAATGGCACACCAAACCCTTTAAGGATTAATGCAGCTGCACGCATAGCAGGAAGATCGCTGTCTGAGCCCATAATAACGCCAACAAGCGGACTAGCCTTTTCCCACAGTCGGGACTCTGAGTCGTCTACAGAAAGATCCGAGGCAACAGATCCTGGAACACGCTTCAAAATATCTTTGGTGTTGGCAATCACATCAGACATGGTTTCGCCAATAAGAGTAATATGACCCATTTTACGGCCTTTTCGAACTCCTGATTTTCCATAAAGATGAACTGTAGCTCCTGGAATAGCAAGCGAAGTTTGACATGCCTCTAAAGTTTCCTTCAACGCAGCATCGCCTGAGCCTGTTCCAATAATATTGATCATGATTGATGCAGAAACCTTGAGTGCTGGAGATCCAAGAGGCATCCCCAAAATACAACGTAGATGCTGTTCAAACTGTGAAGTGTGGCATGCTTCAATAGTATAGTGACCAGAATTGTGTGGGCGAGGAGCAATCTCATTAAATGACAGTGAGTCTATATCATGAAAATAAAAATACATATTATATAAGTTGAATAATTAGCAATCAACCAGACCAACAAGTGGATCTAAAAATTGAAAATAAACTAATAGGGCAACAATGCAGCTTACCGTCACTTAGCAAAAACATTTCAACGCCATAGATGCCAGCACCATTCAAAGCAGCGACAGCATCTTCTGCAATAAATCTAGCTTTGGCAGCAATTCGTCCATCGATCTGCGCAGGAGCAATCACCAAGTGGCAAATATTGTTGGACTGGACCGTTTCGACACAAGGATAGCTCGAGATCTCACCCGTGGTGCTACGAGCGACCATCACAGCAAGCTCACGAACAAACGACACCCACTTTTCCACATACAATCCAGGCCCACCTTTGCTGGCACCACCGCCCAAAGCGTCAATGGCGATTTGAATCTCATCAGCATTTTTAATCACTTTGTTTCCACGACCATCATAAGCCAATGTTTTTGATTTCAACATCATAGGATATTCAAACTCCATGGCAGCTTCCAGAATTGAATCTAGCTCAGAACCAGCCACGACTTCTCTGAATGGAGCAATGGGCACTGTGGGAGCATGTTCAGTCAAGTATTTTTTTTGTACATACTTGTCCTGAATTATTCTTATAGTATCAGGAGATGGATGAACAACAACTCCAGTTTTGGTCTGGATCTGCTCAAGTGAAAGTGCATCAACATGTTCGATTTCAACCGTCAGGACTTGAGAAACAGCTGCCAGTTGAGCAATCTTGATTGGATCTTTAAAACTGCCTTGAATATGTCTTGGAGAAGTACTGATTTGAGTAGCAGGACTGTTTTCTTCATCCAGAATGGCTACTTGAACATTGAGTCTGTTGGCTGCTTCAGTGAGCATTCTAATTGCACCACAACATATATTGAATTCAAAACAAAAGTCTGTATTAATAAAACCAGACTTGATTGAGAATTCATATTGTGTATTCATGCATTTAAATCATAATAGACCAACCTGCCCAACTGGCCACCACCAAGAATACCAACCACTCGTTGATCCATGCTATTTCAATTCAAAGTTTTTATTTTTTGGATTTCTGCTCGTCACCAGAATCCACATGACTACAAATTTTGGATGAACAAACTTGCAAATATAATCTTGTAAGCTCAGTTTAAGTTGCATTATATTCACAGCATTGCACAGTCTGTCAAACACTTGGTTTTGCAAGAAACTCAATTGAATAGATTAGCAGATTTGTTCCCGATTATCTTCTAAAGCAATTCTATGGATGAACTGGTGGCAGGCGTCGACCAAGTTGTCAATGAAGTGCAAGTATACCTTGGTTTTTCTTGTGTTTTGTTTGATGGATGGCAGACTAGAGTTCTTTCAATCAGCCAGAGAAATACATTTAACATGAGCTGTTTAATTCAAATAGCATTCTTGAAACCTCGAATACCACGGTAGTAGTAACAGATTCACAAGGACTGGTGGTACAAAGTGAGTTCTACAAGTCCATGTATTCGCTTGTGAATTGCTGATGGTTTGGTATTGATCTGATTGTATTTTGATTCATCTAAACCATGTCATACACTGAATCCACTTTTGTTAGCAAGAGGAAAATGTCCTCCAAAGGATGCAAGTGGATTGATCTTGCAAGCAGCAATCCGAGCACATCGACTATTTAAAGCAACTACATTGACCAGTATGCCTATTGAAGTGTCTGCCATAACTCCCAAACAAATGCATCCAGTGGTTGTTATTGAAGCAACCAAAAGGTAGATGTAGTCCAACAAGAGTGCGTTGTGTGAATCACCCACTTTAGATGCTAACAGTTTGATGTAAAAGAAATGTATTTATTAGAACAGATGGGTCGAGTGCAGTTGGACTATTCAAGACACTTTAAATAATGGCTTGCCAACAAATAAAGTTAAGATTCGGTCTAGTTAAAAACCACAAGCGAATTGCTTGTGTTCTTGCCAAAACATTTTGTAAACTGAGAATCCAAACCTGACACAAGCCTGAAATAAAAAAGTTTCCTAAACTGTCAGGCTCATTGTCATTGCTAGACTGATAATGACTGCACCGCTTGCTCGTCTGGTTGCTATGATGACTGCATCCACGACAGCCAATTCTACAGCAAGCAGCAACTCTGTTCCAGCTTCTACTTCTGCACAATCAACATCCAATACTGCTACAATGAGCTGTGGGAGCATTGCAATGCATTCAGATATCAGTGCTCAACTGCAATCGCAGAAACAACAGATGGCTGATGAAACACACTTGCGGTCATCGTCTGTCAAGTATTCACAGACTCAGACCATACACCACTTGTCGGCAGAACATCCACATCCTCAAGCTCAACCACAGCAGTTGCATATGAACAGAGATGCTAGTAAACGACGGTCTTGGGCAGGCAACTTGGGCTTGAATATTGTGGATCTGTTGTTAGGACCTGCAGCAAGTGCACATCTGGCTCAACCGTCCATGGTATTCTCCACTTGCCATGTTCCAGGTGAAGCTTTGAATCCAACACCCATCATGAAAACTACCAACTGCTTACCAGATAGTTGCTCTAATCACCATGCTGCCGAACAGACATTGCTTCATGGAAAGGACAAGCATATACTTATCCGTCGATTATCCCATCCAGATTGCATTGCATCTGTGCCAAAACTCATGTCTTCCATATCACCCGATGATCCTTCACCCCTTATCCTACTGACCAATGCATCAGCCGAATCTATATCTGCTCAAGCCCAATACACGCATCCGACAGTTGCATCTAGTAGTAATGATGCGGCTTTTGGTGCAAAGATAGAAACTGTACGAACCACATCTACCAAGACCATCTGTGCGCAGAGTCTAACTACTCCAGCATCGTTTGATGGTGCCTGTCTGTCTGTCACGACTACCGTCCAATCAGATGCAGTCAAAAAAAGTTTGTCTAGTCCCACATCTACTCTTGCTGATGGGTTAGCACGTAATCAACCCAAGGAAAAACTACAAATCCAGGTCCCATCAGCACAAGATGAAGCTGCATTGCTTCATGAAACTGATTGTCTAATACAACCACTCAATATTCCCGCTCGATCTCCCTTGCACCAACATTCCCACCAACAGCGCTCTCAGACTACTTCGTCCATTGCCGAGATTGAACTTAGTGGATACCACCTACTCCCAGAATTTTTGGAAAGATACTCTTTGATAGGAGAGTTGGGACATGGGGCCACTGGTTTTGTTATGGTTGCTGAACGTATCGAAGATGGCGAGCAAGTTGCTGTCAAGTTTCTTTACAAGGTAACCATCTAACGTGCTATTCAATCTAAACCGCTTACTTTGTATCTCTTGGATATCTGCAATTCGCTGAATTCAAGTATATATCCGACCATATGTATACACAGATAAAATACTAATCAATTGTGCTTGCATTGTCTGTGTTGATAGAATCGTATTCCAGTCACCAGTTGGAAGCGAGATCGTTCGATTGGGTTTATTCCTCTTGAGGCCTTTCTTCTCAGGCGTATCTCTCATCCAAATGTCATTCAGTTTTTGGATATTTTCGAAGATGCAAAGGTATTTCATAGTAGAACACTATGGTTTTGATTCTTTATATTCATGATTACTGATTGACTTCATGTCTGCTTATTTATACTAGTATTGCTATTTGATCATGGAGATGCATGGCACACAATGGAAAAACAGCCACATACAACCCGACATTGAACCTTCTTCAATGACTTATCGCCAGCATCGCCATTCTACCAATCCATTCCAACATTGCCCAACTACTCCCACATATACTGCAGATGTTGCATCGCCTCTGATTGCGCAGACTACACCTCCTGCCATAGATATTCCCTACTTTCAACCACATATACCACCCACTTCTTTTGTATCTCCTGCACCTCACTCTCAACTTTCAATCACCGCTCGACAACATACTCGACACTCGTCTCTCGATCTGTTCGAGTACATTGAAAACAACCCTTTTTTTGCAGAACGCAAGATCCGTCATATTTTCCTTCAAGTTGCCCAGGCCGTCTGCTACCTACATCAAAACAATATTGTTCATAATGACATCAAAGATGAGAATGTAAGTTGCTTGCAATGATGGCTGTTACTGTTTAGAAAAGAGTATTTGGATAAACTCATTTTGCTTTGCTATTTGACCCTTCAACATCTAGATTGTTATCGATGAAAACCTTCATGTAAAGCTAATTGACTTTGGGGCTGCGCAAACAATACCCTCTCATCCTCGGGATTATTTTGAAAAGTTTCGTGGAACTGCCTACTCGATACCCCCTGAAGGTATTCGAGGAGAGGCATTTAGAGGACCAGAAGTAGATGTCTGGTGCACAGGCATACTGCTCTACACCATGTCCTTCTCCTGCTTTCCATTTCGCACAACTGAAGATATCCTTACAGCGTCCTTTCGTCATCCCCGATTCAAGCGCAGTGCTGCATTGATAGATCTCATTCATTGCATGCTACAAGTGGATGCAAAGAAACGATACACTATAGAGCAGGTTCTTCATCACTCCTGGCTAACCACTCCTGAAAAGTAAACTGCAAGCATTGCACTTTTTGCTGGGACTATGATCATTCACGTCTTGAAGTCGTTCAGCACTTTCCCAGACCACTCCATTCAATAGCATGTTCAAGATTTAGGGCAGCAGTTCTAACTATTCAACCCATTTTTGCCTGCCATGGGAATTTCTTTTTACATTCCAATGGTTTCGATTAGTCATTGATTTTTGGGTCATTTAAACCATTGTATTTGCTTGCCGGTCTAATATTTGGAATATACCGGTGACTGTCATACTCTGGTTGGCTATCAATGTTTATATCATGATTGAAAATCAAGCGATTAAAAAGTTTATTTCAGTTATTCCATCACTTTAAAAATACTCTTGATCAATGCAAGTGTGCCTGTGAACAACAGAGTTGTAAATCTATATTCCAGAGTGTGACGATCTGTACTTTGCAGACTTGACATCAACACGATCCTTGTTAGAATACAATAGTCATGTGTATTGTCTTTTTTGTGCAAGACCACCCCAAATACAAGCTAGTCGTTGCAGCCAATAGAGATGAGTATCTAGATAGACCGACAAGTCGAGCCAAGTTTTGGGATATAGCACCCTATGTTCTTGCTGGCACAGATGACTCTTACAAACAGCATAGATCCGACTTGCCAACAAGCAAGGATCCTGATAGTAAAGAGGAAACCTTATCCTCCTCAGCAAGCCTACCAGCCCATTCAACTCCCTGCATGACTTTGTCTGACCCATCCCATGGCACTTGGATAGGCATGACCCAGCAAGGCCGATTTGCGTTTATTACCAATTTTCGAGAACCGCCTTCGAGTCGATGCCAAACTGCAAAGTCTCGAGGACTGTTGGTGCGTGACTATCTTCTTGAAAGCCATCCAGTCAATGAAAAGGAAACTAGCACCACCTCATCTGACCCAAGTCTCTACGTTCAAAAGCTATCCAACCAGCTAGAAGAATACAATGGATTCAATCTAGTTTTAGGTCAAGTGGGTGGGAAGATGTGGTATGTTGGAAATCGATCGGATAAGCCGATACAGCATCTGGCATCTACCCAACTTTATGGAATTTCCAACGGTATTCTTATGTCTGATACAAAAGAAACATGGCCCAAAGTTATTCATGGCAAGCAGCTGTTTACCAAGGCTTTGGATGAGGTGCATTGATGTGTGTACTTGTAGTGTATGTATAGAGTACAGTGATACTAAGTTTCATATGGTCACAATGATGTTGGGTTTAGGCTACTGATAAGCAAGATCTGGTTCAACGACTTTTAGTAGTGCTGTCTAATTCAGAAGCTTGCCCATACGATCAACTTCCACCCAATATGTTTGACTACAATCTGGAATCGTGTTTATCACCCATCTGCGTCCATTGCAGTCAGCTTGCAAGAGGCCAATATGCTACTCGTACACACACTATTATTCTTGTTGATCATGATAATCATGCAACTTTTGTAGAGGTCGAGCGGTATAAAACAAATACGGATTGTAATGATGATAAGAGCAAGTATCAGCGAACTGATTCTGAACTTGTGTTTGAGTTTCCACTTTCAATGTAAATCTTTAAAAGACTTGTCAACTTACTCGTACCTGATCTTTAACAACCGTACATCTGATCAGTCATTGAGATTACAGACTATTCAATAATAAAATCAATATCTCAATCCTTGTTATTTCATAATACTGTAAATCCATTAAAGCCTTATACAAGGAAGTAGTCAAGACTGCAAGTCAATGACTATAATCATGCTTTTGATTTTATGTAATAAGAATATTTTGTAGAAATTCAAGACAATTTCGAGTCCGACAACAGCTTGAATTTCTCGACAATTTTTAGATTGTCAGCCATTGAATTGCTAATAAAGCACTAAGCATTGTCTGCTTTACAGAATTCTATTCGATTGTGCAATCGACTCTTTTGATTACTTTTCGTCATGTCCAATCGGGTTCGAGGTCCTTCATCTGCATTATCCAGGCAAGTATTAGTGTTCATTTCAAGACACATGTTGCCATGATCACCTTGTCTGCATGTTTCATAGCAGACTCAATATTGTACTGGTTGCAATGACTGATTGGCATGTGTCTTCAACTTTCAATCTATTAGCTTCTTGAGAGAGCGGGGAATTGTTGCTCCCAGAAGAGTTGTGCGACCAGTAGAGCCCGATCAAGCACCTGATGCAGCTGCTGAACCCACTGCTATTCAGTCTGGCAGCGAGCCTTCTGATACGACCAACACAGAAAGTAACCCTCAAGCAGTCGCTTTAGAAACCAGCACTGATCAGTCTGCGCCATCAACTGTCACCATACAAGTAAATCCTACTCCGTTATTATCAACCGCTTCTAAAAAGAAAGCATCCGCAGCCAAGAAGCGGAAAAGAGGAAAGGCTGATGACAGTAATGATGAAGCGGATGAAACCTTTTATGCCAGTAGCAGATCTGCCCATTCAAAACGACGATCTGAGCCTATAGCTGCACCGTACAATATGGATCAAAAACCAACTCCAGAAATCCTGTTTTGCACACGATGCCAGCGTCGGTATCTGCCAAGTCTGAATGTCACTAAAAAGGAACAAGGGCTTTGTGATGCCTGCATCGGACTCCATGTCCAATCTGGAAAACGCATGTCTAAAATCCAAATTAAAAAAAAGAAACTGGAAAGTCTATCCATTGGTGGCGAAGCCCAAACCATCATGCTATCTCTACGTGACATGTGTATCAAGGTAATTCTGATAAAATGCACTATTCTAATCGTACCATGATTTCATTCTAACTTGTTTAATACTGCAGTTGATTGCAAACCTGATCGAGGACGTTGAGCAGTTGGGAGATATCCCATATTCTACCAAATGCAAAATCTCCAAAATCATTAGCAAACAGAGACAGTTGACAAACCATACTGTTCAGCTATTTTTAGGTCCAGAAGAAGATATAGTTGAACTATTTGATTGTACACGTAAGTGTTTGATTTTTGGATCTAGTCGTTTGCTTTGTGTCCTATTTTTTAAATACTGCACTCAATACAGGTTTGGATGAAAATGGATTGCAATCGATTGCGTATCTTTGTCCCAATGTGAAAACACTTAATTTGTCTGTATGTGGCCGTATTACCAACAAGGTGCTCGAAGAAATTGGAGCAAGCTGCAATCAGCTATCTTCATTGGTTCTCAAAGGCTGTTTTATTCCCTCCGACTTTGGCTTTTCAAGTTTATTTTCTGGTCTTGGCTCAACGCTGCAAGAGTTGACTCTTGAAAATGCTGCGAAACTGACAAATCTGTCGCTGATTACGCTATTGGAATCTGCCACTCATCTAAGGCTGCTAAGCCTTACAGCATGTGTACGACTCGGCAATGATGCAATCTCGACCATTTCAAAAATGAAATGTCTCGAGCATCTTGAATTAAACAATCTCAGTGAAGGAGTATCACCCGAATGCATTTCTGAGCTGATCTGCACTATCGGTAGTCAACTGAGAATTTTGGCACTCAATGGGTAACTTTCTTGTTTGCATACCAACTTTACTGAGCTTCATTAGTCATTGCATATAACCTTTGATAGCTGATTACAATTCGCTGTACACACCCATGCATTTAGACACGACTTATTGGATGACAATGTAGTCGCTTTTATATCTGAAACGTGCAAATGTCTTGAATCGCTATCTCTTAGCGACTGTCCTTCCATTACATCTAAAGGAATGGTGCATGCCTTGACACACCTATCTACGGAATCTTCCACTGGACTAGTTCATTTGAATTTCAATCGAAATGTGCTTTTTAATGATGATGTGGTTTTTGCATTGGTGAATCAAGCTGCAAATACCTTGAAACATCTAGGTATGAATGGGCTGGACGAATTGACTGAAAAGGCCATGCAAGCCGTTGCAGACAACTGTACCCAATTGGTTGATTTGGATGTATCATGGATTCGGTAAGCAGTTGTTACGAGCTGATATTTAAAACAACAGTTTTATTGACCATTGTTTGTATTCTGTTGAATGCCTGTTGCATGTATATTATCCAGATGCATGAGTGATACTATTTTTGAAAAAATCATGAAAAATGCAACGCATCTGCAGCGTATCAAAATATATGGATGTCATGATCTGACTTTACCGACTCTGAATCATGTATGGCGCAACAAGGAGGGTCGTGCGATTGAGATTCAAGGCAATGAATTTGATTAAACCTGTCAAGCTGGATACATTTTACAAATGTATTTTTCAAGCATTAAAGTCATTTGAATTCTTTATTTCTAAACATTACCCATTTATATCTGGATGTCTTTACGACATAATGTGGATTAAGCCGACTTTTAATGTGTTTTTGTTAAAGATGTGGGTGCTTGTGGACGTATCATATTTCGCCTTGAGGGACTAATATGATGCATTGGGTGAGCTGGAGGTTTTGGTAAGGGTGGAGGGGCTGGCTTTAAAGGCGATCCATGTGTGGATAACAACTGTGAATGGTTTCCAAACTGTTTTTGCTCAAGTGGGAGATTACTAGCTAGTTGATCGATATTTGAAATCGATTTTTGATGTTGTGAACAAGACTCGCCAAGATGCAACCCAATTGATGGATGACTTGTCAGGTCAGATACCAAAGACGATGAACCATCTGATACGGATTTCAATGCTGGATTACACGATTGAAACTGTTTTGTTGGATCCGTAGTGATAGGTGTCACATACGGTAGGGTTGGTAATACAAATGCAGATTCTAATTTTTCCATTTCGTCCAACAAATCCAGCACTTCAATGGATGTATCTGGTTTGGATTGGAAACTTGAGTTTTGGTCACTATTGCACCGAAACATAGGTTGATCATTGTCTTGGAGAGGGTTTGATTGGGTATCTTTTCGCTTCTTTATCCACTTGATTGGTAACTTGGTATCACTGATTGGAATTACGGAAAGGTGGGTATCCAATTCAAGATGTTTTGCCTTGACATGCATACAATTTACAATAATGTTAAAAAGGTCTGCACTGTCTTCAAACATCAGCGTGTTGTTTACTACTGTAGCTCCGTAAAATAAAGTTTAAACGTGATATACACCCTGCTACTAAAAACAGGTTGTACTAGGCTTACCTCGACAGCATCGACATTGTTTTTGAGTTCAAACATTGATTTGTTTTTACAAAGTCCCATTTGCATGGTTCTAAAATCCAAACCAAGAGTCGTATTAAAATAAGGGTTGCAAGTTGTTATACAAGAGTCGCATATACTGGAGTACATTGATGTGGAATTTTACATCAATCCATTGACTCACGTTTCTCGTACACTTCGTTCCATATCGATTTGCATATATATACGATCCAAAGAATCGATTAAATCCTGTTGCTCTTGTTCAAGTGCCTCACTAATAACCATTGTATTTCAAACCGTTACACTATATACACGCTTGGAATAATAAACATGAACGTTTACCGGATGGTTTCCACTAATTCATCAAACTCCTGGTCGGTGGATAGACATGGTGATGTAGATATGGACCGTACTTGATGTTGACGACTACCAGATCTACTGGACGAATTCAGTCCCATATTCAATCGCATACGATGAATGATCATCAATATCCGTTGCTGAAGCACCGATTCTGCAAAATGTCGTGATGCATTCAACGGCACTACCTAAATTCAACCCGTTATCTTGATGGGTGTGTTGCTATTTTACAATAAAATGAGATGTATACCTTTAGGATCAATACGTACTGATTCAGTTTCGGTTGCATAGTCGTGGTAAATGCTTTCTAAAGTATTCAACTCGGTGTAGAGATCGTCCGTTTTCATGATAAGTGGAATCCCAACACGTCGCTTTAGTTCTTCTCGCTCAGATTGTGGGATGGATTCAATTAAATGAGTGAAAAGGCTTGACACCCTACGTGACTCAAGTGTGTGAGGTATTGACGTTTGTTCAATTGGGCTGATGCGTAATACAGTGTGTAAATGTTGGTTTGAATCTTGTCTAGGAGTATTTGATTTGGCTGCAAAATTCAAGTGCATTTGGCGCGTTGTAGATACATGACGATGTGGAGGGTCTGTATGGCTTGGTGAAAAAGATACACACTCTGCTTGCTGACTATTGTTTTGAAATGGCTTACCATGATACGGCCGTTGTAGATTGAGCTGGGTTGGTTTATAAACATTTGGTACCGAAAGGCTAGATGGATTTGGATGCGATATCACTCGAACGAGCCTTTTTTGAGCTAATTTATCTAGTTTGGTATCTGAACTATGGAGTTCTGTCACAGTGTTGGACTCTATTGGTACTATCAATGGAAATTGAAGTGGCTGTCTAGTTACACAATTTGACATTGCATATAGTATTTGGCTTTAGTAATATAAAAAGTATTCGGTGTGTAATGATTGGAATGGCGATTTGGCAAATGTGTTTTTTTGAAATTGGAGAAACTACAAGACAACTTTAATTAGTTTAATTGGATCAATAGTAAAAGAAACACGTTCTTGGGTTTAAATGAAGATCATTTATTTTTAAACTTGTAATTCAAAAATGGTCAAGTTTGCAATAGCAGTACTAGTTGACAGAAAATAAACCTGGATTCCACTTCAAAAAACTACAAATAAACATAGGGTTTCAAAAGCCAGTTTATGATGACGGTGGCCGAGGAGGTTGACTCATAGAATATGGCATTGTGGGAGCTGGTGCTTGCCATCCATAGTAGTTTGCAGCCATTTGTTGAGGATTTGTCTGCTGAGCAGGAGTTTGATATGCTTGTGCATAGGCAGTTTGATTCATGGTTGAAGGTGAATATGACATGGACTGCATTCCCATAGAAGCCATTCCCATCCCAGCTGGATTAGACATGGGAATTGAAATAGAGGATTGGACACGTTGGGGCTGCTGAGATGCAGACTGCTGAGTCATATGTGGCAAGGTGGATGTTCTGGACATATTTCCAGCACCCATCTGCTGCATATGGTTTGAAGAAAGACCGGCATTCATCTGCTGTTGTTGCATCTGATATGCCATCATCTGAGCATTATAGAACGCGGCTTGTGGATCTTGGGCTGGCATACCACCTGCACCCATATTACCAATCATGAGATTTCCCATTGGATTTCCCATGCTGTTGCCCATACCACCGCCCATGTTATGGCCCATGCCAGCCATCCCTTTCAGTCCACCTCGTCCCATCCCACCACCACCTCGTCCCATGTTACTACCACCTCGTCCCATTCCATTACTACCACCACCTCTATTTCTGGACATACCGTTTTGCTGATTGGAATAGGACCTCTGCTGCTGAGGATAGTTGCCTCGTTGGTTCTGTCCATACCGCTGTTGAGATTGGTATTGTCTCTGTTGATTCTGATGCTGCAAACGAGGTAATTGTTGCTGAGGTCGATTTTGTGCTCGTCCTCTAGCACCCCCCCTCTGAAATGAAGATTGTGGAGCACGACGTGGTGAATTCAACTTATTTTTAAAGTTTCCTGCATGTGCTGGTTTTGCTGATGCATTTGTAGCGGGTGCAGCAGGTTTAGTGCTTGATGCATCTCCACTCACTTCCTGCTCCTCTTCTGCATCATCTAATTCACAGTTCGCTTCATCCACATCCGCCTGCTCCTCAGCACCTACACCAGATTCAGATGAAGGCATAGTAGGTACTACAACTGGCAGACCAGTCAAATTAGCAATGGCTAATGAAGCAGCTTCTATTTTTGCATCGCCTCTCTTTCCATGAGATTTTGAAGTAAACACAAGCTGCTCAGAAGCGGTGCTGATGGTCACTGTGCATACAATATTTCCAGCAGTATTACTGGGAAACTCAAGTGCCATTTTGTAGCCTTTTTTCTGGCAAAGATCGTTGAGTTGACTGCACGGATTTTCACGAGCTGGCTTGGAGGAAGCCTTTGCAGAAGCATTTTGTCGCGATTGTTTGGGATGCGTACTGCCTTGGTCAGTAGTTGCAGTGCCAGATGTGGTTTTAAGAAGTGCAGCAGCAGCGGCTTCAGCTTGAGAAGGTTGTGCTTTGCGAATATTCATAGCTAAACAAGCAACCTATGCAAAGATGGACAAGCAAGTTTCAATAAAATCAGTATCTGTGCTCTGCACCAATACAATAAAATCAATGAATGTACCTTGGAAGCATCTTCTTTAGCATCGGGATGCTTGATCCATTCATCAACAGAGGTGTACTCGATATGATTGACAGAAACAATACCACGGAATAGCCCAGTTTCGGGATTTTGAACAAACTTCCAGCTAATAGGAATCTTGTGTTTGTTGGTGTGCGAAGCCAACATAGGAGCATAGATGCGATTGTTGGTTGAAGATGTAGTAACATGATCACCATTTACATCGACTGAAAATTGAGTGGGTTGGGCATCATCACATTGATCAGCATTATGATCTTTATCAGTATCATTGCCGGCCATAGTAACGTCTTCAACCACACTGCGCAAACCCAAGTGTCGCAAATCAGAGTATGCAGAGTTGGCAACGTTTTCACAAGCCGCTTCTTTGGTGGGAAATTTGCTTTTTGTGGTATAGTTATACTCTCCAGCAACCACCAAAGTACCCTCCCATCCCTCAGGAGACTCAGTCATGGTATACATGGGTTCAGCACTCTGTGGGAAAACTTTCTTTGAAAATGCAACAAGTCGATCAAGAGGAGTCATACCCACATACTCCTCATTCGGCTCAACCTTGATGGGGATATGAGTGCCAGATACAGTAGATGTAGCAGATGACTTTGCAATTTTGGGCAATGCTGCACCATCATCCACGCGTGAATTTCCCTTTCCATCTACAGATGTAGCAACCCAATCATCATTGAGTTTAGGTCGTATAGCTGTGACGCGAGAAGCGGAATTGTCCGCCCTGCCACGCTTGTTACCGGTAGCAGTAACTTTATTGGATTGATCATCTCGCTTTTTTTTGGAAGAAATTACCATTTTGGATGTATCACCCCGCTTGAGTTGAGCCGATCTAGCACGCAGTCTATCCGGATCAAGGACATAGACACGCTTTCCTACACCCTTCCAGGCCTGTGCTCGTGCAAAATGCAATACACCATCCATCACCATGAGGTTTAAAAGATGGTGATAAAAGCTTGGAGAAGGGATGGAATCTGTATAGCCAATGCATACACTAAAGTCATCAATATCAATGGCTTGTTTCTGTGATACTCCACCCAGTACAGTAAGACCATGTAGATACCAAGACAAAATTTCTTCAAATGCAGGAGCCAAGGCAGGATCTGGAGTAAAAGTGGCTGTAGGTGCAGGTTTAATTGGAGGAGTTACATCCACAACTGGTGGTTCGGCAATCAAAGCAGCCGTTTCATCTACAGCCATATCACCACTATTGTTTATCGGAGTAGTTTCAGGTACAGTAGGAACTATGGTTTTTTCTGCAGCTACAGCAGCATCCAAAGCAGCCTTCTGAGTGGCCAAGATTGGAAATGAAAGTGAAGAAGCAATGAAATGCACTACAATGTTTTCAAATGGATTAGGCGGAAATGACTTCACACTACCAATACCATTCAATACAGGTTCAGCAATCATAGATCCAGAAGCAAAAGTGGGCTGAATAATAGTGCGATCTGTAATGCTTCTGGACACAACATTCTTGCTACGAGCATCAGTCATGACAATAAAAGTTACATGGGCAGCAAGTTTACTATGAAAGTCAAGAATATGTTGATGAATCAACTGTTTCAAATGCATGGGAGTTGTTAAACAATAGCCGAGATAAGGGATGGCATAAAACAATAGTTAGTACGCTGTCAATGCGATACGCTAATGCAGAGATTTACAAGATAAAATCGGCAAGTGCTCCGAGCAACTAAACTTACATTATCAGCAGTCTTTGAAGAGCGAGATGGAACTGACAAAATAACTAATCGACGAGGAAACCCGTCCGTATTGGGCCAGAGTCTGCCATCATCAACAGAAGAAGGGATCTGCCATCCGCATAGAGAGCCTTCAGCATCATCTAGAGCATACAGAACCAAAAGAACGTTTGGAGGAATAACATAAGAGGCAATCATGGATAGAATATCAGGAACAGCAGAAGTATTGATAAAGTAGACAGCAGAAACGGCTTCAAGCAAGGTCGAGCTTAAGAAAAGAGACTGTAGCTGAGAATATGGAGGAAGAATCACTAAAGGATGTTGGGTTTTAACGCAAGCTTCAGAAGCAAGTGGATCAGCAGAAACCACTGCGTTGGAAACGGGATTTAAACGAGACTGGGTGTCATTGGACAATGAACTGTGTAGTAGCTTCAGTAATGACTCCATCCAGCAACTGTCTTGATGGTCAAGTGCAATTTTAAATTCAAGTTTTGTTGACACGAAAAACTCACGTGATGAACATCAACTTCTGACACTGTTTATTACTCAAATCTGTCATAATATCAATCCAAGAGATTTACCAAACGTATGGAATAAACAAGTATCGCACTTTTTTGCGGTATTCATCCCAATCAGATCCATACTTGGCTCGGCATTTAGACTCGTCGCGATGTGCACGATGGATCAGCAATATAGCAAAATAGATTGCATAAAAGTATGGGATCGGTGTGTCAAACCCACAGGGAAGACACCATGCAAGCGCCATTAGCCAATCTCCTAGATGCATTCCATTAAAATCATGTTTATACTTGAGCTTACATGATCCGTTTATAAACAATCCGAGTCTGATGTGATAGTGTTGCAATATATATTACCTGTGTAGTTGATTTTGCGTGCACATCCCCACCAGCCAGACAGTAATAGTTTGCTTCCAGATTTTGTATGCATATACTTGAGATGCTTTACGCTTTTCCCGTTTGGATCGCTTCTAAATGCATTCTTTTGTCCGTTTGCACCTCGAAATACCCATAACCCAACTAGATTCAATGCCACTATCGCCGCTAAAGCCTGATATGACAAATCTACTGGGAAAAAACACAAATACCTCGCTTGTAATGTGTATACAAAAGGCACCCATACAAGATCTCCGAATGCCAGCATGAATCCAAATCCATCAGTGGTAATATCCATCGTAGTAAGAATCGCTTGTTCGTTCCAAAGTGCATCAATAACATAATACGCTTGAAAAACAACCACGGCAACCATAGAATTGGTTGTACGGCCTATTTGAGTGTATTGCTTGACACAAAAGGCAAGATTGAGCAAGGCCCATCCTATAAGGCCTGGACGCAGCTCACACATATATTTTAGATCTATCCATCCACCTAGAATTCTCGGATTAAGCTCTCTGCCCATCCAAAAATCATAAATTGGATATCCTGAATTTCCACCTTCAGCCAGCAGAGTATTCTGTGATCTAAATGAACTTAAATACAAAAGTAGAGACATGATCGTTGAAAATAGCATTGATGCCACCCCTAGTTGCAATGCATGGTCTGCAATCCATACAAGATGTGTCGATCGAGCGTATACATAAGAAGCCATAGTGAGCAACGTGCATGCAATCAAGGCTGCAAACCCATTGATACGGTAATCAAGTATGTCGCCTGTACGAAGCAAGGTTCCCTTGACGAGACGACCCGGGAGAATAATGCTGAAGACGATATGCATTAACATCCATCCCAAAACACACAGGATTGCATCTTTGTCGATCCATACGATATCTTGAAAGTGTAGTGTCGATATGGATGCTGGTGAGGTAACGAATGCATCTAGTAACCACGACGGAGGACATCCATCCTTGTTGCAAACCAAAAATAATCCAACAGTAGTAAGTGGAAGTCCCAATATAGCGAGCAGAGTGCCATGTGGGCCCATGAACTCATAATGCGTCGTTATTGGATTCAGGATTCGCTTCTTCAAGGAACCATCAATGTCTAATTATGCATGTCTGTAAATAGTCATGCCATTGAGCATCATCCACTGGATTTCGATAAAACTATTACCTTGCTTAGACCCAGTATGGCTAGATGCGGGCTTCCTCTGTCGTATATGGTCCATAATGTCGACGTTTTTGCTAGAATCCAATCAAGATTGATCTTGCAATTCACAGTCGTATTTACATGAAATAAAATACTTTTTTGTATTGATCTTGTATCGACCCTTTTGCTTCGGAATATACAATGGTTGTGTATTTGTTATTGGATATTGATTCGTTCTTTTATATAGGCTCTGTTGTATCTTAATATCAGATACGTTTTCGCGCCAGTTCAAGAAAACATCTCATGCAACTGTTGTTTCCATAAAAGTTATCCAGCTACTACAATATCAGTCAACCGACTGTAAACCCAACACTATCCAATCAAACTTTAAAAAACATGTCTTGGCTAATCAATAAACAAAAACTATTTTATATCTAAATCGATATACTTGGTAATACAGAGTCGTACTGGGTGAAAAATAGAAGAAGCGAATGTGATGAAAAAGCCAAGCAATAAACAGGGGATACAAAAGGCATGAAATAAATTTCAGTTTAGATCTTGGCATGACTTGTTCTCGAGAACTTGTGATGTGCCAGCATGGCATGTATTGTAGGCTATTGATGCTCTAGATGAATCAGGCGTAATGGACGAGGCCAAAAATGATGATGATGACACTGGAAATGATGCTGTATTCGATTGGATGATGCATGGCTCAGAAAAGGATGGTCTAAGTGAATTGACTTTGCATGATCTCTTGGGAACAAAGAACTGATCAAATGGATTGGCTCGTTTAACACCTGATGCATTTGGAGATGATCTTGTGAAAGTGGGATTTGCTTTTGATAAAGCAAGATATGGATTGGGCGGTGCGCCATATTGTGCAACTAATGTTAGCGAAGAGCAAGGGTTGGTTGTGGGTGATAGTGGATGAGACGCAAGAACCTGACTACATAGGTTTGATAGTATAGTGAGTTTTGTCATGGTGCTGGGACATGCTACAGCGGAGACTAGTGAGGGGCTGGACGGTATAGCAACGAGATGGCCGGCGGTTGATGAGCCACGAAATACAGACGATCGCGTCAGCTTGCTCTTGGGAAAACGACGACGACAGTCATTGGATGGTTTGAACGTTGAAGTCGCACTATCCAAGTAGGACATGGATGTTGCTTTTGGCAATTCACAGATCGGGGGAAAAGATAAATAGGGTTGCAAGGCTACTGTGGTTGGTTTGACCATGCATGTGCTGTTGCTAATAGTAGAACAGTGCTGCGATGGTAAAGAATGTGTTCTCCATACTCGAGCAGTGCCAGTTTTTTCAGCATCCATCACAACCACCATGGGGAGATTAGCGGATGCGACCAGTGGTGCAGCAGATGGGGATATGGAAGTGATCAAAGATTTTACTTGAACGATAGGACTTGTGTAAAAGGAGTCGCAGCCATGATCCACATCATGGCTTGTAGTTGTACTGGTAACGCTTTTGATAGGACTAAGAGCAGAGCATTTGCAGCTCGACTGCCCACAACATCTAGAGCAGATAGTTGCGTCGGAAGACAAATCTGTAAGTTGCGGGGACAAGGCAGCGACTCTTTCCTTTGGCCAAAACGACTTGGTGCTATGCAAGTGAGTATCCCGAAAGGGATGGTTTGTAGTAGAACCGTTTGGAAGATAGTCATAAACCAGAGTATCAACAGTCTGAAAAAAAGAGCTGGACGTCTTTTTCAAAGTATCAACAGAGTGAGTATAGTTGCTATCGACAGTTTTCGTAGGCCCAGAACCAGTGGGAATGGTATCATGAGAGTATTCGCAAGGATCTGATAGGGTCCCCAAGTCAGCATCGCTCATCGTGTCTAGCGAAGGCGCGGCACCAGAGGTGAGGGAGAAGTTTAGGCTTTTTGTTCTATCTCTGGACTCGACCAACATAGTAGAATGAAAGTCTAAGCTTTGCCAGGGCTGATGAAAAGTAGAGAGTGAAGTAAAGATAGGAGCACTGACAGTAGTGCTGACAGGAGTGACAGTAGGGGTGGATGTGATGTATAAGTCGCGCAGAATTGGCGTTGTGGGTTCGGACACGACGTCAGCGGATACTTGCAGCAGACCCGAAGTTTTATTTTTAAGCGAGCGCGGACAATTGACAGCAGTGTTGCTGGAGAGAGTGGATGGCATCTTGGCGGTACAGGAGGTGGCTTTAAAGGACAGAGCAGCGATACCTGTGGAGTCTGTTTATAAAGTAGATTGATAATGGAACAGACAGGGCCAGAAAATGGGTTAGTTATATATGGCTATTAAAGTCGAAAATGTTTGAACTCAATAAAGTGGATTGGCACAAGTACAGAGCAGTGGATATACTTGCACCTGGTACTTTGTATCAGGATGAGGGGTGTTGAATGCTAACAAGTCAAGTATAGATGGGAGCTTATGAATGGTATGGATGTTTTTGTAATATCGACGTGATTGCGTGGGGATGAAAGAGTGGTGCAATAGAAAGAATTGCGGTATGCAACTTGGAGCATTAACAGACAGCCAATTGGATATTGTACTTTGAGGAATAGAGCGAATGTTTGAAGGGTGAATGTTTGAAGGATGAATTCATACCAGGCATAAATAACTGCCCCAATTATATATCAAGCAACTTTCAAAGTGATGTCCGACCTGTCCAGAACTCCACAAATCGAATCTATAGTAAGCATCACGCGGTTGTTTCCCATAAAAGGAAACCGCAGGTGCAAATACCATTCAATTGTTTGGGGAAGATCATGTTGCTTGAAAAACGAAAAGCAGTATATACGAAGGGTAAAAACTTTGCAACAAAAATGCTGAAAGGTCAAAAAATCACCCACTGAGAGGGTGATTAGATAGTTGTCTAGCAACAAGTATCAAAGCTCAAACGACACAGCAGCCACATTTGAATAATGTGAGCAGCAAGTGTCCTATTGCTAGACACATCCAACCTTTTGCATTTCACAAACCATTTACATACATCCACATCCACCTTCATATTAGATCACAAAGATTGCTATATGGGAAATTGTAAAACGCCTCATTACCTTGTGGTTTATCTCTAGACCTATTTGTTGAGTGATCGCATTGTCCAAAAGCAGGCTCTGCATGCGTTTGAGCCTTGAAGCAATGCTCGTTGCCAGCTACTAACCCAATAGGGCTCAGTGGCAATACACATTTGATATCAATTGATGGAATTGGGGCTTGTAGTTGCGAAAGTGTTCGAGCTCGAACAGGAGTCTGTGGTGACAGCAGTCCGAACGCTGTGGATGCCATTTATGGATATGGAAAGAGTTAAATAAAAGTCAATATGTAGCTATTCCTCCTGGTGTGAGTGGATTGCTATGATTCAAGCCAATGTCTGATATTGTTTTGAAGGAAAGACAGAAGTTGGTACGGCTATCAAAAGTGTCCGGTTGCTAGTATGAGCAGTGAATGTCTGCAATAGACGAGTTATGACAGGTAGCAATGAAGCAAATGCGTGTTGTAGCCTATTGAAAGCAGACAAGCTTATTAGTAGTAGACAAACAGAAGTGGTGAATGTTTAGCCCAATAATCCAACTGGCCAAAAAGGGTAGGTGGCAGACGTAAGTTGGTCCGAGTCAATGTAATGGTTGTAATGGCCAAAAATATTAAAAGAAAATCAAGCCTCTGGCTAAAAACCGCATCAAATAATTTGCACTTGGAAATCCGATAAGCAGTGGAGTATTCATGCTATACCAAGTCTGTAGCGGGTTCTCAGTGCATATCAACATTTATGAGTGCGGGTTTTGCAGCTTCATTACAAATTCTGTTATTGAATCATTGGTGGGATTTTGGGGTGAGTTGACTTGAGTAGATCTTTCTAGATTCACAAGCTATCTAGCAAGACTGTCTTTTAACAGTTCTATTGGAATGGCATTGCAAGACCACTCAGCGCTTTGATGTTAAGCCATGTCCGATATCTTGCATTGTGCTAAATGAGTGATCCTAGCATGGGATCATGTGATGATGGATGGTTTCCAAGACCAAAATATTTCAGTCAACATTGCTACCATCTTTATTGGAACATCTAGTATAATGGTCTTGCAGAGTGAATCCTCAAATGCTTCTGTCACATCCCCACAACGAGGGCTTGCCTCTGCTACTCCTATTGCTATTCCCAACGAACTGAAATCTAATTCATTGATGCTGACTGGACTATCTAGATCTCCGTCAGCCAGACCGCCTCCTTCACCATCATCCATTCTAGTATCAACAGTAGATGATCGCAAGGGGGTTGTGCAACGAGCTCGATCTGGAACCTTGAGCAGCACTGCTAATCCCAACAATCATAATAGTCATTCCAATGCAAGTGATAAGCACTCTTGCAACAGTCATGCTTCCAATAACTGCACTTCTCAAACTGCAATGTCCTTTTCCAAATCCCTCTTGTTTCGAGTCATGGTGTTCCGCAAGATCCTTCTAATAAATGATGGCAGGGACAAGGTTCTCAAATGTGCGCAATATGCTGCAAAGCTCTTGCTTTGGCTCTATTTTTCTAAAGACTCCAAAACCCATTCAATTACTCAAACTCAAGCATCCAAAATCGCATCCCATTTTTCTCTTGCTAGAAAGATTATTCGTCTTGGCCATTGGCTAGAGCCCATCAATGATCACATGAATTTATCGAAAGAAGGATTGCTTACAATTCCAAAGGGACTATCGCTTGGAGATCAGCATGTCCGTATGATGGCTCCATTAAATGCATGGATCGGCATATTAAACGACATTGCCGATGATGTAATCTGTCTATCTAAAATGGGTGTTCTTCCTCAATTGCCAGAAAAATGGCTTCAACGAACAACTGCCATTTCCGATCGGTGTTGGTATGCTTCTATTTTTATTGATGTACACGCAGGATACCATAGCATGCTCGAACTGCACCGGAAGGTTGACTCTGCATCAGATCCAGTGCAGCAGCAAGTACTGAAAGACAAGCTGTTTATGCAGCGGGTCTCCATGCTCAAACTGGCAATGGACTTTGCATTTTGCTCAATAGATGTGTTCCATTTGGGCGATAAAGTGGATGACGGTTTACAAGTTGTAACCGGATTTACTGCAGCATTATTGGGCACATTTAAACTGTATCGTAAATTAAAATGAACAAGAGTCCAATATCTTGCTAAATCGATGCTTTCGTCTAACCATGGCTATAAATTCATTTCAAACTGTATTCTGTTTTCCCCTGTCGCGAGCTAAAATGCAAGGACTGCAGCCAAAAACCAAATCGCAGCCTCACCAATTGCCCCTTGAAGTCACTGGGGACTCGAGTGTCTGTGTGGGACTATCAGGTAGTAGTTGGTTTGAGTAAAGGCTCTAGTCTTTACTCTTTCTTCTACTTCTGTTGGTCCTTATTTTTAAATATTTGGAGGGGATAAACGACTGGCCTTGACTGGTGTTTCTTTGATCTGCGTACAAGTTGATTGTCTTGCCTTATTCTATGGCATCTCCAGATTGGGTTCTTATATCCTATACCTTGATATGGGAACTGCTTGTCTTTGGATTATCTACATAGTGGCTTGAATACAGCTTTGTTTTGGTCATCCATGGCTGCCATGTTTTTGCTGTGGGTTTAATCCTCGGCTTACTTTGGTAATAGAGTGATATTGATACTTTTGGGATCAAGGCTTGATGGAGCAGGTCAGACAAAGGCGATAGGACTAGATAGTACCTTGGGTATTACTGGAGTGTGTTGGATCTCGCTACCTCTCTTTGGTAGTTTGGTCTTTCCATATTCAGTCCATGGTAATACTATCTTGTCGTCTTTTCTGATATGACGAAATCTGCCTCCTTTATCTTGATTTATCAACTCTTGTCGTGATGTCTATCAGTATTGTTTACTAAAACAATACTGGACTTGACTCGGTTGTGGTCACTTTTGGCATGTTTCCAAATGACTCGGTTTTTAAAACTTGGTGGATGGATATTGAATCGAATATGAATGTTGGATAAGCGGGGTTGAATAGTCTGTGCGATGTGATCAGAAACCCTTGCTGCCTTGGTCGCCCTATTATCCAATCCATTTCAATCTCCAAGAAGAAACCTATTGCACTATTACCTTGTTTGGATGCTATAATTTTATTAGTTTACCAACCAACTTATACTAACTTTCTAGCCTAAATCACCGCTGTATCCACATATAATGGAATAATATCCAGTTTATTGGATAGTATTCTGTCTTGAACTCTTTAGCTTGTTGGTTTTTTGGTGATCGTGTAGTGTATGGTTATATCAAAAGTGGAGAAAGTGATAATTTGATTGTGTATGCATTATGCAATGGTCGTTGTGTTTGAAAGAATTGTGAATATCTATTAAGAAACAGTCTATTTTCAATAGGAAAACGCAGCGAATATCTGGTTATTTTATATCCAAACAATCACTGTAAGATGAATACAAATGTATCGCATTTTATGCGAATATGATTGCGAAAACCAATTTATTTCCTATTCTTTCCAACTTTAGAATAGTACTGGCGTGTCAACTTTATAGGATGCGTTCATTTTTACTCACTGCTGCTTGTGTTATCTTTGCATGTGCCAGCACTATCATGGCTCAAATTGATACAGTCCCAGATTCACAGATGTGGGATAATCCTAAATTTGAATCCAAACACAAGTCCAATTATCAGTTCCGTATTCGTCGTCGTATCCCCGTAGATGACCCACACCGTGACGAATAGGTTTTAAATCACAATACCATATATACTGGAGTTTTATACTTGAAGAATTTCACTGTTTAAACTTGTCATGGTTTCAGCTGGTATGCTTCTGGATTGCGAGTTGGCCAACTTATCTAACCTACTGCACTGCGTCGTAAATAAAGAATCAAAATGTGTACTGTTGATATGACTAGTTTCATTTAAAAACCTTGAATTTAATAGTATACTATTGGTAATAAATAATTGTATTTGATTTGTTTAGAACAACTATATATCATATTAAAACTCAAGTAAACTCGACAGGACTTGGCTGCCAAACAGGTCATGAAAAACTATATACAGAGAAACATTTATACGTTTTTATCCATTCTTTAGTGTTGGCATACTTACATACAAAGCCGTTTTTAAAGCTATGCCAAGTATGCTTGAATGTCGATCAAGACGCGATAATATCGTGACAAAAACGCATGGAAAAAACAGGTTTGGCTCGTCTACTTTAAATACTAGCCCTATATCTACAAATATCATTTAGAGCTATACAAAACTAAGAGTGCTAAATCCAAGCCAATTTTTAGCCATTCAATGCATCAAAATAGCACTACAAAATAAATATCGAGTATGAATTTTATTGATGTGTAAATCATGCCATTCAAATTTCCAGGACTTGCAAAAACGAAAACGCTTGATAAAAAGTTATAGTTTGGCAGCACAGGGAAAATGGGACTCATCCAGAGACACCGAGTTGGTAGTAATTCCATGTAGACGATCTGCCATGTCTTGAAATATGGCGGCAACACTATTTGCAATGTGCGAGCTGGCTTGTCCGCGTTTTACTCTTGCTGCTATACCCTGAGCAATCACTGCCAGCTAAAATACGTCAAATTGATAGTTTAGCAATGATTCGGGTTTGACAGACAATTGTATTGGGATCTGAAACACTAATTGAATCAACTAGGCATGCTACTTGCTCGAAAAAATGAAAAGGCAACACAAAAATTCCAATTTGGTATGGGATAAGGCCGACCGATTTGTTTACAGTAGTGGTAGATAAGTTCGTTTGCTTCTGGAATCGACAAAGGCCGTACAGCATCATACAATCCACTTGCCATGCCAGATTGGCGTTTTGAAAAATACCACGGCATTAAAAAGTTGGCAAGATCGGAAAGTGGGTGTCCTATTGTGGATCTGTACAGAGTATTAGATTGTAGAAAACATCAACAGTCCACATGCATACTGGCTGCTGGTATACTTACAGTTCCCAATCTAAAATTCCAATGATTTGAGGTTTTTCCAAATGAAATACCTAAACATAAGTTGTCAGATCTTATATCCTAGTACAGAAAGTAGCATAATAACAAGACTTTACCAAATTATCCAACTTGTAGTCACCATGCACAATTGTGATCTGGTCTGCCACAATATTTTTGTGAAGCCAGGCAAGAGAATCATCAAGATGGACAAGCTTTCCTACATTGGAACCATTTTTATCTTGGATATTTGCTTGGATTTGAGAGACTTGATGTAGCCGCTTTAGCTGTCGTTGATAGTACCCACCAGATTTTCCATACTCTTCCAGACCAGCTTTGCGATAGTCTATACAATGCAAACGAACTAGTGTATCTATTGCAGAATAAAAGCTAATCAAACGATGGCAATTATCAGCAAAATCATGGTCATCCAATCCTAATTTTCAGAGTTGCAATACCAGTTCACTCAACTATTTCTTCTTATTTTCTACAGATATCACTGACGGTATGAGTATATTTTCAAATATGCGACCATTTAGATACTCCATGGCCTGGTTTAGGATAAAATGCATGATTAAATCATCAGATATACACTTGGTGCCAAGTGGTACATCTTACATAAAAAGGTGTTCCAAGAACAGAATGATCTTGACAAAGCAGATACACCTGTGGGACTGGAACCCATGTAGTCTGATCAGAACTTCGATGCTTGTAAAGCGAGTCCAAAACCCAGTACTCTCGCTCTACTGCATGAGCTGTTTGAGACATCAGCGTGCCGGGTGGTTTTTTCCGAATCACAAGCAAATGGCCATGAGCATCTGCTACAAGAAAGGTAGGATTGCTTTGTCCAAACTTGAACTGTCTTGCAGTCAAAGGAAATACAAGTCCAAAGCTAGGAGGTAAATGCTTTGCTAGATAGAGACCCAACTTTGCCAAATCAAATGGTGTCCTGGAGAATTAAATGTGTATTGGAAGGCTGTAAGTAAATGGGATGGTATTGGGATACACATGATAGTAGACTTGCTCTTGTCGTATTTCCGATGTTTCATTGCCAAGTGACTGATATTTGATACTGTGCATTCTTGCAAGAGCAAAATAATTTAAACATGCCAAACAAGTTTAAATTCATCCACCCAAACACTGAAGCCAGTCTCATGGAATGATGATTTGCTGGACAGTATTATGTCAATGTATCGTTGTATTCCAGACAAGTGATTATTGTTGTAAACTAGATTTAAATGCAACAAAGTGTGGTTTTAAAAGCAGTCACAGTATCTGAATTGCAGCAAATCTGATGATTGTACAATCTATGACTGCAAAAAAGAGATCATTTAGTTCAAAACCATAGTCTGCACTGTATGATGGATGGCATATTCTGAAGAATTGAAAGCCAATTTCTAGTAGAAAGCAAAGCAGTATTTAGCCGCATTTATTCCGAGATAGAAATGACAGTTGCTCAAGATAGTGTTTTACACGAATAGCGGCTGTGAAACATCGGAAGCTGTGCGCAAAAACTCGCCATCAATCACGTGTAGTCTTTTGATTGGTAGACGAGCAGACTTGGCGCAAATACCACTGCTGTATCCACGTGAAACGAATCACTAAATAAGGAAGCTAAAATACAAGTCTCATGAAATGATTCGTATTGCTGGATAGTCTTGTCATATGAACTGTTGGTTGATTGGGTTTCTTCTAGTTTCTGACATAGAGACAGCATTTGTGTTCTTAAACTGATACATTTCTTGAACTAGAGCGCGAATATGATTCAAGATACAACAAAGTTGACATAAACAGTCGAGTCTGGCTTCAAATTTGTTGACTATACAATGTATGGCTATGCCAATGATGAATGAGTCGAGTGTTTATTGAAGTAATCGATTTCAAATAGAAAAACAACGAATATTCAACCATTATTTATTCCAAAGCAAAATTGAGGCAGTCAAGATAAATAGTTTCATTTTGCGTGAATACGGCCGTAAAGTTTTATCCGTGTTGCTGCTTGAAATTGATATTTTTATTAGTTCGACATATCAATCCATTTCTACTTTCTATTCCAACAACGCCTGCTATTTTAAATCATGCCTTCCACCTACCTTGTCACTGGTGGTGCTGGATTCATTGGCTCACATACGGCTGAGGCTCTACTTTTAAGAGGCGATTCTGTCATTGTTGTCGATGAAATTAATGATTACTATTCCATTAACCAGAAGCAACACAACTTGGATGCCCTATGTGCTGCTGCACTTCGCTCCAAGTCTGCATTCAAGTTTTATCAAGGCTCATGCCAGGATGAATCGTTCATGGCAAACATATTCGAAGCTGAACATATTGATATAGTCTGCCATTTAGCCGCAAGGGCGGGAGTACGACCGTCGATCAGGGTTAGTATGATTTCTTACAACTTCCATTTTAATTCCTCCTGTTTCGCCATTCAACTCTACTAGTGCTTTGATTATGGATGGGTCCAGCATATGTAATCACGCCTTCCTACATTTGGAGTGCTATAATCAAAAAGCATTTTTATCATCTGTCGAGTAGGCGGCTCTTTGCACTGTATTAACATCCTTAAGATGGTGGTTTACAAACTACGATTTCATGTGGCTTGAGATTTGTACTGATGGTGACCATTTCTGTTACCAGCCGCTTTTATCAACACATGTTCAATGATTCCATTGCAATTATTAACAGGCTTATTCCAACTACCATTTGAAAATAGAACCCCTTTCTTTATATTCAGGCCAATGTAACTGCTACAGTCAATCTACTTGAGCTTTCTCGCCAACACAATATTTCAAATTTCGTATATGCATCGTCATCTTCTGTGTATGGAAAAAACACCAAAGTACCTTTTGCTGAAACAGACCGCACAGACTATCCTGTTTCTCCCTATGCTGCCACAAAAAAAACATGCGAGTTGATGGCAACAACATATAATCACATGTATGGATTGCCAACAACCGGACTACGCTTTTTTACTGTCTATGTAAGTCGGTATCACAATCTCATTCGAGTCATTGCTTTACAAACCTAATCTAAATAATTCCATCTACGATAGGGTCCAAGAGGTCGACCAGATATGGCCCCCTTTCTTTTTGTTGACAAGATCTCTCGCGGTATCCCCATTGACAAGTTTGGCGATGGTACATCTTGCCGCGACTACACGTTTATTACCGATATTGTCTCTGGCATCCTTGCCGCACTTGACAGACCTAGCCAGAAAGCTGCCATATACAATCTTGGAAATTCTGCAACAGTGTCGCTGAATGACTTTATTCATGTCATTGAAGAAACAGTCGGAAAAAAGGCTGTGATCCATTCATTGCCTGATCAACTAGGTGATGTCTTTCGTACCTATGCAGACTTGACTCTATCGGAGCGCGAGCTTGGTTATCAACCTACAACCGATATTCGCGCTGGTATGCGGCTATTTGTCGATTGGTATCAAACGGCATATCGGAAAACACAGGAAATGGATGCATTGCAAACCACACAGACAGAACATGACTCTAGGCTTGAAAAAAGACAGTTGTCCTTCAAACCCAGCGTTGGGGTGAATTTGGCATTTTGTGGTATGGAGCAGCAGCGCTTGAAAATGAGGCTGATTGACAATGACGGATCAGTGCATGGAAATGGGACATCAAATGAATCTGTCCCACTATTTTTGGAATCGATTGTTTCATCACGGTGTATGATGCAATCACCTTCACCACCCCCTTCAGACTGCATGGCATTGGATTATGCTATATCTATACAGGATGGCTAATTTTCCTGTGAAAAATATCTTTTCGAGAACCTTTGGTGTTACTAACATTCAACGTGCTCACACCAGTTGAGGTTGGTAAATAAAGGAACTCGAATTTGAACTTTTAGTCTGTTTTATACTGTAGTGCATTATTTTGACAATCTTTTAGATTTTCATATCATTCTCATTCAATCATCCACAAGTTATTCTACTTGGTAAAAATAAAGACTTTGTGAATTTATTTCCCGCCTTTTTTGCCTTTTCCTTTTCCTTTGCCTTTTTTGCCAGCTGTAGTCGAGCTAGGAGGTGTAGCAGGAGATTCTGGCAAAGCAGGAGCAATGCTTGATGGTTGGGGCACAGTTGTGTCAACGGGTTCAGATTCAGGCAAGACAGGAGCAATGTCGGATGGTTGGGACACAGTTGTGTCAACAAGCTCAGATTCATTAGAGATAAATGTTCCCTTGCTCATAGCTTCTGAAACTTCCTTTTCAAGTCGAGCAATACTAACAGCACGAGTCATGAGTAAATTCAAAAATTTACTGGCTTCAATAGTACGTTCATCTTCTTTGCCCAGTTTGGATTCGAAAAACTCCAATGCAATTCGTTCAGATTGAATAGCCTTGCGGTACTCATCAATCATGCATTGACCCTTGGCAAGCGCTTCGTATGTAAGCGCAGTGTTCAGATGCTGAGCGCCGTGCGTCTCAACACAAGACATGGCTGCAAGTTCAAAATAAGTCACAGCAAGCTCACGATGATCGAGTCTCTGCAACATAGATCCAAGATTGGACTGTTGATGTTGAGTAAAACAAAGCAAAAGAATAAAATAATCAATTATTAGTAGCTATTCAATATTCGTTCTTTTCAATGCCATCCAACTTATTTGAAATACTACTTACATAGATAGATGTCGTGTCAGGATGCTTGCTTCCATCACACAGGATTGACCAGTATCTAGCAGCATGCTTCATGTACTCAAGTCCAAGTTTTGAATGACCAGCAACAAACTCAAAGTAAGCCAAGTTCATGTATTGTTGAATAGTCTCGGCACTATCTATACCATTGATACGTTCAGAGACAACAATGGCACGCTGCTGGAAATAAAGTGCACGCTCCAGATCATCGTCATTAAAGTGGATCATGGCAAGAGATCCAAAAATACGGCATACGTTGGGATGAATAGGACCATAGATTTGCTCAGACATGGAAAGTGATTCTCGTAAAAGCTCAATGCCAAGCTCTTTGCGATTTTGCAGCAACATGTAGCGACCATGCTCAAACGCATCTTCGGCATAGGATGATCGGGGTTGTGCGTGCTTGACAAGTGGATAGACATTGGCAATATCAGATGGTTTATAGAGAGCCGCTGTGGTAGTGCTAAATGGAGCAGATGTAGATTGAAGTTGGAAACCGACTACAAGAGCAAGTGCGCGCACAAAGGCAGTGGGTCGAGTTTTCCAGAAAGTATCATTGGCAGACAGCTGGTGGCGGAATCGCTGGCTAACCTGCTTGCGAATTTCAGCATGCAGACCGGCTGGTGTCAAGTTCATGAACGCTAATTCTTCTGTAGTATGGTGCAATGCCAACTTTTCGGGAACAACAGTTGCATCATCATCGGCATAATAACAGTTTAGGAAATGGGAAATGCACGAGCCTGCAAGAAATTGAGGTAAATCCTTGAGGTAGTTACGCAAAATACGCTTGGAAGCACGGAGAATAGTCTCTTGAGTGGACAGATCAAGAATAAACTTGATGGACGGTTCGGTAACTTGCAACAACGAATCAATCAATTTACCAAGGTATCTCATGTTGATACCTCGACGATGAAGCATTTTGGTGAGACCATCGCTGTCGGCAGGAATGGAGCTAGGATGGTTGACGACATCAAGAACAAGTTGAGAGATTTGGCGAGTCACATACAGAGATACCTCGCGCACGGACATTTCGCTCGAGTCCGTTACATCGTTGGCATCACCAGTTTTGACACAGGTAAATGCATCCATGTTGAAAGAAAGATCAAACTCGAAAGGAATCTGGGGATCTTCCTTTGGGCTTTCCTTTGAAGTCTTGGTCTTTTTGCCATGCGCAGCCTTTTTTGTAGAAGTGGTGGATTTTTTAGCTTCTTCTACTGCTTGTTGATGCTCTTGGATGGCAAAGCGAACCTTGTGCTCATAGAAACTTTCAATCAATTCAGGTCGAAGTAGTGTCATGCGATGTGGATATGGGTTGGTTTCACTTTCCGCATCTACAGTTTCCAAAAATTGAATATCGACAGGTGTCAAACGGAACAGATCTAGCATATAGCTACGAGAATCTGTGCCAAAAACACCCTTGGTCTCCACAGAAGTGTACAAATCATGCGATGTTTTCTTTTCGTCAAGCACCTTGTGCTTCTTAAGATGAAGACTCTTGGCAAGTTTAGTGGCAATGAGCTCGTCAAATTTGGAATTGCTTGCTATTTCCTTGCCACTATCAATAGATCCATACTGTACTGTGGGTTCCTGATTGGCAGCACGATGAAGAAGTCCGGGAACAATCGACTGGCAAACAATACGGCGACCCATATAGTCCACGACAGCTGTGCCGATTGTGTACACACCCTCAGCATCTATATTTGAGATCAAACGAATACCATCAATGTCTTTGCTGGCAGCAACGTGAGCAGCTTCTTCGCCACCATAGGGATCAAACTGGTCACGGTTGTCGTATCCCTCGGAAAAAAAGATATTGTTATGAATATACATCTGCGATGCATCTGCCTCAAGAGGATTAATTGATGAAAGAGTCTTGTTGACAATGCTCACAGCACCTCGCACAGCTGCATCGACAAAGTCGGAATGAGCTTTGAATACAGCCTGATCGCGAGTAATTCGCTCTTGTGGAGTTTCCTTGCTCAAATCGCGAGCAGACTGAAGCTCTTCATTCCAGTCATGGGTAGAAATAGCATCAATCACATCAGATGCAACAAACGCCATATCCATGGATCTACCAGGATCATTTTTGTGGACTCGAGGCTGAACAATCCAAGGATAAGAGGGAAGCGAGGTGAGGACGTATTCAAATGGATGATGTCCAGTAATTTGCTCTTGAAGTTTACCAAACTGCTGTTCAAATTGAGCACTAGCTTTTGACAATAGGTCGGGAAGCATGTGCATCACTTTGGTCGATTTTTTGTTGAGTGTAGGATCAAATGTGGTATCGGTGCACCCGTTGATGTAAAAGCCGGACACAGACGATGTGATTTCAAGAACAGTACCCTCAAGAGTGACAATGGACAGGTAAAGCAGATCACCAGCCATGCGACGGTATAGAGGAGGTGGATTCCAGCATGAAAGATTAATGCTTTTCAAACAGGGTTCTGGACTACTATGGAATCGGGGTGGTACAAATTCTGAAATGTTGGTGATCAAGGATTCTGATGAAAGGATACCATCAAGAATAGCAGTAACATCTTTCAGTTCCATGGGATCTTGAGTACGTGTGCGTTGGGTAGATTCAGTAGCTGCTTCACCTTCAGGTTCAACAGGTTCTGCCATTTCACCTGAAGCAGCAATCTTGTTTTCACCATCAGTGATGGTTTTTTCTTCATTGTCAGTAGTAGCCTCATTTTCTTTTTTTGCCTTGCCAATGGGTGCGAACGTTTCACGCGCAATAATCGAGTCGCGATCAATGCTTGATAGGAACGATGCAGATTGGTCAATGCCATACAAGTTCAGAGAGGGTTGATAAGCAGTCAGTATTTCACGAAGTCGATTGATATGAACACGCACTTCACTTTCATTGTACACATCTGATTCAGTGTTTGAAGTTGTTTCAAAGGTAAAGCGTAAGTACATGGTTCACACTCGAGCAGAGTAGTTATGAGAATCAAACCTACCTTGAACAACAAAAAACTGATTTTTCTCAGGAAAGCCTTCAATGGATTGGAGCTGAGAAAGTTCGTTTTGGCGATTTCCTTCATGAGCAATATAGAAGCAGGTATAGAATTGTGATTTTGGCGATTCATACACTACTTGACGAATGTCTTGAATGGTACTAGTTGGAAGTGCCTATGCCAAACCATACATATATGTTGAGTTGGAATTGCATCGAGTACAGTTGTTTTGTAACATTACAATACACGATCAACATCATTGCGTGCATGGTGTCCAAGTGCTGATTCAAGTATATAATGCAAGACCACTGCCTTTCAAACAATAAAAGCCACTTACCATGATCTGAATGCTACCAAGATCATTAGGGAAAACAAGCTCAATGGTAGTGGCTTCGAGATTTAATGCCATCAAATTTTTCAACACATCAAAGATTCCATTGCAAAAATGATACAAAGGTACAAGAATAGCAAGCAGTTAATAATTTAATCCAATAAAGTGGCAGGTTTTATCATTGCAGAAACACTGAATAGTGGATAGCTTGTTGCTTTGAGCTAGCACCCATCCAAACCAGAATTCAAAACAAAAAGAAAGTGCAAGTTGTAATAAAATACAATCTGAGCAGCTTCATGGATTGGCAATATCATAGACAAACCTTGCTGAGCTTCGGTTGATTCAACATCATCGGCAGTAAGAACAGTAGCATCTTCAGCAGTAGAATTGGAGTCAGGATTCAAAGAAGTCGCCTCGGAAGAACGATCGACAGCAGATGAAGCAGCAACACTGGGCTCGCAGATGTCCTTTGAATGATTTTTTTTTGTAGTGGAAACATTCTTTGACTTGGTAGGGCATATTGGAGTAGCCGGCTTCCCCTCAACAGTCGAGGTTGATGCAGGAGTCATGCTGATGGATTTGTTATAGAAATAAAAAAGAAAAAAGTTTGAATACGATCGGTCTGAATGGGGTCTATCAGCAGGTGAGGACTTGCAGAGGGTTGACTAATGGGAAACTTTTTTACTCTGTAATTTTACTACAAACTGAAATCATTTCTTATAAGTTTATTTGGCAAAATGTTGACATTATCCATCTAAGAAACCAAAGAACAATAAAATAGATTAAAAATAGAATATTAAATACGCAAATATGTGCTGGCTTGGTTGAGCTAGCGAGTATGTCTATTCCATACACCACCAGAGTGACGATCGGAATAGAACAAGTAGATGAGCATTGAGACTAGCATGCTGGTTGAATAAAACTACGTGCATATGAACCCAATCCAATATCGTCAGTCCATCGCATTAAACAGTCCTTGAGGAGTCTGGTACGTAAATGCCATCACTTTAAGCGTATTCGCAGATACAGTGGGATCTACACGAGAACAACCAATGCGATGAGACATGATACGTTGCCTTCGACTGACAGCCTGTATTTTGATTTCTTGAGGAACTGAAGGTGCATTAGGGTCTAGATGCGGGATCTGAAGTAATGAACCAAAGTCATCTTTACTGCCGTTTATTTTTAAAGATGTATTGTGAGCATTAAAGCTAAAATTTCGCAACAGTACTTTAGTCAGCAGTGTAGGTGATGCTCTTTTGGACGCAACACGCCGTTGATCAGCCTGCTCTGATCGGAGATGTCGACTAGCAAGTTCTGCAGCAATACAATCTAATTGATGATTGAATGAGCACGAGACTGCCTGGACCGAGTTTTCTGTCAAGAACGATCGAGGCTGGCCAAGACCTACTTTTAAAGGCATTATCTCTGAATACCCGCTATCAGTTGCAGCAAAAGATTCTTTTTGTAAATTAAATGAGACTGGGACAGATGGGTATCGATTGCCAAGCTTCTTTACTTGCAAATCTGGTTGGTATAGCAGCATTATGCGAGTAGGACTTGAATGGAATGTTAATAAATATTGACGTAGGTCCGCAATGGCCCAGTTATATCCAATCGATGGATAAAATGTTCAAGATAGACAAGTGTGAGGATAAAAAGAATCAAGCAGAACAAAATATTTATTCCGCCCTGATAACAAGAGCCAGTTTTTACAGCCATATTCACCAATACAGAGCCTAAATAAGGGTGTCGATATACAAGACAGCCAGTCTCATGACATGATTGGCCCAATTCACGCCAAATATACCGGATAACGTCGTACCATATGAACTCTTTCAATTTCACTGGCTCTTCTCATGGTGATCAACATGAAAACAACCGTTTTAGAGGTGATCTTTGGTTTGAATTAGAACGCGAATGTATTCGAGATTTAAGATACAGTAAAGTGGGCTGGGTTGACAGCATCAAGCCCAATATCTGAACTGTAATGTATGAGTTTGGCTATGCAAAAGAGGAAAGAGACAGCCAGTTCAAAACTAGTCTGATTGTGCGAGCATCATATAGCGGATGGTGTTAATTGAGAGGCAGTGCGGTCAAGTTGTAGTAGAAAAGCGCAGCGAGAGTTTATCATCATTTATTTCAAAGCAGTTGCTGAAAATAAATTCCATTTACATGAATACGGCTCGAGTACAGCTAATGTTACTGCGCCAATGCTTGTAATACTAATTCAATACTTTGCTGTGCACTCGATTTTAAGAAACTCCAGCCATATTGTAATGGCAATTACATTGGAAAGCGGATTTTTGACTAGTTGGAGATCATCAGCATGGAAAATGGGTGCAATAAGGACTTGCATGGGTTTAAAGTCACGATTAATATTTTTATAATTTCCCAAAATCACTAGTGAATTGCTGTTCCATTCCAAGTCCATCTGTTTAGTTGATGTGGTTTCTATATACAACGACTTGCCAATCTCAAATTGCCATATTGATCAGCCGCACATTTGCAAAATCCTTGCTCAATATACCATTAGGCTTGTGATTTTTATCGACCGCATTGTCAGTAAGCTTGTTTGACATTTCTTTAATAGTTTTTTCATTTGCCGCACTTTACAACCATCGACAATGAGAGTGAGGGAAATATTTATTTTGGATACATTGAAAACTCGACATTCATCATATTTCAAAGTCATTCAGATAGCATCAAGTAGGCAGCAACAGTATTCAACAACGCGAGTCCTGTTTGTAAAACTACATGATTGTTTGACTAGTGCAGACTAGAATGGAAAGCTAAAGCTCGTGTCAAAACAAGATCAGTACCAAGCTTGGCGAACTTGGCAAGCAGTTGCCGCTAAACCAAATGAGGAGATGCAACTCCATATTGAATCAAAAGGGTAAGCAGATCATCACCAAACAGACCGTATCAACAGTTTGTTGTACGGTACAGGAAGCACGATCGATGTTCCAGCCGTTCAAATCAACAGTCTACCAACACTTGCACAAGAACATCAAAGGCCCAAAAGTTTGGCTGAATGGATTTGTAATACTCAAACACATGATGCTGATGGTTGCTGAAACTTGTTTTACTTTTTTATTTCCATTGTCGCTAACCGCAAACTCGGTATGTCTGTTACAGCAATGGAGTCAATTGCATTTCCAGCTGTACAAAAGCTGTCAGAAAGAGTGATAGGTATACGGCCAACTTGGTCATTGGAACCTGTCAGGATTGTGAGCTTATACTTGTGTTTTTTTGTAGCTGTGTTGGGTCAGAATCCGGGACAGTTTACACTGCAAGGGCAAGTACTACATACAGTGCCTATTCGAAAGGCTTTATGTAACTGATTTTTACTATTATCATAGAACCAATACATATATCATTGGAACTGGCTCACGACGGATCTTGCTAGGTGAGATAAGCTACAATCTGCATTACAAATAGATTCAATGAGTTGGTCGTATTCATGTAAATGAAACACTATCTTGCAGTGATTGTTTTGGAATATGCAATGGTTAAATATTCGCTGGCTTTCATACTACAAATTGATTGCCATGCTTGCTCAATTGATATTCTTTGGCATAACCATACATTGTACGATCGACATGTTTGAAACTAGATCCATCCATTGCAATCCAGATGTTGAATTTATGTTGCCAATACAACTCCTGTATCCTAATATCGGATACGTTCTAGTTCAAGAGAACAAGATTGCAACTATGTATGCCAATCACCTAGTGTTTGGTTTGGATGACAGGAGAATTGGAGACTGAACAAGTGTCAATGATGTACTGCAACTGAAGTGATTAAGCATGTGTCCAGTTCTTATTTAGTGTTTCATTTTACGTGAATACGGTTGTAATATGCATCAACTTTATTAACTCTGTATAATACAACAGATACTGGAGAAGGAGTAAGCGGATATCAGCAGCTGTTACTGAATACTCTACAGGCAGCAGGAGTGACCAGCATATCTCATATTCTCTGTACACATCGCCACCATGGTAATGACTACTACCAATAATCGCCAATCCAAACGTTTCTATAATAAATCCAACTAATAGGCGTGCTGGTTTAGATCATATAGGAGGCATTTCACAGGTTCAAACGGTGGTATCCGCGCTAAAACAAAATCCGTCCACGCTCGAGATATCAAAACGACTTACCAATCGTGATACCTCGAATACCTCCAGCTTTCAACATATTCAAAACGGGCAGATTTACAAAACCGAAGGAGCAACACTGGAGGCAATCTACACACCAGGCCATACCGACGACCATGTTTCTTTTTTGATTGTAGAAGATGCCGCTCTATTTACTGGTGATTGTGTTTTAGGTCAAGGATCGGCCGTTTTTGAAAACCTGTCCCAGCTGATTGCATCACTGAAATCCCTGCAGCAGTTTTCTCCACAGCGTATATATCCTGGACATGGTCCTTGCATTATGAATAATGGGGTGGATAAAATCGTTGAATACATCAACCATAGATTGGAGCGTGAGAAGCAAATCTTGGCTTTGATGCAATCAGATCGAGATACAGTCTCATCTTGGACACTGGATAGTCTTGCTACGAAAATATATGCAGGATATCCGGACACAATCATTCCTGCTGCAAAAGCGACTATTCGGCATCATTTGGAAAAGTTGCAAGATGATGGGATTGTTAGTATGGCTGTGAATACCAGCAACAAAGCTGCTGATTCCGAGTCGTGGAGATTATCACAAGGATAAACTAAATAAAGCTTTCTGGTATTCCTATTTGTATTATAGCAGATATTTAGTAGTATATACGCCGTATACTTTAGAAATAGATTAAAATCAATTTCTTCAATGAGAGCGTTAACTGGACTATTATTCAAATAACGGAAACTTTTTTTGGGTTTGACATAAACTATTCGACAATACATAAAATCTAATCCATGATGCAGTCTGATACTGGATCTGAACTCAGTGATTCGTCCGTTTATGAAGCCTTGAGTCGCTCTGAGCGTATTGTCAATGTGGGTATATAGATTCGTCCTTGCAGTTGTATCTTCTAGCCATCCAGACTTTAATGACTTTATACTTGCTTCATTGATATATGCCTATTTCTTTTGATAGGGCTCAGTGGTACTGGACTGGAGGAAGCTACCGGCTGAGCTTTTATCTGCGCTGCCAGACCTTCCTCAATCTGCTCGCAAACTACACAAAAACACTCATCGTGACAGCACTCGGCAGAAGCATAATGTTTCTGTGAATCATACTCATCATCTCTGTGAAAAGCATCAGCTAGACCATATCAAACAGTGCCAGGAAGAGCAGATTCCAACAAAAGGATGTGATTCCAGTACACAACCAAAATTAAATGAATCTGGTCATCAATCGACAAATCATGCAAATGATGAGCATAAGATGAGCAATGGCAAAAGCCATGGTAGTCGGTCGCCTATTCGAGGAAGAAATAGAACTCGTATATCTAGCAAGAGTCCACAACATCTACATCACAAACAGCATAGTGATGATTTACTTTGGGAAGATATCGATGCAAGCCCAAGTCCTATCGAATCAAAACCATGTGATGCATCAGCATATCTTGATCATGTTCATCCACAAGGTATTTGTCTGTCGGGACCAATGCTAGATTTATTACTCGATATACTTTATTTAAACTGAGTCGAAATATTTTATAGCTGCTATTGATTCCCTTACACGGACTAATGATTTGCAATCTCAACCACAGCCACTTACTTTCAATAACTGCCGGTTTACTTACCTTCGGCCAGATCAAGTGTTTGAAAATGAAGCCAAGGAACATATTATGCCAAAATCAGACTCGCAGTTTAAAGATACTAAGCCACAGTTAGAACTACCTATACTCTCAACTGTAGCCCATTCATCCATTCCTATAGAGATAAAAGCAACATCTATACAGCCAGCGTATGATTCTGGATCTGCACCAGAACTAGCACAGCTATTTCGTACGCTTGAACTTTTAAATCAGCAACACTTGCCACAACATCAAGAAGCTAGTGCATTGCCGGATTTATTTCCATCCAGGTCTATGGCACAATCACCACTTAAATCAAGCATTAGGGTAATATATCACTGATTGATTTTATGGTTTGCTGTGTAACTTTAATAGACTAGCTTAACTCTATTGTTTTGGGCTGACTCGTTATTAGAAAGAAACGCGATTTGGATTGGATCAGACCTCGATAATGTCACTTGCAGAACTCTCGCAAGACATGCCGGATTCACCAGCTGGTATATCCACATATTGTAATACAGAGCTACAAGGAACTGCAAGCAAACCATTTTGTCACGATAATTTGGGTGAACAACCAAGTGTGAGTATGTTTTCAAGCAGCTTGTCAGATTCAACATATAAATAGAATTGAAAATGATGCTTATCGTGCATATTATCTGTACATGTTCAACTTATTTGATACTGTTGATACCATATATGTAGAAATTCATGGGATCAGCAACAAGGTAGGCGTCATTTTTTGTAAAGAATCTATACTAGAGACTGTTAATTTTACATTCAAAAAATCCAACTTTGATTTTGTATGACATGTTTGTGATTATTTAGTAACGAGTCCGCTGCTATTTGTACTCAAAAACAAGTATTAACAAAAGTACATGCCGAGTTGTCCAGTCTCACCAAAGAGTTGCATGTAAGTCGATTGTAAATCGATTGTGTAGTAGTCAATGAACTCACCAGCAAAATGTTTATTACAATTTTCAGAAGAGAATTGCAAAGGTCACTGAGCGTGAATTATATATAAAATCGCAAGAACTAAACTGGAAGTCTAAAGAGCTTGATTTGACAAATCGCGAATTGGCCTTTGTAGCCAGAGACAAGCAAATGCGTATTCAAGAAAACCGTATTGAGAAAGAAGTACAGACGTTGGTAGAGCAGCGCATTGCGTCTCAAAATGATGCTATTCAGCAGGTATGTGTACTTTTAATATTTTTATACCGCAGCGTTGCTTTTGAATTTTGTAGATAAACGATAATGCTTGGAAATCATTTTTTAGAATGCAAAAAGTATTGTTAAGCAGTATGGCGATATGCTTGAACAATCCAACAAAGAAAACAAACGTCTCCAGACATCATTGCGCGACATGGTGACTGCAAACCGATTGTTGCGTGATCAGGTACTTGCCAAATATGCAATAGTTGTTTAAAACATTGGAACACACTGGGTACTTGCAATCCATGAGTACCAAGACTAAACTCTCTTTTTTAGAACAAGCAGCTTTTGTTGGAAAAGAACGATGCTGAACAACGTTTAGAGCACCAAACAGTGATTTTAAAACAAGTAATTGTATTTTCAGGCTTGGCTTTGAAATTCTACTGCTTTATAGTTTATTGGCATGGATTTACCCATGCATGTGTAATTATTTAGTCCAAAGATCGTGTTGAGCGTCTGAAAAAAACACTGGCTTGTGCTCAAAGTAACATGTCGATGTCATCTAAAACGACAAAAAACAAAAACGTTAAAGATGGCTTACTACTTGAAACAGATATGTTGCAGCAAATGCAAAAAATAATCATGCGCCAGCCTATAAAAGTATCTGTGGAAAGTATGTGGCTTGCGTTTTGTAATACATGCATGGGCTGTTAATAGTTTGTCGAGTTTTTGTTGATGCATCTGGTATTTTTCAGCACAAACAGGATCTTTTGAACAAACACAATCTATTCAAGGGAGTACACCATCGAGTCTTTCTCAAACGCAGATGAATGGACCGAGACACGCGGTGCTGAATGAAGAGCTGCCTCTTGGAGGGATAGCTTTATTGGTACAAGTTCTGCTCAAACTGGTTTCGTTACATGACATTCGTTCAGTAGATGCTTTGACAGATGCGGATATTCCCGACGCTATGTATTTTGAAGCAATCACGTCTTCATTTGCTATTGTTGATGGTTCTATTTTCCAGTTTAAAGTAGATAAAGCAGAAAACAAGGATGCAGATTGGGATCAACGAGGCATAGTGATGCAGGTTATCAATTTATATTTAGAATTTGTGCTTAGGTTTCTGCGTCGTCCAACATGTCTACGTGCCCAGGTAATACTCGGTTTATTCTTTGCATCAGAATACACTCATGTATTGAGATTCGTGGCTGGTATAGCCCAAGAATACGCCCATCTTTTGCTTGGAACATGTCATGATGCTAATAACCAGCTGATATTGACTATATAGAAGCATACTGTGACTTCGTTAGTGTATCAATCGTTTGTAGAGATGGCTGGACCGCCCGCATCATTTATGAGCTTCAGAGAAGAGAAAGCTAGAGTTCTCACTTATTTGATTGTGCTATCTGGAGTATCACAAGCGGATGTATTGGAAGTCATGCTGGATGGATTATTATCCGAGTTGTTGAATAACCCTGTAAGTTGTTTCAAGCATTCCAGTCTAATACATTGCAATCTACACACTAACAAATGCATGATTTCACAGGGATGCAAAGCAGCATTTGTAGAGAGCAATGGCACACAGACAGTCATGTTCATATTGAGCAACTTTGCCATGCAGCCACGCCTAGCGTTTCTATCATCCGAGATTTTATTTTTAATGTCAGCAGCAAGCGGAGCTTTACAAGACAAGTTTTTTATGCAGTGTAGTCAGCCAGACATGCTGGATGCGTTGGCAGAGAGTGTTGAGGGTATTGACTATGTGGTGGCAATGGAGAATGCAAGTGCATTGATGCAAAAACTATCACGATCAAGCGAGTATCGAAACCGGATGAGAAGCAGTCCGAGACTGATGAATGTATTGAGAAAGTTGATGGAAACTCATAATCCGGAAGGAACCGGAGAAGCAGATATGAGATTGACAGAGTTTGCCTCTGCAAACGTGCGATCGGTGCTTCATCATCTCGATACTGTAGAATAAAGAAATAATGACCGGAGAATAGCGATCGCAGTTGCAAGCAATGGCTTGTGTCATGGTCACATCCACGCACTTTGTGGTATTTGCTTTTCCCTTCCTACAACTACTGTTATCATTGCTACAGTCTCGTCATCCAGTCGCAGTATCTGTTTCTAGTATAGTTGTGGGTAAGACTTGCTCTATTCCTTGCCCAGTTGTCTGTATTCACCAGCTAGCAATGGATCTGTATGGGTCGACAGCTACACTGGCTGCACAACGAATAGCCTTGAGGGGCTTATGGAAGATGCGCTTTCCCCACTGCATTCGATGCTGCAGTCTGCTAGTGTATGGCAATGAGACTGCCATCTTGCTCTTCAATTGCTGAATACATGTGTGCTGTCCTTGCAAGGGGAAAGGACTGCCATTTGTCATCATTTGATCACAGGGGTATTGTGAATGGACTATCTTGTTACAACTGTTTCGAGTTTCCTTTTATCAAACAGCAGTACTTTCTTGAAGCACACTATCCTGTCTTGTACTCATGTCTGTATGTCTGTACATCAGTCACTACGAATTAAGTGCAACTATAATATCATAGTATGATCACTCGGGTAGTGGGTGCATTCCAGTCTTCATTTATCTTAGATTCTGGCCCATTACTATTACCACGGAATGATGTGCGCGATAACATGTCCTGTAAGCCATTGGCTTTGTCGACACAATGTTAGTCTAGAAGCATTCCCAAAATCTTGCTGGCTTCGTTGGCTTACTAAAATGCGACCATCTGTTTCCAGTTCTTGCTTGTTGATACACATGGCTAATAACTAACTGGCGCATGCTGTTTTGTTCTTTTGTATTGGTCCTGTCAATTGTAGTCTCTTGCATCTTCCGAGTGGATAATAATAGCTAAAATCTCAACGACATCAATTTCTCCATACATTAAGCCACCACTGAAATATGTCCGAGGAGAATCTAAATGGAAGGATGGGCCATCTTACAAAAGAGGAAGAGGCTAATTTCTTTGTTTTTAAACATGAGCTGGGACAGGAAGGATTTTACAATGCTGAAAAGCATGATGACCACACTTTGCTGCGTTTTATGCGTGCTAGAAAGTTTCAAGTTCCAGCTGCAAAAAAAATGTGGATCGATTGCGAGAACTGGAGAAAGGAATTTGGTGTGAACACTGTAGGTACACTAGGCTTTGCGATCTGGTGTAGCGTTGCTTGGTTTGATACATTGCTGATCTGATGTTTTCATTATGACCTTTATATACAGATTTTGGAGGATTTTGACTTTCCCGAATATCCTATGGCTAGGAAATATTACCCACGATTCTACCACAAGACCGACAAGCTAGGACGTCCTATCTATATTGAAAGATTAGGTGTTTTAGATGTCAAGAAACTTTTTTCCGTCACCACAGATCAGCGCATGCTTAAAAATCATGTTTATGAATATGAAAAGCTCGTGCATTACCGACTCAAAGCATGCTCCGAAAAATATGGTCGCTATATTGAGCAAAGCTGTACTATTTTAGATCTACAGGGTGTTGCTGTCTCGACCTTTCCCACCGTTTATTCTCTTGTTCGTGAAGTATCTGGAATTGCCCAGAATTACTATCCCGAGATGCTTGGCAAGATGTATATCATCAATGCGCCAATGCTTTTTACAGCTGTCTGGAACCTAGTGAAGCCTATGCTAGATGAAGTGACGGTCAAAAAGATTAGTATTTTGGGAAGCTCTTACAAATCCGCCCTACTTGAAACAATAGATGCAGATTGCATTCCTGGCTATATGGGTGGAACGTGTCAATGTCCTGAAGGATGTGCTTTTGTCGATCTTGGTCCGTGGAACGACGGTTCTGTTCCCGAATATCCTAAACCCGAGTTTGAAAAGTTTATTGTCAAGTACGGAACTGTTTCCGAGGGCGATCAAAATGGAAAACAGTGATAAAGTCCAGCCATAGAGAAATGAGTATTTGTTTTGGTACTTGCTTCTGATTTATCTAATCACCCGTTACTTTACTTGCTGTCATTTCTTTCCACTGTGTCACCTACCAAAACCTCTTTCAACACGAGTTTATGAATACTATTCAAGTTTTACTAGTAAATTCAGATTTATTGTATTGGGGTATATTATGGCTATTTTGGCATTTTTGGTTGTGTTGCTCTGATCTAGCGTATATTTTTGTCAATACCAGCCTTGCCATGTTGCGGATTATAAAGAGTCGGTCATATTTCGTAGCTCACTGACTATAAGATACAACAGGCTTGTTTAAGACTAAATTAGTAAAGCATGTTAGCAGGGAATGAGTGTCAATCAAGATTGGCATTCATAAATACAAAAATTACATTTTTAATCAAGCCTGAATTTGCAGTTTGGTAATCAGGAAACAGTATGCCTGAATACGAGCTATTTGCTTGGAGTGCTGGTCTAGACTTGCCTACATTCGATCCGTTCTGTTTGTCCATTGCTGCATATTTGAACCTTGTTGGTGCTGACTGGTCCATTCATGAATGCAATACTCCTGGAATCTCTCCAAATGGTAGCAATATTGTGATGAGTGTTGAGTCAATCCATCATTTGATAGAGACTGCTGCTGCCATGACACTGGCTTACTGTGTAATGCTGAATCTAAACACTGACAGATTTGTCACTGATTTCAATGACTTGTTTGGCTAGGTGAATTGCCAGTGCTTCGTGCCGGAGTTGAACTAGTTGCAGGAACTTATAGCATCATCAGTACACTCCAATCCAAAGTGAGCATGCTCTTCATACTATCTTCAGTGTGTTGTAGTTGATCAATCTATTGACGCATTCGACTTTTTGATGACATAGGGACTAGATATGAATAGCCAACTTTCACCAAAAGACAAAGCTGAATCGCAAGCGTGAGTCCATCTCGAAATACTTGCATTCTAGTTACAGTTACTCAAGAAATCGATACTTGGACACTGACGATTCATTATAAACATGTTTATAGATTTATTTCACTTATTGAATCCAGGCTATATGATGCATTGGTAAGTGTTGGACACGTCCAAGAATGAATGCCATCACTTGCGTTTACTAATCACACTATTTTATACCAGTTGTACACTTGGTGGATTGAAAGCGAAAACTACAAGAAATCAACACATCCAACACTTTTTGAAAATCTGTCGTTTTTTGGAAGGTACAGCATTCCTAGCCAACTCAAAGAAAAAACAAAGATCAGACTGCAGGGATATCGCATGATTTGTATCGATGGAGAAATGGTTCCCGAGGTGTGGCTTTTCGCTTACGGTTTTTAGTAGATTCATTCATGAGTTGAAATTTAAAGTATTGATCATTTTGTGGCATGTTGAAATCAATTATAGATCTATGTGGTTGCTCGTGAGTCATATCGAGCACTTTCCATCAAATTGGGCGATAAGAAATACTTTTACGGCGACAGGTAATTCTGTTTTGATGAAATGGCATATTCGGCAAGTAGAATGATGAGAAAAGTGCATTCATTACAATTATTCCTTTACCCAATAGTCCATCAACACTGGACGCTATTGCATACGGGCATCTTGCACTTCATGCTTATCCGTCACTAGCAGTGCCAAAACTCTTTTCAATTCTTACCTTTGAGTTTCCCAACTTGATTGCATACTGTGCTCGCTTCAAGCAAGAAGTTTTTGCAACACCGCTGACTCCGTCGTTGCTGGTTCGTCCATCCTTGACAAATATGATTTTCAACTTTGTGCGTGACCCCGAGCCGTACTTTTGCTTCTACTGGAATGGATTCCAAAACAAGATGGTTTCACACGATAGCAAAAAGTTGAAAGAACAACGAGTCCAAGCGTTTTGGAAAGGTGCTTCAATTGTGGCAGCAGTGGGATTCTTTGTTGGATTTGTGTTTGCAAATGGAATTGTTCAAGTCTCGTTCCAAGACAGCGACCAAGAACGCAGTGAAGATGATGAGTCTGAATCCAACACCACATTGGATTATGACGACATTTGGGAATAAACTATACATTCAGCAGCAAGAGTGTCTCTAGTCAAGACTAACAATGCCTGCCCTGAAGTGTTGCATCTTGATAGAACGGATGGTTAGTCTAAACCTTTGCTTGTATTTAATCCACTTGGTGGTATACGTATATTTACAACCACTTGATGCAGTTTAATCATTGCGGGGCTCGTTAAACAATGGTCGCGTTTGTGGAGCGCGATATAAGCAGTGTTGGCCCAGAGTCACCAGATAGGCTTACAAACAATAGTATAACAAATAACAAATTCAAAGTGTAGAGTTTAAAATAATAATAGAATACACCGTGATGTCGCCCTTTCTTGACTTTTGTTGCATATCTTTATACTGCATTGGATACGCTCACTTACTGCAACCAAAGATAATAGGTATAAACAGTTTTGTTGATTGCAGCGGAATTTAGCTTATATCCATTATAAAATTGAACCGGTGCTTATTCATCATACGGCAGTCTTTTGACATTTTTGATGCTTTATTTAAATAATGCTCTCATAAATTAGATATTGGTTTGATACGTTATAACCCAAAATACACGCATCAAAACGCATTCTCAGCTACCATCGAGCGTAATTCTACCTGATTCGACAATACTACAATCGTACGTTAGTCAGGATATATTGCCCGATTTTAAACTGACTTGCAAACAAACGACACATTACCAGCGTTTGTAAAAAGTATTCATCGTACCAGGTTTATTCCATAGGACACTCTTGTATCAACCATCTACATCAAACCCTCCATTTCAACAATGATTGACTCGTCATTTCCAAACTCATATTCGCGTCTCAAGTCGGACATATGTGAGCTAGAAGCCCTAGGAGCCATTATCCACTCTATGCAAATACCTCAAAACAGAATTATTACGCAGGCTATGGAGCGGCTTTTACAGCTAGCAGGAACAAAACATTTTCTTCCTGAATTTTCATGCTTTCAGATCATCATTCTTCAAGCCAAGTGGGCAAGAGAGGGAAAGTTTGATTTGGGATATAGTATTCCTTGGAAGGATGTATACTCCTCTTGGGGATCTGAATCGCAGTTTAAAGATATTGCTCAGAGAAAGGACACAAACAAAATTGGAGGAATCACCGACTCCATTCATGGATCAATCAAACCGTCTGGTTTTGATGCACTCGACATTCCCATCACATTCAAGACAGATACGAATGAGTCCTATCATACACCCAGGAACACTGGCGTGTTTTCTACTGGCAATATCAATAACTCTTTTCACACCAATAGTGCAGGCAATGACAATCAAGTAGTCGAAAACATTTCGTGGTTGTTTGGCTCACCTAAAGAAGATCTAGCCTACACAAATCCATCAACATCTGCCACAGTCCTATCTCAACTGCCATCGAATATTGTGCCAGCAATGGCAGATACTGTACATAATATATATGGTACCGAGTTTTTCCCCGCCCAGATCGACTTTAACGAAATCTCACGACTAGGACTTGCTCAGCAAACAAACTCTACAGCTCAACAGCCACCTAGTTTCTTTGAAGTTGGATGCCAGATGAAACCTGTAAATAGGCCGTCACCGTCGAATGATCCGGCTGTAGAAGAGTTTCTTCGCGAAATTGGACTTTTTCCATCACAGAGTAGAGCCAATGTAACATTACCTAGCACTGAAGCCAGTCTGCACAATCTCAATATTACCACTATGCCACCCATACCCATTGCACAAAATTCGTTTGAAAACATGGCATTTGGATCTATACATACTGATTTGAACTGTCTTTTTCAACCCACAGATGCTTTTCAGTTATGTTCAATGCCAATTCAATCGCCCGCATTTTGTGATGCATCGTTGTTGCCAAATTTAGGAAATATGAACAATGATATGGAGGTTTCAATCACACCGCCATTGGTCCATTTTGATTTGCCAAGTACCGGATTACAGTGCCCATCTTCCCTTTTCTCTTCCGTATCCCCTATTATGATGGATGCATCTACTACAGAACTATCGAGCTTGCCCTTGCTGCCAGGAAATTACGTTCCGGTCGAGAATACTATCAAGCCAAAATCTGTGACCGCATCTTCAAGTGACATTTCCAAACAATCCCAAACTCCCAAAAAACCCAAAGAAGTTAGAACCAAAACACTTGGACGTCCGCGTACAAAGAATATTCAAGTACCACGACGTTCATCTGTCGAAATTCTACCAAATGAAGGACCGACTGTTCTTTTATCTCAATCGGTGCCAAAAGTTAAACCTCCACGTAGTCGTAAACGCACATTAGTTGCATCGGGTAAATCCATATGTGGTGATGGCAAAGCAATCCATAGTACCGCTGGTGGTATTAAAAGTACGGTATCGACAGAATTGTCTGATATGAATGGAGTGAATGTAGCACCCAAACCGCAACAGCTTATGGTGGATCTTAAAACCACTGAGCAGTTTATTATGGATTATATGGCCACCATTGATTCTGGAACATTTCCTAATAACACAAGTGGTGCTGTACCTAAAGCACCTCTTTCCATCCGAGAATCTGCTCACAAACTAACTCTTCCTAGGTTAATGAATGCATCCTCACAAATGGTGATTAAACCCCAAGTCATACCAACACTCGTTGAATCCAAACCAGATCCTTCAGTGACTTGTAACATGCATAGCGATGGTAACGGTGTAGTGAATGCAATGCCTTCTGAAAAAGTATTGAAGCTGGCAAAATTGACCGAATATCACCCAGAACCTCAGTTACTCCATTCCATTCGAACAGTAAAGCGACCACTTAAAATCACTGATCCTTTGTCTGGCTCTACTGGCGAGAAATCATTATCTATCAACACGAAATCTCCAATGATACTAACTGCTACTGAGCTACTTGGCGGCGTGGTTTCAGCACATCCAGCTGGTGTGGGAGCAGTCAATACTGTAGGTCGTGGACGAGGAACCCGTGGTGGTCGTGGCAGTCGCGGAGGCCGCGTTAATCGAGAAGGTCGGGCAAACACTACTCATGCTTTAGGGTCAGCACCACGATCTACTTTAGGAAGACCCAAGGCAAACTCGACCCAACCCTCTAAAAAACGTATCAAACCTACTCTTTCATCCACTCAATTGTTTCCGACTCAATCCGCAGACTCTACACTTTCTGCACCACCGATACTTCTTGCATCTGAATCTGCTACGGACATGATGCTGGGTAGCGTTTTATCATCAGAAACGGTAGAGTCAGATTCTCCATCTGCATCACCCTTGTCAACTTGCCATGCGAATGAAAACAGTATGGAGTGCGTACCCGAGACACAGTCGAATTTAGTGTCTGGGTTTTCGAACCGTAATGTTGAGAGTATGGTTGCACGTGGAAGTTCATTTGCAGCTGCAGCAGAATCGCACTGATCTGTTCAGAAATCATTATATCAGTTTGGTCTCATTTAGAGACTTGTAAATCATTGGATATTTCCTTATAAACACTACTTTCAAATGTCTTTTAATCTATTTTGTATAGTAATGGATGGTATTGAGGACTGCAGAGCAACAGCTGTTTTTTTGTAAATGTGTTGTATATTTATCAGAGCCTTTTAGGTGATTTATGGCTGGCTTATTTGATGAATGTTTACTCCAACTGGAATAAATTTCAATTCACGGTATACATTTCAATGAATAGTTTATTGTTGATAAGCCCGCTACTTTGATTAATATGCTTTTGATGATTTGATTCATCAAACAAGTATCCAGACACTATTTTTTCATGAATCGCAATTGAGAAAATGAAGACATGGATTTGGACGGTGCAAGTACCCGGTTCTTTCTATTCATTTGATCTTCTAGAGTGTGCTCTATAGTAGATCTTGATGAAGTAGGGCGAGGCATAGTGACACGCATGACACCAGTGGATGGTCGTTGAATTACCCTGGATGGTTGAAAGTGAGGAGTAGATGCAGCAGCATAGTACTGTCGAGTCATTTGCTGACGATTCTTGTGCTGTTGAGCTAGCTTTTCTTCAGCCGCGGCTGCTTCAAATGTGTTTGGGTTCATTGCTAAAGGTTGAATAGTGTTTAGTCCAGATGATCTGGAGTCTGGTTTTAAACTTAGCCGACTACTGATTGGTGATTTTGATGAAGATGCTGTTGCTGGACGGTGCGCAATAGGATTGGATGTGTATGTGCTCTGTGGTGGCCGGGTTTTTTGCAGTAGTTGCCTCATCTGCTGGATTTCTAATGTGGCCTGTGAGAGCTGTCTATAAAAACAAAGTTTAATTAAGCTGAAATCAGTCTATTTTCAATAAAAAGCATTCAATCTATTCATATAATAATGCACCTTGCTATTTCTCGGTATTTATGCTGATACTCGATAGCTTTTTTGGTAAGAAACTGATTAGACTGTTTGAGTGCTCGGATCAATGCCAGCGAGTTTTCGGACTGAAACCGTATTGTTTGCACAGCATCCTCAATCACAGAGTGAATAGAAATGAATGCCTTTTGGACATCTTCTGGCATCTAGTCGTTGAAATTACAACACATCAGATATAATAAAAGCATATGTTATGGAATAGAGTTGAAGTAATTCAGCGATCGTATCCACTTGGATCCGAATGTTTGCATAAGCTACCTGCTGATCCAGTTGAACCATCTTTACATGCTGTTCACACACTGGACATATTGATGAATCTAAAGACATTTGATGTCTCTGTAGATGGGAGCGGCTATGACCATTACTGCCTTGTTTCGATTGATCAAAGAGTTGTGGCAATGGATTTGTTTTAGATGCACAAGCTAGACAAGAGATATGACCACATTCACCGACTTGAAATGGCTGGGAGACAACATCATTTTGCCAGGAATGATTGATGGCAGCACATCTATGACATGAGGTAGAGAGTTTATCAGTCAGAAACCCACAACAACATTCAGGTTAGAGAATCAGGAGTAAACAGATTCTACCTGTTACAATGTAACCACTCTAGTGAATCCATGATGTTCAGTCGAGATGGACATTTGCTGCCAAGAAACAGCCTTGAATGAACAGCCGCAACGCGTCGTATCGAGAAACCGAATTCATTTCTACGCGATGCTCACCTTTACTTCATGAAACTCACTGCAGATATCGTAGCTGCTGGCTCAACTGCAAAGAGAAATAAAAACGAGTTAATATGCACTTATCTTTCTCGTATTTCTCATGTATCTGTTGTTGGTCGAGGTATTGTTGATATGGTAAGCTACTCATTCAAATCTCTGACATGGAATAATACAGCAAATAATTTAAACTGCTCCATCTTGTTGAAATACCATAGAGTGGAATATCGGTTTCTAGCAACAACCTCACCGTTTTATTTCTTTACGATAACAAAATTCAAGTCATTCAAGGGTTAGAAAATTGTCACAATCTGACTAGGCTTTATCTTCAAAACAACAATATTTCATCAATCTCTGGTCTTGAAACCGGCCTTTATAAGCTCTCAGTCTTGAATATCAGTGGAAACAAAATCAAAATCATCAGCGGGCTGCATAACCTGCCTAATCTACAGACCCTATATGTTGATAAGCAGATCTTGAACAAAGATGAAGCTGTCGAGTTTGATTTGGACACACTTGCTGGTTTATCCGTAAGTTACCACGCCTCATAATTCACCCAGTCCTATAGATAGTTAACACGGATAAAGATATTTTTTGATTGATCATTTAACAAAAATTTACTGACTTGTATACAACTGTGACAAGACATCCCTGACAACATTGACAGCTACATGTAATAACATGGCCAATGTGTCTTGTTTGGGTGTATTGAACAATTTACAAAATTTAGATTTACGAGGAAACGTTATTCAAGACACCGATGTATGATTTATAAAGCTAGATTCGAGAAAATAATACAATGTTCACCAATGTCTGTCTTGTATACATTTTCAATTAAATATATAATGATTTTTGTCCTGAACTCAATAGGAGCTGGAAATACTGGTAGAACGTTGCAAGTCGTTGAGCTCGTTGCAGATTGCCAATAATCTAATTCGCGATAGATATTTACGACAAAAACTGATCCTTGCAAATTCAATGCTAAGTAAGTACTGTATACTAAAGTTATGAAAATATTAAATTGAATGATGCTGTTTGTAGATTATCAATGTTTTATTATGGTTTTCTATTTTCAAGGATCAATTGATGGCAAGGATGTTACACAAACCGAACACGAGTTTTTATGTCGCATGGAAGCACAAAGATTCACCAGATCAAAGCTATCAACTCAGCCCAAACAAACACTACATGAACAGTTAGAAGAACCGCAATCACATCCAATTCCACATTTACCACCCTATGCATCTCAATACAGGTGATTAAATTATGCTTAAAATATCCTCACACTATACAGTTACAAAGACTAACACTTTTTTCAGAGATTTGATTTTACAGAGATATTCAAAGTAAATTGAATGTCAATTTGAAGCATTAATCAAAAAGACAAATCATATTGAGTTGGTATGCTTACAGCCGTATTCACGTAAAATGAAATGCTAAATGGTAATGATCGTAGCCAATAACAGCTTTTCAAATACATCAATTGATAAAATATTGAGATTATTGTTGGTTAAATCTATGCTGTTGGTTGATGATTTAAAACACTAGATCATCTAAAGTATAATGAGTGTTTTTAACAGCAACTATCACTGATTTGATTTATTCATATTGCGGCCAAAGGTGGTTCAATTGATGCTGTATCAGCACAACGGTGTAGTATAAGTTGACGATGAAACAAGTAAACTTGATGTCACGGTATAAAAGTTTAAATAAAAGCATGTGGATGGTCGGTAGATTGTGGCATGCGTATAACAAAACTGGAATCCAAAAAACTATCTGCTTTTAGTTTATAAAATCAGCTTCATTTGGTTTCAGTTGGGGCAACTGATGCAGATTCAGAAGGATTGGTTCTAGGAATCGGTATAGAAGGAATGCCATAAAGCTCCTTTAAGATAAACATGGAACAGTCTGTATCATCCCAGTAACTCATGTGTACACCAAGAGATGACAAGTATGGATTCTCTAATACACCTTCTTGAAGAGTATAATCGAGTCTACCACTTGGGTTCAATAAGCGTAAATCTGCATTTTGTGCTGCTGCTTTCGTTGCATTACTAACCCGCTCGGCAATTCTTTGGGGTGAAAGCGCTGTGGTACGCTCAGATGCTGACAAAGCAGCACCTTTCAAATTAGTATTCGAGGCTCGCTGAGGAGTTGTCATTTCAAACTTTTGAGATGGTTTTTCATCTAGTGACAATGGATTAGCATTGTCTCGGATGGGTTGTGACTGTTGTGCTAAACTCCCCGCATCAGGAACATGAGCCGTTCCAGTCGTTACTGGCACTGGTACTTCTACCATTTGGCTCTGTGATGCACTTGGCGAAAATCCAACCATGTTAATTGCACGGCCTGCTTGGTTCACCATCTCAGCTGTTGTGGAAAACCTAGTAAACAGTCCCATACGAACCGACTCAATAATGTTTCGACCGCGCTCCACAATACCGGTTCCAAGATCTTGAATACCATAGATTGTCTCCTAAATATTTAAATCAATCCAAGTTCTATTTAGTTTTGTAACAAGTCCACGCCGATTAATTATAAACACCATACCGTGATGCCACCCTTGGTATATGGAATAGAAACAGGTTTGAGGTAGGACATAGACTTTATGACAAGCGGTTCAATCCTATGAGCAACCGGATCATATGGATGAAAAATGTTGTAGAGGGATTTGACGTCTGGTCGCGAACATCGAGGATCTGCCAGTGACGTTTCAGCACCCTCAAATGCACCAATATGATTTCCACGCAATAGTAAAAACACTCCGATTGGTGATCCCAATGCTGCAAGTAAAAATTAAAACAAAACGATAAAAAGCTAAGTAAAAGTTGGAAATGTTGGAAAACATACAATCCCAAAACTAACCAAACAATGCATTCACACGAAAATCTAGAGGCTCGTACTCCAGCGTATCCACTGATTCTATCAAGCCAGAAATGCGACCATTCTGCACTGTTTTGGCTAAAAGATCGCTAAGATCAACCTCGTGTTTGGGAGCTTTATCATCTTTACCATCAAGCGGCCTAGACATGTGTTGATGGCTCATGATATCGTATGCCAAAATGCTTCCAAGCGAATGACCATACAGTGATATTTCCCCAGAAAACGTAGGATTTCTTTCTAAATACTTGTGATATACACGATTCAACTCTGTGGTAACTTGCCGAATCATCTCTTGCCTGTATTTGGGAGTAAGATACATCAAAACTAGTGATTTCAAAGCATAAGCTACATGTTTCAAATAAACTGTACACTGCCTACATATCATCTGTTTGTTGAACGTACCATCAATAATAACATCCGAAACAAGCATTCGAATACTTGGTATACCATCCAAAGTAATATCATCAAGTGTCAATTCTGCTTCATCTCCTGGTGTCTCGCCTTCCGGTTTTCGCATGCTAAAATCAATGTTTTGTCGCCATTGGATAGGAAGAACTTGAACACCGCTTCCTGCGGGAATTATCTTTGGATCTTGATTTTTGAGAACAGCTATCTGATCGTGAAACTGCTTGGCAGAAGCCTTGATTGCTTTTCTAAGGATATCACAATCTACCCACAATATCAATCGTGCAAGCCATCAGAAAACTAATATATGTCAAATGTCAAAATCAGTCTAGTTACCATGAGGGAAGTTTACGGCATCAACTCTTTCGCTAAGCTTTTGTCCAATTCTATATAATAAAAAACAAAATTTAATACCAAGCTTACGTTTAAGATATCAAAAACATACATACCCATGAATAACAAAAACAAGATGATCCACTTGGCGCTCAGTATATGTTTCTTCCTCTAAATCCTCTTCCGTTGGTATTTGCTCAGACGCCTTTGTCGGCACTAAGTCTGGAATAGATTTTCCATCTGTGGAAGTGGCAGGAGCTTGCTGGTTTAAATCTGCCTTGCTTCCTCGCCTAATTGTTCGAGCTGTATTGGCCAATCGACTTTTAGCAGTGAGTTTGCAAACCTCGCTCCAACTACGAACCAATTTCATTCCAGAACTGTTGGTCACTGCTCTAGTAAGCTTGCTTGTAAGCATATCGGATTGAAGCCATGCCGATGTAGAACTTGCATATACAACATATTGATTCATGTATGGCCCAAAAAGAGCCCATCTCTGCTTTAATAGCATATTTGTTTAATGCGTGTTATAATTTACATTGAAATTAGAAAGGCATATTTACACATACGGTTTCTGGCTTGTTGGACAAAATAGAAGCATCCTCAGTAGATGATAGTGAAGTAGGAACTGTAGGTATATTAGATGCTCCCGCAGGCACCCATGGAATGTATTTCCTATATAAAATAGATTAAAAATCTATTGGCTGCCCTGTGCAAAAACCCAACTAGTTTAAATCAAGCCATTTAGTAAGCTAGATCTTGTTCAAATACCTATATCCGTCTTCCAACTGCCGGGATAAATTTTCATCACAAGGTTGGTATGAAGATCCAGCTCCTGTTGGAGCAAACCAGGTACCACGACGAATTTCATATGTTGGTCCTGACCAAAACACTGATACATATACCAGTATAAGCAACTGTAGTTGCATTCCAGTGCATATCACTCAAAAACAAATACATCTATAAAGCCATACAACTTGCCTGGGTAGATTTCTAAATTTTCAACGTCAATCTCATACAGATTATCCTCTCCCCCAATAATGCAGTTGTCTTTTTTGGGTGTGATACGCTCTTTTTGACGAACAGGAGAAAGTCCATTCATATTGCGTGTGCCTCCAATAGATTTCTTGACTAGTTTTTGATAGATTCCTTCAATGGCATTGGAGTCATGCATGGAAAGTGGTTCCCTTGAATGGGCACATTAGAGAATCCCAACGATACTGTAGTTAGTTTTTTGTACACTGAATAACAATCAATTCAAAAAGATGTAATGTTCATGTATAGTCAAGAATAACCCGACTATTTCAAGTGCAAAATGCGATCGCTAATCAAACCAACAGTACAAAAGCTCAGTTCACAGAATAACCAGATAAATAACGTTTACCATTGTGATGCTGGCTTAGCCACATATCCGACTGGTTGATACTTGAAAGGAGTGTCATCTCTTATTGGAATGTCTATTGCCCGAAACCATCTATGCAAGACAGGATAACAAGTCAGTAAAAGGTTAAACGTAGAAGCATATTATTCCTAGACTAAAACCCAATGCCAGGACCATTGCAAAAATATATATTGGATAGGACTGAAAATAGAAAATATCAATAACCCTAGTCTTTCATGACCCTTGACTGCAATAATATACCCAAAAATGGCAACTGGCTGATTAAAATGCAGCATAGCGGCTTATTGATATCTAAATCTATAGTCACACTATAGTGCAGTAAAAGAACAATGCAAAAGTCGTAGAGCATTACCTAGGCTTAAGTTCTGGTGGTTGAATAGGGACAGAATGGGTTGTAGAAGGGGATGCAGAAGCAGATAGTAAAGTGGCCATGGTTGATGTGTTTGAAGACAGCTAAAGTTTGCAGATTTCATTCAATTTTATTTACAGAATTTTGCATGCTTTGATGGAATCATGGCTTTCTGCAGATATAAACACGATTCCATCAGGCATTTTTGGCTGTTTAGTCTTTATTTTCGGAATTCAAACAGCGATTGCTGCAACTGAGTCTAATCAGTAAATACAGTGGCTGGGTGTTGTCTCGAATCTGGCAGCTTATATCTATTTATGGATGGCATTTGGATCAAAGCGCTTTTTATTTTGATATCTGGTCGAAAACTAAATACACAAGGGTGGATTTATTTTACAATTCATGACATTTAAACTCATGTCGCCTGGTTGGGACCGATTGCTACAAATAAAAAAAATTCACATGGATAGTTTAGACTTTGCCATTCATATGTGTTGCTTTATTAACATAACATGCTTTGGATCAATCGCTTTTCTCGTCCAAAAATGATGATTTTCGCGTCATTTACCTTTGAATAATGGCTTATGACCCTTTTTTCGACAAATAACCTTTTTTACTCAAACACATCTTCCTTGATTACATATCAGCAGATATATCTAGCTAAATATTACTTTATAGCAAATCTGTTACACGACATATATAGACACTATCGTTTATAACTGTATTTCGTGGAAATGAGTACTTCAGCTGCTGCCTCAGCACCAGCATCTAAACCTTCGTCACGCACACGTAGAGACAAGGATGATACAAGCAATCCAGACATTGCATTACCTGGCATAGGAAACTATGTTTTTCAAAAAACAGTAGGCGAAGGTAACTTTGCAAAAGTCAAGCTTGCTACACACAGGCTCACGAATTGCGAGGTTGGTTTTTGTATGGTTGACCATTTATTATTCAGTAAATGTGGCTTGTCTACTCGAATAATCCCTTAATTGAGCAGTATCCATTATTCATTTTTGACTGTGATACTTACTAATGGGTATCTACTGAATGGACGATCACACCGTCTTTTACACCCAACATCTATAAAATACTGTTGGTCTATAAATGCCAATTTACTTTCATTTACAGCTGTATTCACGTAAAATGAAACACCTTTCTGTATTTATCTTATGGACAGAGCCTCTATTTTGCTTTGAAATAGACAATGGTTAAATCTTTCCGTCTTTCTACTGCAAATTGACTACGTTGCTTCTTTAATAGACATTCTCAATTCTCCTTTTTTTCAAATACAGTGCCCATCATATAGTTTAAACACTATTTTTTTGAGCTGAAATGATCCTCGTTTGTCATAGCCATACATCATATAATCACCAAGTTTAAACCCAGGTCTATCCATTGCAGTCCATATATTGGATTGGCTGTTTTCAATCCAACTTTTGTGTTGTATTCCAAAAACTTACAGACACGTTTGCGCTTTGGTTGAAAAACTCAATGATTGCATGTCCTGGGAATGCAATTATATATGCCGATCACCAAGAAAAAATTGAACTTGTCAAAAATTTCAAAAAGCACAATGTTCAGTAAATTTGGCATCAGTCATGTCATGGGACTGGCTATTTATTGTATATTTGGCACCTCTATTAGTGTTCCATTTTACGCGAATACAGCTGTAAAATTATGATTTACCATTTACAAAATATCCACGATGGTATACGCTCTTTTACGAGTAATTTATTAAATTTATGAACCCCGAGTATATTTTAATCATTGTTGCGGTCTATACTAGGCATTTTGTCATGACCATATTGACAACACTGCTTTGCAATTTTTACTTTTCCCTTTAACAGTTTTAAGCTAACCGCATACTATCAATTATACCAGGTTGCCATCAAAGTTATTGACAAAACCCAACTTGATGAAAAAAAGCTGGGAAAACTTTACCGCGAAGTGCGCATTATGAAGTTGCTCCATCACCCCAATATTGTCAAACTCTATGAAGTCATTGAAACTAAAAGCACCGTGTTTTTGGTTATGGAATACGCTTCTGGTGGAGAACTTTATGATTACCTTGTGGTCCATGGAAAGATGAAGGAAAAAGAAGCTCGTGCAAAATTTAGACAGATTCTCTCTGCCGTGAGCTACTGCCACAAAAAGCGTGTCATTCATCGAGATCTCAAGGTCAGTTAGCGTTTCAACATTGCATTTATTCCAACTCTTTAAACAATGAGGTTTCAAATGTTTGAAAAAATCTGCTGACCTTGAGAAATATTGTATAGGCGGAAAACCTTTTATTGGATTCAAATCTCGACATTAAGATTGCTGATTTTGGTTTCAGTAATTACTTTGATCCCGATGCCAAACTTGATACGTTTTGCGGATCACCTCCGTAAGTTGGCTTATATTGAAAAATTACATTTTTATATGAAAGTCATTGTAACCTGTTTAATATTCCATTGATTGTAGATACGCAGCACCTGAGCTATTTCAAGGCCGTCGGTATACTGGACCAGAAGTTGATATTTGGAGTCTAGGTGTTATTTTGTACGTTCTCACTACAGGATGTCTTCCATTTGATGGTAAAAATCTTCAAGAAATGCGAGAATCTGTATGTCGCGGAAAGTATCGTATTCCTTTTTACTTGTCTGACTGTAAGTCATTATGTTTACCATGCTACTTTACAAATGTTTTGCTTTTATAACTGGATTGCTAACATTTACAGTGTGCGAGAAACTGCTGCGCAAATTTCTTGTTCGGGATCCTATCAAACGTGGAAGTCTGGAGATGCTTCTTGATGATCCATGGATCAATGAATCCTATGGTGATTCCCCAATTTCAACCGATCTTTCTCAAAAGGTTGAGGAGGATGAGTCTATTGTGAAGATTATAGAAGCAAAATACAAGGTGAGTCGAGACACTGTTCTTCAGGCACTCCGAGACAATGTATACGACGACATCGCTGCCGTATACTATCTTTTATATCACGAAAAAAATGCCCGTGATACCATTGCAGCAGATTTGAATTCTACCGATGTCATTCAAATGGCTTTCCCCACTAGAGTAAAAGAGTCGTCCACTAGTCCTAATGCTGCCAAAGCACCTAATATGATGCGTATTGATGAGGATGGTGTTTTACCAGCTGTTTCTACTATTCCAGAAAACTCTGCCACATCCGGTGTAGAACCATCTGTTCAAATTCAGCAAACTAAACCAACAACCACTACAAGTAGCCGTCGTAGACGCGCAACGGTTGGAGCAGATTCTGAGCCAAAGGGACCAGATGGCGAAGAAGATCAATCAAAAAAACTGTCCAAAGATACGACAACACATACTCGTGATAAGTCTACTACTGCAGGTAAAGATACTGCTGCAGTTAGCAGTGTCCGTCCCATGACTGCAGCAGCAGCTATTCCCACTCATGATCAGGGTATTGTGTCAGCACCAACCACCTCTGTCAGTTCAGAGCCTCCTGGTGAGCGTACAAGTGCTCCAAGTGATGATCAAGCTGATGAAGTTGATGTTTCCTTATTCACTACACCGCAGAATCCGACCAACACACGCAAGCGACATAATACTATTGTAGGTATTTTGCGTGGTCAAATGAAGCGTTCACCTGAAACTCCTGGTTCAGCATCACCAAGTGGTCCTACAGATCAAATATCCACAACCCCAGCAGTATTGCCAAGCGGAGAAGATTCCGACAAGCCTCGTTCGCTACGATTTACCTTCAACTCCAATACCACGTCATCTAAACCTCCCGACGAAATTATTTCAGAAATCATCAAGGCCTGTGCTAAAAATGGCATATCCAGTCGTGCACAGTCTCGCTACTTATTAGAGTGTATATGGACTGCGCCTGCAACTGGAGGTCCAAGTAAGGAAGCCAGCAAGTTTGAAATAGAGGTATGCAAGCTTCCCCGTCTGAACAACCTTCATGGTCTTAGATTCAAGCGCGTTGCAGGATCCTCTGCTGACTACAAGGATATTTGCGAAAAAATTCTTATTTGTATTGCCTTATAAGACATTAAAGGTTGGAATTAACCTGGTAGGTTTAAAAGCAATGTTTTTTCGAATTAGACCCAAAATACGATTGGAGTATTCGGGTCGGGCAATACATGCCACTATTCAACAAAATAAAGACTTGGTTCATGTCACTATAATGACTATAATGTATGTTGTTACAAATTCTAGTTACATACTGATCAAGTATATTGAAATGGAGTCTTGAATTCTGCGCGGTTGCAATTACAACCATACTCGCGTAGATGAAACTCCCCAACAAAGTTTAATTTTTTCTTGGTGATCGACATGTATAATTGCATTCCCAGGACATGCAATCATTGAGTTTTTCAACCAAAGCGCAAACGTGTCTGCAAGTTTTTGGAATACAACACAAAAGTTGGATTGAAAACAGCCAATCCAATATATGGACTACAATGGATAGATCTGGGTTTAAACTTGGTGATTGTATGATGTATGGTTATGACAAACGAGGATCATTTCAGCTCAAAACAATAGTGTTTAAACTATATGATTGTTACTGTATTTGAATAAATAGTCGATTTCTGGTAGAAAATGCAACATTTAATCATTATTTACTCGGAAGCAAAACAAGACTGCAAAATAAAGTGTTTCGTTCTACGTGAATACGGCTGTAATTTGAACCAGCAGTATCCAACTTTGACTGTCCATGAGCCATTCACAGACCCCATCAGAGTCACAGTCCATCTCTGGTGCATCTGGATATTCTCCGTTTGATTCCTATGGATCTATTCGACCATCCTACCCTTATCAGTCCAGTCATTCATACGCATCTCGCCACGGAGTGCCAGCAACAATAGATTCAAATCAACTGCAGCTCAGAAGGAGCATGTCATCGCTTCATGACCCTTCTGAGCCAATGGCTCGCCAAGGTTCTATTTATAATGGAGCACCATCCTATGCACTACCAAATTACTCTAGTCCCAGCACTTTGGAACATAGTAATGATACGGCATATCGTAGCTCCTACCAACCACCACCAGAAAGGTACTCATCTTCAAGCAGTATGGTGAATGGTGTGTCTGGCCATCGAAGACCATCACTATCTTCTATTGCAAGCTCAATAGCACCATTGACGACAGACACCACACTTAGACAGCCGAATGTCTATTATGGGGACCGCCAAGCAGATTCTACTATTCCGCATCGTCCGCTGAGCAACGCTAGTTCCTATTCACGTATGAGGTCGCAGGAATCGCTTTCATCGGCTCAATCTCATCACTCTGAGATCCCCTATTATCAGCAACATTCAAGAGGGTATAGAGAGAGTCATGCTTATCTTGCGCCGTCCTCTCTGCAGCCTGGCGTTCCCACTGGCACCAACCGCGTATCGGATAGATATCAATCGCATCATCCTGCTCAGCAACCACCATCAGCCCGTCATCTGAGCAGCAACGATCAGTATCACTCCCATCAACATCAGTCTTCTCATCCATCTCCTCGTAGCCAGTCTGCATTTAGTGCATATAAACCTCGACTATACCCTTCAGATAAACAACATGGCCCACTATCAGGTACTCGAGTTATTTCAAACCCACACGATGTACCAAATGTAGATCCAAAACAGCCTTCCTTGTCCAATGATAGATACAGCTCCTCGTCAAAGTCTAAAAATTCATTGCATTTTAATCCTGTAACTACTACGCCCAAGCCATCACAACTCATTTCATCTGCTTCACAAAGCTCAACTCAGCCGAGCATTCCACTTCCAAGCGTGATGAGAGAGCATTCAAAATTCATAGAGTCTATACTAAAGTCTTCGTTGCAGCCAACAAACACGCAAAGGAGTACGATTGGCGATACACAGGGTTTGTCCACAGAGCCATCTGCAAATTCTCAGTCTCGACAAACCACAGATCAAACACATAATGAAGATTGCACCACACCAGTCCCAGTTCATCGCAACTCTCCAACATCAAGTCCAACTCAAGCATGGGCTACAGACCCATCAACTGCTCTTGGAAACTCTAAACCACTTGGAGCATCCATGACATCAGTCTCCGCTGTTGTTTCCAATAATGAACATGCCAAGCCGTCATCACTATCTCAACATCCTACACACACACGCGATCAAGAGTCAGACTTTAAGTCGGATCATTTAGCCAAGTTGCAGAGTATTACCTTGGAATTGTATCGTACGCTTTCAAATGCTTCAATGCAGGGACTAGGAGCTCATGAATGTCTTTTATTAAAGGGGAAAGTGGAACTGCAACAGCAATTTATTACCCACATCATCAGATCATTGAAATGAAAAACTTAATCAAACTCTGTGCATATACTGTTAGTTTCACTGGCACAATCCTGATTATTTATGTAGAAACTAGATTTATTCAACTTCTTCATCTTCCTCATCAAGTCCGTCCCCGGCGAGATCATCTGCACCGTTACAACCAGTGAAATTAAGTAGTGCAGCTCCTATTTCTGCATTTTTTGCCAGATCTAGAGGTGTGCTTCCATCATTATTGCGTAAATTGACTCGCACATCTGGATGACCAAGCAAAAGGTATACGACCTGAGAGTGCCCGCCTATTTCATTAAACATCCAATGACCAAATTAGCGATATGTAGCTCAATATTCATTATGGCTTGCAAGCCATGTGTAAAGTATACAATCAAATGTTACCCCATGCAGCAAGGTGTAGCGGAGTATCACCAAGCTTATTTTGAGCATTAATGGTGGGTGATTGTTTTAAAAGATAAGATACAATCTGTGCATGTCCGCCTCTACATGCCCAATGAATTGGCGTGTTGCCAGCCCTGTCAAGTCCTACATTGTATAATACACAAAACGCATCAATGAACCTGGAAAATGAATACACTACATGGAATCCAAATAATACATTGTGAATCATGTTTTGAGCTATCCCAGATCCGATACATACCGTTTACTGAAACACCAGCAGCAAGCAGTTCTGCAACAAACGACTCGTTACCACGCTTTGCTGCCTCTAAACACCGATTCCATATCATATAATGTACCATGTTCAAATCAATCAGTTTTAGCAAGATATACTTCTACCAACCACATTGTAGTTATCTAAAGAAATTTAAACTTACCATGAAGAGGATTGTCGATCTGGGCAGTGTTTTCACCAACTGCAATGTGTTTCCAGAAACAGTGTCAATATATAGAATAGCATTATACCAGAGTCAATACATACCATAGTTGCTTGGAACCATTCCTTCATTGGTACCTGAACGACACTTCCACCAATCGACATTTTCCTTTTCGATAACACTGTCCATGGTTGATTTATTAGTTTCAACTGGTTTTCAAACTTCATACACAGATGAGCACTTACTACAGAATATCTCCTTCTTCAAATCCAAGTTCGTCTGGCTGCTGAGGAGTATACGTATACAGGGCTCGAACAACTTGAATATCTTTTTTTCCAGGCCTATACAAATGATTGGTATAATAACAGGTACACGATGGATATACAAGGGTGTTGGAAACATTCTGATGTGGTTGAATGGATCTAACGGACAAAACCAAGTTATAACTGTATATGCAACAAACTGGCAATAGTAGAAGAACCATTATCAGTTCCTTTACAGATACTGGTATTTATAAAAAGGCCGATGGGTTGCTCCGCTTGCCTTGTAGGTGGTGCTGGTGCAGACATTCTCTTGTGATGATGGTCGGAATTTGTTTTTTACAATCGTTCGAGTTGCCTAAAATCTTGAGCAAAGTGCCTGAAATCAATTGCTCATCTCAATCGCACGACTCAAACGCATCTACTCATAATTAAACAACGTTTTGATTCCAAACCATCAAGTTACTGCCTCGACCTTTGTAAATGCGTTTGTTTTTGTTAATCACCGCTATTTAAAGTACAACAACCCCATTGTTCACAAGAAATACATGACTGGCTTTATTGAAACTCTATCAAAACATGCCATATATATGCAAATATGATCAAATATTGGCTCATATCCATAGATTGTGCACAATGATACTATATCATATTAAAACACGTGATGCAGTAGTCTCTTGCCTACCAGACATCTAGAATGCTTTGAGATATCTGGAACTCGACCAGAAACGATACGCTCCATGTCGTTATCAACGTCCACAATTGTTGCCACTGAAACGAATGTGTCAAACTCAAGCAATACAATATATTTTCCTAGCGACGGCCAAGATGGGATTATTACTGATGCTACTTTTTCTTCCGCCGTTGTGGCCCTAATATTTCCATTTGTGGCTATCCCATTGTGCGTTATTGGAGCTCGTCTAGTAAAATACGCATGGAAGATTTATCAGGCAAAAAAGTATGGATACGGTAAGTCTAAATATTAGCACCGTTGGATTATAACCCATTAGCAGTTGGTGCTGGTTTATTTTCTCACCTGCACTGTTGCTCATAATTGTCTAATCTTGGGAACTATACAACACGAAACACGTCTTGTTCAACTGTAACAAATTCATAATCTGGATGAATTTACTGCATCAACTAATCCTGCTACATCATATTTCTACAACTTGCTTCAATCTTGGCACATTCATGTATGTGGTTATTAGATGGTGATCTCTTTGAGGATCCTCTTGCTGAGCTGGGTCTGAAAATTCGTCGCGGATATGAAAACACTGCCGAGATTAGAAAAATCAGAAAAGAGCAGCGGTCATTGCGAGCAAAATTTCAACAACGAACCAAAATAAACGAAATGGCGATTCAAGAGTCTGGTGTAAACTCGGTTGGCATGGAAGAAATAAGAGATAAATTTATCAAACAGTTTCCACAACTTCAAGTAGCTGAAGGATATTTAAGCAATCTTCGTCAACAAACTCGTCGCACTTGGATCAACCGATTTTCTCCCGATGCTGTTCGTCGCTGGATCAGCGTTTCAAGATATGCACGTGCTTGGATGGTTTTCCAAGTGTTTTGTACCGTTCTCGCCATTTTGAACTATGTCATGCTTACCTACCTTGTGCATCAGGACGATCGTACTGAGCGTAAACTCATCAAAAATTTGGATCTATTTTATGCAGCCATTTTTCTCATAGACTATTTTTTGTCGTTTTACACGGCTGAGGATCGTTTACGGTTTTTTATCAACTACCTGTCGCTGATAGATTTGCTATCTATTGTATCTCCATTTGTGTTTGTACTTATTTCAAGCGACACAAAATTTGTGTGGTTTGTTGGACTTATTCGGATTTTCAGAGCAACAAGAATTTTACGAACGTATCGAATCCTGGCATTTTCACAGTCTGAGGAAACCAGAGAACTCACCGTATTTATTCTCAACTTTGCCAATTTTATCTTTTTTTCTGCATCCGTAATCAATGCCACCGAAACTCTTGTAGTTAAATTCAATACTCCGCCATCTCTACAAAATTGGCATGACAGTCTATACTATATCATGGTTACGTTTAGGTAGCTATTGACTTTTATTTTACTTATATCTACTGCTTTTGTATCAATCTGGAGCGTTACTAACCCAGATTGTTACAACTATACTGCTTAATGATATTGCAGTACAATTGGGTTTGGAGATCTTACGCCCAACTCAAGTATTTCGCGAATCATTGTTATGTTTTTGATTATACTGGTCATCGTTTATGTGCCTTATCAAACAGGTAAAATTCTTGAACTATACAACAGTTTAAGTCGGTACCAACGAGCATCTCATCAGGCATCCAGTAGCCACCCTCATGTTATTCTCAGTGGAGGCATTACTGCCAGCAGCTTGATTGATTTTTGCCGCGAGTACTTTATTGCTGACCAACTTGGAACAATTGTGATCCTGCACACTCAAGAGCCAAACATTGATATTCGAAGACTATTAAACCACCCGTTTTATCGTAATCGGCTTATTTATCTGAGAGGAAATCTCATGTCTGTCCACGATCTCAGGCGTGCTTCTGCTCAGTATGCAACTGCACTGTTTTTACTCAACACCCAGTCTTCAGAAACTACAACTAATATTGATTCTCACAATGAGGTTGAGGAATTGAAACATGCACGTAGTATGGATGCTCAAATTCTTATGCAATCACTTGTTTCCAAAAACGGGTTTCCAGGACTTCCTGTATTTGCTCAAGTGCAGGACATTCGATCCAAGGACCTTTCTAATCATTGTGGATGTGATCGAACCTTGTGTATTGATGAGATTAAAATGTCTCTTATGGCTGCCAATTGTATTGTTCCTGGAATTCAAACACTAGTTCTCAACCTAATTCATTCGTACAAGGAACTGGAAAACAACACGCTTTCTGATTTCTGGATGCAAGAGTATCAATGTGGAGTAGCAAATCAAGTCTATACGTTTAAAATTCCTGCTGGGCTTGTTGGTATGAAATTTCACGATGCAGCGCGTGAGGTATACACCATCTATGGTACCATTATTTTTGCACTGATTTCTAGTAATGCTGGGTTCAATCAAAACCCAGTTCGCATGCGTATCGATAGAGCTTACCGTATCAAAAATGATGACATTGCATTTTGTATTTCAGATGGAGGTGATGAAATGCTTTTACGTATTGCACTTCATTTCAAAGAACAGTACAAAAAAACAGAACTCGATCAGCGCGATCTTGAACTGGAGATGGAAGATGTAATTGGAAAGAGAGATGGTACGCTTCAGTTGGACAAAGCCAGTACTACTTTATTTGACGGGTTACTTGATAAAAGCAATTTTCAGGAAATTCAATGCGAAAAACTTCCTTTGGGATCAATGCCTGCAGACCTGTTTGGCCATATTATACTTTGTGGCCAAATGACTGCACGTGCAGTGCGTCAGTTTGTAGCTTCTATATGCGGAGAAGATATGAATGAACCCAAAAAACCAAACACTCCAACATCATCAAAGAAAGCAGCCAGTTCAACGTGTTCAGAAGATACGCCAGTCTTACGCCCCAACATCCCAAGAGCACCCATTGTCTGCCTGATGGAAACATTGCCTAAAGTTGACGATCTTGGGATTTGGGCCGACGTTCTTTCACACGAAAATGTATATATTGTTCAGGGAACACCACTCAAAAAAACAAGCTTGACTCAGGCAGGCGTTGATAGATGTCTTCGTCTTGTGGTTTTGGCCAATTCTGACGGTAGCAACTCCAACAATGATTCTGTTCCAGACAGCCAAGCACTATTTATTGTCAAGATGCTTCAAAGAGTAAGTTTACTGGCTACATGTTTTTAAATGATCATCTTAATGGCTTGCTCATCATCTACGACTCTTGGAAAATATTTAGGAATGGCCTCGTGTCCGATTTCTTGTAGAGTTGGTGGATGGTTCGAATGTAAAGTACTTTTCAGCAAGAAATATGGAATGGGACACCAATAATTTACGAATGCAGTCCATTTTAAGTAACTATGCTCTTACTTTGGGCGATCGACTGGATCTTTATAGAAAAGTTCGAGCCGAGAATGCCAAGCAATCGTCAATCTGGTTTCAACTGGTTCAGTTTGTATTTGAATCGTCTAATGGATCAAAAAAGCAACACACTTCAAAGCATCATGACTATTCACAGGCCGAGTCTAATTATAAGAAATCGATAAACAATCAACAATCCAATTCTGGCAAACCCTCACAAAAGCGGTTTACCCCGGCAAATGCTGTGACTCAAGCCAATTCTCAAGGAGATTATGAAATGTTAAGCAGTCTTGTGGACAGTAGTGCTAGTGCAAATAATGATACTTTTCAAACAGATAAAGAGGTTTTGGAAGACCAGGACGACGATTTGCCAAATGATCAAGACAATGCAGAGGAAGATGCGACAGGCAGAGAATCTCATCGCGAGGTGCCCATCACGGAAGCATACCTTCAAAAATTGCTCGAGGAAGCAGAGTTGAACGAGTCTGGATTGAGCCCCTATCCAGTATACCATTTTGATCGACACTTTGCGGCAGGAATGGTTGCTACATCGTCGTTTATGCATTCATTGCTTTGCCAATCTTACTTTAGGCCGTACATTGTGGATGTGGTGCGAGCTTTAATTGCCAATGTGGTGCATTTACCCGTTACAGAATTCTACGCTGGGAAAAAATACATTGAGTTGGTGCATTATTGTCTGTCGGTTGGTTATGTTCCTATTGGATTGTATCGTCGAGGAATTCCCAATACACGAGGAAAAGCAGCATCTCCTACATCAGCATCGAAATCTCAGCATCCTAACCTTTCCCAGGCGTTTGATGCAGACACGATGCCTTATGTATACACCAACTGTAGATCTGGAGACATAGTTCAGGCATTTGATTTGGTGTTTGCCATTAAACAATAATGCAGCTTTGGATTTTACCATTTGCAATACCGACTTGTTTCTATTCTGTCTGGCAATCCTTTTTATTTAATATCACCGTTCAATTTTACAATCCTATTCACGTAAAATAGAACTTTTCTGTATTTATCCTGCAGTGATTGACTCTATTTTGCTTTAGAATAAACAATGATTAAATATTCGTTACGTTTATTGGAAATTGGCTGCTTCGATGGACATTTTCAATTCTGCAATAAACTATTCGAGTCTGTTCTTTTTCCATTTTTGGCATAACACGCATTGTACGATTACTAGATTCACTTGCAGGTACGTTTGAGTTCTAGTCAAAAGGGCAAGGATTGTGTGTTAGGGATGCAACTCTATATGCCAATCACCAGGAAACCCAATAAACTGGCAATCATGTCATGATACTGGCTGTTATACACTTTGGTATCCTTATTTAATGTTCCATTCTGCGTGAATGCAGCAGTGATTCCAAGCAGAAAGTACAAGCTATGCACTCAAAGCATAAGCAGCCAATATTATATCGATTCAAATACTCAAGATTTATTTATTCGATTAAATATTGACCAACTTGCCAGAATTCATTTACTGTAGTTTTCCGGTTTTGGATCTCGCTAACCAACACATTGAATCTGTCTTGGTCCATCAATAGTAGACATAGGTGTGGATCAAGTTAGTTCAGGACTAAAGTCATTGCACTGATACTCGAGTATGTCATCAACCAATGCTGCACTATTCCAACATATTGAAGTGCAAAACCCTTTAGAACAAGATGCTCCAGCCATCAATACCAATCCAGCAAATTTCCCGACCCTAACGAGCGTCGCTCATAGCACAACCATACGAAGTGATACTACAATGTCCAGCCTTTCTGTGCCTGCGAGTGGCAGCATGACAGTCTCATCAGTGGCTGGTACGAAACCAGGATCCTCTGGTTTAGGTCTGGATGATTTACAAGACGAGCGAGATCAAGACCAGCAGCAAGCAGAACTTCAGCCATGTGAGAACTTCAATCTGGTCGCTCCAGGCATATACCGCAGTGCATTTCCAAAGAAACGAAACTTTAGTTTTTTGAAAAAGCTTGGGCTTCGGTCTATTTTGTAAGCATGCTGCTAGCTATATATTTGTAATGTATTCTAGATTTGGCACTCAATGGTATCTGCATACGCTCACAGTCAAGTTTACTAACAATGATTGCAACTTTAGGACACTAATTCTAGAAGATTATCCTGATCAGAATAGGAAATTTCTGGATGACAACAATATACATTTGTTTCAATTTGGTGTTGCGGGAAATAAGGTTTGATGCCATATATTTTGGGCAATTATCAGATCTGGGTTTCCCAGGATACCTGATTGGGATATGATGTAACCTAGTCAATCCAATGTCTTGTCTACTTTTAGGAGCCATTTGTAGATATTCCAGAAGAGACTGTATGCGCAGCATTGTCCGTTATTATGGGTAAGCATCATTGTTTATTTACAGTGATGGATATAGTAACTAATATATATGAATCAAAATGATACCTGATTTCATTATTCAGATGAACGAAACCATCCATGTAGGAGATTTTGTATAAATTGCAGCATAGTATACTTTAATATTTTCTTGGTACTGATCGACCCACCTTGATTGTTTTTTTCATTTTATCCGACATGTGTTGCACAAAATCAAGTGCTGATTCACTGCAACAAGGGAAAGGTGCCATATTTGCTGATTGTATAAAGAATATACCCATTTTATTTGCTGACAGCATTTACTACGATCTCTGTAGCATCGTACTGGTTGCCTTGTAGGATGCTTGCGTAAAATGCAGCATTGGAGCATGACATCTATTTTTGATGAATATCGACGCTTTTCGCATCCTAAATCTCGTTCTATGGATCAGCAATTTATAGAGCTTTTTGAAACACATAACGTTAGTATCGACATTGCACATCTTCCCAATTGGGCAGAGATTCAGCCAGACGAATTCACATGATATCAAACAATATTCATACGCTTGAACCTTCTTGCGATTCTTACCATCATATCAAAATCTTTATATATTAAATAGTCTTAATTTAAAAAGTTGTCTTGTTGATTGTATTAAGCTTGTTCAATCTTTTATTACACCGATATTCACAAATCTTGAATTGTACGAGAATGCTGCGTATGGTTTCTAATTTTGTAAATGCATCGGTAAATGTTTATTACACATTCAGTCTGTAACGGAGAATGAATTATACAGGATGCACTACTTTGAAAACCAGTTCTAAAACTGGCAATTCGACTTTTTCACATTCCGTTCAAAATGAAACTCAAGATTCGCCAAGATGCTGTGAACAAGCGTAGGCACTATAGCTGCTGATTCTAAACAAATATATGTAGCTAAACAACGCTAACATTCAACTATATTTAGATACCGACATTGTGACTTGTGTTGGATGGACTTCCAATAATGAACTCTACTCTGTTAGGTAGGGTTGTATTAACACTGACACGAATCTAGCGTGTCGTTTCAACAGTCTGAATAGCATATACATCTAGACCATCATGATAAATGAGTACACCTTGTAAATGACACTAAGAATAACTATTTTGATTAAAATAATAGTGACGATAGAAAAATTATGAAATGGTCTGGGGATGGCGACTCGCTTGGTATCCTAACCACATTTGAGCCTGCTCAAGAGGACACACTGCCTCCTGCATATATCACTGATATGCACTGGTTTCCAATTGCTCCTAAAAAAGGCCAGAGCAGCTCGGATATTTATGTTGTTGGTGCAACAGATGGTATGTTTTATGACTTGATACCCATTTACAGGCGTTTTGCTAAACAATAGCTTAAACTGGTATTCTTATTCCAATTGTAGGCAAATTTTATATCTGCACACGAGCTGGAAAGATTGAAAAGGCGTCGGACGCACACAAGGGAGCTTTACTATCTCTAAGATGGAACTATGAAGGAACTGCAATTGCCACGGGTAGGATGTTGATGATATGCTTACTGAAACTGGGGCTGAATGTAAGCTGATCAGTTGGACGCGGATTTGATTTTAGCTGGAGAGGATGGATATTTGAAAATCTGGTCAAGAAGCGGTATGCTTCGTTCATCATTGACTCAAACTGGATACCCTATTTACTGCGTGGCATGGGCACCCAACAATGATCAGATCCTACTTACAAATGGGCGGAATTTAATCATCAAATCTCTTCAGCCAGCAAGCAAGCCAACACAAGTGAGAACTATTTGCATTATCAAAACTGACACTGTTGAGACTGTACGGGACTAACGAATACTTTACACTTTTTAGTGGAAAGCACATGAAGGGCTCATTACAAAAGTTGATTGGAATTTGGTCAATAATTTGATTATTTCTGCAAGTGAAGATCGCAAGTATAAATTATGGGATACTTTTGGAAGACTACTATTTGCTAGCACTCCTTACAGCCATCCGATTACAGCAATATCTTGGAACCCATCTGGTGAAATGTTTGCTGTTGGATCTTTCAATATGCTTCGCGTTTGCGATAAACAAGGTGTAAGTACATTCGAACATGATTTTGATGTAATATGTGTAAAATATATTCAATGTCATGTTTTGTTTTCAATTTATAGTGGTCCTATGCAATGGAAAAGCCAAAAAGTGGATCTATTTTCGATATCACATGGACACCAGATGGTTCACAATTTGCATGTGCTGGTGGATCTGGATCAGTGATTTTTGGCCATTTGATTAACAGGTAAGCCATTTTGACTATTGCAACAACTGATTGGTTGTGTATTTGACAAATAATGACTGAAATTATGTATCATCACTAGACGACACGAATGGAAAAACTATGAAGTTACTATTATGGATGAAAACAAGATTCTTGTGCATGATGTTGTTCAGGGATCCAAAGAACATCTTGGTTGGTATTTTCAAGTATATTTGAAAAATGAATATGTAGCTAATAAATGTATCATTTTGCAACATTATGTATACTAGAGCTTCGAAGTCGAGTAATTAGCTCATCGCTTAATTTTGGACACCTTGTTGTTGCAACATCATCACAATGCTATGTGTACAGTCAAAAAAACTGGAACACGCCAGTTATTATTGATTTGTCTAATAACGGCAGAGTAATCTGTATTCAGCAGAGCAACGAGTAGGTGTTGGTTGATTTTAAAAATAGCATTGTATTTTTTGTAGTATCTTGGCAAAACAAACTTAATTTTTGATACCGATTCTAAATCAATGTCTAGATACTTTGTTCTTGTAGACAATTTTGTTGGAATTCAAATTTTCTCATATGAAGCCCGACTTATCAGTCAGCCAAAATATCCAGGCTTTCGACCAGAATTTATTACTCCACGTAGCATTTCTTTGAGTGGTGACACTCTTGCAGTCAAAGATCATTCAGATGAAAAAGGTAATTTTATGCAGTGCGGCTGTAAGCTGTTGGGAATTTACTTGAATGCTAACCTGTTTAAACTGTTTTTCAAAGCCATATTTTTGTTTGATGTAGTATCCGGACGACAAATTGGTGATGCTCCCTTGAAGCATTCACAAGAAGTTTTAGAGATTGCACTTAATCAGCTTGTATCTCCTGCTGGAAGACAAATGGTTGTGCTTGACAAAAATCGTGATCTATTCATTACTAGAACGCTAAAGCCGCTGTTTAAAAAGCTTGGTAAATTCTTTAGATTTTGGATTGGATGATCAAAATCACAGTACCATAATTCATACTTGCATATTGGATATTATATTTCAGGAAGCATGGTAGAGACGTTTAGTTGGAATGCAGAAACAGACATGCTATTTGCGATCATGGATGGAAAAGCCACACAGTGGTACTATCCTAACGTGGTATTTGTAGATGAGGATATTGCTTTGCTCACTCGAGTTGAGCGAGTTTTAAAGTAAGATATCTAATAACTGCTTCAGTTGATTCTGTTCAATAGCAAGTATAATCTAACATATTCATATGGCTTTTGATACTTTTTCATTTCTGGCTTTCTGTACAGCAATCTTGGCAAAAACTCGCAATGCATATCGTTTGTTGGAACACAATGTTTGATTCGACGCGCAGACGGAGCCATTGTTGCAATGCCCAATATATCACCTTTACCTGGGATGCTGCAAGAGTTTGCTCATAAAAAACAATGGGAGGAAGCCATTCGACTATGTCGTCATGTCAAAATAAAGGAAATGTGGGCATGTCTTGCTGCCATGTCACTGTTTGGACAAGATTTGAACACTGCCGAAGTATCCTATGCAGCCATTGAAGAGGTATTTTAAATATTTTTGAAATGCAATCATCTTGAATTTAAAACATCGCTAATGCGTGTATATTTAAATTCAAGGTTCATAAAGTGCAATATGTCACCTATATTAAGGACATTCCGTCACCAGAGGGCCGAGCAGCCGAACTTGCTTTGATGCGTCATCAACCTAGAGAAGCAGAAACCATTCTTATTTCTGCCAATCTCGTGTATAGAGCCATTCGAATGTGGATAAATTTATTTAATTGGGATAGGTATGGATCATGCTACATGGCTGATACAATTTCTTGATATTTCCTAGTAATTGACAGATTATATCTCTGCCAATACCATCACATATTTTTGCATCTATAGAGCACTGGAGTTGGCGTTAAAGTATAAGACGCATGTAGACACTGTTCTTTATTTTCGAGAAAAGTACCTGAAAGCATTAGGTCGCTCCGAAAATAACAAGCGAATTTTGCAGTATGCTCAAAATGTAAGTTGCTGCTATCTCAATATAATAGTTGCCTTGATGTACCTGATCTAATTTTAAATTTAATCATCAGGTCACTGTTGACTGGGAAAACATCAAAGTTAAAATTGCAATGGAGGAAACCAACGAACGAACCAAGCGACCAACTTTGGCACGCTAAAGAAATATTCATTTACTAGAAGGCTTACATTTAATTCAAGTTATGAAATAAAATTATTTTTTAAACATCTACAATGCGTTTTCAAATTTATTTGAGTTGAACTGTCAAGACAGTTTATTTTATTTTACATAAATACACGTAAAATGAAAGGCGCGTCCAACTTGCCAAATCGAACCTTTAAACTCTAGTTATCCCATCACTAAAATATCTTATCCATTTCAAAACCCAAATATATACCATGAATGCAAAAAAGTTGATTGAACACACTTGCAATATTCTTGTACAACACGAGCTGGCTCATCTTGGTATCCATGCTAAAGATGTCAAAGACGAGCTATTCAAGATTGGCGATAAAGCCAAACGTGACTTGACTCAGCCTATTGTAGTTTTAGAGGAAGATATACTTGCACAATACCTAACAGAAAACAAGGTTTGCTATGGTTTAGTGTATGATGTAGTGCTTGAAACGTCATGTCACGACATAGGGTTTATCATTGCAAACAAACTCGAATAAAGTTTGGCTAATTTCATCTATTTCTGGCTGTAGGTGAGTTTGATCAATGAAAAGACATTTTTAACTGAGACGTTTTTGGGATGCGTTAAACATAGAAAAATATTAGAGGTATTGCTTTAGCTGCATTCATATTGATTTGATAGCAAAATATGTGAATTGGAATCGATTTCATGATCTGCTGGAAACATTGACAATAAACGTATACTTACTTGCAATCCATCTTTATTTTAGTCGACATTGAAACTATTTTATCAAAGAACTGGAGGAAAATATCTGCAGAACGAGTATTATTTATTTGCAGGTGAATTATCCATTACAAACTAATTGGAAATCAAACTAGTCTAAAATAGATCAAACTAACCAAGCAATGCATGTTTATTTTCAAATACCGCTATAATAGTGATTTGCTATCTGGCACTTTGGAGACTTGACGAGTTGGGATTTCAAAGATTTAGCAAATTTGTGAAATGTTTTGATCCAGCCAAAATGTCTCGTCTTGTCGGATTTATATTCAGTCCTGACAATCTAAATACCGATTTAAAATACATATGGGGCCAAGTTCTTGATCATCAATTTTTAAAGGTCTGTCAAAATCCTGTATTTTTGATAATACGCAGACCTAAGAATGCTTATTGAAAATGCACTAACACGTTGCATGATTTAGGAACATGTTATTGATTCAATTTTGCGGCATGTGAGTGTTGCTCAGAATCTACTTGAAGAATTGTGTGATCGTGCAGACTATGGAATGACTGCAAAAAAGTCTGAAAAAAAGCCAACCGGTAAGCTGATGAAATTCAATTTAAACGTAAAAAACTGGGATTGCTCAAATTGTGTTTGAGCCCAAGATCTGACAACACGTTGTGAAATTCAAATCCTTCATATAGCAATTCAAGCATTTGAGTTGACTAAACCAAGACCAAGAAAATTGCCTCTGCCTACTGAAAAAATATCAACTATAGTCAAGGTAGCTTTTCAAATTATCTACAAACGCTTAAATGGTACGACGGTTAACACACTTCAATATTCATATTTAGGCTATTTCAATTCCAAAGACACACTATGAAGATTCGGTTGAAATGACAAAATTAGCTCAGCTCAAGGAATTCAATCGCCGTAAACTCAAAGTCAGTTGTCAAGCTACAAATATAAAATTTTAAAAGTATCTAACAATATGTATCTTTGGGTTTCAATGATCATGTCGTTTATCAAATAGGAGCAGCATGAAAACGCCCAAAAAAGCCAATTCAAAGTAGCAATCAGAACCCCTTCCAATAAAGTCGAGCAGGTAAATCGATCGCTCATTGTTGCATTTTACACTTACTATTTCAAAAAATTGACTAATTTTTCGTGAACGGGTTTGATAGATTCGCCAAGAGATTGAACAGGATATTGCACAAAAATTTGAACAAGTCAGAATCAAGCCACGCAAAGCTTATTCGAATACTTTCCAACAGCCCATTCAAGTAAAGCTCACTACTGCAGCTATTCTCCGCGAAGATGCGTTGGTAAGAAAGCTAAAGCGTGAGGAAATGGATAGCATGGTACGAGCCGAGACAATGATTTGCGATCCGGCGCAATTTGATGCTTGGAGAGAAGAATGCAAACTTAAAGGTGAGTAGTGTCTGCTATAAATATAAGGTGGAATGACCTGTTATATTACAGCTGAGCTAGTTGGTTTTAACAGCGGTGCTTACAAATACAGTGTGATGGGTTTGGTGAATAGAGCAAGAAAACAAGTTGCTTGAATTGGAACGGAAACGATTGGATGTTCAAATGACCCACGAAGATGCCTACGTGGCCAAGCAAGAAATCATCAAAGATAACAGGTGAAAACAATCATCATAAATGAAAGGTAATACAATATATCAACAAAAACTAATGTGGCATGGAATAGAGTAAAGGTAATAGAAGTTTTGGCACTGAAGAATGAAATTAAAGTCTTGTCACAAAGTCGACGAAAAGCCCAAGAGAATGAAAACAAAAAAAAGATTGAAGGAGTTCATGAAATCAAGCAAGGAATTATTAAAGCCAGGACCAAAGTCGTTGAAGATAACACAAAAATTGGTACGAGCTTACATAGTCACAGTCATGGTTTAAATGTGTCGCTATCAACTCACAAAAATCATAAAACTTCAATTTAACCAAAATTTATGTTTGGATAACCAGCCGCCAAAGTTGCTCAGGAAAGTGAGTTGCTTCTAGAACAAGCCCATTGTAGAGCCGAGGAAGAGCGTATACGCAAGATCGAGCTCATTCAACAAATCCGACTATTGGAAAAAAGTGTTCCGCCAGTAGGAACACTACAAAAGGATGTTGATTTAACAGAAACATCTGGAATTGGTCTTCTCGGTGAAATGTCGATTGTTGAAGTAAGTCATTGACAACAATTACTCTAACCTCGTCTGATTGACTCATTTGGAGAACTAAAATATATATAAACTACAGCTTCAAGAGCGATTGGTATTAGCAAAGCTTAAAGAAAAGGACGAAGCAGATGCCATGAGAGCATGCATTGCTAAACATAAAATGGCACGCTTAGAGCAGGTTTCGCAGAAACTAGAAGCAATTGATAATGAACGAGAGCAGCGACGATCGCGCAGAATCCAAAAAGCTCTTCCAAATCGTGGCTTTTCTGCTGCATCTATAGTGACAGACGGCTCAATGACCGAATCCATCAAAGAGTTGTTGCTAGATAAAGATTCTGCACTCCGCAGCCTTCAAGAAAAAATTACAAAACGTAAAGCTGGTAAGGTTGGCAAATGTGTAGATCGATCATTACTACGGTCTCCTAAAATGTCTCGACTATATCGTGATGCATTAAACCACTTGTAATAACCATTCAAACAATTTGGGAATAATAGCCCGAATAGCTGCTCGAAACATTGCTGGTATTAATAGACCGACCAACATGCCATACAAAGCATTGAATCCGCAGTGGCCAAAGAGCACCACATCGTCCATGCTGACACGATCCGCTGCATCCTCGACCGGAAAATGGGACGATTTAGATGAAGCCGAGCGACTTTACGTGATGCAACGAGAAATAGAGCGCCAGAAACAGCATAAGCTACAAAGCAATTATGTTGACGAGGAGGGTGCTTCAATGATAGAAACCGTTCCAATTGTGGAGCTCAAAGCTACACAGATATAACCGAGCTGGAAAATATTATTGTCTATAGCCAATGCTTATTGATAAAGCATATGCATTGGACTATATCGGCGTTGTTCAAATTCCAATGATCAAATAAAATAGTTTGGGGTTTGATATATTTTATGCTTGCATGCATGAGTTTGGAGAAAGCCAAATATCGACTTTGTAACAATCACTATTGTGGCATGGACGACAAGATCATTTCTTGAATCTGCTCGATACTCAACAATGTGTCAATCTTGAGCACTTTGGTTCTTGACTTATGTCCAGCTACAATGGCCACCTGATATTTACGGAGTTTAAGCACATCAGCAACTGTTTGGATCAACTCGGCATTGGCTTCTCCCTCTCTTGCAACAGCAGCAATTTGAATTCCAACAGCATCGCCTTGAATATCAATGACTTGTGATACTTTTGTTCCTGGTTTTACCAGAGTATTGAGCCGGATCGAACCATCTGCAAATTTGCTGATCCATAATGGACTATCAGGATTTGAACTGGGCTTGACCAATACGTTGGACTGTCGAGGCAAGCATTTCTTTGATGCTGTTCTTTTCGACATGACTGAATGGCCATATATTGCTTTATACCTAGACTAAACTAGTACGTCAAACATAGTCCTGTGGTGTATATAAGAGTGGAATCAAACAAGGTCATCTCACCTGTATAGATTGGACTAGACACAGCATCCAACTATCAGCATGTCAAGTAGCAAATCAAATATTTTTCAAAATCAGCATCATGATTTCCAAAAAGATAAAACCAGACTTGATATAGAATAAACTGTTTAATGAAATAACTTGATTTGAAACCACCAATCATTAGAATTACAAGCCTGACAACATATCTAAAGCAGCATTCAAGTCGACATCCGTTTGCATGGACTTTTCCTTTTCGACCTGCTTTCGTTCTTCTACTCGTCGCTTTTCATCCATTCGCTCCATTCGTTCGGCCAGTTTTGTTTGTTTCTGGATTGTTGAGTTGTAGACTACACGTAGGTCGTCCAACGAGGCATCGATGGTTTCGGTGAGTTTGCTATTTACTGCTTTGCGAGATCCACTGGAAAGTGAAGCATTGGTTTTTTTGTGAACACCAGATAAAGTCTGACGTTTTGAAATGGCCGTAGTGGTGGACTGCAAGTGTTTGCCATTTGGCTTGGCTTTGCTAGAGTGAGAATTTCTTTGGGAAATATATGCACAGTTGTGAAGATTAGAATATGGATTGATAGCAGTGCTGGTCAAGTGTATTTTAGCTTTACTTTTTGGTAGCCATATTCGACTTGATTAGCGTATTTAAGTTGTTTAAAAAGTCTTGATCCTTGGTGGATATGGAGTTGATAATATTCCAAGATGCCTTGTTATCGGATTACTCTGATGATTTCTATTCATCAGACTGAGTGTTAGAATGGACTTTTATTTTAGCGAAACTCGTTTCAAACCCTGAGGGCGGGTTTGCTTTATCAAAATGGAAATCTGATTGAATCAAGAGAAAACTTGATGCTATCTATTGTTGGCCTTGAACCATTGTGTGTAGTACACAAGAATACATGCTGGCTGCCCCACAATAGTAAATGTGATCCAAAACACGTAGTTTCCTAATTGTACATTGATAACAGATGAGTACCAAATCATTTATCAAAATAAACTTGGAAGCCCAGTCCACAATACCTATAGTGTCAAAAAGAGCATCATTTTTGGGGCGTCCCAACACCTTTCGACAGGTAGTGAAAATAGCGCCAACAATAAAGATAAGGGGGACTTGTCCCATCATGCCTCTACATATGCAAAATTTGTTCAAAAAGATTAAAGTGTTGATAAATCAGTTTTATAACTACAAGGCGCCAGCTGTATAAAAAGATCGAGCACTTACAAAAATGCAACCCCATTGAGACAATGAGTAGGTACTGCAACCAGCAGCTCGTGAAGCAATGCTGAAATGCAAAATACAACTGCAAGAGCCACATAGGGATGAAATCCCAGGTTTAATATAAGTGGAAGGTAAATGTGTCGTTTCCCCCAGTTATACACTGGTGAATTCCATAGACGCCAATACTCGGAAATATCGCGAGCGTTCCACCACTAGAACCAAAATAACATCATCAATAAAACCAATCAGTATATGCATGTACGTAAAAACAAAGCCACTACAACAAGGCTTTATCAAAACACATACAGGTTGATAAAATCGTCGATCTCCAAAGCATGTGAGCTCTGCAAGAATATTAAGCCAGCAATGAAAAAAGGACCAGAACATGAGCAACCATATTACAACGCTATAGAAATTATAGTCAAATAAATAGCTACTGTAAGCAATTCTATTCATAATCATGGAAAAGCAATCCAAATTCGCTACAAGTGTTGGATTCAAAGCAGAAAATTCTAATGAATGTACCTGACAACAGATAGCTTGAGCATACGTTCCAGAAGACGAAGCATATCCATGTTTTCAAGTGCCTCGATTGAATTTCTCAGAGTAGGTGCTACGACATTGGTTTTCAAGCTGTCAGTTTAAAGTGATATTTCAATCATAACAAACCAATTATTGACTTGAAATTATGTATACGCTAACCACGATTCTATTTGGGGCAATGAGCAGCTGTAAAAATACAAAAACGACATACCTGCATACTGCATTGTTAAAAAAAACATTCCTGCCAACGAAGTAGAAAGCTCAACAAATCGCTTAAACAAAAACATCTTTCGAATACGCTTGGTGCGAGGATAGACTTGCTGATAACACAGAGTAGGCGCGACAATAAAATAGAGCATATTGTCGAGATTGATATTTTCCGGATATGGAATGATGTTGGCATCTACATTTTGACTATGCCCGCCAGTAAGTGGCTGGTGTTTAAGCGATACCATATCTTCTGCAGTCTTTGACTTGTCCTTACTAACATCGTGTCGTAGATCTGCATTTACAAGGGCATACGATATTAATTTGAGAAATAAAGTTGTTGCAAGAAACAATGGAATGGAGGAAGTCACCTAATAAAACATAAAAATAGTGTTAAGGAAACGGATGTGTTTTTTAAAAGAACGAAAAACTTGAAAATAGACTACAATTCATTTTCTGGAAAGCAAGAATGAATACAACGTACCGGATGCCAGATAAATGACCATGAAATCCAAGTTGGGACAATTATTGTTGCAGAAATGTTGGCAGCATGAACTGCTTGAATAAACCATAAAACATATGTATTTTCTTGATAATGAGCAGCACATTTTTCTGCCGAAAATGCAACCAAGACGTTAAACTATTGAACAAACAGCGCAACTAATAAGTAAACCTGCTAGGCTCAGTACTATAGAGTTGATTTTCAAAGCAGATGCATACAACTACAATACAATCTTACAATTTGAAATATAATCGACAAGATTGCCATGTGCACATCAGTTAGACTAAATCCACTTGAAGGGAGATTCAACAGCCATCCATATTTTTGAAAGTTTTCGACAATCAGACGGAGATTGGAAACGCCCAAGAGCAGCATTGATAAGTTGAAAAAGCCACGGAAATTTTGCTCTAGGGACTAATGAGTGAGCCGTAAAAAACAGAGCATGGTATGTTGGCAGTTAGTAAAGCATATTATGGATTGAAATAAGCATGTGTCCAAGATGGATCTTGGTCTAATTACAGAGCAAGATACGCAGGCCGACTAAAGAACAGCCAATTTGATAGCTTATTTTCGACAAACGAAGAAAATCGTGGCATAGCTCTACCTCTTTAGAAAGCGGGGATGCTCTAATAGAATTGTGGATTCGAAAAGTATGAGAGTATCTAGTTTTGGGAGCATCAGACGGTTCTCCGGGAGCAACAGCATCGGATGCCAAACAAGTCGAGTCTGCTAGCACAGCATCGTCATTTGCAGTGGGAATCAAAGGCTCTCTCTGAGAAGTTACAGCACGATACAGCAAGCCTTGTTGGCCAGCCTTGAGAGACTGATGAGAGGACTGCGATGTAGACTGAGGTGATTGCAAGTCCTTGATATTAGTTGACTCGGGCTGGGATTTATTCTTACTGCGAGCCATAGTCTTGTAGAATCGTTCTTGATAGTACTGCCCACACTAGTCTGGATCTATCCAAACAGGCGATTGGTGATAAGTACGGCTGCTGTAAGAGCTTGAGAGAGAAGGAAGGTGATGTCGGATGAGGATTTGAGCTACAAGTTTCAAAGTTATTATCAAGTCAGTTGAGCGGGTTGGTCGAGTAGATACGAATGGCTATGAGCAATACAGCCAATCATGAGTGTATTAAAGCCATATTCACGTAAAATGAAACTTGCCTTTTGTTTTGGAATAAATCGATAGTTAAATGTTTGGTTTTTCTATTACAAATCGACTTGAATCGACCTTGCAATTCTTGATGCAATTCTTGATGCAACACTCATGAAACTGTTCATCGCTTGTGTTTTATTTTACGTGAATACAGTGATGTTCACGGATGCCAACTTTTATATCTCAAATATACAACTGAAAGATAGATTCGGTACACTTGCATAGGCTTCATTTAATGATATTCAATCAATCGGTTTATACTGTAGGATTTTGGCTATATTGTTGTTTGAACCATTGTGTAGTGGTGTTTATCCGTTTGCATTACTCAATTGGACTGACATATACTAAACTCGCGAGCTTGATATCAATCGACCAGTCTTTTTCTTGGATCTACAAGCACCATTAGTATATGGGTTCCTTGCTTGGTATGATCATCATGGGCAATAATAGTATATGGAAATCAAGCACTTGCATTACTTTTTCCGAGTCGGCAATTTTTGGCTAATTCTTTATTCCAAGATTGTAGATATATTTATGTTGGCGCTGCTTTCCCAACTTCATCTTACTGTTCCTCTGAATTAGCAAAGTGGCCATAAGGTTGGTTCAACAGGTACACTATACTATTGGTCCTATTAATTTGTATTACATTTCAATATCTGCTCAGTCACTGTTAGGTGCTGGGGTGCATAAGTGTTGTACTAAAATAAAACTCAATCGGAATCTCAAACTAGCCAGCTGACAAGACATATACACGGACACCAGCTCAGGTATTTTGACAATGGAAGGTAAGATCAAGATACTTGAATTCATTTTTTAGTAATACAGCCATCACATGGCACCTTGCAATCTGTCTAGATCTCTATACATGGATAAGCCACTTTGCGGTATTTGTAGACTGTATGAAAGCATTGCAAATCAAAATAATATTTGAATTTGTTTTCATCTGAAACCTACATCATCTCCATGTATATTAGCTGGGCGATACTAGTCTGCAAAGGGTTTGGTAGATTCAATTACGCCAGCAATGAAGTGGAGTACATTGCCACATGCGGCCAATACTTTTGTAATTATTGCATGACTTGAACTCATCTTGCAGTTTTGGGCTGTTGGAGCCCGACATTTTTTGCTTTTATTTCTCGAGGGATAATTGACTCGAAACCGTGGCTATCAAACTGCTGTGGTTCGGGAACTATAAAGCAATTACGGACTACTCACCTGAGTAGCAGAAAAGTGCATCCTGAGAAATCATTCAATAAGCAGCTTTTATTTGATGTAGGCTGTAGTCGACTTATTTCTGTCGTGCGTGGCTACTTTTGGCTGCGGAACCACGCAGCAGGCTTTGTGTTTGTATCTTGAAGGGCTGAATTCCAGCTGGAATATGCAATAATTCATGCAATTTGTAAAACTCAGCTGAAGTAGGCCATTGAAATATATGGAAAGTCGTATAGCCAAGTTGCAATCTGATTTAGTCTAGCCTACTGCTGCATAAGCATCCGGTGTAATGGTCTACAATCACTCGAGCTGTACAACTTTTATCCAATCATCATTATTGGTATTTCCTAATTGGCTATATTGGACCAAATTTGGATATTTTACAGTTTTATACACCAAACAATGTAGAAACAGTAGAGGGATTGATGTAGCATCAACAGTATATTTATTTGATGATGGCCAGTACTATTCCTCATGAGATTATCTGTTGGCTAAACCTTGATTGTAAGGCTGTTTCACTTGTTTTGCAATCGTATTGACAAAATGGAACTCTTGTATTTATCTTGCGGTCAAAGCCTCTTGCTTTGAAATAGACAATGGTTGAACATCTATTGCGCTTTTTTCATCTCATCTTTGTACCCTAATATCTTATATGCTCGCGTCTAGTTCAAGAGAGCAATCTCGGGGATGCAACTGTTGCTTCTATGTCAATCACACAATGCTTGATTTGGATAAAGAGAGAGTTGGGGATTGAACAAGTGCGATTTACTGAAACTAGTGTGATCATTTACTCAGTTTTTACAAAAAATGAGCAAAGACCAATGAGCTTTATCAAGGGGTTCAAAGGACACGATCTCGTCCAGTAAATTGAATTGAAACTGGCAATCATTTCATGGGACTGCTTATGCATTTTGGCACCCCTATTAGTTTCATTTTACGTGAATACGGATATAATCAGACTCGTCAATCTCGACCAGTTATTCTTTTTCTGCAATTACGACTTTTACCAACTGTCTAATTAATACTTATTTACTGCTACAGTTTCTACTCGCACCAGTTCTGAATCTTCTTTGGTGATCAGTTCCAGCCATTCATCTTTCGAACCCTTAACTAGCACAGTGTCGTCATCTAATCTTTCCACTACCACAGTGACCAGCTCAGTTGGTAGTCCTTCACCCACTACCCAACCTCCAATGAGCTCCAATCCTCCCCATACATCAAGCTCTTTTGCTGAACCAACCTCTTCAGCCTCTCCTGCTGCACCAACCTCGACTCTCCAGTCATCGTCTTCTCCAGCTTCACAGCCATCGTCAATTCCACAGCCACAACCATCTGTTCCTGCACCACAACCATCTGTTCCTGCACCACAACCGCCCGTTCCTGAACCACCTGTTCCTGCACCACAGCCATCTATGTGAGTATATCTACATACTGATTTAATTTAAAGCTGTGTTCAAGTAATCAGCCATTTTTGCTAAAAAATACTCTATATTGCTATTTTTAATCAGTGTTCCAATCACTACAACCCAGGATCCTTCGACTGTCACTACCAGAGCTACTTTACGAGTTACTTCTGGTAAGCCAATTTCAATTAGTTTTGCCGTTGCTCATTACACTGCTTTTATAAATTACCCGAGTTTTGTGCCAAGTCATTTGTCCCAATTTTATTGGTCGTGTAGCTCATTACTTTATTGAACATCTTGTACTATAGCTCGAGGCAGTCAAACTCCGTTCGTTGATGTAGTAGGCTCACTCAGCTCACAGACAGATGCTAGTCCAACATCCATTTTAGGATCCTCGGCTCCTATTGGTTCTGACAATACTCCAAGTCCGCTCTCAACTGCTGCAATTGCTGGAACTGCTGCTGCTGTAGTGGGTTGTGCAATTCTGACATTGATTGTTGGTGTGTTTCTGATTAGACGTAGGCGTCGTCAGCAAACTTATATACACGAACAAACCCTTTCTGATATCTTTAAACAAACCTCTGCCTCTAATGGTAGCTCTTCTCCTCGTGCCGGTGTGCAGACGCCTGTACAAAGCAGTATTCAAGCATTCAATGTCAGACCAAATAGCGATCTCCAATCCGGTGTCATTGTCATGCAGCCAGTTGCCACTACCCAGGAAAGCAGTGAATCCATGTATGCTGCCTACCATAATCAGCAGTATCAGCAACCATTTCAACAAGGCGGTGCACAGCAAGGTCGCGGGTACAGGGGTGCTACGGAACAGTATTCCATGAACGACAATACAATAATGGCAATGGGACCCGCAGCATATGATGGTAATCATTATATTGCTGCTGCTGCACCACTAACTGGATATGGCCCAGGCTACGCTTCGTATTACGATGGATACGAATCTCTCTACTCTACACTACCTAACAATCCAATGAATGACCGGACTCAACCCATGAGTCACACCAACTATTACAGTTCATCAGATGAAAGTGCTATCAACTCGTACTATGTTACTGCTGGTGGAGTTGCTCCAGTTTCCTCGGTCGCAAACAATGCTCATGACTCGGTAACTGACTCGATTCAGTTCTCCCATAAAGACTCTGTCGAGACCATCTCTAAACTTGTTCCATCTTCGATCGCTAATCACGATAAACTGCACAATGCTGTGCTCGACCGAAACAATTCTGAGACCAATGCTGTTCATTCAAGCAAGCCACTTCCGGCATACCCTGTCCCTGAAAAATATAATGTGGATGCTGAAAAAGTGAAGCACTAATATTTATCATTGTTATTTTATGATTAGTTTTTATTTTATGAATAAATCTCGTATCATTTTCATTCTCGGTGACTCTTTAATGATCACTTTTTGATCGAGTTATTCCAACATTGTTAGAATCGCTATCAGGTTCATCAATTGGTAGCCACTACAGAAACACTGTAGTGTAAATAATATTCCAACAATTCATTTGCAGCCATATTCATGTAAAAATGAAACACTTGTCATAAACCCAATATTGGGTTTGACTCGATGTTTTCAATCAAACTCTTGTATCCTAGCATATCTTGGAAATACAACAGCTGCTTTTATGCCAATTACCGGTGAAACCAGTAAGCTGGCATCAATATCCTTGTCTAATATCCCACTCTGGGTGAATACGATTGTAAATTACAAATTGATCGAGGTTGTGACACCCGTTTATGCAAAAAATATTAAATATTTAAATTAAAAAAGCGACAACGGCAGGACTCGAACCTGCGCCCTCAGAGAGGAATTGATTTCTAGTCAATCGCCTTAACCACTCGGCCACGTTGTCACGATTCAATGTCATATTGTCACTTTGTACAAATACTATATTTGTTATTACTATTAATTACAATGTGTATTTGTTAATGTTAGTGTCATTAAAGCTGTCAGGACCACACTCATATATGACCTGATCGTACTACTACTCTGTCCTTTCATGAACCCCTCTCTGGCAATCCCACAGCTGGTAGCACATAACAATGTACTAAAACTACTGTGACTCAGTCTTTCCTATAAAAGAGATCACTGTTCTCTCCATTTAACACTATCGTGCTAGCACTTGCCCTAAATAAAACTTAGCACATTACTCCTTCTGGCTCGTTGGCCTCGCTTAACTTCCGGTACTCTTCTCGGCCATTAACAATACGAACGACTGGCTTGGTATTATAGATTTTCTCAGCCATTGTTACAGTCACATGCATGCAACATCTGATGATGCAGAAATACATAATGAATAGTCATTAATAATATAGATAGGACACCGAATGATACCAGTTTTCTTGACCGATGATTACTACTAAATGTTGTACAAAGTTAAACGAGGCCAACTAGAGTCGGAAGGAGTAATGTGCCAAGTTTTATTTAGGGCAAGTGTTGTTAGCACGATAGTGTTAAATGGAGAGAGCAGTGATCTCTTTTATAGGAAAGACTGAGTCGCAGTAGTTTTAGTACATTGTTATGTGCTACCAGCTGTGGGATTTCCAGAGAGGAGTTCATGAAAGGACAGAGTAGTAGTACGATCAGGTCATATATGAGTGTGGTCCTGACAGCTTTAATGACACTAACATTAACAAATACACGCTGTAATTAATAGTAATAACAAATATAGTATTTGTACAAAGTGACAATATGACATTGAATCGTGACAACGTGGCCGAGTGGTTAAGGCGATTGACTAGAAATCAATTCCTCTCTGAGGGCGCAGGTTCGAGTCCTGCCGTTGTCGCTTTTTTAATTTAAATATTTAATATTTTTTGCATAAACGGGTGTCAACCTCGATCAATTTGTAATTTACAATCGTATTCACCCAGAGTGGGATATTAGACAAGGATATTGATGCCAGCTTATTGGCTTCACCGGTAATTGGCATAAAAGCAGCTGTTGTATTTCCAAGATATGCTAGGATACAAGAGTTTGATTGAAAACATTGAGTCAAACCCAATATTGGGTTTATGCCAAGTGTTTCATTTTTACATGAATATGGCTGCAAATGAATTGTTGGAATATTATTTACAGATTTGAACAACTCATGAGATATTTAATGCAAGTCATTTTAAATGAGGATATGATATGCCAAATTCATTTTAATCAGACTCGGTATCAGGCTCCTTGGTACCACCTTCCTGTAGCCATTTCATATGTCGTGCGCGTCGACGAATTTCTCGCAGTTTTATATCATTGCGAGTTGGTTTCTTCTTTTTGCCGTTGGATTTACTCGTCGCCTTGGCAATCTTTTCCGCAGAGTCTTCAAAATGATCATCCAAAACAGCAGTCTTGCCCATCAAAGTGACTCTACCAGCGTCTACAAGCCATGTCTCAGGACACAAGGCTTCAACAAACTCCCTGTTGTGACTAATCATAATTACCGCACCACCCCAATCACGAATGGCAACAGCAAGACCACCAAGAGCCTCCCTGTCAAGATAATTTGTAGGTTCATCCAGCACCAACATATGTGGATTATTCCACATGGCAGCAGCAAGTACAACTTTGACTTTTTGTCCACCCGACAATCCACTGATAGAGTTATTGTCTGCAATATCGCCGTCTAAACCTACCTCTTCAATATGCGCACGAATCACTGAAGGAACAAGCTCACGGTATCCTTGGCCTTCTCGCGATGCTTCTTGATCATCAAAAGCCTGCACAAGCTTGTTGAATCCAAGTTCTAACAAAGTTTCTCTAGGCATCCATGAGTTATGTTTATGCAAAAACCCAACCCATTTGATTTCGTATTGGAAAGATTTTTTAAGCTTTTGACGACCAAGGATATACTCGATCCGACGAGGGGTTGAGCCGTCACGACCTGGAACTAGTTTAGCCATCTGAGCTGCATCTTCGTCTGTAAGCTTACGAGTGGCCTTTTCAAGAATCTCACGATCTTGACCGCCTTGGTATCGCCATTGAATATACTGGTTTGGAGTAAGATCCAAATGCTGTTCAAGATGATGGAAGGCGTGCTGTGCAACATATCCCACACGCAGATTAGGATGCTTCCAAACTACTCCGGTTTGTGGGATTGCCTCACCAGTCAGCACCTTAATCATGGTGGACTTTCCTGCACCATTGGGTCCAATAATACCAACGCGAGAAGACAAAGAGAGTTGCACGGATGCATCAATCATGGATGGTTTAGACATGCCTGGATAAGTGTAGGTGGCATCGGTCATTTTAAGAATGGCTTTGGTATTACTGCGGATACCAAGCAAAATAGACGGCGGAGGAAAACTAAATTTTACTGTCGTGGCAGCAAGAGTATAATAAGATCGTGCTTCAGGTCGCTTTTCAACAAATTTGGACAGATTGCCCTTGTAAAAAACAAGCTTCTTTTTTTCGTAATGAATAATGTGAGTGCAAACATTGTCTAAAAACCCAGAGTCGTGCGACACTACAATGCATGTAACTTGCTTCTGACTAACAAGGTACTGTTCAAGCCATGCAACGTTGCCAACATCCAAATGATTAGTAGGTTCGTCAAGGAGTAGGATATCTGCTTTACAAAGCATGGCGCGTGCGAGCTCAAGTTTCATTTTCCATCCTCCAGAAAGTGTTCCAACAGGCTGCTGTTGTTTATCAGTTTCAAACCCAACAGAAAGCAAGGCTTCAGCGATTTCCGAGCGAGGAACATGGCTAAGACGAGTATCGGCAGCAATAAAGTCGATAATAGGCAAGTCTGCTTGTTCTCCCTGTAAAGAGTGCTCTACAAACACACTGCGAAGTTCATCTTGCGAAGGAAATCCTTCGAGCTTTCCAAGGGAGATGGATCGCATAAGTGTAGATTTACCAGCACCATTGGGCCCACAAAGACCATATCGCTCACCACGTTTAAGACGAAGACGAGTATTATTGAGCAGCATCATACCACCATACGCCAACGAAAAAAGTGCATTGCATAATTCTTCGCCTTCGTCATCGTCGCTCTCTTCGTCATTCTTTTGACTTTTGTCATGTATGTCCAAGTAAAACTTGTGTACGTCAGTTAGCAACGATTCAAAGTCAGATTGTATAATGAAAGGTGTCAGACAGGGAGTCAGCAGTGACTTCCATATCTCAAAGTCAAAGTCCTCTTGTTTTATCAGCTCGGATATCAGGAAGCCAGCATAATTCATAGCAGGATCGCTGAATGCCGCCAAAAAGATTTTTAATGTAGACGCAGTGGAGCGAATTTTGGCACTTGTTTTTTCTGGTGTGGCATTTTCCATGATGACTGTTTCCAAGTTAGTAGCGACTTCCGAACCATCAGCAGCCTTGACAAGAGTATTTCTAGCAGCAGTAGCAAGTGCACGAATTTCTGGAAAAGCAGCAGTCTCTACAATTCGCTCTAAACCAGGAAGCAACTGTGGCATAAATTGACCAGCATCGCGAGGAACACGCACAAGTTTAAATAAATTATCAGCAATCACCACAGTAGAACGCACAACAGCGGCAGATCTATCAGTGAGTGCTCGTTTTAGCAATGGTACCATGATGGCAAGTGCAGGTCCAGTAACTTCAGCAACAAATGTAGTAGCAGACAGTTTTTGAACAGTGCCAGATACATGATCAGGATGAGCCATGCAATCCACAAGCAATTGGATGTGGGGCTCAATGTCAGGATTTCCAACAATCGCACAGATATTTATCATGGCAGAAATCGCAGCCTTGCTAACCTGTGATTATAAATATATAAAAGGATTAAAACATTATAAAGTCATGTTCACGTAAAATAAAGCACTAGATAAGGGCGTATGCGTATAACAAGCAGCCAGTCTCATGTCATGATTGATGTTGGCTTACTAGACAACATAAAAACTGCCAAAACAATATCTGGTTTTAAATTTGTCATACAATGTGTGTTTATGCCAAGGAGAAAGGGATAGTTTGGTTTTTTGTGCACCATACGATGGACGTTTGAAAGAATTGAAAGTATCAATCCAAGTCAATTCGTAGTAAAAGGGCGGAATATTTGACTATTTCAAAGCAAAATAGTGTTCCATTTTACGTGAAGACTCAAATTAAATGGCACCAAAGCAAAAATGCCACTTGTGCGTCATCAAGACTAAAAATTTTGAATGTTTTTTTTGAATACAGTAATAGAAGCTATTTAGACATACCTCTGCTTTAGTTTCATGCATGCACTCGGAAACTACAGGAATGATATCGGGGAGAGCACGACCAATCTGGTTAGGAGCTAATTTAGTCAACGCTACCAGCATATTGATGGCGGCCATTTTAGTCTGCCATTTGCGAGTCATGGCGTCATATAGAATAGGTAACAGGAGCGGAGCAGCAATTGGATCGATAAGTGCAAAAATATTGTCAGCAGCCAATGAAGCAGCCTCACGCACAGGCTGACCTTTGTCAGCAAACGAGTCGAGAACCATGGAAAGAAGTGGAAGCAGATATGGCCCAACGCAGCGACCAGCAACTTTGGCAACACCTGAAATGCCCAACAAACCACCTTCACGTTCTAAACCAGACTTTTTGTTACTAGCAGAAGCTTTAAGAAAAGGCAGGACATTTGCAGACTCTAGCAACATTAAATTGTTTTTAACAAGACCGCCTATGTCAGAGGCAACTTGCAGGCATTCATGCGATGTTTCACAGGTGTTCAGCTTGGAAAGCAGCTCCTTAATTTGCAACAATTGGTCCGATGTAGCAGGCATAGTTATAATTAGATAATAGTTCAATCGACCTGCTCTACTATGGTGAATTGCAAGTTGTAATGAATTCAAGTTAAAGAAAAATATTTTTATTTTCAGAAAACGCGGTGCAGTGTGGCCAGCTTCTATCCACTCGTTTCACCATGTGGGTTGTGCAGAAGCGTCAGTTTTATAGACTACTTGAAGCGATTGCATACATACAATCGATACCATGATTTCCGAGTGATTCTACAATACACATCTTATTCTTTTCTGGTTCTCAAAAGTCGGTGCGTTTTTTACTCGAAGCTGCCGCTTTGCTTAGTCACAAAAACTGAATTGATGGATTTTATTTCTATTTTAGCAACTTATTCCAAACCCAAGCATCTGCCCACATCATGGTTTCGGTCTTGTCTAGTTCTATTGTTGTCGCATCTGTGGCTGGAATATGTTTTTACTTTGGTGTTGTTGCTAGCCAGAGATACAAACGTCGCAATTATGTTGCCTCTCTACCACCACCAACCGACACAAACCTTGCCGAATTGCACCACTTTATTGTTCAAATACTTACGGATTTCCCATTCCTATATCGTACTGCTCTTGAATTCGCTTTTTTCAAAACATATGGCATTCCGTCTATATCTAAACTGTTGGTTGCCACAGGTGAGATCACCAATGCATGTCCCCGCCGCATAGCCGATACGGATCTCCTCATTCGTGAGTTCTGTGAGCATCCACTCGATAATGAACGATCTATTCTTGCCATGCGTAGAATGAATCACTTTCATAGCAAATATCACATCAGCAACGGCGACTACCTGTATGTTCTCTGTGTGTTTATTATCGAACCCATTCGATGGATCAATCAGTTTGGATTCAGAAAGCTCACCACAAATGAGATTGAGGCGCTCTGCATCCATTGGAGGTGTGTTGGTATCTATATGGGCATTACGGATATCCCTGGATCGTATCCAGAAGTAGTGGCTTATATCGAGGTAAAATGAGGCTTGGCTTATTCTTTCTAGAGTATATTCACCAACCTTTGATTTTTAGGAATACGAAAAGGCCAACTTTTGCTATACCGATCAGAACAGGCAGGTTGCTAACGCCACTATAGAAGTTTTCTTGGCTCCGTTTCCAAAATGTATGCATTCGTTTGGTCATAAAGCAGCACATGCACTCTGTCCACCCAATCTTTGTGAGGCTATGGGATTTGAGAAATCCTCCAAACTTCTTAAATCTACTCTTGAAGGAGCATTATCTTTGATGGGGCTTGTGACTCGCCTCTTTTGCTTCCCTCGTTCCCAGCCCAAGCATCGGACTGGAGAATTTCCTAATCCAAATGGATCGTACTGTCCTCGATTTGCAATGTACGATAAACAGTTGTACAAGGAGGGATATTTTATTGGCAAACTGGGACCACAGAAGTTTGAAAATGATGGTATGCTAGGAGAATTGCACACACCTAAATCCAACTCGGTCAAGTGTCCCGAGCTGAAGAAGCCAAAGCCAATCTGATGTGTTGCAAGAATATCTATCACTAGAGTATTTGTAGCTTTCTAAAAATATTAGTATAGTATTTGAATTGGACTTGGTATGTATCAAATAAATATCATTTATTTGGTCTAATCTGAAGGTGAATTGACAATTTTGTCACGATTATGAACAAAAGGGATGAGAATGGAATGATAAAAGCGATTGTCAGCATTCATCATGTTTTAATATTCTGACGATATCAAGCAGGTTCTGTTACTGCATTTACGATTGATGGATATTCCTGTCATTCAAATCAGCAGATGAACAGTATCAATATTTGCAAATAACATCAAGAACAATGTTTGCTGATAATTTCCCATTTTATTGATTCTCCATTCCCATTTCCATTCCTACTGGCATCAGCTGAAGCTGAACTGCATTTGGTTACATTGTTTTACGTGAATACGGCTGCATAATGGGTCACTCGGACAATGAATTGTGGCAGGTAGGGTATTGTATGGTGATTTCAATCTGCGTTATACTACAAGCTAACAAGATGCTACATTCCGATAGACCGTTACTTATTTTGCAACACTGTCTATTGTCCTCTATATCTGCTTGGTATATACAACCAAATTCGCTCGACATAATACATTCTCTACAACATCACTGATAGATCCATCCGAACTCACTGATGCAGACTTGGACATCTCATTGCAACCAGTCTCACCCACTCTTTTGCAATGCATTAGAATATCACATGCTACAAGATATTTTGAATTTCCATTTGAATATGCTCGAGCACTTGATATTCATACCCTCAAACATATGGGCATGCCCAACTCTATTCTTTATAAAGCACTAGTAGCATTGTTTTCCATTTCAGAATCTTCATCCGAAACAATTGAAGATGCATTGTGTAAGTGGATGGATGTAGGAGATCTACTTGTTCGAGAAATCACTGAACGACCATTGTATATGGAACGAACACGACAAGCTTTGGATGCGATCAAAGAGTGCTTGAAAGATATGAAAGGAGTATCAAACGATGACAAGGTGTATATGATGTGTGGGTTTGTAGTTGATCCAGTGTTGATCATCAACTCTTTTGGTTGGCGCAGATTAGTTTCTCAAGAAGTTAATGTATGTTCTAATAGTTGATGCTTGGAGCATTTGCTGAATACTGACAGATGCGTTGTGGGATGGTCACTACTAGGCCTTGGTTGTTACATGGCGTGCCATTGGACTGTATCTTGAGATCAAAGACATGCCATTGACAATGGCTGCCATGATGGAGTTTATGAAGGTAAATTGGAGCAGTCGTATATTTAGCTTATCTGCCTGTCGGATCTTGACAATTCTTATGTTGAACTAGTCGTACGAATCCAAGAATATTGCATACAGTGACCAAGGAAAACAATTATTTGAAGCCGCAATAAGTTTGTGGACGAAATCAGTGCCGTTGATATGGGTGTCACTCATAGATCCATTTTTGATGGTTTTATTACCCAAACCGTTTTTGAATGCAGTGGGAGGACAGGAGCCAGCACAAGAGCTGGTCATGACAGTGAGTGCAGGATTGGCAGTGCGATCGTGGTGGATAAGGTGGTTGAAATTGTCAAGGGGAGCAGCTCTTCATCGAACACCACGCAAGACACAAGGAGGAGTTTATTTCCCAGCGAACGGTGTGTTCAAGGACAGCACATACACTAAAAACGGCTACACGATTGCACAATTGACGAATAAATTGCTTGGATGAATACCAGCCTGAGGGTGACTTTTTATATTAAAATAGTTTTGAGTTTGATGTGCTTGTAATACACATTGATTTACTATAATGGGTCTTATTCCGGTCAGTCATGGATTGAGTGCTGTATTATTTGTTGCATATGGAAATTGACTGTTGAGCAAAGTGCAGTTGTGTTGCTATGAACCAGCTCAAACCTCACTCTTGTATTCTATCCATTATCATCCCATTTATCTCTACTGATTGCTCTTCCTACTATTATGATAAAAGCTTATTGTTTCAAACCAATAGAATCATTTGGGTTGTTTTAGAGCATACACTGGGGCTTTATTTTATGTTTAGGGGTTATTTTTATTCCACCATTTTGTAAAACCATAAAATCGATTTTTATGATCAACTCGAAGCTCATAGACTAACCTCTGCAATTCATGTTTGACACTATATATGCACTGCACTTGTCTGAGCTTAGCCACCCCCAGAAGAGTTCAAGCCGATTGCTATGCTCATGTCCTTCTTCTTTACAGTGGTGTTTATAGGATACGCTGTAGTAGCAGGTTTGCGTCGTAAGCTGTTGAGTATTTTGATTGATCTCCCACATCCAACCGATACATATACGGCTCATGATATTCTGCGCATTACTCAAAAGCAGGATTTTGTTTTTTGGCACGCAAGGGGCATGGAGTTTGCTTATTTGAGACTTTTGAGCATCAAACAAATATCTGAAACTCTTGCTAGTATCAAGACTGATTCTCCAGACTTGCTTATGACCAACGTTGCTGAGTTCATGGACATGATTGATTTAATTGTGTCGGAGCTCACTGATCGTGTTTCTACAGCTGATCGAGTAGAGACTGTTCTTAAACGTATAGCGTATTTTAAGCAAATGAGTAAGCTTTCCGATGCTACTTGGGTATACATGGCTTGTCTATTTGCCACTCAACCCATTACCTGGATTCAATATGGCGGATTCAGACAGATTTTGCTTGGATTCGAAGCCGAGGCCTATACGCTCATATGGAGAGATATTTCTATGCGTATTGGACTAAAGAATATTCCTACAACATACACAGATATGCAAGAGTATGTAAACTCGTTTGAAAAAGAAAACGCTGGCGAAAGTGAACACACTGCAAGGTTTGCCAAATGCGTTATAGACGCTTCGGCTCAATCTGCCTCGGTGATGGCAGGTAATAGCCAGATCGTAAAGCGTCTTTACCCGATGGCCGTGTCTGTGTATGCGACTGAATCTATGCGACATGTGTTGCATTTGCCTACTCCTCCTGCTTATGGAAAAGTATTGTTGTCCACAATGATGTGTGCAACCGCAGTGTTTGTGTCCTATTGCCTAGTTCCTCGAAAAGTCCCTCACATGCGCACAAAGGATGAGGTCAACACGGATGGCAAGTACGATGTAGCGTATGTCATGTATGGCAGCGGTGCAAGTGTTAAAGGAGGATATTTGATCGAGCGCGTTGGACCTGCAAGCATGCTGAGTGATGATGGAATGGGTAAAATATGTGATGGCATTCCCAAGACCGTTCAGGTGGCTATTACTGACAATCCTGAAGAGGTAGATAAGAATGCGCCAAAGAAACTGGCAGAGGCAGAGGCATCGACGTGATGGATCTTTGATTGATCATGTAACCAAATGCAGTTCAGCTTCAGCTGATGCCAGTAGGAATGGAAATGGGAATGGAGAATGAATAAAATGGGAAATTATCAGCAAACATTGTTCTTGATGTTATTTGCAAATATTGATACTGTTCATCTGCTGATTTGAATGACAGGAATATTCATCAATCGTAAATGCAGTAACAGAACCTGCTTGATATTGTCAGAATATTAAAACATGATGAATGCTGACAATCGCTTTTATCACTCCATTCATCCCTTTTGTTCATAATCGTGACAAAATTATCCAGTAATCATTTCATGAAACTGTTTATTATACTTTGACTCTTACCTAGTATCCTACTCTGCGTGAATACAGCTGTAAATCTGCTGGCCGGAAATGTCAAAACGGACCAACAGCAGGACACCTGCTAATATGGAGGGTAGTAGTAGAGGACAGCAACCATCACAGGGTCGAACAGTACAGTTTGATATTTCGGAGGGTTATGACGCTCACTCTTCTGCAGACAACATTTATACTACAGGGTTTAGCTCCAACTCATTATCTACAGCAAATCCAGGATTACCACCTTCTTTTTATGGGTCAAGTTTTCCTCCAGTATTCCATCAATTAACATCGAATGCTAATGCTCGCAGAAACGAGCAACATGGCCGCACTCAGGCTCATGCTGCTCTAGCATCTGGCAATGGTGCAAGTAGTTGGCGCAACTCTCCTACATTGCATAGACCCAATCGACCCAATATTCCTCAACGAACAACAAAGATTACTCAAAAACTAGTATTGTTTCCTGACGATTCCAATGCTGGCACTATTGCAGGAGCAGCTATAGGCGATGATGCATTAACTGCCAGAACTCCTCCAGATGTCAATGCATGGGCAAATACAGATCAAAACATTACAAGTGGTGCAGTATCTGATCCATCCCAGCAGGTTTCTGGTATAATGGCTGGTGTTGGAGATGCTGCTCGAACTCATGCCGAACGTCAATCCAAAGAAGAACGAACTGGCATTCCTAGAGGTATTTCTCGCCATTTCATGTAGACTTGTTTTTCAGAGTTTATCTCATTCATGTTCGATATTTAGTTACATGCTACTGCGTTGCAGAGTCATTCAATATGGATGATACCATTGCACTTATTCGGGACGTTCATGGAGTGATCCCAAAACAGTATGATGAGTGTGTCTACTTTTATTACGAGCCAGGAATGAAATCTCGAGTATTTGGCCAGGCTTCATCTGTAAATGCAGCTGATACAAACGATAGGCGCTTGAACCAAAAGTTTACTCCTACACTGCAAGTACACATTGTTTTGTGCATGATGCACCAATTTTTAATAGTTACTGGAAGCTAATTTGCAACCGGATTTTAAAATAATGTCATGACCTATCTATGTAATTAGCAATCGGCATAATATTCGATCGATTGATCCATCACCACACATGATGCCTGGCATTTATGCAGATTTCCCAGAACATACACAAACAGATCGGCACACACGATTTCCAGAGTCAAATTCAACCGAGAGCGTGGTTGTATACCCATGGATGAATCGTAGTGAAGTGTTTATTTTTGATTATGGAGTTGTTGCGTTATGGAACTTTAGCAAAGCAGAAGAGCGACAATTTCTGTCCATCATTCTCAAATTTGGCGTTGGTCTGCTAAACTCTGATGGTAGTGTGATGTTGCCTATACAAGGTTCATGTCAAACGTGGGGACTAATCTGAATGTGTTGAACTGTTGTATGAATATTCTAGATGTCGAGATTGAAGATTTTCATTTCCAATATGATTTAGCAGGCCCGCATCAGCCACGTATCTTCAATGATATGATCACACTTAAAAGTAGCAGTCCATTGATTAAACTCACTATTTCTCATGGTCTAGCACAGTCTGTTAAACTCTCCCTGTTTGAAAATGCTATGGAAGAGACCATTGATGGTGCGACACCCCTTCCACGCATGATGGCCAAGTATGGGCAGGTCAAGATGAGCCGTATTGAGATTATGAAAATTGTTGGACAACTGTTTAGACTCAAGATGAATGTGAATCTTGTTTCAAATGTTCTCGGTGAGCCCAAGTCTTGTTTGCATTGTTGAATATAGACTGTACACTAATGTGCTGTATACCATAGACACTCCTGAAATTTTCTGGGCTGAGCCAGAGCTGGAAGGACTGTATAACGCAATACGTGGATATCTAGAGATCTCTCAGCGGGCCAAATTACTCAACTCACGTGCAGATGTGCTATCCGATCTTTTAGATATGCTATCAGAACATCTCAATTCAAACGAAATGACCTTTATCACATGGGTAGTGATTGTTCTCATTTTCTTTGCAGTTATCATAGCTATTGCAGAGGTGGTGGTCAAGGTGTATAAGATGCAGGCTGGTATTGAATAAACAAGTCATGTTTAGATTTTAGTCTGACAGGTTATGTTCAAGCAAAAGTTTGAGACTATCATCAATTTACTAAAAACAAACATGATACATACCAATGGTGGTTACTGACAATTTCTCATCACTTTGTTGCTAGCTGTAAATAGCTTGATCATATCTATCATATTGTTTTGAATATCATTGAAAATGTTTATAGTAATCAAGACTTGTTTAGCGATCGGAGTTTGTCCATTTGCGGAGTTTGTGGATCGTGGAATAATTGGAATATTTCTCGACGAATTCTATTTGCATAGCCAAATATTGGGTTAGAGGAACACAAGGTATGGTTTGCTTGTGGTCTAAAGCAATAAGACGAGTTGAAGTGATTTTTCCAATCTAGCCAGGCAAATAGACTCATCCAGCTGAACTCTACGTTTGGAACATTGACAATCAAAACTGTTTCAGGGTATTGCTGACTGGATGCGGCTATGTTGGCAACGTTTTTTGTGGATTGAAAATACTCCATATGAATTGATTGGATTGCCAGATGTGGCCAAGGAGGCAAGGCTTGGCCACATGAATTCATATGCTATACAGGCTGGTATGAATGTGATGCTAGACGAATAGATACAGCTAGAAAAATAGCAGTGCGGTATGTGGGTTGGTTTTGACAAAAGATCAAAGCAGACTAGCATGCGGCAGGGATGAAAACAATGGTTTGAAATACTATTCAGCATTGACTTGGTCGAATGCTTGTAGGTTTCAAACCCACGTTGTATTATACAACTGTCAGTAAATTCTAGTATTGTTTCAGACCAAGTGGGCTGCTTATCTTTTGAATTTCAAGCATTTGTCACAGTTTAGATTATCCATATAATTTTTAAGCATTAAAATTTCCAATTGTTGAATATTATTGCGATGAAGAATAGGAGTAGAATAAGCCGACTTGAGCAAAGTCTTGTCCTTACAGCCCAAGTACACTAACATAATTGTATGATATATCCGGGTCTGGAAATATACTGATAAACTTGACATTCAACTACACCAATAGTACGACAGGATGCTACATTGTACAATGCAAGATAAATTGGGTGTGACATGATCAGGGACCTTGAATCAAGCAAATTTACGCATTAGGGACGAGCAGCTTTATTTGGGAGAATGGATCGAATATGAAGATAGTAGTTGATGATCTGTCAAGAATCCAGCTAGACAGGCCTGTTGACAGTAGTCATGCCAATCCATTGGATACAGAAATATGGTTCTATATGGTTTGATATTGGTAACCACTGTGGCAGTGATGTAATCTTGAGAATGGCAAAGCACTAAACACCCTATACGATGATGTCAATTTAATAGCTTACATAGCCACCCAAAACGCCTGCGGGTTGAGTAAACTTTATAAAGCGAGGGAAACCTTGCACTCGCTCTCGAGCTCGTCGTTTGAGTTTATGAATTGATTGAAGTTTGCTGTTTAACAAGGATTCTTTGGTCTGGATCTTCTGCCCATCTTCTGCTGCTCTGAAATATTTTGCTTTGGTGTTGTCCAATCAACTTTGCCACATATCTACTCGTATTCTACTGATGGCTTATTCGCCTCCTGTCATGCCGGGCGATTCATCGCTGTTTGCTCTATCGGATTCATCTCTAGACACATATTCCCTGCAAGAAAAATTAGTATTTGGTTTGAGCAATGAGCTGATAACCAATCCCTCTATAGCATGCGAAACATCCTTGAACAAGCCATACTCTAAAATGGACACTCATTTACATTCACCACCATTGAGTGAAAGACTGCAGGATGAATCCTGTAGCGAAACCGACGTTGTTCCTGAACTGCTGCCTGGTCTCGAGCTTGATTCCGCCACGCTTGTTTCTAGCTGCTGTGACAGTTGCATAGACAAGGACTTTCAGATCCCCACTCCACCCTCAATTTCACCTACTTTATCTCCAATAATGTCCCCATTGTCCATTTCTTCACTGGCTTCTGAACGCCCCGCTGGTCCAAAAAAGTTTGTTGGGTTTTCAGATATTGTCTCGATTGGATTCACACATGCACGAGAAGAATACGATCGAGCAACCGAAGAAATTGCAAAGCTGACCTATCGGGATATGTTAGAGCTTCGTGAGTCTATTATCTGAATCTAAACCTTGTTTTTTTGGTCGAGACTGTGAATTAACAAACTTCTCGTGCTGCTTATGTAGTGACTTATCGGGTAGAGATGCGATCCAATAGCTTCAAGATGGCTCAAGGTAACAATTGGATGGTTTGATTGTCCTATACTCGACTGATTGCTATCAAGCATTCCCTTACTAACTCGAGTGCGTTTATTGACCAATCTACTCTGAAATTAGCATCGGTTTCTGCAAACACCTGAGTGTAGCCCGTGTTCACATGCAGCCGACTTGATTTGAACATTGATATATCCTTTCGTCAGATATTGTATCTAGGACGTGAACAGCTTGCTGCATTTATACATACCCACTTGGCGTGCACATCCATTATTACCATTTCATTTGTTTGCATTCCACTGATCCCTTCCACTTATTCTCAGTTCATCTTCGTTGTTATTTGCATATCCAATTCCTTGGCATTTCTATTTGCTTTATTGAAGAGTCGATAATTTGCGATTGTTTTACACAAGCATTATACTTATATTTTACAGTTTAAGATTTGGGGTTGGGTACATGGGCTATGAACAGTTAATACCAAGCTCGCATCATTAGACTATCATAAGCACAATTCAATATGAGCAGCCCTGTTATCAACGATGTGACCCTTGGTTTTAAAATTCAATCACTTTCCTTGTCCATCATCAACTACTGCTCAGTCCAATGGCTTTTACCAAACAGTCTCGTCTGGGTATCCTCACTGTCTTGGTATCGCTGTTCTTTGCCCTAGAGTTAGTTGTGGGCTACATCACTGGCTCAGTTGCTCTTATCGCTGATGCTTTCCACATGTTGTCCGACTTGTTTTCTTTAGCTGTTGCTTGGTATGCTATCAAGGTAATCATACTCGGTCAATACAGTCTAGATACTCACAAGTCTCTACAGTGCTAGAATACTATTGGGGTTATTCCAATTCCAGACAGTCCAATGCCAGTCCTTGATGTCTGTTATTGGACTGTCGGGCTATTCAAGCATTGCTGCATGCGCTGGCTTCTTGCTATCAGCATACTCTAGCAACTTTGTTTACATCTTTATGGCTGATTGTTGGCTGTCATTATTCTTGTTGGGTTTCTTGGCAATATCTTTAATCTTGCTGCCTCTAAGCAATTCTCTTTTTATTGCATGATGCTTGCAATCTTACAAAAGCTTTCTAACACGATGGAATATTTCTTGATTTGTTGTTGGGGTTACTTGCACTAGCTGGCTGCATACACTGCATACGACCCTCAATACACGTATGGTCTACAGCGAGCAGAGGTTTTGGGTGCACTTATCAATGGTGTGTCGCTGCTTGCACTGTGCTTTTCCATTAGTATCGAGGCCATTCAGCGCTTTTTTGAGCCTGTCCGTAAGTGTTTAATGGCTTTAACAAATCTAAACTATCCCATTGTTACATGTTGGCATATTGAAAAGTTTATTCATCTTTAATGTGTAGATATTCGTAACCCCTGGCTGGTTGTCATTACCGGTTCTGCTGGATTGGCAATGAACATTTGTGGTTTGTTTTTATTCCACGACCACAGTCACCACGGTCATGGTCATGGTCACAGTCATAATCACCAGAGCAGCCATCATAACCACCAACACGCTCATGATGATAGTCATCATAATCATGATGATGGATCTGCTCTTTCTCAGACGAGTGTCATGGACAATGTTTCCACTGTGGTTGCCGCTTCATCTCCTATTCCATGCGAGCCTGGCCCTTCGTCATCCATCTCTCCACAACTCACTCCAAAGATATCTAGGTCTATCCACCCTGCACAAACCCGTGTAGACATTGTTCTTGCCGCAAAGCGTCTTCGACACTCTTTTGAAGCAGTTGAATTGGGCGAGGATGAGCTATTTGAGGGTAAAGGTGTAGAAGTCAATTTAGAGTCTCAGGGTGATTACGATATGAGTACGGCAACACTTGCACGACCCTCTCACTACAATTTAACCGACCCTTTGGCTGATCATGACAAATGCCCTTTAAAGAGTTCACATTCATACAAAGGACATGATCACCCTCATTTACCAGATCCTCATATGCACTTGGCAGAAAGCGATGATGATCGTCATTCGCATGAAGGCCATTCTCGTCGAATACTCCATGCAAATGAAAGCGAAAACAATCATAGCCATGCACATGGACATGGTCATGGCGATCTCAACATGCATGGCGTGTTTCTCCATGTTCTCGGTGATGCATTAGGATCGATTGGTGTTATTATCTCGACTCTCATTATTATCTACGCTGAAGGTGACTGGAAGTACTACATGGATCCTGTCATGTCTCTCATCATCACAGTGCTAATCATTGTCAGCACTGTTCCATTATGCAAAAGCGCAACATTTATTCTAATGCAAAGCGTACCCAGCACAATGCAAATCGATACACTTCGATCTGAAATCATGACCGTAAAAGGTGTAATCAGTATTCATGAACTCCATGTTTGGCAATTGTCAGACAGCAAGGCCATTGCATCTGTTCATGTTCTTGTTCGGGATCCAGCCGAATCTAGCATAGAACCTCTTCAGCCACCATATATGGAGATTGCATCCATGATTAAAAAGAAACTCCATCTGCATGGTATTCACAGCACCACAATTCAGCCAGAGTTTGTTAGCAGTAAACATTCCCAGCCAAGCTTTAGTCCAGAAAGTGGAGACGACGATCCCACTGAGCATGACTGCTTTTTGAGTTGTAGGGAAACGTCGTGTGAAACCCAACGATGCTGTCCGCCATTGCAGTTGAAGATTGTTTCAGATAATTCTTTATAATTAAACAGCGCTTGCTTGGACTTGTTATCTTGCATGCTTACCACTTTAATCTTTTCTCACATTATTGGTTTATCTCTAAACCCATTTTGCTTGATAGTGGGGTTGCGTGTATAATAGATTCTAGGCTTATCATTTGTTATAATAAACTCAGTTTTGGTCAGTTTCTGCAATCACCAAACCAGTCCATGTGAAGTCTTGTGAGAATAAAAGTGTGAGCTTTATTCAACATTTTGAAACTAGATCATCATTTAGTAGTGTAGCAAACTAAACAGTGCGACTTTCAACCAGCTCGGCACAAATATTCTGGATCATGTCTGCCAATAGCTTTAATACCCCAGCATGACCACATCTGAGATCAACGTTGACAATCAGTCCTCTTTTTCGTCTGGGTGGGGTTGCACCCATTCCTGGCCCTGCAGCACTTGTGTCTTTGACCAAGGCGGCTACGTGCACACCATTCATGACTAAACTCACACCATACATGGATACAGCTCGCGCCGGTGTGGTATGTGTTTCGACAACACCCAGGCAAAGTCGTGCACTAATCATTTCAATACAGACATCAAACACAACACTTGATGGGAGCACCATTTGAGTAGAATGAACAAGTGATAAAAGTGGTGGATCGCTCGTAAGCAATTCCACCATCCCTGAAGCAGTCATTTCCATCACTGTAGGTGATGTTCTAGAAATCATATTTACTGTAGGCGGGATAGTTAGATCCACCGTATGAGCCATTTTCTTGGCTAAACTTTCATCCGTCGTGACATATGTATACGCTATTTCCATTGAAATGTCGGGCACTTGAAATTCGAGATGGCTTTCTGTCCGTGTTGCTACAAGATTCATTTCGTATTCACAGGGCTGCAGCTGGTTTATACTGACCGCAGATACGGTGTTGACATCACACGTTGAAATTGTAATCGCGGATGTCTCAATGGGTCTAATTGCGATTGAAACCATAATGGAAAGTTGAAGTTGAGTAGCCGTTATGTCAGTCAACGGTCCCACATGTTGCCACATGTACATGATTTCAACAAAATCATCTTCAAAAAACACAATTGGTTCAGTAGATACTCCAATCGCTCCGCTGAGAAGAGCTGATACAGTATGTGTTTCAGTAGTTACTTGAGGAGTTATAGCTTGTTCTGGTATATGTGCAAGTGATTTTGCTTTGCCAGATTTCTTTTTCTTGTCAGATTCCTCGATATCTCCAGTTTTCTTGGATTTGCTCTTCTTTTTTGATTTTTTGGTGCCTTTTTCTTCTGCACTCAAAGTAGCATCAACAGCACTTTTCTTTGTCTTCTTCTTTTTTACCGACTTCAATTCTAACTTTTCTAATGATTGGTCAACTGTATCTGGTAAAGCTTCGTACATCAATCCGGATTTACTATGTCTAGGTGCCCTCTTATCGCTAGTCGAAAATCCAGTGGCGTGAGAAGCAGAATTGTTGTCATCGCCAGCCAATGTCAAATCAATGCTCATCACTGCGTATCGATCGGGATCAGTAAGACGAATATGTTCAAGATCTTCAAGTAGATCCTTATGTCCTTCATTGTCGCCCATATCAGTTTGAGCATTCCTTGAAGGCAGATCCTCTTCTTGCTTGAGTTGATATGTTTTGGGCGAGGATTGTCCCATGTTGAATGCATTTGCCTCGCCACGAATCTGCTCTTCCGTGCGCGATTTGGCAAATAGAGACGTGTATTTTGATGGAGAAGACAATGAGCTTGGTAAGCCGCCAAAAGCTAAAGGTGATGTATCCAACGATAGCTTTGCAATAGGAATCTTGTCTACATCAATTTTGAGTATATTCGATGATGTGGATTTTGACTGTGTTTCGCTCCGAGTTAAATAAAATGGATCGTTTTGCTGTTTTTCTTGTCGTCGCTGATGCCGTTCATTCTATAATGATCAAACAGAGCATTGTCAGAATTCAAGTTAAATCTAGTTTTCTTGATATAATGCCAGTTTCAAATCAAAGCAAAACCACACCTGTTCAAAACTATGAGTGGGTGACTCTGAAAGCGCCAAAGAGTCTACATCCGAGTAGTTACTAGATCCATCCAAGTTGAATTCTTCAGCTTCCAATTCAGGCGGGTGAATCCAGGAATCCAAATCAAGCCCTTCTGGTACAACCACTTTTCCTTGAGACTTGATAGAAACGGGATTGAATTCGCCATCAAAAAGAGTAGGTAAAATCTCTGTCATTCTTGGCATGCCAAAAGTTGTCAAAGGCTGGGTTTCCTCCCGAGATAAATCTATTTCTTTGATGATGAGCTTAAAAATTTCCAAAACTGTCGACGCCTTTAGATTATACAGCGTCATGATATTAGCAAGTTGGTCTTGTCATTGATATAAAATCACAATCATGAGCATTTACAGCAATACTCACCCGATCCTGAACTTCCAAATTCGGGCTTGTTGTGAAAAACTCCAGCCGATCGATAATCACTCGAATCAATTCTAAACACTCATCCGTCTCTGGTCGCTTTACATCCTTTCCATCAAGATGTCCGCCAATCCATCGAGCATATACTTTTAGCAAATTATGCAAATATACCGTATGGACCAATGGCGAAAGAGCATTCACTTGAGGCAACAGCATGCTTTTGATGATTTTTTGGGGATCGGAAAGAACATTGCAGTATTCCCCTACAACCCAAACAGCACCATACAACGCTTCGGTATTATTCGGTTGTTTTGTCACTGTGTCCAAAAGCTCGGTATCCATGACAAGTTTTGCCAAAGAAGAGACGGCCAAAGGAACAATCTCTGGTACTCTGACACATATTTGTATAAACTGCTCGGAAATGGCGCTGCCTGCATCAATCAAAGGACAATAAGACAGGTCAATCAGTACGCTCAAGTACCACTCAAAGTTTGTCACGTTTGCAAAAGTGTCCTTGCTACACATAGTCAATATGCATTGAGCAACAGAATTCCGGTAAATGTTCTCTTGTTTTCCAAGAGTCCGCTTTGTGCGCCGTTTGGATAGTGCTGTATCAGTTTTAGGAACAAGATGCATCATGAGTTTTTTTACAATAGCAAAAAGGTGCGTGGGTGTGCTAAGGTTTTGAATAAGCTCTAGTGCACGTTGACGGATACTGTAATCAGGATCTTCAAGACAGCGTAAAATAATTTCACGATGCTCGCCAACAGCTGACGGTCGAAGTATAAGAAGCTTGCCAAGAGCATACAGCCCAAGATATTTGAGGTTTTGGTCCGAGTCTTCAAGAAATTTCCGCAATTTAGTGACACAAAGTAGTACAATCTGCCTGTCCTGGCTCGATTCAGACTGATCTGTAGTAGACTCGGGTGTAATCATGCCACCAACAATAAGAGTGTGGATGCATTCATATACAAGAGACATGGCAGAAGTAGACTGGATCAGATTCACGATAGGAGGCACAAGCTTGCGCACCAACCGAGGTTCTAGCGGAGTTAAAGCTGCAAACTGCATATTGAAACAATAAAAGCGGTATATTTTGCTAGATTAAGCTATCCAAATGTGCATTTACCATACATAAACAATAGGATTGGCCTACCAACTTGATTGTTTTGATCAGCATCCAGTTATTATTCGAGGTGGTCAATAAACCATATAGCTGTGGAGCTAACGGGAGATAACTTTTTGGGTTTTTACGAGCAAGTTCGCAAATCACATTTACAGCAGCACTGACAACACCTAAATCAGAGTATGATTTCAAAACCACCGCCCATTTTTTGAAATGTTAGTACAGCTTGACAAAGGTATTACATCGAGCCTTGCATTCATACTTGGGTCATCGTCGTTTAACCGTTCCTTGAGTCTGCTAAAAGCAGCGCGAAGTGCTTCAGGATACTTTAAAAAAATTCGATACAGCACCAAAATGGCACGCTTTCTCATGTACGGTTTTGAATGGTTCAGCATTACAATCAGATCCATATGTAAATCACGAGAAAGGTCAGGAGTGGCAATTTGGGCCAGGGCATGCATTGCAACTGCACCATCTTCGTAGTTGTTGGACGACATATCCTAAAAACATGCAAACTATTGAGACGCTATTATAATCTAAAATAATAAACAGGAGGCCCACCATCTGGATCAAGCAGCTACAAATTTACTTTTTTGATGAGATTAGTGCACAGCATCAACACATCTGTGTCTTGTTTGAATGAGATCGATGCTGCATAGTATCCGACACGCTTCTGTGATAGTTTGGAAGATGACATGACCTCGATAATATGAAACGATGCCCAGCTCATATCATATCCCATCATATGAAGCTATACAAAGCAATTTCATGCGTCAGTATTAAAATACACAATCCTGTTGAATATCTGAGCAGGAATTGGGGAATAGAAACCACTTCAAAAGTGAATATGCAGTCATGAGTGTAGTCAATAGTGATGTCAAGGGTTAGCGATGATTTAGGACTGATGCTCTTGATACACTCACAACACAGAGTTTTGATATAGCATTCGTTTTGATATCCAAGTCGTTTGTACGCAATTCCTGTCGGACCTCATCGATTGCATTGGCTACAAATCGTTCTTCAGAGTTTTTGTTGGCTCGCAGACCTCGAATCAGATCGGTCAATGACTGGTACATGTGAATTTATATTGGTAATATAGAGTAAAAGCAGGACGGTTAGTATGCATCTAGTCAGCATGGATTGACAACTTGCAATAGTTGATGTGCTCAAAAAGTCGACTTTATTAGATTGATAAGATGAATCAAGTCTTATCAATCCAATAAACAAATGTAGACATGGCCAACAGCTCCAATGCACACCTTTTCAAACATGTTGTGTATCTACAGTTGACGATAATGAGAACGGGAGGAAAACATTTATTCCTATTTCAGTTCAATTTTATCGTGTCTTGAAACCATCTCGTTTCTAGAATACTGCAATAGTATTCTAGAAACGAGAGTTTTAGTTTGTAAAACTGTCGATTGGTTTAAACCAATGTGAACTAGATGGAACATTGAAGCTCGCGTCGGAACAAGACCAAATGATGTTCTACATCGAATCGATATAAAACAAGTCGGATTGTTATAATACATGATTCTGCCATTCAAATGCATCGATATTTGTAAAACATTGCTGATGATTACTGACAATTTCTCATTTATTCCTTCAACAACTACAAGTGACTTGAACACTGTTCAATCGTTGCACAACACTTTTGGTTAATATTTTACGTGAATACAGCAAGATTACACGCAGAATCTGGCAGCAGTTTCAGAAATCAAGCAATTCAGATTCAACCCGACAATAGTTAATGAACTCGACGGTTTGACAAGAGTTTGATTCTTTTACACATCCAACTCTTACTACAGATGCTCGGTGCTGTTGCTCTCGTTGCCTTGCTGGGTGTCTTTCAACCAATCCTCGTTGCTGCTCAGTCATCGTCTAATAATCATGTCAATTCATCCATACATACCCGATTCGACTACAGACGGTCATTCAAGCCGCCATATTTCCTTCAAGACCAATCCATCCCCTACTTTAAAACAACATCTGGTATGATCACTGCTGAGACTACTCCAGTGACACTGTCTATTGTGCTGCTACTTTTTGGAACTCTTGTACCCTTGCAGTATCTATTCAACTGATCTAACATCAATGCTATACTTGACTAGATGTCTCGCATGGCTCAGACTTTCTGCGTCTAGCAATGAGTATCCCCGACAAGCATGGCTCGATATGGTCTTCTCTTTCCAATCCATACAAGGAGTGGCAAGTTGTGCTTTCTTTCTTCGTCTATGGTCGTGGCTCATCTGGCAGCGATGGTCTTGTTTTTTGGCTTGTTGATGCTGCTCCGTCTCCTCCTGCTACACCAGATCCCAACAACCCTCAGCCTAACCCTCCCGTCACTTCTTTCTACGGCCACAACTCTAACTTTAAGGGATTCGCTCTTGTATTCGATAGCAGTGATGCTTCAAGACAACGTACCAATCCCTTCATTTATGCCATTCTCAACGATGGAACAAAGCATGCTGCCGATTTTGCTAATTACATGTCACCACAGGTTCATGTCGGTGCTTGCTTTCGAGAATTTCGTAATACTGCCGTGCCTGTACACGCTCGGCTAACTTATATGAACAAAACTCTTTCTGTACGTCATGTAACAGGATTGGAATCTCAGTACTCAAAATCTCTTCATGTCCAAGCTACTGACCATCGTTTTCTTTCATTTGTATTTATATAGCTGGATATCGACATTAGAGAAGAGGGCGAAGAATACACCAACTGTTTCAGTACAGAAATGCCATCTATGCCTGAAAATGCCTTTTTCGGAGTTTCTGCATCTACAGATTCCAACGGTTTTGGTATGGCATCGTGATTGGTCTTGTGCTTTTGTGTAGTTCAATTAAAGCTGATGTTGAATCATTTGAATACATTAGATGATCATGATGTAGTTAGTATGGAAGTCTTTGAAATTAATCCTCCACCACGCCAGGTTTGTCAAATCATCTGCTATTCACAAATGCTTCATCTCTATCACTACTTGGATTGGGTTGCTAACTTTACATATCTGCTCTGGTTCTCATCAAATTCATTAGAAAATTTTCCGACCAAACGAAGAAGCAGATATTGCCAAGGGCAAAAAGTTCAAAATGAACGAGGATCTCAAAAAGGAAGTCGAAAAGGCTGAGCAGCGTGTGCGTAAGGTTGCTAAAGCAGAAGCCAGCAAAACTGGAAAAGACGCCTCCACAAAAGCAGCAATGGATGTAAGATTATACTGTTTTGAATAGATCATGGTATTTGCTGTTCTAATGCTTTTGTGTGTTGATCTTAGTTAATGTCAATCAAGCGAGTTGCTGATGATCAAACACGGATTATTGAGATGTTAAACTCTGTCCAGCAAAAATTATCCAGTGTGCCTGCTTCATCTGGTGATAATAAGCATATTCCTTCCAACGTTTTGACAGAGGATCATCAGTATCAGTTCGAGTCTCGCATTTCAGCCAAGTTTGATGCAATCAAGGCCGAAGTGGATAGTAACAGAAACGAAGTTCGTGTTTTATCAAAATATGTGGTTGAACTCAAGGAGTTGGTAAGCTATTGACTTGATTAGTATCTATTGATCGTGATTTGTTTTGTAGTAAAACTGCATACAACACAACTTTAATCCACTTTTGGCTGTTATATGGGACTATGCTACAACAAAATATCATCTTAGGCTCATCAACTCCTCGAGCGAATCGATTCAAAGCTGGGTAAAACCAAGGAAATGATTGAGCAAACCAATGCTAATCTGGCATCCTCGTCCAACGATGCCATTGAAAAACTAACAAGCCTACAGGGACAGAATCACTCAAGTGCCCTTTACTATGCACTATATATTTTTGCATCACTTGCGGGCATTGCATGTATTCTATTGGTCTATTCGTTTATTCTGAAAACAAAGGAGCGTCAGATTAAAAAGTTTATCTGAGGTTTGGTCCGACAATTTTATACTGGAAAGGATGCAGTTTATGGCTTTAATAAACATTTTCTGGTACAATGAATAAATCCATTCCAGCTTATAATGGTTGTGAGCCGAGTTTGCAGAATTGCACAACACAATTCATGATCGGATACGATCAAACAGAATCCATTCAAAAGACTGATTTGAATGCATCAACTGCTACTCAGTCCTATGTCCAAGATCAAGTTTGCAGTAGTATGTGCCAGTAACCAGAACAGAAGCATGGAAGCACATCATGTTCTTCGGTGGGATTTTCATTCGCAAGCATACAACTACAAACATGCTATTATACTCTAATACTTGATATCCAATTAGGCAACACAATTTTAGTATATCGTCATATGGAACAGGAACAGCAGTCAGACTTCCAGGACCATCGGCAGATAAGCCCAACATATACTCATTCGGTACGCCGTATGATGACATCTACAACGAATTGGCCAGTCAAGACCGGCATTTGTAAGTCAACCAAACTATTGATACAATACACTTTATCTTGCATTCAACAATAACATTCCTTTTGAATGCAAGATATACACAAAACGGGTTATTGCTGATGCTCGACCGAAATAGACGAATCAAACGAGCACCTGAACGATTTCAAGACACCAGTGATGTATTTGACGTTATTTTTACCTGTGAGGAGCGGTGTTTTGATGCGGCTTGTGAGAGTAAGCAATCACTTGTTCATACCATTCTACACAATATAGTGATTGATAGTATATCTGATGTAGGTATATTGAATCGATCGCGTCAATCCAATCAACCTGTCCATGTCATCAACGTCGAGATTATTGATAACCATGAACAAGCAACTGTGGGTGGTAAACTGATTCTTCAACTAGCACAAGAGGTACACACCCTTATTCATTTATACAATAGAAATGGTCAAGTTGGTAGCTAACATGAGTGTGGATGGTCAGATTGAAGCAACAACAGATCTGGATCAGGAGATTGGCGCATTACTAGAAGCATTTATTGACAAGACCAAAGCAAATATTCTCTACACTATTACATATCTATAACCGCAATGTATAACTTGGATATTATAAAGTATTTGCAGTTGCTCAAAAATTGCTAATAATTTACTCGGCTCAACACGCTATTGCATTCATATGCCATGTATACAAATATATTTTGCAAAATCAAGCAATAGAGCACTAACGATCAAGATAATTATGATGGGATGAACTGGACTGGTGTGCAGGATTGAACTAACCACTAACTGGATTGAGATTCAAACTCCTTACACCGTGTACTACATAACAATTCGACTGATCGTCGCTCATACTTGACCTCCATTTCCCAATTATTGCCATACTTTTTTGATTCATGTTTCATCACTGCTCGACTGAAATTAAACAATCTAACCAATGGAGTGCTGCAACCCACATTAGCGAATAGAATATTCTGTTCGGCTACTATCCGATGCAATACCCCATGCGACCAGAGTAATTCATAAGCCGATAAAAGTATGTGACAGAATGATAGTGACCATGTGTGTGGTGTAGCGTGAGTAAAAACAGAGCGAAATTGAATCTGTTGCAATGGATCGACTGCAGTGTAAGATGATGGGACAGATCCAGTCAGTGCAACGACCAGCACTCGACACAATTCAGCATGACGAGAACGACGACGAGCAAGAGGTGGAAGACTGGTCGAGAATCCAGAAAATAGCATCTGTCCTACTACACCGTCGAGGTGATGTGTGGTGTTCATGTGTCTGTAAACTACTGTTTCGCGCTCAATCTCTTGATCAAACAAGTATGATGGTTTCAAGACTGCTGGTATGTCTACCAATGCATGATGATTAAACATGACTGGTAGAGATTCGGTGTGTGCAATGGGTTGTGATGAATTAATGGGAACAGTGATTGCAAATACGATTGGAATGACAGCATGTCCTGAATGAGTGGTTGTGATGCAATTTGAAATAAATGGTTTAGTATCTGTTGCATTGGCTCTTACAAGTGCAGCAGCAGAAGATACTGGTTTGATGGTGAGTCCAGACAAGACTGCATTTGCATTCAGAAGAAATGGAGCAACATGTGTGAAATGATTTGAAGCATGCTTCAAGGTCTGTGGTAGATTTGAGGACTGTAACGAATTAGGAGTTGATGAACACGGAAAAAAGGCAGATTGAGGTAGTTGCTTTGTAAATCCTGGTACAGATTGCAAGTCCAGTTGGACAATACGCGGATGCCAGATGGGTGTATGTGGAAGTATTGGTGCATGACATGGTTGAAATTGCTGGAGTGGGCAACTCAAAAGTGGAGTAGAGTGCTGATGGTCAAAGCTAGACGATCGAGGCTGGTTGATGGATGACAGTTGATTACACGACGGAATGTAGCGATTCATATGGTTTTGTGGTAGATTCCTGAAATCCAAAGGATCGCCATCAATATTTTCATTACCGACTTCATTTTTAGAGTAACATGTGTTTATACGAGGTGGGCTGCAGAGTATTGGGGTTCCTGGACCAAATGATGGTGGAGCAGGTAATCTACTACCAGTTTGTGGGTCTGTTGGTATGTGATTGTGGCTGTAAATATTCGTACTGATAGCTATACCGCTACTTGGATGATTTGCTTTTGAATTCCGCTTCAATTTGAGATTATTATTGTGGCCATTTAGACTGGATATTGACAGTGGATGTGGCAATATGGAGGCGCTGCTGGAATTGATTGACAAAAACTCTTTCATTAAAGCAGCAGTTGTATGATGTGGAATCAATGTTTGGATATCAAAAACCTCTGATGATTTAGCACTAGATCTATTAGTAGCTAATGGCGATGCAGTTGGTTTGATGGATGGCAATGGCGACGATCGAGTGTATGGAGCTGCTATGACTCTGGCTCTTGCTCTATGTGACCTTTTTGATACGATGGCTGATGATTGATTAGTGTATTCAGTTGCAGATGCAATAGGTGGCATCAATAGTTTATTGTTGCTGTCATGATGGATTTGTGTGTCGAGTGCAACTGATCGTATTATCGTATCTGACACTTTATTGGTTTGATTGCTACTCAAAGCATCTTCATTATTGTTGCTGCTCATAATACTTTTACTTTTACTCAAGCTGCTTTTGTAACAATCCCAAAGCAATATCAAGGTATTTGTAGGGTTGATGTTTGAATGCAATCTCAGTTACTTGAACCCGTACAAGATATATTTCCATAACGGAACCATTGTCAGCCACATGTTTTCAGCTATCTGCATTCAAATAGTTGACTGGGATCCACTAAAGTGTATTAGATTCTAATCTTACATGAGTCTGCAAATCAGTTACTTTGAATTTCAAGATTCGTGCTGGTTTCAGTATAAAGCAATTTATTTCCAGCATCTCGTTCAACATAATCATCTGCTTCTAATATATTGCTTTTTACAGATTTGAATCTCCAGCCAACCTTTTTATCCCGCAATGCCACGTGGGAAATATCGCTTGGATAGCATTCCGATAGGGTTTTATAGTAGTGTAAATATCCAACTATGCGAGTTCAAGTATTTTGAATTTATAAATGGTAGAATCCTTTATAGCTGTAATATAACTATCAATACATGGTCCTAATGCGACGAATCTAAATCACAACTCCAAAACATCAATTCCTTTTCAAGCTAGACTTGTTCAAAGGATCAACAACTCTAACGCGTTGTTTGAGATGCATAGATACGACTTTTTGAGCATTAGGAGCATTTTCTTGAATTAGATTTGCACTAGTCCAGCAAACAGCATCAAAACTCCCAATGAGCGTCAAATAGTTTTGACCAGCCATACTGAAAAGGTGTACAAGGTGCAATATATTTTTACTAATGATTGTTACTCGATAGTCTTTTGTCGTATGAGCCTGTTCATTATTACAAACAGTTTTGTTCAAAGCTGGTAATCTATTTCCTGAGGGTATTCGAGCAAATATTAGCAGATTTGCCCCAAAACAGCTATACTGGAAAGCTAAGCTATGGAAACTACGACACCTGCTTCAATTAGTACACTACATGAATCTTCACCACCTTTTTTGTTATATCGTCGTTCAGAAGCCAGTGATATTCCTAAAATAAGGCGGCTCATTGATGGTGGAGAAAACAGCAACCAAAGTCTAGCGCGAACATTACAGCGACGATATGGAAACGACTATGATATTGAGCAGCTGATGTGAGTCAGCCCATATATTCATCAACACTGTTTTAATGAATAATTAATCTTGAACAACTCATCCATATACTCTTATCATTATCTTACTCTGTATCTAAAGCCACTCATCACCACTTTGTATCGTCGCGACGGACAAAGCAGATACGCAAGTGTTTGGGTTTATTGCATATTCATTTGTACCTCCAGCCTATGTCACCACAAAACCTATCCTTAATGAAGATGGAAAATCACAAGATATCAGCAAAATTTCAATAGGCTCATGGGATTCTTGGCTTCAAACAATATATTCTTTCAAAGATGTTAAAGTAAGATTGGTTAATAGATTATCAAGAAACTACAATCAAACTAGTATAAACTGCATATTATCTTACTTGGTTTTTGAAAAATTGATCATAGGTTCACAATACAGCATTCATTGCGTTTTTGTGTACTGAGCCAGACCATTCAGTAGTGTTTTTAGAAACTGCTCTCACGACTGCATTTCAAATCATGACAAATGTCAAGTTTATTTGCTACTTTCTTCCCGATTCATTGATCCTTTTTCCGCCTTTATCATCACCAAGACATCAGACTTTTCACCACTCTAATGCAGACAATACCATTCCAGATACGGTCGACACAGTGTCCAAACACTCTGCAAACACAAAAATAGGCGATCGTATTGATAGGCGTCGGCATAGAACCATGCACAAAGGAGCAAAATATTTTACCGAAATTCCCATTTTAAGCTCCAATGTAGCATTTTCCCTCCATGTATGTCACCGCCAAGAGCTTCTACCCACCTTTAGGGTCCGTAAAGCTCGCGTTGAAGATTGTGACGATCTTATTCCCATGCTACGTAAACAAAACCTGCTCAAGGAAAAGCACGTTGATTACTTTCTTGCTGGATTGGTGGAGTCTAAATCTGAAGGTACAAAAACGCTTGTAGCTGAAGCTGATGGTCAAATTATCGGGTTCATGAGCATCAATCGTGATTTTAATCAAAAAAGACTGATAAACTCGTATGAGCTGGAAGTATTTGATGATTTAAAAAAAGGTATGATATGCGTTTATAATTATTCATGAATTTTTAATTTAAACTCAAACTGTTGCTTTGCTATTATTCAAGATACCACGCCATTTCAAACCAAGAGCGCTCTACAAACTCCAGATTCAACTCAAACGGAAAACTTCAGCAACCAGAATATTAGTTCTTCTGACTATTCGTTACAATTACCAACGAAACAGACTGCTCAGCAATCTGCAGAAACTAAAGAAGCATCTTTAAATGCATTCTGTATTGATATACTTTGTATCGAACATTACTATGCAAGCTATTCAGCTGAATTTTTACGTGGCGCATTTTTAATGTTTAAAGCTCGAGAGTACTGTTTGATTTCACTACCTCCCAACACGCCCGAGATTAAGCTACTTGCACAATTTTCCACAGTTCAAGCAAAAAATGACAGCGTTTCACCGTAAGTAACACATATACCCTTTTTATTGAGTTTCAGATATAGCTGTCCATGTATATAACCAATAATTTGATTTATAATTGCTTGTTTAAAAGGCATAATCTGTATATTGCCAATCGATTTGGACTTGGCGATCTTGTTGATGTGAGGACTGGGAAAACAAGTGATCTTGTTCATATTAATGCTCTCACACAAGGTCTTAAAAATCAATCCGAAATTATGATGGCTATTGAACAAATCTTGAGACTAGGTTGGTCATTCAATTTTCAGCAATGTTTAATGTCTCGATAGATTGGTTCAAGTTTAGCAATTTAACGGGTTGAAATGTGTGTTGATATGATAGGTGAAACTACGTTGGTAGTGTATGTTGTAGAAATACTGAGCCAGATTGTTGGCGTAGTCGTATTAAAAATATGTTTGGATCCTCAGCAAATCATTGACCAGTATCAAGTGGAGATGTTTACATCTTTAAAGCAGAGTCCCGTTAATGGTAAACCCATCATAATAGAGCATATGATCATCAACCCTTTATTTGAAGTACAGTCCAGATGGATACTCCAAGAAATTATGCGACAGGCTGAGTGTCCGTGCCTGTTATACTTGGTTGACACGACCAAGAAAACAGACTTTGCAACGCAGAGATTGACTAAATATGAGCTTGTTCCTGTTAAGCGTAGAAGAATGATTCAGTATCCAGATAACTTAAGGGATGGCATACCTGTTCCTAGCCCACTTCCGTTCAACCTTCAAATCATTACACCATCTATTGTACTCGAACAGAGAATCTCAATCAATAGTCGCATCGTGGTGATTGGTGAATCCAATGTGGGCATAGCTTTTTTAGAAAAGCTGGTGTATTCGACACATTTGAAGTTCACGCATTTGACGCTTATTTCTACTCAAAAAAAAGGTTGGGAAGAATTCAGTCAATACTTTCCAACCGCTCGATGCTACACTAAACTAGAGTAAGACACCTGATTCTGTGTATGATTTTACTTGAATACACTGATTTACACATTGCCTTATTTTCCTGTAGACTAAAGCAGATAGCACTAGATTACTATGTCCGGGTTGTTTACGAGCGTGCAAAAGAGCTTGATCGTGAATCAAAATTGATAAAACTAGGCAACGGTCAGATGATTCAGTAAGTATATTTATTTTTGATGCACGGATTTGTTCACGATTGATCCATCATTTTGGCGCAAATCAGCATTAACACAAGGCCTGGTTTTTAGATACGATTATCTTGTACTTTGCCCAGGATTGCAATTTAATGTGTCCAAACTGGATGTATCTTTGAGTGAGCTTGGGGGTGTATTTTCCATGAACAAATCTAATATTGAAGATATTCAACGTGCCATCAAACTGTTTAATGCCGAGTTAGAGTCGCTTGCAGTTATGTAAGTAGGCTTGTCACTATATTAAGCTGGATTAATTGTAAATGAAATAAAGTATTAACCGATTTGTATACAGATTTGGTCGCAGCGTACAGGCCTATGCCACAGTGGAAAGTAAGATTGATTTGCCTTTTGGATAAAATGTAAACTTTTTTAGAATGTACTAATGCTGCGGTTCCATTTTTATCACGCCAACAAACCCATATAGTGATGTTAAATTCTGGAGTGAGTCCGTCCAGGATTGTGTTGGTTGACCCAACGATTCCATCCAAAGCCACATGCTTCAACAATCCTGCTGTTGAAAAGCGTGTATTTGATCACTTGGAAAAGATTGGCGTAAAGCATTACCAAGGATATCGTATCTACAAATGGGGAGTGAATGAAACCACTGCGCCTAGATCTATTTCTGGGATTGTGCTTTTAAATCGCCAAACCAATGACCCAATTCGTCTTCCCATGGTGGATTTTCTACTGTATGCAGACGAACGCAGTGTTGATAATGCCACGTTTAAACTTATCAACGAAAGCAGCCTGGTCTTTGATGGACGACTTGTGATTGATCAACATTTTTTAACAAATGATCCTTTTATTTTTGGTGCTGGAAGTGTTACCAAATATGCCAGTCGATACAACACACACTGGTCGCATATTCATTACGATTCAAAAGAGATTGGTACAAAGCTTGCCAACATCGTTTTGCAGATTTTTGATCCGACAATACAACCCCAAGAGTTGGTGGATTATGAGAATTTGCCCGAGTTTAAGGATGCCAAGAAATGTGAAGCAATGTTGCCCGGATCAAACTACTACATCACATTTGATCGACCGCATTTGCCTGGGCAGCTTGAGTTGGAGCGCAATAATCCTGCTAGCTACGTAAGTTTGAATTTAGTGGAATCATTTAGTTTGAGAGCTTATTTGACTGTTTTGAATTTAAATATGTTGGCCGACTTGGATATATATTTGATGTTTGTAGGGACGAGATTTGGTGATTGATACAGACAAGTTGGGATACTTTAGCATTCATATGGACACACAGGGATATATCACCTCCATCACATACATTGGCACCCATTCAATTCCCATTGAAAACATTTTGTGTTTATATGGCCTCCATGAAAAATACTTGAATCGACTTGTTGCACGATTTGATGAAGGCATTATTACAGATTTTGTAAAGTAAGGCGGGCATTTCCATAACCGAAAAAGTTGATTTGGATTGAATGTTGACAAGTGTCGTATGTATTTTGAATGTTTTAGGTTTTTGAATGAACCATGGGCACTTCCATTGTACCACGATCGATTCCCGCAGTTTGTACGGTCTTCACGCGAGGAAGGAATGGCAGAACAATCCGACGAAATGAAGGCGATTATTGCACAGTTGGAGCATCACGTACAAGTTTTCAAACAGGTAACTACAATGTATCATTTTGCAGAGGGTTGGCTGATGGATGGATACCAAGACTCGATGATCGCGACTAATGCTTTACAATATAAACCATCTCAGTGCGATGAGCAAGAACGAGCTGTGCTATACAAACTGTTTGATCAATCTCCGGATAGAAAAAAATGGGATGCCAAAGTATTCGAGTTTATGTTTGATACTGGAGTATTTCATTCGTATCCATAAGTAGATAAATAAAGTTTTTTAGTAAAACATGACAGCTGAACAATTGGCGTCAAGTCGGGAATTATTTTTTTATTCGACAGAATGAATCGAGCAACAAGGAGTGTTTTGCATGGACTCACTGCTCCTCATCGTCACTCTAGTCCAAGAACACCCCATATTTTTACTAAAAGAAACTATCTATTGTCCGGTGACGACAGTCTGAACCAATCCACAACTACTATAAATGCTCGTACTGAACCTACTATTACTAGCGAGCATCCAAACAGTAATGCATTTAAAATATGGCCTACTATTACAAGTCAGCCTCCTAGAGAAATCATTAAGCCAGAAAAACGATCTCGTATCTACATTGACACTGAGAATACCTCGGTTGCTCTGCGAGAAGCATTGTTGTCAAGTGAGCTCAAAAAGGCTTGGACTGCTTACCGTTTACTGCCTGCTTCAGAGTGCTTGCTGCTGACACATGAAGATCACTCGACCTTGCTTGGTTTACTCACTGCACATACACATTCAACTATTGCCGAAGCCCATTCTGTTACTGTCATTTTTCGTATGCGAGAGCATGATATTCACTTGGACATTCGAGACTATCACAACCTAATGCGAATCTATTTAGCCAACAACAATGAAGCCAAGATGTTGGATGCCATGAAGACTATGCAAAAGGTGGACGGTGTACAACCAGACTTGATCTGCTATAATTTACTCATGGCTCTCTATGCCAAAAGTATTCCCAGGCGACTAGATATGCTGACAAATACTTGGATCGAATCTCTACGACAGATGCCTTGGGCACGTTTAGCGAACATGGACGGATGGGCGATCTTGATTGATGGATATGCTCGCGGCGGGGACGTAGAAGGTGCTGAGAAAATGTATGAGCATGTCAAAAGCAAGGCAGAATCCGCTGGAATGGAGATTCCAGCGCATGTTCATGAGGCTGCCATTCGCATGTACGGACTTGCTGGAAAGCTGACTGACGCTTCTCGAGTGTTTGATTTTGTTTTGAGACGTGAAGGTCCGTCCACCCAGTCCAAAACTGTGGGATCTGCCTATCAGGGTGTAAATGAACACTTGTACGATGCCATGATTGAGGCATGTCAAGCCTGCAATAATCTGGGCCTGGCAACCATGTATTTTAAACAAGTTATGGACATGTGCGATCAATGGGATGAATGGTGGACTGCCAGCTATCTTAATCGCCACAGTTTAATCACACGAGGAGTGCTTTCACTGCCCATTAAGCTCACTCCTGTTTACGATAGATTTAAACGGAGAGATGGATCCAATTTCATTTCTGACAATGAAAATAGAGGTCATCTCTGCCTGTTGATGGAACTGTATCAAAATCAATCTAAAGAAAACTTTCCACGAAACAGAGCGTATCCTTTATCTATTACGTTTGATCGTATGATATGTCTTGCTGCACAAGCCAACGATTCACGACTAGCCTTTGAATATCTATGCATGCATATTGCACACAACAAACCTGAAGACATTTCATTTGAATATGTGATCCGTATGTATATACGTATGGGAAATATTGATGCCGCTCATCAAGTGTATCGGGCCATGGCTTACTTTGGATTTCGCCCATCTGTTGAGATTGCTGCTGCCATCACTTCATATGGCCCATTAGATCCGAATGCTCCTACTACATTCTGATTTTAATGCAGATTCGTGGTTTTTCCCAGTATATATACCATTTTATAATAAACAGATATACGACTTGAATGGGCCATTCTAGGACAATGATTAGCATACAAATATCTTGAATTTCAAATAGTATAAATCCAACAAAAAGAAATCGTTTTCAATCAAAAGATGAGCGTCATTGCTGTTTGACTCTGATAGTAATTGTATGAATTGGACAGATATTTGCAGTAACTGGATTAAAGTAATGTTTTAAACTTCAAGATTCAAACGTAGCTGAAATTTACACAAGTACAGAATGGCAACCTATGCACAACATATACCCTCGTTGAACGACACTGACCTACACCAGACATTGCTTGATATCCCTTATACATCGGAAGAGTGTATAGAACATAGAAATATACCTTTTCGGAATTTAACTCAGCCCTACTCTACTCCCATGTTACAACTCCATCCATTGCCAGCAGCAACTACTCCAGAGCCTCGCCATTCATCCAGTCACTGCAGCCAGCACTTGGACTCAGATGCATACAATGACACTGAACAGCAGGACAGTTGCAAGTGCGAACTGAAGCATTTTACTCATCCGTTTTACTGGTGGTCTCTCCGTCTTATTCCCAACTATATAACAGTTTTAATCCTTCTAGGCATTTGGTATGCTCTCAAAAACCTTCATCCTATTCAGCCATCAACTACACCCGACCCATCGACCAATCCGGAAGTTCAATATCCGATTTATTCCAAAGAAGACATTATCAATGATCAACTCTTGGTTTTCATTGCTTATGGTTTGCCTGTATTGGCACATGCAATCCTATCAGCCCTTGCTGTGGTTGTATATACCCGGTTTCAAAAAACTCGTCCGCTTTCAACCATGGCCGCCCTAGGAATCTACACCCATACGGTGCATACATATGCTTTAGCTTTAGGTGTGAGTGTGTTGATGACGTCTGTTGTAACAGATTGTTTAAAAGTTTGGGTAGGTAGACTACGACCCGATTTTGCTGCTAGGTGCCAATGGTCTGCTGCTATTGAAGATTGCACAGGAAATGCAAGAATGGTTGCAAAGGGAAGACGATCGTTTCCATCTGGACACTCTTCAAATGCATTTTCAGGAATGACATTTCTTGCCTTGTGGGTTGCATACATGTCTGGACTCATCTTTCATTCATCTGCTAAAAGGTTCAACAAACACATTTCATGGGAGTATGTCCACATTACATCGTTGTGGATTGGAAAGTACCTTGGTATAGCATCGAGTATTATTCCATTTGCTCCCATGTTGTTGGCGACATATGTAGCTACGAGTAGGATCGAGCAACATGTTCATCATCCCACCGATGTCATTACCGGTGGAGTAATTGGAATGGTTGTCGCATGGTGGACATTTAAACAACTGGTAGCTAAAGCTTAAATTCAAGACTATCAACGTACTCTTGATTTATTATAACGTTTTATTCTAATATTATCGAATACACAATGATTTAATCGAATCCTTGATTTTTGTTACATTGGAAAAAGTGAGATTGTCAACATATAATTCTGATCCTATTCATCCAGCAAACCCACTAGTTTGGTGGTCAGCACTCGAGATCTAAAGTTGAATCATAGAATTCCTTCTATTTTCCCTCTGTCTTATCCAGACCGTATCGAAAATTACCCAATCGAAGACCAAGTCTCTGTCGTCGCAAGCTTTCCTGAACAAACTTGTGTAGAATTTGGTCAGCACTACGACCAGGAAATGCCATTTGGCCATCGCTTCTTACAAGTTTAGAAATAAAGGACCACCTATGTCCATACAGTCCGAGCGCTTTGTTCAAATCATCCACCTCATACCCCTTCCATTTGATACGACGTTGAGAGTCGGAGAGTTTATGTGCGTCCAATATGCTTCCATACATTCCAGAGTCGCTTATGGCGTTAACCTGATTCGAATCTTGATCATGATCGCTAGATGATCCATCATCAAACTGAGGTGAGTTGATCATATCTGATATACCATCATTTGATGTTGGCTTGGCTGTATATGAACTACTTTGCTGCAAACCATTCACGGAAGCTGGCCGAGATAAAGGCAATGCAAATGCATTAGATTCTGAATTGTCGAAATGCAGCTCATTTTCAAACTGAGGAGATCCTTGTTGAAAATAGGACGAATACAAATTAGGTTGGGAAAAAGAATCGCTATTAGTTTCTGATAGTTGAATACGCCGTTTGAAAACCGATCGTGAGCGCTGGTTAGTCTTGGCACTTGAGGCTTGTCTCAAAGTAGCTGTGGTTGAAGTAGTTGGCTTTTTTAATCCAGTTCCATCGTTTTGATTAAAATGTCGGCGATTCCTAGCCATGGTATTTGCAGGAGCTTTCGCTTGGTGTTGGATTGTATTGGAATTAATATTTTTGATAGCGTTGGTCAGATTATCCAAAGCAACCAGTATACGATTTTGCATCTTTTCATTACGACGTTCCATTTCAAGCTGCTTCTGGTGAAATATACGCTGTTCCTTGTGGATACGAGCAACTTTGCGCATTAGTTCAGCTTCTCTCGTATTTGAAAAATATGCAGTATCGTCATCTTCTTGACTGCTGCTGGTTTCACTATTACGAATAAAAGTAGGAGTAGCCGTACCAACAGGGATAGATGATGTCTTGCTCAATATGGTGGTTGACTTGTCTGGCGCGATGTTTGCTGGGATACGTTTATGACTTTGCGTTACCGGAGTGCAGGGAACAAGCTCATTGGACATGGTAGACTCATCACTTTCTATACGTGCTCGTTTCATTGATTTCCGGGCTCCTTTTCTTGACCTCAATGACAGCTCAAAACTATCCGATAAAGTAGTATCGCTCCCATTACTATCCAGCATCTCACCGATCCACTCACGCAATTGGTTGGGAACAACAGATTGCTCCCATGATGGGACAGACATAGTCAATTTGCTGTGAAGAGCATTTTCTTGTGCAGTAGCATCATGAGAATCACTATTATCATTTGTATCTGTTACTTTATCGTCCATGGTTTGATCGGAAAGAGCGGATTCTATTTTTGACATATTGGAGTATAGATTCCATAGTGGTTGATGACCTTTTTGTTTTGCATTTCTTACCTATACAGTTCATACAATTAAAAAAGGTGTGGATTATGAGCAGACCATTAAAGCAAAAAAGCTTACAGTATCGCGAACAGTCTTGGGAGAGTAATCAATAGCTAGTAATTTACTCAATATTGCAATGAATGCAGCAACATCGTCAGAAAATCCATCAAATGGAAACATATAAGCAACCTGCATGATGTCCCCGTCAGAATTGTGCAAGATCGTCTGAATCTATGAGAAAGCATAGATTAACTTGTGTACTTGAACAAGTATCTCAAATCATGATAAAAGCTAAATGTACCTCTTGTAAGCGAGACTTTAGTAGCGATTGAAACTCATCCATCAGCTGAGCAGATATACAACCACCAGCAGGCGACTCTAGATTTTTCAGAAATGCCATTTTGCACCTGTGCGTCGAATCACCATTGAGATATGCATATATGTAGATCTGGGTACGCAACTCACGAAGCAGTTCGATATATACAGTGACCAAATCTAAAGGCAGTTCAAGAAAGCCAGCTTCGAGAATGTATGCGGCTGAGCCCAACTGCCAGATTGTATTTTCATCGGGCGTAGAATCCGATGAAGTGGGTTGGTTTTGAGCAGCATCAATAATATAGTTTCCCAATAAAACAAGAAGAAGACGCTGGAATATAGGCGGTGGTGTAGTTTGGGGAGTGTCGAGCGCACCCCACAAAAATGAATTCTCTAATCAATAGCAAGATCAGCAAGGAGATGTCAGGTTGATATTGATTTCTGATATTTTACCTTCAAGCATTTTGAGAGCAATATAACCAGCAACTACATCAGCATCGGCCTCATCAGTGGATTGCAAGTGACTAGATTGACTGTCCGTATTCGAGACTAAATCATAGTCCAGACCATTGCTGAAAACACTCGAACCAGTGCTTGCCTGGCTGTAATCCTGAGTAGCAGCAACTCCATAGTTGAAATCCGGTTGAAACAATAGATTCTTTTTCTTGGTATGATGAGTAGGTTCAGTAGAATCAGATTGGTCCAGATGTCGCTTAATGAACAAGACCTGTAAGACAGAATGAGCGAGTCCGTCCAACTTCCACATTTCAGAGCCAACAGGCGGCTGTGAAGGTGGTCTTTTCTTTACAGAGCGGATAGTACTCGTTGGTCCTAGTTGCTGCGATAGCGGTGGTTGTGAAGTCATGACTACCAAGATCTGGTCTTGTAAAGAAATAATCGTTGAATTCAATTCAATTATTGAATTTAAATCGAGTTATTCACTGATAATATTTAGTCTAGATTGGATTGAGATTCACTTGAAAAGCATTGCACATCTACAAACTCTCTCAACGCAACCATTCGAGTTGGAAATGCACACTCGGCCATCAGACTCGAATCATGATGTCAATGCTCACACTGCTGCCATGTTCACTCCGTTTGTCGCTGTTCATGCAGGTGCTGGATGTCATTCACTTGCTCGCACTCCAGAATATGCCAATCTACTAGCAAAGATCACTACTTCCACAATCCAACTACTCAACTCTGCCTCATTCGTCAGTGCAGATGAAGCTGTTGTTTATGCTATCCGTCAGCTCGAGTCATCCTCGCTTACCAATGCTGGCATTCCTGGATCCAATCTTACCTGTATTGGCACGGTGGAGTGTGATGCTGCCATCATGACCGATAGTGTGGATCCATTCCACTCCACTCCAGTCTGTAGCTTTGGATCGGTGGGTGGAGTTCCCATGACACAGGAAATGGAAAGTAGGTCTCAAGTCATTGCAAGTCCTATCCAGGCTGCTCAGTGTATTTCCAAGGATGATATGGCCGGACACCATCCGCGTACTGGTAAAGTTCCACCTATCATGATATGTGGTGCATCGGTCCATGATTATGCCTTGAAGCATCCATCGTCTACCATTGATTGCATTTCACTTTCAGATGCTCGCATGATGGTAACTGATCAGCAACTAAAACTATATTCCCACCACCAGCACATTGTAGATTCAAAGATGTTGATGGATACAGTCGGTGCAGTCATCATGGACTCCAAGGGCAATATATCTGCAGGTGTGAGTTCAGGAGGAATATCACTCAAATGGCCTGGGAGAGTGGGTGAGGCTGCCATCTACGGTGCGGGTGTATGGGCTCAACGCACATCTGCCACACTATCATCAGATCTGGGGATTGGCATCAGTGTATCTGGATGTGGCGAGCAGATCATCAAAACACAACTGGCATCGCGACTAGCAGATGCATTGATAGACAGGGCAGACTCTCAAGATACGAGCGAATGCATCCGTGCATTCATTAATCAAAACGTCGTTGAATCTCGGCGATTGAATCCACGCAATACATTGCCTGCTCCTGTTGGATGCATTGCTTTAATAGTAGAACCAATACAAAATAAGCAGTGTGGAGATGAAGGATCGACTTCAAATGAACCACAATCGACAATGATCTGCTCGAATCAATCTAGTCAACGTTTGCTTTGCGAGATTTGGTGGGCACATACAACTCAAACCATGTGCTTTGCGTATATGTCTGGCAATAGCACTAAGCCAGCATTTCACATGTCTAATCGTGCTGACAGTAAAACTAATATTGTTGTTGGAGGTGCCATGGTTAAATAAATGCATCGTATATACATATTCAGGATATACATATCCAACATTGGATTTATTTATTTGTCCAATCATCAAAACGTACTTTTGTTGATTCTGTCATTTGCCAATTTATCACTGTGTTCACATAAAATGAAACATTGAACAAACTTGTTGGTCAAGAAATTTCAAAAACTAGAAATGTGTATAAGCAGTCAATCTGTAATAGAAAAGCGCAACAAATATTCAACTTGTTTATTCAAAGAAAATAGTGACTTTGATTGCAAGATGGATACAAACGAGTGGTTTATGATGTGAATACGGCGGTAAATATTCCAAATCCCAATCCAACAATCATCACCACATATCAATCGTGACGGTATGTTCCAACCATATCTATGCATGCAAGTTAGTTTTAAAAAATTCACTACAATTGAACTACTATATTGACTAGTTGGCCAATACTTACGATCTAAATCGTCTTCATCTAATACGCTGCCTTGGTTGATATGCATCTGATCAAATCCACCCAGTGCTTCCGCAAAAAAATCCTACCAATCACCAAAAATTGAGCATGACTCATCAAAACTATATGGTATGCTTATAATACTCACAGAAGTTCTACGCTGAACACGGCGTTGATGAGACTGCATTTGCATTTTATGAGGCATCCCCATTCCTAGCATCCCTGAATTACCCATATTCTAGATTCAATGCAAGTACATTATATTTAGTTATACTTTACACATTAAATGAATTGAATGTTTATACAATAATTTCAAACATGATTTAAATACCTGTTGAATTTGTGTTCCTTGTTGCAATTGAAGCTGTTGAGACTGCTGTTGATGAGGTAATGGTGGAAGCCTAATGGTTAATCAGCAATATTAGAACACCATCTCATAATCTGTAGTATAAATCTAGTCATTCAACGCACATGATGTTTTGGTGTTTGTCTTGGTCAACAACAACCGAAATATTACCAGCAACCTAGACTCACAAAATTCAATGTTTGATTCATATGTAAAATAACTACATGCACTTTAAACTTACCTTGGCATCCAACTGAACGTCAATTTCATTACGGAAAAATTTAAAATCGTGGAGCGCAGCACGAAAGTGTTGGTGTCTAGACCAACTAAACAAATAGGTAGTAGCATCACCAAACTGCTGGTATTTTAAAAAATCTTCAAGACGATCAATTTCTGAAATTTGACGCTTTAATTCCAGCTCATCCCCTAATAAAATGATCAACTATGTAGGGATTATGCAATTTAGTTGAGGATGCAAGAGTGGATACGCAGAAGCAATGATGAACTTTACTTTGGATTGAATAATGGATTTAAGTTCTCGCATCGCTCGTTGGTACATTTCTTCAACTTGCTGTTCAATCTGCGATCCCATTTTTTCGACAGCTTGAGCGCGGGAATTCACTGCACTAATATGGTTAGATATCTCTGTGCGGCGAGATTGTAGAATGGGATCCGGCTTTTTAAAACATTATCACAATTAAAACAGAATGGTCAGTATACTGATTTGACTAGATGTTGTTTAATAGACTAGAAACAGTTAAAAACTACTTACAACTTGAGCTTCTTGCAAAACAGATTGGTAAGCTTCAGTCACGCTAACCAGTTGGTGACGTGCTGCCTCACCGTTGGCGTGGTTTCCAACCATTTTACAAAACACACAAACAGGGATATGGCACAGAGAACAAAAAAACTCGATGGCTTTGTCTGGATGATGACGACAGTTTCCAAATACGTCCGCACCCTAAATCAAACCATCCGAGTGTTTGGTTTATCGTTTTTATTTTCAAATTCTCAAAATATAATGTTTTACCTGACCAATGGCGGATCTAACATGTCTGCTAGCAAGCTTAGTTTGATGAAGAGCAAGATCGCACTTGTTGCAAAGATTTGCTGCATCAGCTGAACAATACATGGTTGCTAATTCATCCTCACAATTGTCACAGATTGCTTTCTATAAAACCAGCAATTTGATCAAATAAACCATTAGAATTGGCAACACAGTATGAAAATACATTGGGTAAAAGTGGCTTACCTCTCTTGATTGCTTTTCCTTTACTGGATCAAACTCATAATGTACAATATACTGTGGAAGCACCTAGATGCAACAAACCAAAATCATGTTAATTCAAACAAAACAAGCAGTATAGTTGATGTACATACCTGAGCAGGATTCTTGATATAGTATGTATGTTCATAAACTTTATTAAAAGGCTGATCGCTAGCCAGTATGGTTGGATCTAGCCAAACACATTTAAATCAGCCACGAGCCTTTGAAACCACTCTAGTCAAAACTAGAAATAAATACCTTGAATGTGAAAACTATCGTATCCATCAGGAACAACATCGCTTTCGGCTGCTCCTTCGTCGGCTACAAACGATCTACCAACAGCCACCATGCATAACATAGCCTTTCTCAGTGTTTTTCCTTGCGTGGCTCCTGCATTCGCATGTAGAGTATCTACACCTAAACCCAGCATCATCAAAAACTCAGCAACTGTACACTTGAACACGTTTAGATCTAAACAAAGCATTACCGTTTTCAAGAGGACGGTTGATGCTACCAACAGTGAATTTAAGGCCTTGAGTAGGAGGAGGAAACCGAAACCCTCTACGCACGATATCCTCCTCGGTATTAATTCCTCCAAACGACGATGCATCAACCCACGAAGGAAGTACAAGAATATCCTAAAACACAAACATATGGCGTGGTTTGATAACGGTGGATAGGGTGTGGATTAAACACATGTTGAACCATTAAGCTCATCTACTTGATTGTACCCAACATTATTGCCTTGACATTTCAAAAATGCCGAGTATTAGATTCAAGACTAGTTTAGATACCTTTGAACGTCGTTCAAATTGAACTGAAACGTGCGGGTTGGATATAGCGTAAGCAGCAACAATACGAACAGTGGATGCATGAAGGGTGAGTTGAAGGTCGTACTCGAGTTGAGCAAACTCGGGTGTAGATGATGCCAATTGAGTTCTTCCTGGTGTCTTTTCACTCAGCATTATAAGATGATGTGTTGGTTGATAGAAGACTTGTTTCACGGCGATTCAGCTGAATAGAATGTCAAGGTCAAGCAGAGCGCGTTTCCTTTATCTTTATCCAACACCGCGCCGTAATATCCAAAATGTTGATTCAAGATGCGAAGGGTAATTGAATGCCTGATTTGGCAAGTGCGAAGGGTAGACCATTGCATATACAAATGTGTGTCGATACCACTCACTCCTTTTGTAAAAAATTAACAATTGTAATAGTCCGAATAACAATGAACCTTTATTGTGACAATCAATAGACCATAGTCTATATACAGACAACCCCAAACACATGGTGCAGCAGCATGTCCTATTACACTCGGTCATAACCTTATTTAGTCGACAATATTCTTCAAGCGGCAGCGATAGATTCGGCGCCAAGATTCAAAAGGTAGTCAGTTCAGCTGGAGCCGGAGATGCATGGTCAGATGGAGGGAATCCAACAGAGCCTCCAATAGCAAGGGGGATTGAGGTTGAAGCAGAAGAAAGTGTAGGCGAGTTGGATGCAGGTCGACGAAGACCAAATACTTTCGAGAGACTCTGGCGAAGACTGGCTGCATTACTAGACAGCCCGCTGAGAGTACTGTTGCTGGCATTGATGCTCCCATTTGATCCGCTCAAATTGGAATGTGCATTGGTAGAAACATCACTCGCAGGGGAGCTACCATTGCTGCTGTGGCTATTGCTACTTGTTCGCTTACCAGAGAGAAAGTTTGAAAAGGCCGACGGGCGCTTGTTATACGATCGCTTGTAAGTATCAACCAGATACGTCAATTGAATTGAATTGAATGCTCCTCGGCGATACTTGCGAACAAAGGCAACCGCGTCCAGTGGGGCCATGCCTGCTTCAATCAATGTCAGTGCAACCAAAACAGGTGCCCGCCCAAGCCCAGCTACACAATGCACGGCAATACAGGCTTGATTAGCAGACTCCTTATCCTTGGCCTCGAGCGACAATCCTCCAAATCGAGTGTCAGCCAGGGTCAGGAAGTTCTTGATGATATCTAATGTGGGAACACCACCATCCTTAAACGGCCAATCGTGTACAGAGATATTACTCTCATGAAGCAAATTAGTGGCATAAGTAGGCTCGCAAACCCGAACAACATCTGTCACCCCCCGAGATTTAAGTTCCTATAATAATCAATGTATTTCATAATTTAGTCAGAGCTGGTATCCAGTAGATATGGACTTCAAGCAAATCTGGTTGGATAAATCTTAAACTCGCAACCACAACAATTTAAACAAACCTTGAGGTATTCTGGCAGGGTGGCATCAGTAGGACAATCCAAAATAACAAATCGCATCCGTCCAATTTCAAACTGTGAAAAGATACGAGTTAGATGGGAGCGAGTAGGAGAGGTACGCCCAGACGATACAGAAGACTGGGAAGGCGTCTTTTCAAAATTGTTGCTCAAGGGCGAGTCTAGAGCAGCCGTAGACGTATTAGACACGGTAGCGACTGTACCGTGAAGACTGGCAGCATGGCCAACACTAGGAGTGCTTGCAGAAAGATGCAGTTGTTGGGTATTAGCCATTGTGATTGAATGCTAGTGAGGGGGAGTCGGCGCAAATTCAATAAAATATTTTTTGGACTATCAGTGGACCGAGTATTTTTTGGTGAAAAACCCAATTGACAAAAAAAATGGAGCACAGACTTCAAAATCAAATCAAGGTTAAAGAGTGCGCTAGGCAATGAACAAAAAAGCTGAAGAGTTGGGTGGATTAAGCTAGTTGCAAGGTGGAGACCTTGAAAACGATCAATTCAAAAGAGATGGCTATTGGGGAATAGTAGGTTGACCACAGCGATGACTAGTAGGTCGGTGATATCGATTAAAAATTGAGAAGCTCTAATAGATGACAAACAAATCAAGAAAACAAGTTCTGAGTTTGATGTTTCTTTATCGACGAGTGTAATTAGCCCCCGTCGTCGCAGTTGGAGTGGCTGAACTGGAGCAGCAGTGAAGAACGCAGCTGGAATGCAAGAAAAGAAGTGGCCAGTTTAGAACAGCCGTTGGGGCAACAGTTGAAAAAGCAAGGAGAGTAAGATGAAAAGCAAGAAGAGCTCTTTGGGCCAGTGCGCATCAAATGGGGGTGCGAGTAAAAAGCTAGCAGAAAGAGATAGAAAAGTAAGGTGTAATCAAGGACGGATGGCTGACCAACTATAACAGGAAGCAGCAATGTGATGGCAAGTTTTTCCTGCTTAAATGTTGAAAACAAAAACAGCCAAACCTGTGCTTTTGTTGCCAACAATCAGACAAATCGCCAAGGCTGAATTTCCTCAAGCTCCAACTCTAGTGACAAATCTAGACACAAGAATGCTTGTCACTACGTGTGACAAAAGACATGAGAACAATGAGAAATTGTCCAATCGTCATCCATTTTTTTCGCTTCAGTATGTATCATGTGTTTTTGGAATGGTATTACATAAATTTCATTCAACCACACTTTCGGGCTTATTGCTTGGTTGCTTTCTTGTGTTATTTTTTGTAAATATTGGTAGATTGTTCGTCTGCTGATTTGAATGGCAGAAGTATCTATGGCTCATGCCCCATATATCACGATGACAATCTGGCTTGTGCTGAACAAACTGCTGCTCCACTCAACTAAACAGTGTTTTCTTTTGGTCTTGTTTTGACACGATAGCTTCGGTATTACACCTATATTGAGTTTACACTAACCTGAAACAATCGTGCAGTTTTACAAACGAATAATTGCGTTTTTGAAATGCTGCAACAGTCTGCTTGATACTGTCTGAATATTCTCGAAACATGGCGAAATTGGACTGGCAAGGCGTAAACAAATATTTCTCCCCTGTTCTCATCCCTTTTGTCCTTGGTCGTAAAATCATTTGGTACATATTTATGGGTGGAGCAAGGACACGAAATGCATCTTTTGTTAGAGTTGGGGGCACAATGATGTCACACTATTTGTGATAAGGGATACTACATTGCCTATTGGACAATAACAAAACCCTATTGGACCACATTAGCAACTATAAAACAGTCAAGATTTGATACCATTAGTACAGATGGCGACGCAGCTGTGGGAGTAGACAGCCCATTGTTTGAATCGAGACATGGGCAATCGAATCTTACTCGAAATATCATGCTTGACAAGCGTAGGTGCAAATCATCAGCACCCAAATGCTGATGGGTGTCGTGTACGCTTGGCTGCGCGTTGCGTCATACACAAGTTTGGGCTGTATATGGAGCCTTTCATCTCATTATTAATGGCGAGGCAAGCCTACAGCCCACAATGTAAACCTGCGACTTCAAAAGCTCAAAAAACACACTGGATCTGGCGGTAGGAGTCGTCACAAGTAACCAAGTCCTGACCATACACTTGTGTTTTCCAAAACATGATACACTAATGGTGTTGGTTACTGCCAGTTTCTCATCCCATCTTTATATTGTATTTCCAAAACAACCTAGCGTGTAGGGGTTTATTGATTATTAGTAGGTACAATCGAGTACATTTCACCTACTAAACCACCAAAGTGCAATGGTTTTGATACAATATGCACCGGGATGAAATAGTTCAAGCAAGCATTTCCTCATCTTCATTGCCAAAGATATTGCTACTATTAGATCGAGTCATGGTCCCAATATCAGAATCGGTAGAGATGGATTGTGGATTATCCGCATTGGTACGACGTTGAAAATAAGCAGTTGTGTGAATGACTGCATTAACCATTGATGCAGCAATGGCAAATGGAATCAATATGGCAACCTGTCCCAACACAACCGACATGCGTCCAGTCACAAGGGGTGTATGTTGGGACTGAGGGTTATCCAATATGTTGTCAGCACCAACAGGGGCAAACCACGATGTAGACGGTCTAATCTCACCAGCACCTGCCTGTCTATTGTGATGCTCGACAGAAGCATCCACGCTGACTGTATTCGTGCTGGAAACCAACACATCGCGCTTGCAGATTGGGCACAGTCGATTGTGCTTCAGTAGCCATGGATCAATGCACATATCATGAAATAAATGTCGGCATGGTAGTTCCCTAACCTGGTTTCCTACAACAAAATCATCTAAACAGATTGCACAACAGTCTCGCGAAATATTAGTTTCCGATTGAGCCCAATCTAATCCCTCTGCTATTTGTTTCGGGTCTGTTTCTGATACGGATGATACTTTGGCGATTGGAAACATTTGTGAAGTATTGTGCAGATTCTCAATATCCATCGCACAGAGTATTCGAACAGGAAATGGAATAGATGCTAGTTTTGCTGGCTGTGTAGACTGTAAAGCGGTGTGCTGTCCTGCTGATAGAATCAATACGCTCCCCTCAATAATGGTTTCGTAAATGAAAAAATGTCCAAAAACCACTGCGTTGCGCACAACACTCAGTAACAAGCATATTCCAAGGAAACAAGATCCACAGATGGTAACCGATATAAACAGCAAAAGCATATCAAACGCAAGCGACACTAGCGTGTCGTGATGAGCTGTATAGCCACGATAATATTTAGTTTCGGTTGGAATAAGCTGGATTATGATTGGATAAGTAGAGGGATCTGACTGAGCCAAAGGTATTGCAGAATCAATCAACTGTCTACTGCTAGCATAGCTCATGAACATAGAGTACACATGAATGGAATTGTGCATGGTATGAGCAGACATGCGAATATGCATATCTTTGGCTTGAATAGGTTGACCATTGCTATTGGTGCTTGCCTTGCATGTCAAGTCTCCCTTGGCACATGAGCGTGCTTCGCTTTGGTTATTGATCTGCACGTCAGTAAGATTATTGTAGACAATTACAGTGTGGCATCCATGAGTCTGGAGATTATAAACTTTTTCATCAAATGGACACCCTCCACGAGCAATCAAACATGCCCATTGGATATCTCCTGCAATTGCATCCTGTTTCGACTGGTCCTTGATGGGTGCACCCCAATATGCACGATCTGAATTGGCTTTGGGTCGAGTAATGGATTCCAATGACGGTGTCTCCCCATCACGACAAAATCTTCCAGCAAGACCAACACTTTTTCCAACATTGCATTGTACGCTTGTATCGCTCTGGGATTTAGACAACTGTGTAGCACCATTTAAAGAATCCGTCACATCTTCACCACCAGCATCATCCATGCCAACATTTTTGACACCATTGCATCTTGCTTCATCATCCATATTTTTTTGGATACGAAAGATGGACAGTTTCTGTTTGGCCGTGAGAGTAGGAAATTTGGGCAGATTTAAAGTGTCAGAATGATCTGGCGAATAATCATGACTAGCCATACGAGTTTGAGTATTTCTGGAGCGGCATCCATTAATATGGGCAGGCACGATCAATAGAGGTGAAACAATTGGTCTTGGTAAGACTGATCCGAAAAGAGCTGGAATACCCACCATATCGGGTTTATTGTTTTCTTCTTCATATGTTGAAAACAACCATTTAGGAGTGGCATGCGAATTTCTGTCCTGTTTGTATGACGTATGCTTAGGGTGATCCGAGTACAATTGATGCTGACTAGACTGAGGAAGAACTTTGATAGTGATGGTTAAATCGCGACCATATCCCCGAGATCTACTTTGGTCAGTTTGTTCTTGTTGATTTAAAGTACGATACGATGGTTTGGTCGAATGGCTAGATACATGTGTTTCAGATCCACCTTTATTGATGTTGTTTTGCATCGATGTAATGGATCCACGAAGTGCATGCTGTGCTGGATGGTGCCGACGAATGAGTACAAATAGTGTGTAGATGATTAATGATGCCAACCAAAGTCGGCATACCATAACCAACACTGCTCGAATAGCTAGCCACGCTGTTGAGAGTATGGGTAGTTGTACAGGCGGATGGGTATATGCAGGAAATTGAATAGGATGATGGTGGTGGGGTGGGGTGTATGGGATAGCTTCTGTTGTCTGATCAGACTGAGATGGCATCAAGCTCTCGGTTTCGTCATCTTGTTGCAACTGTGTAGATCGTCTATCGATTGTGGGTGTGCGTGTTTGGCGAGATTGTAAATCTGCCATGTTGCACCTACTTGGTTAAGATGGCCTGTCATGATTGTCAATTCAATAATACCAAATATAGTTATTTGAAGCGTTAGTTTGAAATTGCAATGAATCAACAAATACATGGGGTGGATGATACTCGTATACATTCCCCAACGAGTTCTTCCAACATTATACCTAATACAATTCCTAAACAAGAAAATTCTGATGATAAGCTAATCTATTGCCTGATGAGAAGGGTCAACTGGTGTAACAACACACTACAGGGTTTACAGCGACTTTGAGATTAAAACCTTGTTCAGGAGAATTGTAATAATGGGATGGATCCTTGCAGAGTTTAAATCAGAGCAAGTTGTTGAAATAAAATTTAAAATAGTCAAAAGGTATGAATTGTAGTCGATATGCTGCTGCTTGCTATTCGTTTTATTTGGTTGAATTGCTCAGTGATGTCGATATATTGGGATGGGATGCCTCGCGTGGTCAAGCTGCTGTATAAACCTATTCAAATTACAGATTAATACGAACGAATATAAGTCAAAAGTAAACGACGATAAAATGCTCTAGTAGCTGAAGTAGGCGAATCTAGGAATGACAGACTGTGAGAATATATATGATGAAAGGTTGAGTGGGGTGGGTGGCATATTCAATTTCATCCACGCCCTCATCTATCCACTACTTACCGCTGACTGATACATGCATTTATTCTTGAGCAGTTGTATACATTTGACTATTTTGGGGGTGGAGCTTCAAAATTTCTATTTCAACGCGTAGGAAACCTAATAGTAGAATAGTGCGATCCAAGGCATGGTGGTGAAAAGGCCTAGACAGTATTTTCAATCTAGCTGTACGAGACCTAGTTCAATATGCTGCTCAAGTATATACTGGTTTGGATGCACAAAGATAAACAATATGAACACGATTTCATGGCGTATTTGCATCCCAGCTACCACTGTTTTATTTTGCTGGTATACACCACTAAAAGCTGGTATGACGGCTATTAAACTGAATTCTAATTTGATATAAACGGTATTTTCAAAACGTACTGTTGAAAGCTCACATTTAAAAAAGTACCATGCTTTGAATTGGAAATGGTATCTCGAGTCATTATAATCTATTTCAGCAAGAGTCCAGAATAGTTCACACAAACTGTCGGTTCTCAAGCCATACTACAACCGGCTATTCAACTGTAATTCATGACTGTTTAAAAAAGTATACTTTTTTATTTGAAAAAAGTCGACAAAGGAGTGAATTAGAAAAAACAAGCCCGATTAAACCAGTTGCTCTCAGTCAAACCCACTCCAAAATAATAATAGAAAATGTAGTAAAAAGTAAGCAGATTTGATATCCCCATACAGCACCATATCACTAGCTTCCCAATACACTGCAAAACCCAAAAAACGTCTAGAAAACCTTTAACCAAAAATCAAAGTGGCATTTGCCCATCCTATCAGTAAAGATAAGGATGCTATAGGCAAATAGTCAAAAGGTGTAAAGAATAGAATGGCAGATATTAACAAACGAAACAAGTATAAACAAAAAGAGTGACAAGTCTACCACGCACATCATAAAGGAAAGATAAAGTAGATGTAGAACTGCAAGGACATCACCAAAGGAGGAGTATGGAACGCCAAAACCTTGAAGTAGCAATAAAAGAAACAGTTACTTGTAGCAAAAAGATTCAAATGGCAAGGAAAGCAATAGGTGGAATAATACAAAGTTAAAATATTAGTGAATGACTTTGTGTAGTATAAAGTCTGCACGTGTTTCTTCAGATATGTGGTTTAGATCCTAAACATTGCGCATGGCGAATGGGAGTGTAGAGTCTTGTGATTGTCTAATTGCTGACAAAGATGTGCTAGGCGCACCAACCATACCACCAGGACGGTATGCACCAGGATACTTGATTGTGCCTGATGATGCAGCGTAGTTACTACTAGAAGTATGGTTTGTTTTTGGTACCGAAGTCACAACAATCGCATCTCCTCTAGATTTGACTACTGCAAACTGTCTCTCCCACACCTCGTCAGATGGAATCCATCCAAGTGCTCTAAACCAGTCATAGATAATAGCTGTCTTGTTAACATCGATTCTGAACCAGCTTTTGGCATCGCGTTTCTTGAATGGTCCTCGACGTTCAACCTGAGTAAGAATAACTTCTTTGATATGCATGTATTGATCGGGAAGAATACGGAGTGTAGAGCAAATAGCAACTTCTTCGGGTGTGAGAAGGGAGAACCCAGGAGTGGTATCTGGAATATACAACATGCCACCTTTTTTCCAAAATACAGGCGGAGCTTTGGATGTATCGTTAAAAATGGACATGTCGATGCGTCTTCCATTCTTTTTCAACAAGACTGTTTCGTCCACAACAATACCAGATGGATCACCGCCACCACCACTGCCTAAAGCACCAGCACGGTTCTGGCGGGGTTTCTTTGATGCACCAGCGCCTTGAGAAGTAGGCATTCCGCTTTGTGTGATAGCTTGAGGAATGGTAAAACTAGATGATCTGGGGAAAACAAAAGTGCTACCAGAGGGGATGGCACCCATAGACTCTGAGCGAATGATTCCACCAAATGATCCTCTAGGACCAGAACTTTTAGATTTTGATGAGCCATTTTCTTTTGAAGAGTGTTTGCCATTGCTAGCATGTGATTTCTTTGCACCAGAGGAAGGACCGCCAGTTGAAGCGCGGCGAGCAATAGGAAAAGTGCCCATTGCACCAGTTGGGAGAATAGTGAGTGGAGAGGTAGAGCTTCCCAAGCCGCCATGACAAGTACGTGGAGCACCAGGAACACGCTCCTGTGATGGTTTGCTTCGTTTAGATGATCCCTGTGTAGATGAGCGGGAATAGTTGGAGGTAGTAGCGGCCGAAGCTAACCGGGACGAAGGGAGAGATACTGCCAGGCGAGGAGTGTAGTCGGGAGGAATAGATATGGATAGCAAGGTGCGTGGGTTGTTGAGATACATACTATATACATCTAGCTTGACTATACCCTGCTGTAAACGATCGTTAGGGGTAAGAGTGTCTTTGTTGACAGCTCGAGTAGGACAGGATTTGCGCTTACGAGACAAAGCAACAGTCTTTGAAAATGGATCGATGTTGGATAAATACGATTCTCTATCAGGAACAATGGTATTTAGCTGAAGTTGTGGAGATCTGGTATTCACAAAAGCAGGAGCAGTTTTGACAGATGTTTGATGGCTAGAGGGATGGACAACTTGTGATTCAAACGACGCGAGCACTGATGGGTGTGAGCTTGAAGAGTGGACAGGCAAGACAGTTGATTGGGATTGTGGAAGATTGGTACCAGTTGACCATACAAGAGATTCACAATGATTGGAAGCAGTATCAGAAGCAGTGGGCTCAGCACTAGGAGCAATGACACCAACAGAATCAACAGCGATCGAAGCAAAGCCAGTATCAAACGAAGAATGGCTGGCAGAGCTGGCAAACTTGATGTGCGGTTTCGATTGAAGGGTAACAGTATTAGTAATTGAAGAGACCAAGTTCAACTTGATGTGGTTTAAATTGCTGGCATGATCAAGATTGCCAGCAGTTTCTACATCGATTGCAAGATCAGATTGTGGATCAGTAGTGTCCACATCCATAGAGTCACAAGGGGGCAGCGGGTGCAATTGGATATGAGCAAGAGTCGGGGTGGACATGTTTATAGTAGAAGTAGTAGGGGTGAATGAAGCACTAGAGTCGGAGCAAATAGGAATAAGTTGGTTGAGCGGAGGCAGCGAAGCGGGAATTGAACTTTGGCCAACGGCCAGTGTTGGATGAATGCCGTGTCTTGGGAGAGTGCTTGAAGATGAACTCATGGCAGTAGAACAGACCAGAGAAGCCAGCTCCAGAGGACAAGAGTGATTGACTGCACTGCTCATGTTGGCCATACTGGAAGCGGGAGAACCCATGCTTAACGACACAGCAGTCATGTCCGAGAGAGTTGGTGACTCCATGTTGATGGTGGTGACAGTGGAGAGAGCAGGGGTTAGAGTGCCAGCAACCATCTCATCCGTCTTTATGGATGGATGGATCTCAGCGACCATCTTATCTGACAAACCATCTTCCCCATGGCTTCCAAGCGATTGGCCGCTTAGCAGCTGCTCATCCATCAACGTTGGCAACAGTCGCTGTTTTTCCTGCTCGTGCCGTGGATCATGAAATGGTCTCATGCCCAATGATGGCAACGGAGGCATATCCTTTCCATACATGGTGGATGGTTCTGACTGTTTGTACTTGCTACCTGTTATGACAGAGCAATGATCCCTTTCTGTCCCACTGCTAGTTGAAGGTACAGGGCTTGGATTACTTCTGCCTGGCGATATGGTAGCAGAGAGCATGACTTTCTGTATAGAATAGAGCCAGTATACAGCAATTGTGGTTAGCGATCGTCAAGGTTTAGATTCAAATACAAGAGCATGGATTCTAGCAACCACGATCACTCACTTGAACAGTAGGGGATTGATCAAGTAGTTGGCAATAATAGTATTCAATGAATAGTCTAGGCAAGCGCTTCAGTTGTAATAGGAGATCGTTACTTGATTTCCACTGGTGATGATACGATCACTATAATAGTCAAGTTCTAAACAAGTGTGGTGATATAAGAATACCCAGTCAGCAAGGTGTTAGTCAATCCAGAAGCAAGAAATGATTTCAAGTAAAGAAGAGGCGATCGCAAGTCAAGCCATCACATCCATGATGCAAGGGCAGAGTGATGACCCATTCCAATCTATACATACATGCACGGGGATGTAATGATAGAGGGATACAAGATCAAGGGTGTACTTCTATAGCACTATTGTCTGGATATTGGAGGGTGGTTATTTAATGGCTGTGATGTGATTGACTGGTAGGCGGAGGGATAGCACAATAAAACACCTGAGTGGGTAACGCAATAAAATACTCGAATGGATAGCGCAATGAAATAGTCGAATGGATGACTTGAATGAATGGGCCAAACAATTCGATGAATGAGCGGACCATCGTTCTTATCCAAATCTAATCCACATTCAAAATACATTCAATCATCTCTCACCCAGACGAGTGTCAATAACTGTATTAAACGATTGCTACACTCGGATTGAATCTATATCCAACGAGTTTAGATTCGATATCCTGCAATGGCGGAGTGCTGCAAGGCGGAACCAACCAAATTACAGCCCAAGATTAAATATCCTGATTGGTTACACAAATCTCTAATCTGATTGGCTGCAGCGTGGTGAAAAATGAAGTAACACCACATAAGTCACGTGATGATTGGGATTGTTTGGATTGTGATTTTACACGGGAACCGTCACGTGAATAACAGACAGATAACATTTAGTTAAAATCTAACAGATGGATAGTCCATTAGACTAGATGCAAAACCATCATCAGTAGATACCTCCCACAATACCATTCTCCTCCAATTGTATCCTATCCCAGGTTCAAAAATCAAGTGGAAACTTGGATTGAAAATGTACAAGGTCAAGTAAATCCCGGCAGGGCTTATACATTCACGACCAAGTAATGATAATCCGCCCAGCCTGACCGTTCGAGTGGTTTAAATGACTTCATCTCAAATCAGCATCCCATAGCAAGAACATGAAAAAACCCAAGTTTGTTTATCCACAGAATTGGCCCCTCATCTCGGCCATCGAGAATTCTTTTGCCACCCATTATAGTCTGTAGGATTCCAGACAAAATGCCTGGATCGTTGTGTAGATTAAACATACTTTGCCATCACCAAACAAAAATCTCTTACCTGAATGTGCAATCTGATATAGTGGAATCTAGGATTTTTAAAAACTTGGTTGTGTCTTTACCTTGAATAATTGGCAAACTAAATAGCCAAATTACGAAATAAAGCAGACCGGATCAATTATACTATGTATATACCTGTCGTGATAGATTAATGGCTATGTTTATAAAGGTAATAAATCAGGCTGATGACGAGCGGGGTTTGGAAAACTTGCTTTAGTCAAAAATAGTTTGGAACCGACTCAAGTAATTGATGTGGCTGAACAGAAACGAGCTTTTCGCTATGATTTAAACTCACCACTTGCACACATTTACCACCACTAGTACTTGTACAGACTATATTAATTGCGCTTACACATGTACAAGTGAGAAATATGGTGTTTTAATTAAACTTATTTTTCTGTATTAGAATAAACTGCTGTTTGTCCCAATATCTAATCCATAGTAGTAGATGCAAATATGTTTATTTTTTGAACAAAAGATCAGTAGTTGTCAGATTAAATTTTAAAAAGGTGGATTGTCCCCAAGATCAGACTGGGAACAATCGAGTTCATTGCTTCAATTCTAAACCTTGTATTATCTTGAAATAACAATGGCAATTTTATCTGATTCTATCATCACTTTATTTTTGGCTTTTCTTCATGACAAGCACAAAACAGGGAATGCCAATGAGTTAGTAATCAAACGTGAACGCGCTGTTCATCTGGATAAAACGGGTTGATGTATAAAAACCTCAAGCTCAGCTTAAAACCGATCTCGTGCTCGTGAATGTACTAAAATGCGATTATGTTGGAGTATCACTTTCACTGGATATTGAATAGATTTTCTAGAGCTAAGCTGAGTTGAATTAATGTCGGAATAAAGTCTGCTGAAGCATCGCGTTTGTTCCACCTTTTTAGTATAGGTTGGCGAGTATCTCGAGAATTCTAATAAAACGATACGTGATGCTGTTTAAGCCACCAATAAAAACAATGCATGTTTTGATTAGTGTAACGATTCACAAGTTGTGGAGTTGAACATCCCTGACTAAATAGTCAAGCCTTGTTAAAAAGTTGGATTGGCAAAAGTATAGCCACTATTTGAACCAGAGAATCGTTTATAAGCGCACACTTTTATAATCCACTTGAACATTTATGCAAAGATGCTGGGTGTGCAGCATTACCACACATGACAAAATAGCTTGCTGCTTATTTTAGTCTCTGCATCTAAATCTTGATGATAAGCTGATTTTCAATTTTTTCTTTTAATCAAACTCAGTTTAGATTGGCGGAGTTGTATGAAAAATGAACTAGATTATAACTGTATATCGGAGTTTTAGGCAAGCACAGTTCAACTCAAATCTAACATTATACCAACCGCGATACATCTTGAGCACTGAATGACAAAACCAACTCCTGCCTTTTTGATCTTGTCTGTCTTGAGGTGTATGTTTTGAATTTGGTAGACAATTTTTTTGGTATCACCTTGTATTTCATTGCCATTTGGATTGGAGCTAGCTCTGTTGGTTTAGTCATACATCCCAGTTCACCCACAGACTCTTGGAATTTCACTGTCACAAATTGCTGTATCACCCAAACGAGTCCCAAAAGGTTTACAAAAAGACATTAGGTTTATTTGAAGTGATCAAAAGTTTAATTTGGCAAAACGTTGTTGACTAGTCCTCCTTGATCAGCTCCCATATCATGTTGGCATAATAATATTGAGAATACTCGCTGGAGATATCAAATGTTTGGATATCATTGTTTCGTTTTGATGCTAAGAAGCAATTAAGATTTAGAAAACAGATGAATCTACACAACAGGCTATAGAAATAGTTGAACAACTCACATGTAATAAACTGCGTGTATTGACCATTTGTATCCCTAATAAGCTGCAATCCGAGCTGAGAATACACTTGAGCCTTGAGTCTAGTAGTGATCCAATAAAACAGTCAGCAATACAACCCACCTGAATGCCAGTCGATGCATTTCTCAACTTACTTTTCTGGACACACACTTCTTTGTTTAAATACAGCTTCATCCATCTCAACCTCTTCTACTTCCTGTTGCAACAGTCTCAATTCCTTTTCTGCATCTGCTAGTAAATCTGTCAAATCTGATACTGATTTGGCTGTAGCGAATTTTGTCCGATCCAGACTAAGCATTGTATCAGTATGATTACGCTGAGCAAGGGCTTGCTCACTACTCTGTGCTTGCAACTTTGCTTGTTCAAGCTGTCTTTCTAGTCCTAATAGCTGGGATTAAGAAACCATGCGCTTATGCATACATTGAGTTTAAAGAAGGATACTCTTACCTTGAATAGAATCTTGAGTGTCTGAGAGCACTCGAGTACGGACTGAAGTGGTTTGAGAGAGAGTTTGAAGGAGTGAGCGCAGGGATGCAGCATCAGCTCCAATGCGCAACCGATCCAGCAAGCTATAAAGGATATCATGCGTTTCCTTGGCAGTTTGGTCTGATCCACTTTCCTGTTGGACATCATCTGGTGCAGGCATGCTGTTGGGTTGCAAGTGAGATTGTCCAGAAATTTTACAGTTGAAAACATGGCGAAATTGGATTGCTAAAACATGAATTCATCCGTGTTCTCATTCCTTTTGTCTTGAGCTGTGAAGCCAAATCAACACTTTGTTATCTGGAAAAACCATCTGATTTGCAATTACTGGATTTTGGCTAGACTTATTGTAGGAATACTTTTATACTCACGTTGCTTGATGGCTGACAGCTACTCATCAGGAACTATTCCTAACGTCATGAATTCACACCCTATCAGCCAGGATGATCTTGAAGATGGCTTGAGTCCTGTGGATGGATCCACCACTCATGAAAACGACCCAACTCAGCTGGATATTGGGTCGTCGACTTCAAAAAATCCCAATGTTACTTCTGCTGTGTTCTCGTTGGTTAGCTATCCTGAAGCTGACCAGTTGCTAGCTGAATCTCATATGCCCTCGGTTGACCGTGAGAAGGCAAGGGTTTATTATGACTGCTATGCATTGTATCGGTAGTGAGTGGGATATAGGCTAGATCGATGTCTGAAGTGCATGGATAAATACTGTCATGTTCATCATATGGACAGTAGCGACATCTACATTGTGAATGATTTAAACTGGAGCTTCAAACGTTCCTGTTGCAGTGTCATTGAAGTTTGATGGCTTAGTGCTATCTATGTCGTACTCATACTCTTGATTAAGCATGTTCCATATGGAACTCGAGCATGGCATGGAAACTAAACATTTTATTTTACTCCCTTGCTCTTGCTAGACAACATTTTGTTGCGAAATCGATTCAGCATTCACAAAGACTCTGACGCAACAATTTTTGCCTCCTATCCAAAATGATATTCCTCTTAGAGATCAGCCCAAGCCATTAATTGATATTACCGAGGCAAGTCTTGTTTTGACATGTGTTTTTCAGATTACTCAATCATGTTTTAATAGCTATTTGAATTCTTTGCAACACCCTACCAATTATTTAGGCTATCAAGGCCCATGATATGGCTGGTAGCTCATATATTTCATATGTAATCCGCACCAGTCTACCAGATTATTCCATCGATGTCGAGGCTAAACATCGCTACTCTGAGTTTGAATCTCTTCGCAAACTTCTCTCGAAAGCATATCCAACAAGCGTAATTCCTCCCATTCCGGGAAAGCATACTGTAGCCGCATATGCTGCTAAACCCGGAAAAGCCAAGGAAGATCCCAACATCATTTTATTGCGAAAACGAATGCTTCAGACTTTTCTCAATCGAGTTGCTGCACATCCTATACTTGGCAGTGCCCATGTGTTTCATTTGTTCTTGCGCGAAGCTGCTCCTTGGAGCGAGACTCTGACATCGTCTGGCATGTCTCATTTGCTAAAACGAAAGGACACGCTTTTGGCCGTAAATGAAAAGACTACTCTGAGAAAACCAGGTGTGTTTTGATGTTGCTTTAATTAGAGATTTGCTAACAACATGCTAAATCGACACATCTAATCTTGGTATAATGCTGTTGCAAAAATAATACTTGATAGATGCACATTTTGTCGCTGCAGAAGACTATACAATCCGATTCATGTCACAAATTGTGTATATTGAAAAGATACACAAGCGTATCATTGCCCATCATATTGATATGGCGACCACATATGCTGAGCTTGGTGGATTGTACAATGGCTGGTCCCTCACTGAATCTACACTGGCGGACATGATTGAACAAACTGGCCAAGCAATTGACTCGACTGTAACTGCTACAAATGTTCTACATCATCAGCTGCAAGAGCGGTTTGGTGAGATTTTGCACGAGTATGCGCTTTTTTCCATCAATATCGAAAAGCTACTAAAGTGGAGGCATCGTAAGCATGCAGAATTTGAAGGGATTTCGGAGTCGTTAATCTTGAAGCAGGCTGGATTGGCTCGACTTGAACAAGCAGAACATGAGTCGCTTCGACTTGCAGCAGCATTAAACTCTGAAGGTGGGTATTTCAATGGTGATACGAATGAGTCCAGTGAAGCTACAGGACCTATAGTCAATGAAAATATACCAGCTATTGGAACTGCCGATGCCGCAGAAGCAGGATATACTACTACTACATCAACCACTACTCTGTCAAATATGCATTTGAGATCAGGTCAATCTACTTCATCTCCACATCTGTCCCAGCAGCAAATGTCTATCACAGGAACCAGTATCGCAAACAATCCATACAGGTCCGGCGCATACGCTCACTCAACCTCTACGACTCTCCAGGCATCCAATTCACTTCTTGCCACTTTAAACTCTCTAATGGACAATGATCCTCAAGTCACACGACGCAACCAGATCTCAAAAACGCGAGACATGATTGTTCAGCTTGAAACCCAGCGCGAAACTGCACGACAAGAGCTCTTGTCAGCCAATGCAGAAATTCAACACGATTTGGACCGATTTCAACGACAAAAGATTCGGGATATGCGAGATATGCTGTGTGGATTGGCAGCTGCTCAAAAAGAATTTCATTCTCGAACTTTGAATGCATGGCGAGGAATCAAAGAATCTGCATTTAGTATTGAATGATTGAGATGCAGCTTGATTGGCAGTGTTGAGTGCATGAGCTCATGACTTTTGTTCTGTCGAGTTTTACAACCGTATTCATGTAAATGGAACACTAAATAAAGGTGTCAGAATATACAGTCTCATGAGATGATGTGTGCCAATTTGTATCAAATTTACTGGACAACATTGTGTTGACTGAACTCGAGTTTACTGGTCTTTGTGGTCATTTCTGTATAAAAACTGGCTGAATACTCACATCGCAGCTCCAATAAATGCCACATTCTTTCCACTCGCTCAATTCTTAACTCTCCAAAATGAACATTACAAGTAAACATTGGGTGATTGATATCAAAACCACAGTTGCATCCCTTGGATGTGCAATTTTTATTTTTGAACTAGAACGCGAGCGTATCCGAGTTTTTAGGAACAAAATGGTTGACAACATCAGACCAGATGATTGTACAATGTATGGCTATCAAATGTAAAGAAAAGGGCAGCTTGATTGTGGACATCATATGATGAGTGTGTTTATTGAATTGAGAATGCCAATTGAAAAAGCAATCTCTAATGAAAAGCACGAGTACTCGACCATTATTTATTCTAAAGCAAACACGAAAGGAAAATCTACAAGATAAATACAGAAACGTGGTTCAGTTTACGTGAATACAGCTGCAAATCATTTTTTTATTTAAACAACAAGACGGTTGTCCGAATTGGTGGCTACCAATTCAACTCGGTGCGGTAAAACAGGCTTTTGAAAAGCAGCTCATTTATCTGAGCAAACAGTAGCGATTTCAAAAGCCTCAGTGGATAATACTGCGGAATATTTTGAGGTCTGGAGCAATGATCAGGATCTGACGGGTGCCATTTACAAGACTTGACAAGTCAGTAGCGAGTGAAACGCACTGTTTGATTTCAAAAAGTAGATGTTGATCACAGTTTGGTCGTGTGGTTATTACGATGCATGCGTTGGCTGTCAGCTCATGTTTGCAACCATTTGGGGTGATTAAATGAGTCGCCAAACAATCCCATGTGAATGGCTAGACGGCCATATGTCTGTCATAAGCGTTCATTCTGATGCTTTGTTGTTGATGGACATATTTAGACAGCTTGCCAAGTCAAACATTTGAAACCTGTCGAGATTCAAAAGCCACAAACAAACTGCCGATCTTTAGCTTGCTATCGGTTCATGGCATTACCGTTGTAGCTAATGTTGATAAGTTTCAACGCGCTCAGTGGCTGCTTATAGCCCTTCATATACAGCTGCGGAGGCGGAGTTGTGATTTACAACTACTGCTTTACCGAGGGTTACCCGGGGCAGATACAATCAAAGCCAGTTCCTCAATATCTAAAGTTTCAAAATCTGTGTTGCTAAACGGCCACGCTGGGGCTACCATGGTTTATCCACCAGCCATCTAGTGTCGCTTCTAAACTATATAAACCAATTACGTTTCGAATAGCCCCTTTAAAAAACATTGCATTCCAGTCAGCCCTTGGTCCTTTAACACTACGTACAGCATACCCCTGCGCTCAGTTTTGCTTGAATCTAAACACTATTTTACATAGTTGCATTTTAAATCATTTGTTTTACCCGCCCTTCAGTTTTGTTATTTATTCCACATCCAACCAGCAATATTTTACAGAATGATGTTGTGTCAACCCATGTCAATTCCACCTGCCCGTCCGAGAACACCGCAAACATGCTCTCCACTTTTGCCATTTGCATCTTCTGAGCCTGTTGCGCTCGCTTCGCCTGTACATACTGCAAATCCAATACGACCAGCACTCGACACCTTGAGGTTATTTGATGACTGGGAGCTGAATGGTAAATTTTGTCAATTCTTTCTTGGCTTGTAGGATCCAATAACTGACAATATTAATTTATTAGCTTCGTGGCAGTTTCTTCTAACAGCTCGACCACCTAAGCGCCAAATTGATGCAACATTGGACGATCAACCCGAATATCACAGACACTGTATATCCGAGTTTGATATGGAGTCGGGATTCAGAAGTCTTTCACCATGGTCCACCTCTTCTACAAGCTCTGGACTGGACTCCCAATACTCGTCTGTCTATCGTGCACCCAAGCGGGTCATGTCAGCCGAATCGACAAAAGGCTCGACATATTGAATTGACTCGTTATTGGTTTCGCTATAGACTTTGTTTATTTAGGCACAGAAGGTTCTAGGACAACACTTTATTGCCCATTTCATTTTATAGAGATATGCTGGCATTGCCACTCAGTATTTTATTTCCTGTTTTATTTCAAGGTCACCATTCCACCTCTGTTTATTTCATTCGAGTCTGGATCGAATAGGACACTTTCTTGTTTATTTTTGGTCAATATATTTCTCTTTAGATACTTGAACTTCATTTTAGTGTTGTGGTGGTTGGGTTAGAAATTGTCGGTTTAAATTTTTTCAACTTGAACCAATCATTACAAAGTCAATTCGAGCCGTCTTGTCTAACCAATGAGTTCAGTTACCAAGTCTCGCCATACAACCAAGACTGCAGTGCAAAAGCCAGCCATAATGAATCATTTGCCTGAACCCGACACCGAGTCGTATATTCAACCCAATGATTCTGGTGATGACAATGTTTCGCTTGCTAGTGATGCCATGGATGAAAGTGTAGCCCACCAAGTCGATTCCCAAGAGGATTCTGTCGATCAAAAATCAGAAGAGGATGATGACATGCCAGAGGCAATTTCTACTAGAGCTACAAAAGATTCTGCCATGGCAGCTCTTCAAGCGCAACAAAAAAAAGACAAGCTGTAGGTCGAGATACTAAATTAAAATCTTGCATGACCAGAATTCATTTTGAACTAATCATCCAATGACTTTTTTTGACTCGATATATATCAACAACGGATTTAAAACATGATACGTTTTTGTAAACAAGCGAAAAAGAACTTCTCAAGGCGAAAAGACGAAAGCAAAATGATATCAACAAGACACAACAGCAACAAAAGCGAGAAAAGATTGCTGCTACATTTGTCCGACCTATTTCTATCGAAACTCTTGAAGCAGCCAAAATCGAGTTGAGTTGTAAATGCTGATTGGTTTTACCAGATTTTTTTGGTCAATCTTGCTCAGATTCTATTATCCCGTTGCATGCTGACACTTGATTTCGTGCGTGTATGCAAACATAAGAAAAGAAACTGCTGTTGCCAATACTAAATCCGTAGATTTAGTCGAAGGAAAGCATATCAGATTGAATTCCAAGTCTCACAAGGTATCCAAGAAATCTGTTGGAAATTCAAGTGTGTCAAACGATGGTAGTGTTCGTGTTGGGTAAGTTGATTGATGTTTTGGGCGACTTGATAAAATGTACCAATAGTATCTTGAAAAATATGTTTTTATTCCCGTTTTGTATTTGTAGAAACTTGCTCGTGGTTCCACTTTCATCACAGAGTTCTCAACAAGCAAAAGTTGCTGAATCAGTAAAAAACTTTCGCATGTCGAGACTATTCAAGAAAAAAACCAAACGAACATCAGGTAGTTTTTTGATTTGAATGGATAATGGTTTTATGTTTGTATTGACATTTTTCGGATTGGTGGATACAGCTATCGACACGCTGGCACGTAGATCATGGAAAGATACTCAAACAATGCCTGCGGCTGCACCGTTTTTTACAAAATAATAGCTTGATGTCTACATTCATTTGTCTATAGACTAAAATTCGTATCGATTTTGTGAATGGGTGTTTGAGTGTGTTGTCTATGGATTTTAATTTTATGCTGAGATCGCTCTTTTGAACTAGACCGCGAACGTATCTGACATTAGGATATAACAGAGTTTCAATAAAAGAAATAGGGTCATTACAAGATCAATACAGAAAAGTGGTTCATTTTACGTCAATACAGCTGTAAATAAGCATTATTAGTAGATGGAAGCACCAAGCAAAACAGGATATTAGAAATTCAGATTAATCAAGCCCTGAATTTTCAAGCTGATGTGATGAAATGTAGATCTTGTTCGTTTTTATTAAAATCCAATTTCATTGGAATTTGCGTAGTGCCTGCAGGTCATTAAGCAAGTTTTGCAGTTCATCATCGTGTTTTGTAGACAAGCTATAGTGTGGTGAACATGGCAATTGATTGTTTTATTAACGCACATTCAGACCAACTGTTTTTAATATGCAGCAATAAACCAAGATGATCGAATAACTCACCTAGGAATAAGAACTTTGGCTTCTTCGGCAGTTTCACAGCACAGATTAGCCAATTGAGCCATTTCAAACTGATGAAACTGGTCGTCTGGAAACAAACTAGTGATTTCATGTACAAGAGTGTTAGATGGGTTTGATCTAAATTAAATCCAGATAAAGCAAGAATAAAGATGTGTTCAATATTCTAGAAACATACTTGCGAATTTCCTTGACGGTCTGTTTGTTGGTGAATCTTGAAAATTGCTGGCAATAGTCGATTGTCTTTTGCATGATACTGCCATGCATGAGTAGATGATAAAAGGTGAGCATTTCCGGTATGGTATCTCGTGAGTATATATTGATCCAGACTTACTCTGAAATACTTCCATCGCCCGACTCTTTACGCTTGCGATCCTTTGCTACTTCAAGAAGCACTCGAACTTCTGAAATCAACAAACACTGCACATCCTGAAATTCTGATGGTAGACATGATGAGTTTAGTTTGAGAATAGCAGCACGAATCCAGAATGATGGACTGTTTCTCAGTCCGATACGATATTGATCCAAATGGACAGCAAGCTCTAACCTGGTCCAAATTTTGAAAGGTTGGCATCCTCCTCTTCCAAAGCATGTCTCCTCCGTGCAACAGACATTTTATAGATGTAAATGATATAAAACTCAGCCGACTGCACCAGACCAACACAACCACTCGCTGATGTTCAAAGCCAGAGTAAGCGCTGAGCTGGTTGAAAACACCATAAATAGGGTCTAGCCATAAATATTTACAGTATACACTCTATAACTATAGTCGAGTTTTGTCATTCTTGCTTGTCCAGCCAGCAACAAAGTACACTTTCGAGCCTAATCGATCCAATGTCATCATTTCCCAACTTTCGTCGTATATTCCAAGACTCTCGCAGCGATTCGGAAGAAAAGCAAGTCACAAATGCAGCTGTTTTCAAACTGGTTTCGTTTCTAGCCATTGTTGTGTGTATGGTCGTCACTCGCAAGATCTCGTTCCCATCGCTGTGAATAACCCGCACTGTCAGCCCGTAATGTGTATACAGAACTCTAATAATAGGATTTACTAGCCTAACCTTTTGTCCTGGTCAGTTGAGTGGTTTGCCAGTATCTTGATGGACTCGCACGTGATGCTCAAGTTGCTTGAATAAAAATCCACTTGAATCTTGTAATCTTGCTCATAATTGTCAGCAGCCGAATCGTTTAATCTGGGTGCAGTCCTGTTTATTTATTCAATTCTGGATAGAGTCTACTGTTTTATTCAATCAATTCTGTAAACTTGATCAGTAGTACCAACTGGCACAAGCAGACTGCAAATATGACTACTTCAAATTGGCCCCCACCTATGGATAATGCATCCTCATTCTCTGTATCTGCTCCAGTCGCATCACACTCTAAAGGACGAATTGCATATTTACACAGAAACGAAGTCGGCAACTTCCACTATGGGTAAGGCTACTTGACTATGGCTGCTGGATTAGTCTAGCCATACCTATCCCAAGCCAATCTGCTAATGTCAGACTTTATTCTGAACAAATCATTGTAATTTAGTGATGGCCATCCAATGAAACCAGCCAGACTGGCACTAACCCACAATTTGGTCATTGGCTATGGTCTGCATAAAATGATGACTGTTTATTCACCTCGTCTTGCAACAGATGAGGAACTGACTGAATTTCATACGGATGATTATATTGATTTTATTCAAAGGTAGGCTCTATGTATAGTATCAAGACTGGTCTTGATCTTTGGCAGATACTACTCAAGATGCTGGCATGTTTTAACCATACCCTTGTTGTGCTGGCATAATATCTTTAGAGTTTCTCCAGACAATATCCAAAACTATTCAAAGTTTTTGTCCAGGTTCAATATTGGTGTAGAAGATTGTCCAGTATTTGAAGGATTATACGATTTTTGCAAAATGTCTGCTGGTGCTTCCATTGAAGGTGCACGCAAACTCAACTCACAATCTGCAGATATTGCCATCAATTGGAGCGGCGGTTTGCACCATGCCAAAAAGTTTGAAGCATCGGGGTTTTGTTACGTCAATGATATTGTACTGGCAATCTTGGAGCTGTTGCGATACCATCCTCGTGTTGTATATATTGACATTGATGTGCATCATGGCGATGGTGTTCAGGAAGCATTTTACCATGCAAGTTGTATAATTTACGTTGGTGTTTATTTTTAGTTTATGTCGAGTATCTATCTCACACAATTGGTCATACTTGTACTGTTTCTAGTCCAACCGTGTCATGACAGTCTCATTTCATAGATATGATGGGCAATTTTTTCCTGGCACTGGTGCTTTGTCCGAGACTGGTGCTCGCAAAGGCAAAAACTATGCTATTAATATTCCATTGCATCAATCAATAGATGATGCGTCATACGCATATATTTTCACACAAATCATGTCCAACGTGATGCAAACGTTTCGTCCAACAGCTATTGTTCTTCAATGTGGAGCAGACTCTCTTGCATCTGATCGGCTTGGCTGCTTTAACCTGTCCATCAAAGGCCACGGCGAGTGTGTTCGATACATGAGGTCATTTCAAATTCCCATGTTGGTTCTTGGCGGTGGCGGATATACAATTCGCAATGTTGCACGGTGTTGGACCTATGAAACATCCGTTTTAACAGAAACCAATCTATCGGATGATCTTCCATATAACGAGTATCTTTCACACTATGGACCAGACTTTAAACTTCATCCAGCTATTGTTGATCGTAATTCTGGAAATGCAAACACAAAACAATATCTTGAGGGAATTCGTATTCGTATTGCCGAGTATTTGAAACAGATTGAAGGTGCGCCAAGTGTACAAATGCAAGCTGTTATGCCGAGTTTAGGTGAAGGATTGTTGCGAGATGATGATGCTGTTGGTGATGATTCTGATGATTGGGCTGCTGATTGCAGAAGAGATGAAGACGATGGTCTGTTTAATAGACATCCAAATGATCGATTTTCTTCAAGGGTGCATCCCGCTGAACACTATGAAAACTCTCACGATCAAGATGCAGATGAGGGTGAAGATATTGAAATATAATAAATTGTCTTGGAGTTTGCTAATAATGAAGGTTTTTACAGCCATATTCACGTAAAATGAAACATTGAAGAGTGTATGGTGAACAGCCAACTTCATGAAATGACTCGAGTATAATACAAAATGTATTTGTTGGTCAAGCAATTTCAAAGAAAATAGAGACTCTGATTGCAAGATGAATACAAACGAGTGGTTCATGATGTGAATACAGCTGTTTTTGGTGTAATATATATAAAAGGTAATCAAACCAATTGTCAAGTATGTGTTTATAGTATAAATATAATATTCTTTTTCGTTTAAAGAACAGCACGTATGGCCGAGTGGTCTAAGGCGGAAGACTTAAGCTCTTCTACTGGTAACAGTGCGTGAGTTCGAACCTCACTGCGTGCATCTTTTTTTCATTTTTTGATAAAAGTATTTGAGCTTGATGGATAAATTTCAGCAATTCATTTTGAATACATTGTATTCCAGCATCATTAGTGCACGCCATTTGCAACTGGCTTTGTTACAAGTAGTAACTTTTTGTCAGGCTTCTCAAATAATTCCAAACTAATTTTATCGACCTGCAAAGTGAACTGCTGTTTTGAAATCATAATTTGAGTGTACTCATTAGACTATATTCTTTATCACCTTATCTATTAAGATCCACATCTGTTTCACTTCACCAAAAGAATCTTTGATAAAAGATACTCGTCACTTTGATGGCTGTATTTCCTTTTTCGAATGAAATTTGGGGTCACTATTCAAATAACAGTCCTAGCTTAGCTAATCTATCACCATCTGATAGTGTGTATAAGGGTAGAGCTGATATTAACACCATGTGAATTGCTGCATGCATATTAGTATTCAAGTCACATTGACTATTTTCCACCATCAAAGATTTGCTTTTTTTGTTCCGCTCAGGACATAAACATCGTCAATCGATACATACCCTTATCATAAGACCAGCTTACACGTGCAATTGGGTCGAGCAATACTAGGCTTGCATTTGCATGCACACACTACTAGACCCGATAATAGTACCCTAAATATGCACACACGTGAGTAATCACACATTTTCCAGCTGAGCCATCAGCTAATCTCATAAAGGTAGTGCTAAAGCATATTGCGCTACACTTGAATGAATTGAGAATGGCCACTCTGCTCTATGCTGTTGGTCAATGCCCTGCCTCTACCGATTTTCTATAAATTGATCGCTGATTTGATGCATGTATTCCAACAATCCATTGCTTTACTTGTCCAATAGTCTAAATATGCTTGCTACTACTGTTTTCTCGGCACTTCTTGCTGCAACTGCCATGGCTTCGCCACACGGTCTGAAGCCATCCCATGATATTGGTAAAATTGTTGATACCACTACCAGATGGACCGAGAAGAAGAAATCGTCTCTACGCAGGGCTGCAGTTGTTCCCATTCGTTTCCCCTACGGTTCCAAGGTGCTTACCAACGGCGTCACTGTCCATTATATTTACTATGGTGATTGGTCCGGTGACCAAAAGTCTATTATCCAAGATCTCACCAACGGTCTTGGTCGCTCCAAGTGGTGGAATACCGAGCGCAAGTATTACTCCCAGAGATCTAGTACCTCTAGAAAAGTCTACGTCAATGGCCAAGTTCGTGTTGGATCCACCGTTCAAGATAACTACACTTTTGGCCGATCTCTTACCGGCGACAACATTGCTTCATTGATTCAAAAATACATTGATTCTGGCGATCTCCCCGAGCAAGACGACGCTTTATACATGATTCTCTCTGCCCATGATGTCTCCGAGTCCCAAATCGGTGGTGATGGAAATACCTATGCTTTTTGCCGTGACTACTGTGGATACCACAAACAGTTTACTCTTTCTTCTGGAAGAGAAGTTCCATTTGCATTTGCTGGCAATGGCGATCACTGCCAAGACTTTTGTGTTCATCCCCAAAATCGTCAAGTTTCGCCCAACAATGATACTGGTGTTGACGGTATGGCTTCCATTGTTATTCATGAGATTGCTGAAGCCGTCACCGACCCTATATATCCTACTGCTTGGATTGATATCAATGGTCAGGAAAATGCCGACAAGTGCAATTTTTCGTTTGGTTTCTGGAAAACGGACTTCAAGGGTGCTTCTTACAATCAGCAAATTGGTGGACGCAATTTCCTTGTTCAGCAAAACTGGAACCCCAACACCAACACCTGCAGCGACGGAACTCGCTAAACTGTATATCAAATTATCTAGATGTTTGTGAATTGTACACTGCCTTTTTGGTGTATCTTAGATTATGAGTTTAGTATCGGTATTTGACTACCTTGTTCAAATGATTGTGCAAAGCTTTAATAAATCGTCCTTGTAATACATTCTACTACTTTGGTGTACCTTGTACTGAAATCATAATTGTCGGATTGCTTGTTGAATCTGCGATAGTTTAATAAACAGTGTCTGCTGTTAATGAGCGTACACAACTTCAACTGACAGGTGGTTTTGATTATGCAATTCAATTTGAATGGTTGTATACCATGCAGCTGCTCTAGGGATTATCTTGTACACTATCATTCGAGTCTATTTTACAAACACAACTGACCTGGTTTTGTACTGTTCTGGCATAGTTCTCTTTGTGCGACAGGCTCTTATTTGGTGATGCTCTCTTGCAAATATCGGTAGACTATCTCTGATTTGAATGACGGTATCCACTGCTCATACCTTGTATACCATGGCGAAAGTCTGACTCGCTGCTATGATTAGTTTTCTGAACGACCTAATGACTTGATTAAACAGGACAATGTTTCTCATTTGGTCTAGCGGCTGCTGCTTACCGAGCTTGGTGCTGGTCTTGTCTAGCACAAGAGTTTCGGCATTTCACCCATATCGAGTCTACATTGGTCTAGAATTATGCAATTTTACAAGCCGATAGTCCACGTTTCCAAAATGTTGCAACAGGCGTCTGCTTGATGTTATCAGAATGGTACCAAAACATGGTGGTGATGGTTGCTGACAATCATATCTATCTCTATTCTGATTCCCTTTGTCTTCAGCCATACAACATGACCGACCTGATCCTTCTAGTTTCTTCTATCTTATCAGCAGATTGCCTTTGCACTATTGGTTGCTTTCATGCTGACACCATAAAACAGCAAAACAATGGGTTGAAATGCTGTTTAAGCACATGTATGCATTATTGACATGATGCTTGACAAGGTCAGTTATTACAAGGCTGGCTTAAAGCTGCCGTGTTCTCATGGTAAGACACACGCTGTTGATTCAGCATGTACATCACAATGTGCACAAAGAGTATGCCTTGATTCAGTATCGCATGATAGACTAAATTGTTCAAAAATATTGGTTTAAACATCACATGAAAATACCCCTATCACATTGTTAATTCATTGACAAAATGTGATACAACACAAGTTTAACCACAGCACGGATGCCATGTGTAAAAAGAATGTAATTATGTGACACAAAAACCTCATATCCAAACCATGTGTAATACACCATCGCATGTCTGTAATTTATCATTTAATATAGGGTAACATTGATTGGTATTTCAAATGCGGCTCGGGATCCTACGGGTTGAATACTAGTATAAAACAGAATACATTTTCCATCAAATTAGTATTCATCAAGTACCATACTATCAATACTATTCATACAATAATGATTGCTACTGCCTTTGTTGCCTCGCTTGCTATTGTCGCTGCGACTGCTGCCCCATCCAAGCCTACTGCTGCTCATTTGCAGAGTATTGCTCCTATGCGCGGAAAGACTCTTGCTGCTACCCCATATGGTCCTATTACCTACAATATGGGTGCTCCTCTTCTTACTGGACCACTTGACGTTTACTGTAAGTTGTTAATTGACTGTTTTGAATGCGATCGATTGGCATATCGAGTAGTTTAATTGGACGCGATTCTAATGTGCATTTCAATCAACAGATGTCTACTATGGCAATTGGACCGATAGTCAGAAAAAGCTCGTCCAAGACTTCACTTCTGGTCTTGGTGACTCTGACTGGTGGACAACCACTAAAAAGTACTACTACCAGGCCGATGCTTCGTCTCCAAAGGTTCATGTTGATGGTCAGGTTAGATTTGCTGGATCTGCTGATGACAACTACTCTCTCGGCAAGTCGCTCAGTGGTGATGATGTTCCCAACATTGTCAAGAATGCAATTGCTGCCGGTTCGTTCCCCGAAAGTGAAACCTCGCTTTACTATGTTCTGATTGACGAGCTTGTTTCGGAGCACGCTCTTGGCTCGTCTTTCTGCACTAGATACTGCGGTTACCATAACCAAGGTAGTTTTACAAGCGGTAAAGCTTTCCCCTATGCTCTTTCTGGTAAAATCGGCAGCTCCTGCATCGGCGGATGTGGCCCCCCATCCAACCAGGATATTTCTCCCAACAATGATGCTGCCACTGATGCTATGATTTCCGTCATGGCCCATGAAATTACCGAGGCTGTCACCGATCCCTTTGCAAAACGTGCATGGAACGACACTCCAGGTTTTGAAAATGGTGACAAGTGTGCCTACAAGTACGGTAGTACCCAGACTGACTCCAACGGTGCTTCGTACAACAGTGGATGGAATGGACACAACTTCCTCATTCAGATGAACTGGGATCCCGAGACTCAGGCATGCACCCAAGGCTCTGGTGCCAGCAACGTACCATCTACCACCACTGCTGCAGATACTACCACTGCTGGAGATGTTACTACTACCGCAGACACCACCACCACTACTACCACTACTACTACAAGAAGAAACACCAGTCGTGCACCTAAGCCCACTACCAAGTGCAAGACCATGGATATCTGCTGTATCTACGTCGGTCGCAGCTGTGACGAATAGATATTAAATTGAACCATCTTATACTTTCGTATATTCCAATGTCACTTAAAGCCTGGCTCTGTAAACTTTAAACCTTTAGTTTATCCAATTTGTATGAATTTGAAAATAAATATGCTGAGTTGATCTCCAGTTACTTGATGTTGACAAACCATTCTAGTATGAACAAATTGGTGTGCTGCTATAGAAACTATAATCTGTGATTTTCAGTGCGGGTACAGTTACACACTTGGTATTGTGCACTATGGTTGTTTGACAACGAATGAATGCTGGATTGACTGGTTGTATCCAATGCACTAGGTTCGACTTACTTGGACGAACGCTCGGTGTAACTGACAACAATGTGTCTATGAATCCACAATGCAGTTTTGAACAAAGCAAGGGCTGGTAAGCGACGGCCCATCAGTCCTGCAAAAGCAGATACTCGAGTTGGGTGGCCGATTATAGGATGCTAGCTGCCTGATTAGTCGACTTTCTGTAGGTAGCGTACCGGAAATATCAAGCACAGTTCTGGCGCTACCACCAGGACCGTCATTCAGGAGTTGATCAACGAACTTGTAGCGCCGCCATCCCATGTTTGTACAAGTATGGCTTTATAAAATCATTTCGCATCTCAGCACTCTTTTATTCAAACAAGATTCATTCAAAAAAAGCATGTATTGTAACGAGTTTGAATAGTGTTGGTTGATGAATATCAGACAGCTACATCAATCACACTCATTGTTGATGAATGGTTGAGCCTTGAACTATACTCGGCAGTATCAACACCAATGCATGAATATAACAACCGCTATTCATGCTCAACCTGATATGTATGATGTAGTTGTCACTAAGCCAGTCATTCTATGATCGATTGCTAGCTCAATCCAACCATGCATATCTATCAAATTTGAATGATCTGGTAACCGTTTGACGAATATCAGCAGTCTACTGTCGTGATACATGCTATTTCTGACTTGGCCATGCTTTATTGAAATGTCATTACAGTCATAATGTGTAATCATCAGCATCTATCAAAATGTCGTATGAATACATCCATTACATCTGTGGTTTAGGGACAAATTGCTTATTTGCTATACATTGCTTTCGGACAGTATGCTTTTTGAAATAAAGCACCCTAAACAACATGACCGAAGGAATAGGGCTCAATATTGTACCTACCAAATAGCCGAAATAATAGTGGTGCGGTCAAGAGCAGTTTACTTTGTGCAAGTTAATGCAAGTTTTTAGGAATATTTATGCAACTTCAGGGCAGTATATTAAAAAGGGCCATCATGGTTAAATGCTTAAATACGGTGTCATATTCTCATCGAACCCATCAAGAGTCATTCAATTGAATACTAGTTTCCATCTATCATCTTTAGCTATCCGAATTCAATCATAAACTCGCCAATATGCAATTTACTGACATTGTACTTTTATTGGCCGTGTCCGCAACTGCCAGTGCGGCAGTGATTGCACCCGAATCAGAAACTCGATCATCCCATCTATCAAAACGTAGTCCCGGAAAAGACGTAGAACCACCACATCAGAATAATGGACCATCTAGAGCCGGACCACCTAGACGTGGACCATCTAGAGCCGGACCACCTAGACGTGGACTACCTAGAGCCGGACCACCTAGAGCCGAACTACCTAGACGTGGACCATCTAGAGCCGGACCACCTAGAGCCAAGCAACCTGAAGCTGGACCACCTAGACGTGAACTACCTAGACGTGGACCATCTAAAGTCGTATCATCTAAAGTCGTATCACATAAAAACAAATCATATAAAGCCGGATCATCTGGAGCTGGATCATCTAGACCATCTAAAGCCAAGCAAACTGAAGCTGGACCATCTAAACCTGGACCATTTGGAGCTGGACCATCTAAACCTGGGCCATTTGGAGCTGGACCATCTAAACCTGGGCCATTTGGAGCTGGACCATCTAGACCTCAACCATCTGGATTCAAACCATCTAAACCTGGACCATCTGGATTCAAACCATCTGGACCTCAGCCATCCGACGTTAAACCATCTGGACCTCAGTCATCCGACGTTAAACCATCTGGACCTCAACCATCTGGATTCAAACCACCTGGACCCAAACCATCTGGATTCAAACCATTCGGATTCAACCCACCTGGATTCAACCCACCTGGACCCAAACTACCCGGATTCAAGCCATTCGGATTCAACCCACCTGGACCCAAACTTGGAATCAAAGGTTTTGGAATCAAAAATCTTCTAGGCAAACCGCCTAAAGCCAAGCTACCTGAAGTTGGATCATATGGAACCAGATCATCTAAAGCCAAGGTATCTGAAGCTGGACCATCTGAACCTGGACCATTTGAAGCTGAACTACCTGAAGCTGGACCATTGGGAAGAGGTGGGAAAACCCCAAGCAATGACGGTCTTAATAACAAAATAGAACAGCTCTGTAAAGATTTAAAGACAAAGTGTCCAAAATGCTGCGGATACAAAGAATGTCCATCTTCCGAATCATCAGACTGTGACGATGGTACTGAGAGTACCGATTGGACTTATGTTTCAAGAGACACCATGAAGCATATAGTACAAAGTGGTGGTTCTAAACCATCATCAGAGTGCATTGATTGTCAACAAATTGCTAGTAAAGCAATCGAAGATCTTGAATTCGAGTGTCCCAAAGAATCGCAGTCGAGATCAAAATGCATGCTCGACAAGTTTATGTCGAGGTTGACCAAAAACTAATCTCTTGAACTTGATACATTAGACTGTTAGTATGCAGTTTAAAATTACAAATAAATTCTTAAACTGGTGTCTAATATATCTGTTGTTGAAAGTTGACAAGTGTTAATATATGAGCTAGTATGATGGTAAATCGGTGTTGTGGATGACCAAGGCGCAAGCATATCCAATATTAGGATACAGCAGAGTTTAAAGAAATAATCAATCTATAGTAGGAAAACAACAAATATTTAACGATGGTTTATTTTGAGACAATCACTGCAAGATAAATACAAAAATGTCGTTTCATGTAAATACGGCTATAGCTTATAAAATCAATATAATTAGATATATATAGTTACAGCAAATTTAGTTGACAACAGCCCGGCTAGCTCAATCGGTAGAGCGTGAGACTCTTAATCTCAAGGTTGTGGGTTCGACCCCCACGTCGGGCTTTTTTGCTCTTACTTTACTGGTATAAAGTTATTTGGATGCTATAGCAACCGATTCTTCATTTTTACAGCTGTATTTGCGCAAGGTGAAACCTGTATTTATCTTGCAATCATTCCACCAGAGTAAACGATAATTAAATGCTCATCGTTTTCATCCTACAAATTGATTACTTCAATTGCGAAGCTCCAATTTTCGCATCGTTTGTTGAACGGTTGGTAAACCATGTATGATTAGTGAATGTGTTGCTTTGTGGAATGTTTAGAATAAGATGAGCGTTTGGTCAAATAAAGCTTATGCGAGTACTTTATGCATAATGTATGGTGATGGTTATTGACAATTTCTCATTTTTATTTTCTCCTATTCTCGTACTCTTCATCATCAGCTGTAGGTGATTCAAAAAGCACAGTAAACCAACTCCAATCATCTTATGTAACTGACTCTTTATGTACTTTGACTCTTATTTAGTGTTCTGTTTTGCATGAATACGGCGGTGAATATTGATCATGCTTACTGATTCAGATATAGTGGAAGAGGTATTGTGCATGAAATTATTGCATATCTACCAATACTGCCAAAAACTACAGGGTTTGCTCATTTGCCACCTTAAAGACTGCATATGTAGTTCTTGATTTAGGACAAGAAGTGAATGCCGAGACTCTACGCAAAGAAGTACTCGAGCATAACGGTATATCATTAATTGGTATGGACTCACCCAAGCCAGTGCTACGAATTGGAAATTGGGTATTTCAAGGCGAGCCTGATATAGTTATCGGCACTGATTTGTTATTTAAAGTAGCTGCAGCACCACAATCTGAATTAGTGTCATCCTCAGATCAAAGTCCTCAATCTAGCACAGACCAGTGGAAAAGGGAAACGCCAACTAAAGCACCAAAGATTCATCATATTGGGGAAGTTCGACGAATTGTCAAGTTCAATAGAGTGGAGCTAAAACGATCACATCAATAAACCACAAAAATAATCATGGCTCTAATACAGTTGTTCACAAATTAACCTGGCTTTGTATGGGTTAGTATATCCCTAGATTTGACATTCTGTCAACCAAGAAATTAGCTATGCCATCCTATTCAATCACACTTGCGATTTACATAAAACTTGATTGCTGAAGCACATAAATTACAGATATATTCACAAAATAAAATGCTTTCATCGACTACTTTGCTTTGGACAATCAATGGTTAAACACTCATTGCGTTTTCCTACTAAAACTGACTTTGATAGCATTCTCCATCCAAATATAACGATCATCGTGATTGATTACAATCCAGATATTGTGTTTGACTGTTCTCAAACTCTGTACAAACCCATGCATTCCAAATCCCATACGCTCGCGCTTTAGTTCAACAGTGATTGCGCGTCTCGGGAATGCAACTGCTGTTTCTATGCTGGTTGTCAGGAGAAAGACCAGTAGATTTGGTAGAAACTGGCGGTTTACTATATATTTTGGCATCCACAAATAATTTATACCAGTTGCTACTGATTTCAACTTGAATGGCACAGCTCGAGATAGAAAACACAAAGGCGAGACAGCTACAGGATGATGAGTGGTTTGCTCGAATGATTGCATTGGAGGAGGATGAGCGCATTGCACAAAAGTAGGAGTTTGCCAAAGTTGCAACCAACCATTTCCAAAGTTTACAATAGCTGGGAGATATAGGTCAACTACTGAAAAACATAGTCCTTTATATCAGTTACTCTCATCTAACTGATATACTTATAATAGGCTACAGCGCGATTATGAAGCCGGAATTGCTGTTGACGACTTTCATAGACCCATGACATCAAAAGGTCGGACGCAAAATACTGATAGTTCATTAGTAACTGAAATCTTACAAAATGATGCACTGATTCCTATTGATATGGCGCTCAACCAAGATAAGACCGAGCCCATCAAAACTTGTTCATCAGAAAAGATTCCTGTCAATTTAATGAATAAAACGATGCTCGCGCATAGTCATGCAAGTATGCCAACCAAAAGCTCCGTGGAAACTACCATGAACCCAAATTATAGCACTTGCACAGATTCAGTATCCTCATTACATGGTATTTCAACAATAGGGCCGCCTCAACCAGATCACGATTGCTACCTAGGTAACACTGCAGTACAAACGCCTATTTTTGCAACTAGCGACACTAGGAGTGAAATGACAAAAGATGCCAACGTGGAAATTCAAACAGCAGAGTTTCAATCGACTAAGCTGGAATGTATATCTCCTAGCAAAGATTCTATACCAGATTACAACAAACCTGTCGAGCCATTTTTTGACAATAGTTTGGAAGCAGCGGTTTCAATACAAGGTTGTGCTCACGTTTTCAAACACCAGCAGAAATCTGAAGATATTGTTCAGCATTCTTTTACCGAATCTAGAATACAAAATAATGATAAAGAATATATACATGAGATCAAACAATCAATATTACCGATTCCGTCAATTGCTAGCGAAGCCACAAAACCAAGTATAGATGTCGACCAGGTAAGTCCAGTGCTAATTGTAACAAGTATGTCGACCGAATAAAGTTTACCCTAACCAATAATATAAACTTTTTTATCCAGGATCCAAATTCAACTCACGCCTTCAATTCTCTGTAGGTTTCCTCCAGTATAGCAGTTGTGTCTACACACCAATATCATGCTAATCCCAATAATATTTTTTATCGACAGAGATACGGATCTGAATTTAATTTTAAAGTTTATCAACGATTATACCCCCCAGCACGTAGATTCCATAGTGATGCCATATCTCAAGTGTCAAATCCCAGATTATATTGCAGCAATCGGAAACACCGACCCCTTTTTAAAAATGGATTTGGAAACCACCACCAAAAAAGATATCAAAACAATTCCAAAACCAAGCAAAATACTTGGCCTACAAATTCTAGACGAACCATCTTCAAAGCAATCACAATCAGCAGGTATGTAGATGAAGTGATCGTTCATTGCAATATCGTGTAAATAACTAAATATACAACGATATACATTTCGATGAATTGTTACTAAACAGCTGTAGAGTTAACATTGAGAGCAACGCAGCTCGTGAATATAAAAAACCATCCTTTAAATGTTCAGTCTATTCAAGTACATCACGCAACAGGCAAGATAGATCAGTGGATTCAGAGTGTAGAAACCATACATGGCTGCTTACACAACCAGACGATATATCAGGGAGAGCAACTACCATACAATATTGAGCATCTACTATTGGAATGGCCAAAGGAAATCGAGAATGCCTTGTCCAGCAGTCAGGTAATTTTATCAAAAATCATTACAGTAATAGTATTGTATGCTGATGTTCTTGTTAAACATAAAGCTGCTATTATCAGAGCTAGACCTGCCAATTCATGATCTTGTGCATCTCTGCTGCACTTTGCTTGACATCCCGGTGAAAAAGTCGTATGCTTTAAATACACGTAGCAAATCTTTAATTCGGGCATTGGAGTCCATGTTCACCGTTTATGTAGAGTTTTCCCAATCACATCATTTTGGAAATGAATCATAATTTATACAGTTTCAAGATAAACTCGTGCTTTTTAGAGATATGGCTCATGTAGCCAAAGCGACAAACTCATCATCGTGGCATCTCGAGTAGTGGTACCGTCTAGGATGGCTGCAGCAATATGCCGTTTTAGTGAAAATTCCATGATATACTTTTCTACAAGTTTTCTTTGAACAGCAACTTTAAACAAGACATAGTTTGGCAGCTCTGTTAGATTCAAAACGCAACTATCCAGTACATTTGCATTAATAAATCGATGCAAATTATTTACCCGAGTCATCAAGTGATTCCAATATTTCCAAACCAGAGTTTAGATCAGCTACATCGGAATGCAGTGCACCGGAAAGTGTTTTTGATAGACTAGCTTTTGGAGGAGCGGTGGACAGCCAGGGACGAGCATGCTGCAAAGCCTCGTCCATTTTAGATATATAAGTTTGCATCGATTTGATTATTGCATTCTATAAATCAAAGTTACAGTAGTGTTATTGGTATTGTAAATTCGTGCGAGATTGGCTCAACCCAAAGCAATGCGATATACCATTTGGTCTAGGATATTAAAAACCAGATGCTGTTTTGAAGAATCGATCCAATCTGACTCGGTATTCAGCTCTAGTTTTGAAATAAATACCTCAATATCTACCGCAGAGAGTTTCCTATATAAAATCCAAGTTTCAGCTTATGTCTGTTTTGTAACTCTGGCAGCAGACAAAGCAGAATACATACTGTTTCTTGGTTAACATCATATTTCCAATTGTAGTTAGATGCTCCAAACCTTCGCTCGAAAGTCGCTCCCACGTTTTGGCTGCCTGCTTGATATCCAGTTCTAACAGCCTTATAGTTCGTTCTAATCTTTTTTCCACCATGTTTGGATTTGGTAAAGTACAAATATATTTCGGCTTGAATGCAATGGTGAAATTCATTAGAAAAACTGGCGTTTTGTCACGCATGGAATTGCAAGTTTTCTAGCGACCAACGCTTTTACGATTCTATCCCTGATTTCAACTGCACAAGCAACATTTATATTCAAACGGAAACTCAAGCATGGATCATTACTTGGTTATTGGTGGTGGAGGTTTTCTGGGAAAAGCTATTGTCAACCAGCTACTTGAAAGAGGAAATAAAGTTGCGATCTTTGATATGCGCCAAACCTTTAATGACGACCGGATCAGTAGTTTTATCGTCGGAGATATTACCGATCCTAGCGATGTGTTAAAGGCATGCATAGGAAAGACGATTGTTATTCATACGGCTTCTCCTCCAACAGGCCTTTCAAGCGAGGTGTACTTCAAGGTGAATGTTGAGGGCACCAATAATATCATTCAGGCATGCATTCAAGCCAAGGTCTCCAAGCTAGTATACACTTCATCTGCGAGCGTCATATTCAATGGTGTCGAGGTTATCAATGGGGATGAAACTCTTCCGTACTGCAAGGTTCACATGGATGCATACAATGAGTCCAAGGCAATGGCAGAGGCTGCTGTTCTTAAAGCCAATGGCCAAGGCGGACTATTAACTATTGCTATTCGTCCATCTGGCATCTTTGGTCCCAGGTATATTGGATATTTTGAAAATCAATGTTGGTTGTAAAACAGCTTTTAAATTCTTGATAAATTATCATAGAGATATGCAAGGAAGCTATACAATAGTCCAATCTGCCTTGCGAGGCCAATGGCGGGTCATGATTGGTAGCAATGAAAACTTGTTTGACATGACATTTGTCGAAAATGCTGCTCATGCACATGTTCTTGCTGCTGACAAGCTTGCCGCCAACAATGACACTTCTGGGGAGGTAACTGACGACTTGAAAGCTTATATTACTATTTAAAGTGATTTCTTGTAGAGTAATTAGTGACCATGAGTTTCAATCCTTTGCACTGTTAGGCGTTTATTATCACCAATGACCAACCAATGCTCTTTTGGGACTTTCCAAAGGTGCTCTTTCATGAGCTAGGTTACACGCAGACTCAACGGATCGTGATTCCTCGGGCTGTGGGTATGCTTTTGGGCTCTCTCTCTGATCTAGCTGCATGGATTTTGAAGCCCATCAAAACCATACGTCCTACATTCACTCGCTTCCGTGTAGAAGTGATTACTGCCAACCGATATTTTGACATTTCAAAAGCAAAGAAGCGTCTTGGATACGTGCCAATATACAGCATGCATGAAGCCATCAAGATCACTGCAAACTATTGGAAGAAATCAAAGATGGTGCTCTAGTATCATTTTGCAATAAAGTTATATATCACTACTATACTTTATAGTATTTTTTGAATGCTAGCACTCCAGCGACTCAATCAATAGCCTGTTGATGATGAGCCTGCCATGGCTTTACGTACAAAAATGTTAGCCATACAATCTAGTTTAAAATGTGCAATAATCACACATTGACATGATCTTGTCAAATACCACTGGCATTACAGTAAAAGATTTCATTTTGTCAATTTACGGAATTGTAGGGCTAAAGGCTTCATTTGAAAAGCTTTCCAGCACAATGCATAGTGTTTGAAGCCATGCAAGGCGTGGAATTAAACTTGAAAATAATCAAGGCAGGTTCGCACTACCAGTACTACACTCATTGTAAAAATGGGCTGTCTAATACAGCATATCCAGCCGCCACTCCGCCCTCATCAGAGCTGGACATTTTTGTGCGTAACAGATGCCCTAGTGTCTGGTTCATGTGTACCTGAACACCATCGCTAATATACGCGCCGTATATCCCAAGTTCGCTGACAACCTCTGCGTTGATGGCTACACCATTACGTACAAGAGTATTCTTGAATGGGGGTGGTTTTATGAGATCCATGAGAATGTATGCCTTTCTCTCAGAAGGTGAAAATTTGAGCATATGCTCTCGAATGTGACTACTGTAAATATTATTTCCTACATTAAAGCAAACCAATAAGCAAAAATAGCAATTAAAATAATGCCAGTCTAAAACTACATTACCTCCTCCTTCTCGCTGAGGTTTCATGACATAATTAGATGAGTCTTTCAATGCTCGTTCGTATGCATTCATACCAGTAGGAGTCTCATCTAGTGGGTACAGACCAGTAAAAGACGAGCGTAAAAGAGCAACATGCTCTGGATTTGTAACAAACCTATATGCCAGAGTCATGGTTAGATTTTGCAAAATTGATCCAAAATGTATTGCCAATAATCCAAGCTTCAACCTACTTTTCCAAAACGCCTGCTGTAGCAATGTATTGCTGCATTTTCTTTGTGCCTGCAAGCTGATATACTACGGGAGGACATTTAATTGACATGGACGTTTCCAGCATATGGCGAGCAGTCCATTCCTAAAGTAAAAGTAGTGTTAAAAACACACATGGACACCCAATTTCAACACGCTCAATGAGTGAAATATGCACATAGATCCAGTACTACCTTTTCCGATATGTAGTCTCCAGGTCCATACCCAGCACGATAGTAAACAACTGCAATTTCTTTTGAATCACTGGCAAAAAGTCACGAGTTTGGCATTAGTATGGAAATCATCACAGTATTATAGAAAAGACTTACACGATAAGTCGTCGATCAGTTCCAGTATGCTTTCCATGCACCAAAACATCACCAAGTGAGCAACGAATGACTGGTATTCCATGTTTTTCAAACAAACCGTACTCGATCAGCCGCTGATCATATATATTATGCTCGTCTGGCTGAACAATCATCAGAATAGCCGCACTAAGTGTTTATACAATATTTCTATTCAAGTGAGTTTCAGGATATATCGTGTAAAACAATATCGAATATCTTTTCAAACCTTGGAACGTTGTACACCTCCCATGCCTTTGCTAGCGCATCTATAAATCCAGAAAGAGATTCATTTTTGGGGAAATCAGACGCATGGATGTCTGGAGTATTCTTGGAAGATGCACTGAAAAAAGCAGTGCGATTGGCGAGGTAGTGGTGAAGATCGCTTGTTCGCGATGATAGACCTGCAAATGCGGAAGAAATCGTATTCAATTCGACTTGCTGAAGCAAAACAGTTGCTTCAGCAGAGGGTTGATGCAATAGATAATCAGAACGATTCAGAGCCATCCAGATCTTCTGATTCGGCGATAGATTGCAAGTCTCCTTGTACAGAACATATAGACGATGTGTAAAGTCATCAACATCAGCAATGCTATTAATTCATATAGTGGATAAATGACCAGAAATCATGTCAGCATTGGAGATGATCGTTTGACAATAAACATGCTAGAACCAACACCATGTCAATGGCAGCAGAATGCCTTGATGGACTATGCAAGCATGTCGGCGACTCACCTCTCCATAACGGTTTGAATAAACTGTTCATCTCTGGCAATCTTATCAACAAGTTCGTTGAAAAGTGGTTGAAGCTGCCATGCTAAATCATAGCAGTCCTTTGGATATGGACTAGGAAATAGCGCAAAAGGAACATGAACAGCCAAAGCACCTTCCACATTGCGAGCACGCATAACCAGACCATGCGAGGTTGTCCAGTCAACAGCATAAGAAATAAGCTGCTTCAGTTCTTCCGCAGGTAGTGTAGGTGGCCAGGCTTTAAGTGTGCTATCCATTTCAGGTTTATTTCGAGAAATTGGATTGAATTATAAATTCAGAAATCCGCATTCAAATCATAATCAAGTTTGTCCAGATTGGCCAGTCTTGCTGATGAAATGGTTTCAAACCGATCAATCTTGTGTGTTCTTGTAATTCAGTTTGTATCAAGTCTTGAAAGTGCATTACAGATTTTTTGATAGATTGTGCGTTTAGACTGAAATGCATGTGTTTTTTGTAAATCACAGTTTCTCATTGTAGTTGTCATTGTGGTCAAGATTTACGTGCCTTTCTTTGTATTCGACAACTTTTTGTTATAATTTGACAGTCATCATTCATACACTCGAATCAACTCATCGTAATGGGTGATATCATTCGTTTACTGGATTCTTCTGGTGAAAAGGTTGTTGATTCTGTTGCATGCGACTATGAAGACTCTTTTTCATTAGAGACGTTTGGCGACTTATGCGAAATGCATCGCAGAGCATCTCCAAAAGAAAAGTCGTTTATTATTGCGCGCGTACAAACATGGGATCCAAAACAGCCAGACAAGGTGAGTTTGGGACTGCAGTAGAAATGAAACAGATATAATATCTGCCTTTTATTCGTAGAGTTTCATGAACTCAATTCGCAAAAAAACCCCACTGTATCATGCCATTCTAAGTTGGGATTTTACAGCTGTATTCACGTAAAATGGAACACTTGTATTTATTTTGTGGCCAAAGCCTTTATTCGCCCGGGAATAAACAATGGTTAAATATTCATTGCACTTTCCTATTACAGATTGACTGCTTCAATAGACTCTCAATTCTTTCAAACACAACATCAAACTATAGTTTTGAATCTGCCCTTTCTCCACTTTGATATAACCGTGCATTGTATGATCTTCAAGTTTGAAACCAGATTTATTCATTGCAATCTAGACATTGTGTTTGACTTGTCAATCCAATTCATATCTTGTATTCTAAAATCTCCGATACGCTCGCGCTCTAGTTCAACAAAACAGATATTGCACATATCAAGGATGCAACAGTTGTCTTCATGCTGATTACCAGGAAAATGATCAGCAAGTTGGCACGCATCACTTGATGAGATTATTTATTATGGATTTTGACTTTTATTTAGTATTCCATTTTATGTGAATGCAGCTGCAAATTTCCTTCAATATTACGACTTTAAAAATGCAAGTTTTTGCTAACACACCAATGGTTATTGAATTTCACTAGGCTTTTTACTCGTACTACAATGCTTTTCATCTCAACAAGATACTGTTTCAGACACAGAATTATCTTGGAAAACGATTCATACATCGTTTGCACGTGCTGAATCCATTAACAAATTCAGACATCATTGGTAACGTTCAGTACTACATACTCAAAAATCGTTCGTTTAATACTGATGGGGTGGTTGAAATCCCTTTACTTCCTCCCGCAGAAAGTGTCGAGCTGTTTAAACCACCTGCTGATGATACATCACTTGCAGTATCAACAAAAACTTCTGTCATATCCAACTCGGAACTGTATATTCCTCCTCCTACTTCCTATCAAAAATCTAGAAAAACCTCGTTACGCTTGCATATCGATCCCACCACCCTTGGTGGTGCAAGCTTTAAAAGTCCTGGCGAATTTACTCCAGGAACTCCCGCAATTATTGAGGTGGAGGAAGATGAGCCGGGTCCAGCCTGGACACGTGGAATGCATGCTGTTGCTGAAGTATTAGACGACGATAGTGCAGAAGGGGTAAAGTCTGGCAGCCATGGCAATATATTTCAAGCAAGCTTTAGCAAATCTAAGGCATATTTTCGTCGTACCGGCCCATTTAGTGCTACTGTTGCTCCATCCGAATCCGAGATTATGAAAATCAAAGCATCACAAAAGCGATCCATGTCGCTTACAGTAGCTCAAGCAAAAGATCTTATCCCAGAGGGTGTAAAGAATCGTCGTCGCACAGAGTTTTCAATTCCAATTACTAATTTGCCCCCTTCAAAGCCAGTACACGTTCATCAGCCTAAGAAAGTTCAGGCACCGCCTGGAATCATTACTCGATTTACTGTGCCTGTGCCCAAAGACGACCTAGTAAAGATTGTGCCCAAAACTTACCGTGGGCATCGTCGTTCACTTTCTTACCAAAACGCCGTATCAGCATCGGGGACACCTGCCTCGTTCGAGGAATGGGTGCGAATGGTGCATCTGGAAAAAGGACAGCTTAAAGACAAACAGATGAACGAGTCGGGTGATGAGTACGATGTGGTAAAACCCTTTGCACAAACACCCTTGCAAATCAATCTCAATGATCTTGGGCCAAACGTTATGATCAACGGCTCTTCAATCAAAACATGCGGTTCCGAAGTAGTCCAACCGACTACACCAAAGCTGCCCGTCGATATCGTTCCGCAGGCTATTCACTCGGTAACGTCCAAAGTATCAAATGATGATATAAATGATGACACGGAGGATTGTGAATCACAAGTGGAGTTGACGGTATACGATGCACACTTGATCGCCACAGACAATGACTTTTTAGAGTCGTCTAAAATTCGAGCCATTTTTCGAGAAAATGCAGTTGTTCCAGATGATGCAAAGTTGTTTGAAATGCCCGAGTTTAATGGTGAGCACAACACCACCCCTACGATCGAGATTGTTGGGGATTCATTACTATGCGATTGGTTTTATCCCAGCCCACAAACTCTGGCATCCATAAGCCCATGCATGCGAACCTTTCACCGAGTAAAATGCTATATTTTTGCCATTCTACTTGTCTTGATAGTCTTGACTTTTATTCTAATTATTGTTCTGCAAGGGAACAGAATTTCACGAGTACCCGCTTGATAATTTTGGAAAATATATTGTATGAAATAGGCAATACTATTACAAATGCTGTTTTCTTATTGATGGATATGAATACTGTAGTTTCCAACTGGATTTACTTGATCTTACATGTAAGCTGATTATTCCAGCTCACTCAGACATCCGATCCTGCATAGATCCAAGACTTGTGAATACAAACGAGTAAAATACACGTGACTACTAAGATATGTTGAAAGTTGATTCTAAAATGGGAACTTGGACATAAACCTGACTTGGCTCTGCTTTGCCGTCAGAGAGCTTGTAAATTAAATTTGATTAGAAAGTGCTTTAAGAATGTCCTTGCAAAGTGGAAGGCAATCAAGACGGTATGTTCTGGTAACAAGTGTTGATATTTTCAAAAAGCCAGTTTCAATTTGCGGCCTTTTGAAAGTTTCAACTTGAATAGATTTAAAGTGCTATTTACAGCTGTATTCATGTAAAATGGAACACTTGTATTTATTTTGTGGCCAAAGCCTTTATTCGCTCGGGAATAAACAATGGTTAAATATTCATTGCACTTTCCTACTACAGATTGACTGCTTCAATAGACTCTCAATTCTTTCAAACACAACATCAAACTATAGTTTTGAATCTGCCCTTTCTCCACTTTTGATATAACCGTGCATTGTATGATCTTCAAGTTTGAAACCAGATTTATTCATTGCAATCTAGACATTGTGTTTGACTTGTCAATCCAATTCATATCTTGTATTCTAAAATCTCCGATACGCTCGCGCTCTAGTTCAACAAAACAGATATTGCACATATCAAGAATGCAACAGTTGTCTTCATGCTGATTACAGGAAAAGGATCAGCAAATTGGCACGCATCACTTGATGAGATTATTTATTATGGATTTTGACTTTTATTTAGTATTCCATTTTATGTGAATGCAGCTGCAAATATATTAATGACTATGTGCTGATAAAAAAAGCAGTGCTTAACGTTTGGCTCATCTTAATGGCTAAAATATAGTATCTCTTGGTCGCCTTTACCTGCTACAAAGCAGCTTTTTTTACTCTATAGTGGCACAGATCTCAAACTATGCGAATGGACTGGACAGGTAATATAAAGTATGCTGAATTATTGGTTTGAAAATGAGAATCCTACAAACACTTGTAATAATTTTTGGTTTAGGATTCCCAGCCTGGCACAGATTCTGTTCACCAAACTCGAGCAGTCGCGATCCACACGAATACTGCTCTTATAAAGGTATTAGCGTCTGTTCTGTCAATCAAATCTATCCAGAAATATTTCTAATTTAGAAATTATCGGTATTTGATATGGATTAGTCGGTATCGTGGTGTCAAGATTCAAAATTTCCAGGAGTATTTGCAATAGGAAACGTTTCTGGAAAAGTCAGTCTTGTTAATCTAGCCAGTTTTTCAGTGCTTGATGGACTATCGTGGCTTACAAGTACAGACCAGCAGTTTATGTCTGAAACACCCAGCAACGGGATTTCTTCTGAAACACTATTGTTTTATCGGTCGCTTTTAAAAAATTGTAATCATATCCCTCTTCGTAGCGAATATGTACCATCCAACACTCGTTCGTGTAATGTAGTGTCGTTTTCGCCTACCAATACGCAACTTTTGCTTGCAGGATTCGATAAAGTACGCAGCGATCATTGCTTGTATATTTGGGATATTTGTAGCACACAGGCAGAAAAAGAAAAGTCTGAAATTCCATCTTCAAAAAATGTAACCGCCTTTGAATCTCCTTCACTTAAAAAAGCAATTTTTCGATGCGGCTCATCTGAAGGTATAAGCTCGGCAGCTTGGATGATGGACAGTGCAGCACGAGTTGTTGTGGGAATAGGCTTTCGATCTATTCGGTCATACGATCTTCGAGGTATTATTAGCTTTTAATATCTAGCAAATGCCGTGCTCATATAGCGTGTACTGTAAATATTGCTATGTCTAATCTTTTCAACAAACTGTAGTTGACAGTGGCCAGGGGCCTGTGTTTTCTGTGAATACCAAGGCTATTCATGGACTTGCAGCAGATCCTTTCTGCATCAATAGATTCACATCGTTTGGAGATGATGGAATTGTACGCGTATGGGATGAACGAAAAATCACCGAACCAATCTTGACTCTAAATCCTGAATTTCGGTTTGGAATTTCCAATATTTCTTGGTCACCAACTCGATATGGCTTGTTACAATGCTCTGGGAAAGATTCTTCTACCATTAAATTTTTCCATATTCATGATGCATTTAAAGAGAATACCAATAATGCCTTGGTGCCTTCATTTAACCAAGTGGAACATGATTTGCAGTACCCACCCCAGTCTGAGCCAGTTGATCATCATTCTGTATCGCTTGCATCCAACGTGCTTGTAAAGTCTCAACATCCTGTTACATCGCCATCTGCTTATACTTTAAAAGGAGTTGACGTGCCACTTTCCACACAGGAGTCTAGAATGGCTTTTGGATACGAGTCCTTTATTTGGAAAAATCAGAGTGGTAAAGTATACTGGTGTTTATGAAATAGTTTAATCCCATCTTGTGTAGCTATTCTAATATAGGGTTGTTTTAAACTTTACAGTGCGAACAAATGATGGCATGATATCAGATTTTACGTGGATACCATATCAGTGCCATTTTAGCCTATATGCCACCACGTTTGTAGGCGATGAAAAAATCCGTATTTCTAAACTTCCAAGTGTATCACAGCTGTCATTTTCACCATCGGGTATGATTTCAACCTCAAATGATACATTTGTTGAATTTTGGGGTTTAGATTCAGCTGAAAGGTCACAAGATGAGGATCTCGACATTGCTACATCAATGTGCAACCGAGTTCAAGAAGGTTATGGATTTGATGTAAGAACATGACGTTCCTGGTCTTCAATCTTGACGATTTCAATTTAACCTAACCAATATTTTCCAAAATCCATACACCATTTCAGTGCCAATTGAATATCAAGATATCTTCAAGTAACCAGCAATTGAATTCTCTTTGGCAGCTTATCTCAATGATTATAGCTGAGCCGGTGGTAGACGGATCATTCGATGTTTGCAATCCAAGATTGTCTAGTGGGGACCCAGGGTTTCGTGCTACAGATTCTCAACAAAATACATCAATAATTGATAAAGCTGGAATGATTGGCATACTGCAATTGATTACGTCGCGAGAACCTGATACAGTAGCAAGTAGTTTTGCTGACGAAAACACTGTTTCAGGTCTTTCAAGCAAAAGGATTTTAGCACTTAGACTTTGTGGATACAGTATAGATCAGACTGCAGAAAGAGATGACCTGGATCCAGTTTCTTTAAAGTATGCTCAGTAAACACTGCGTTGAATCTATTGTTATTACTCTGTCATGGGAGTACTACTGATGAAAGCTAATTGAGATTTATTCAAATATTTGGGGTTCCCATCTTTTTAAGCAGCTTCGATCAACACGGATACTACGAAAGAATGGCGGGTATGGAGTTGTTTTATTCTGGAAATTTGGATGGAGCGATTGAGTGCCTATATGCTTCCAAAGGTGAGCCTGATTGACAAATACCCCGTCCTGTTCACTCTAGCTGATTACTAGACTTTATTCATGTAGAGAATCACCTGCAGTTGCTTGCTGCTGCACTGGCTGGTTTAGTCTCGTCGCGTTTATACACATCAAGTGCTAGTGGTTTACAAGGACAGGAGATTTTCAAAAACCTGGGTGCTGACCAAACAAACCCTTATGTGCGAGCAATGTTTACTTTTGCCACGTCAAATGGAGACTGGAACTGTGTTTTAAAAGATGATTCACTCTCACTTGCAGATCGTATTGCAGTTGCGGTTCGATTTGTAGGAAATGACGAGGCAAGAATTTGCAATGATTGGGAAATGGGTTTGAATAGATGCCGGGATTTAAACATACTGATAATTTCCAATACCTTTTAAATCTAGCTTGTAGTATTTTTAGAGGATCTGACAAAAAAGGCGATTGCGGAAGGCAGAATAGATGGATTGCTGCTTACAGGACTGGGTGCAGCTGGAATTGATTTGATAGAAAGCTATGTCAATCAAACTGGTGACATTCAGACCGCGAGTTTGATACTGACCATGTGTGGATTGGATGCTTCAGCTGATGCTCGTGTTGATAACTGGATTGAAACGTACGCTTTTCGTTGATATGCAATCTACTACAAAACCTGCTATTGCTTGGCAGTTTAATTGTCGAAAAACATTTGAGCTTATTATAGCTAACATAATTTGGCTCAATTACTCGATAGATATCGAGGACTACTTGATCGATGGCAACTGTACCACCAGCGAGCCCATTTTGATATTCAGCGACGAAAGAAAGCGCTTCTAGTTTCATCAATGAGACGCTTTTCATCTCGTTTAGCTCACACAACAGTGCCAGTTGTAGATCGGATATCTCCACAAGTGCATGTTCGTTGCAATTTCTGCTCTCAGCCAATTTCCAATATCATTCAGCATAAACGTTCACCGCAGCTTGTTGGAATGCTGGCTACAGGTGTTCAAAAACACAAGGTGAGTTATGGCTGTTTCACACGCTTATTTTAGATTGGCTCTAAACTTTGATGCTATCTAGTCGACCACTTGCCAGCACTGTGGTAAATCGTTGCCTAGATGTGCAATCTGTTGTCAGTCGATGGGAGGAAACATGGAGTCGATCTACAGTGCAATGCCTGCACTTGGGATTGTCAATGATTCTGATACAGAGCATCCTGCAAAGATCGATTCTTGGTTTACATGGTGTCAAAGTTGTAAACACGGTGGTCACACAAGACATATTTTAGACTGGTTTAAACAGCATTCTGTATGTCCTGTAACAGACTGTGCCTGTCAATGTCTTCATTAAATATTGTAATTTTTAAAAATCCAATAGTATTTGAGGCATAGTCTTTGCCAGACCATCTACTGTAAGTGATCCATGTTTCTGTGCAGTCTGATCGATCAGGTCCAAGATGAGACACTCCAATGTAACTCCTGCTAGGGGAACTGCATCTCGATGGATCTTGCACTTTTTATCTTTGAATCCATTCTGGAGTAGTAAAATGACTGTTTCCTGATAAAAACCATGCACAGATACAGTAAAGTTTGGTCAGGTTGAACAAGGTTCAATGTCATACAAAACAGATGAGAAATGAGTGTATCCAAAAGCCTTTTTGTTTGGATATGTTCTATAAACAGCACTGGCTTGACTGCATGGATCCTTACATTATCAAAAACAGGCATGATATGCGTATTTAGAAGCAAAGACTGTCATTCCAAGTCCAGTTTTGTCATGCAAATTGCTTGAAATTGTACTCGCTATAAAGCCAATAATTTGCAATATTTTGGCCAAAAATACAGCCAACCGAAACGACATGATTTTTGCTTATTGATGCAGCTTTGCCATTTGACTCACGTTGCAATCCATGGCAGCAAGTAGGTTCGAGTATGTTCGATTGTTTGAGCAGTCTACCTCTCTTTTGCGCAACACCTGGATAGTAGTTCGTGTAGACGGTCATGGATTCCATCGATTCTCCAAAACTCACACATTTGCCAAGCCAAATGATACTCGATCCATCAGATTGCTCAACCACTGCGCTGCTGTCGTAATGCGGGAGTTTAATGACATTGTGATTGCATACGGACAGTCTGATGAATTCAGTTTTGTGTTTCATCCTTCTACAACCCTCTATGGTCGACGAGAGGCCAAGATCATCACCAACTTGTGTAGTATTTTTACTTCTAGCTTTGTAATGAATTGGCCTACTTTTTTCCCAGAAGATACGCTGCAGTATCCGCCTTCCTTTGACGCTCGTGCAGTGTGCTATCCAACCGTTTTGAATCTTAAAGACTATCTTTCTTGGAGACAGGCCGATTGCCATATCAACAATCTGGTAAATGGCTTTGTTTGCATGGCTTTACACTAGTATTGCACCCATTATCATATGAAAATGGGTTAGCATCCAGTTGGTCGAAATCCATTGATCCGACTTTTAGAGGCTTACACATACTGTTGTTTGTAAAATTTCAAGTATAATACTGCTTTTTGGGCACTTGTTCTTGATCCCAAGGAACCAAAATCGGAAACTGAGGCAGAAGCTATCCTTCGTGTAACAGACGCAGCAGCCAAAAACGAGCTATTGTTTAGTAGATTTGGAATCAATTACAATACAATCGACCCGCTGTTTCGTAAAGGAAGTGTCTTGTTTCGACAAAAAACAAAGTCTGTGGAAAAGATTAGAGAAGATGGTTCACCTGTCATGCGAGACAGATCTGAAATTAAAACGGAGCATGTCGATATTATTGGAGAACAGTTTTGGGAGAGTATGCCAAATATTTTGACATGAGTGATGATTAAAAAATCAATTGGCAAGATGAAACACTGGACTTTTTTCAAGAGATTTTAGCAGGCATTCTCATTCAATAAAAACGGTATTATCTGGTACTCTTATACTACTTGCGTCGATTAATTCCAGGCACCGACGAGCTAAAGATGTCTATTCAAGTCAATTTATGTACGAAAACGACAAGTATTCAACCATTGTTTATTCCAACGACTCGATCGTTGCAAGATAAATACAAACTTCATTTTACGTGAATACAGCAGTGAGTAGCTGAAGTAACGTAAACTCGTCGATTTATAGTAATCAACTGTTTCACTACAGAATTCCCCAAAGATTCCAAACTGTTTTGGCTGGTCTTTTGCCAATTTTGATCAAATAATCTGCAATATAATCATACCGAGAATTACCCGTTGCGCCAGGGATAATATCTTTCAATCGTGGTCGGATTACAACGTCAGATACAATGCCAACATCTTCAACTGGCTTTCCTTTATGATCGCCATTACGAACAAATGCTCGATGACCTACAGTCATTTCGTTGTAAAATATTTCCTTGGTATCAGATGTCAACTCTTTTTTGAATGGCATTGGTTTAAAGTCTACCGGATCACAATCGATGAGTTCTGGATCTAAACTCCAAACATTTGCACCGGAACCAGCCGTTGTGACATCCTCACCAAACACTGTTCCAATTTTAAACGACTGCATAGTTCCTGTCATGATTTCACATGCAGACATGCAATTACCACTGGTAAATACACCCACTGGTTTGGTATAAACCTGATCGTAAATGTTGGATGCTCTTGGATCCAAAAAATCATGGAATAGTGAGTACTTGCTTTTGGCTGGTGTTTTGAACCAAGCATCGCGAGATGATTTCAAATCTATGGGCGGATGTACAAATATATTGTATGTGACGTCGTTCATGAGATATTTCACTTGAAATGGCTCAAGCTTGCTCTTGAATAGCTGTGGAATGGCATTTGCAAAACTCATACTTCCACCACCACCTTCACGAACATCGATCAAAATAGAATTAGTTTTTTTGAGCACTGTGGTCAATAGTCTTTTCACTTCACGAATTGCTTCAGGAATATCTCGTGTGTTTGTTGTGCGGGATGTACACCTGAACGATGTTAGTTTGATTATTCCCATGTTTTGGTCGTCAGGGTTCCAAATTGTCCAAGATAGTCCGAGTATACTCGTTTGATAAAATGTAATCTGTAAATCACGTTTTGACAATCGTCCCGTGTTTTGATCTTGACTGCTTTGATCCCGCTTTCGAATACGGCGAGGAGTAAGCAATGACTTGGTAGATTGGGAACTTGTGGTATGATCATCGACTGTTGTAGTTGGCAATGCATGACTATTGGCTTTTACAGCAACTGTATTTTGTAAATGTATATCAAGATTCACGCCTGTCAACTGTGTGTAAAGTTTACTAGAGTACTCCCAACAGGTATGTCGATATGCAGACATGTACGGTACATTAACCTCGTATATGATGCCGCTATGGGATTTGAGTTTAAGCTTGATAAAGTCTTCATCAGGAAGTGGGGTACGAGATCCAAGTCTGAGGGTCAAATATTTTAATGCTAAACGCTGGCTATGAGACTCGGTGGATCCACCAATGACATTCCGATGCTTTTCTTTCCATTCGTAAAAAGCGAGGCCGTTAATGCTGACAAGTCGATCTCCAATATTGATTCGATTATAAGCGGTATCACGTAGTAGATTCAGTATTTGACGATTGACGGGTTTACTGACGACAATTGTTGGATCTTTGATTATATTGCCTGGACCATCAATGAATTGAAAAGAAATTCCCGTGGTAACTAAAAAACAACGATGAGTGCCAGCTAATGTCATGGTAGTATGTCCGTCGCGAGCTCGAGTGAATATATCCAATAACCCAAGCTGGAGCTGTTCATCAGTAAGGGTTCTGATATTGTTTCGGATATGCTCGAGAGCAGGATACGGATTTGCTTGTTGACCATGATGCTTTATTTTTGATTCAAAATGGACCCATGCCTGGACATGTTGAATCATTGGAGTTCGATTGTAATGTGTTGGTCAGTTAATAATATGTTGCAATATATTGTATTGGTTATGATATCAGGTTGTGATGGAATGACAACTTGCCTTGAATACATTTTCGGCATTCGACACTAGAACATTTCGCTGTTCAAGAGTATATGGAAAAAAGGTAAACAATCCAGCATCACGATCGAGTTTGATGGGTCTATAGTCAGACCATTTACTTTTAATAGTAGCAGGTGGTGTTGATGTTGATGTTGCAGCAGGTTGTGTTGATGTTGTAAGAGTTTGAGCATTGATGGAAGATATTGCAGCTAAAACTGTTACCAAAAAAAGAACCATTTAAAGCAGTATGCAATGCAAAGTATGATCAATCAGTTCGTACAACTCGCAATCGATGATGCAGCTGGTATTATATTGATGAAAAACTGTTGTATAAAGCATGTGTTTTTGATTATCAATATCTTTATAGTTGTCTTCCAGTTTACCCTCCCTGTTCATTCAGACTGCTTTTAGTCGTGCTTCAGCTTATCCACCCTATTCCAACATCATGCCACAAACACCTGATATTGTGGAAACAATATTACACTGAACTGTTCCGGAATAAATATGCACAAACCATTCATACATAGCAGCTGTCCCTTGACAATGGTTGTTTGTAACCATATGGCTTTAACGACTTGGTGATAGTTTGTTGAAGATAGCGTGAATAAGGCGATATTCACGCAAAATGCAACACTAAACTGCCAAAATACATGATAAACAGTCGCATGTTTGATTGGTGTCGGTTTGCTGGACACTGTTATTGGAATCATTGTTCAGAAACAGTTGTTGCTGGTCTTGACATTCAAGCCACGTTCTTTTGTGTATGGATTTATACTTTCATGTCAAAACTTTGTATAATATATTGTCATCAGATTGTTGATTGATGGCCTGACAACCCTGTAATCATCAACACTTGAACAACGAGACATTGCAAACACACTTGTGGATCTTACCATGCGCAAATACCAGTCAACAATGTCAATGATCTTGAAAACAATATTATGTACAAAAACCAACTGTCGAGTGACAGACTGATTAGCAACAATGAATATGTTCAGGTTTTTGTTGATAATATTCAAACAGTAAACTCAATGTCTGGATTGCAATGAATGAATGTGATGATCGTACACCGTATGACTATGCAATCAAACGCAACAATGCAAGGTTTAAACACATCAGTTCAAAACTATAGTTTGTATCATATGATGGTCGGTGTGTTTGCAGACTGACCAAGGAAGTTGTCAAGACTTTTTAAACAATGACATGCAACACTCCCAAACATGTATATTGCTCCAGACAACATTCCATTCCACAAAATAACTATCTGATCAGATATGGTTCAAATAAATTAACCAAATGTCAAATGCATTTATAGATGGTCCAAATCTTGATAATAAATGATAAGCTGTTTTATTCCTAAATAGCAGGCATTACTCCATCTCGACGTCATCCGCATTGTCATCGCGAGCATTTCTACGTTGATTGCGCTTGAGTTGTTTTTGCATTTTGCGCAAGTTTTTGTTAGTTTGAGGATTGATGCGTTTTTCTTCTTGGCTTATATCAACAGATCTGTCAGTCAGCTTGGAGAGAGTTTTCTTTTTCTGGATTGGCTTGAATCTGATTTCTGGAACAATTTTTTTATCTTCTGGCATTTTCGTGTCCTCCACATCTGACATGCTATCTCCACTATGCTCATCTTCACTGTCGTCCATTTGGTCTTCGGTTTCCTCACTGTCACTATCCTGATTTTCTAGATCCATTTCTTCGGAAGACAAAATGTCATCAGCATCGTTATATCCTTTAGGAAGGCGATCTAGGAGCATATCAACAGGCATAGGGCCGGTATTAGAAAACGTGTGCATTTTTGAACGGGCAATTGGGGTTTTCTGTGCGTTTGGAAGAACTTCTTTGTCTTCAAGTTCAAGAATTTCAGAGAGTGAAAACTCCTTGCTCCATGACTCGACAATAGCGCTGGAAATGTGGCTTTCAACTGCAGGTCCTGCTTCTGGAGGAATTGTATAGAATGGAATTCGACCGCTATTCCAATCTTGAATGACCGAACGTGATACACCTTTAATGTCTGGAATACCACCCTAAATAGCAGTTTTAACCATAATGATTAGCTTGCATAAACCAGTTTAAATATTTCCATAACCATTATATTTGAATGGATTTAATGGTAATAGTAATGGAGCTTACCTTGCGAAGTTTTCCACGATTTCTGGCAAGTTGCACAAGAAAATCAGTTGCATCCACAAAGTGGTTTACAGAGTATAAACTCATTAGCTGTTCCTTTTTACAACGAGATACAATCAACTCGACTAAAAACAAATAACATTAGCAAGATTTGTATCAAGAATGGTTGAAAATTAAACAAGTTTGGCACATTGCAATCGAGTAAATTGTTACCTGGACCAAGTGTGTCTTCAAGAAGTTCAACCTTGACGCAGTTTCGAAGAAGAACCTGCGCAGCATCTTCTTCATTGTTACTGCGACTAAAGACAATACCAGGGCAGTCTAAAAGTTTGATGTTTTTGTCCAAATGAATGGCTTGCGATACTTTGGTGATTCCAGGTGCTGCACCTACGTTGCACACTTTGGAGCGCTTCAAAGAGTTGATGACACTTGATTTTCCGACATTAGGAAATCCGACAATTCCAACAGTGATGGAGGTTTTGATGTTGATATTTCGGCAATAGTTTTTGAGCAGTCGAATCAAATTGTCCGCACCTAAAGTACAATGTCAGTGAAGATTAGTGAGAATGAAATATCAATGGATGCATGATTTCAGCCAAAAGGACTGTATTTTAAATCAGTGTTCGTACCAAGACATTCACTGCTAGTCAGCAAACCATCGCTTGCTTGCTGAGTAGAAACAGTTGATTGGCCCAAATTGGAGCGTTGACTTTGGGTAGATGCCTTGAACGCAACAGTAGGATACTCATTGCGAAGGTATTTTAGCCATTTCTCTACATTTTCGCGAGGAACCAAATCTAAAGCAACCATGAACCAAACAATTCATCAATGTTAAAATTTAATGCAGTGCCAACAGTGGCCAGAATAAACAGAATCAGATTTAAACTGATGAACAAGAGTTGAATTTACCAATTTTGTTGAGAATCAAAATAATTCGCTTATTAGAGCCAGCGTTCAAAATGAGTTCTTCAATCTGCTTGGTACGACAGCCTAATGGATCACGAGCATCCAAAACCTCCAAGATAACATCTGCATTTTCAATAACTTTTTTAAATTCACGATAATACGCCTTGCGAGAATCGTCTTTACGGCCACTCAAGGCTGGGTCGCTGCGTTCAGTAGCCAAGCTGCCTTTTGATCCAATCTGAACAAGAGTAGTGTCAAATGCACGACTGCGACTGGTAGCATCTTCAGCCAAAGCAGCCAAACTCATTTGGTCAGATGTAAGTCCGTTGCGATTAGCTTTACGGGCCTTTACAGCAAGTTCTTTTTCTTCAATAGCCTGTTGTTTAATCCATAAATTGTCAATTAGTATTGCATGAGACTGAAAGCAATGATTAAAAAGAAATGTCAATCCAGCAACACCATTCACACCTTGCGTTTTGCTTCCTCGGCTTGATGCAAAAGTTTCTCTTTGAATGGAAAGAGATTTGGAATGCCGGGATCCTTCTTTAATGCTTTCCGCTGAGGATTTTTCTTTGCGTCCTTGCGGGCCTTGCGTCCATGTTCTGCAACCTTTTTTTGAATCTTGTATTTTGTTGATGCAGCCTGACGTTTACTTTTGGCCTCTAGTAGTTCAATCAGCATTACATTGCAGAGATTCACAAAAGTTAGACATGACACTGCGATCAAACACACTCCAGTCAACACTCAAACACAGACTGTCCTCGCATGCCAACTTACTCTTGGCAACCATTGTATTATTTTTTTCTGTAATGAAATAAAGTTTTTTTTTTTGATTATAAAGAGTACATCACGTGATCAAAAGTTGATTCTGAACAGCAATTGAACCTTGCATTGACAACAAAGGCTTTATAGCAGCAAAATATATTCTGCTGCAAATATCTTGCCAGCATCTTGCCAGCCAGCACAACACTATCAAAAAAAGAATATGGCAGAAACCAAGTTTTTGAACAAGAAAGAGATTTCATTAAAGGAGAGTGACCAGACTGAACCTGCACTTGTTGACAACTCAAATACTCTTGCTAATCTGGCATCTGCTCGAGAAAATCCCAAGTTTCAACGGATGGTGCAACACATTGAGACATTACTAGAAAGGACAAAAGGAGCTAGACATGAAATGGAGCGGATGATTCAAATCACAAAGGAGTTGCGAGATCAGTGTGCTTTACAGGAGCAGGAATGCGTAGCGCTCGAGGTAGACCAAACCAAGGTCAAGGAAGAAATCAATGGACTAACTGGACGGTTGAAGACGTTGATGAGTGATAAGATTTCTACTGAGCAAAAGCTAGAAGAGTTGCGATTAGAAAATATCAAGTTGGATGCATTCTTGCAGGTGAGATTCTTGTCCATTCAGGTCTGCACGTTTAATAGTTTATTGACTAGTTTATTCATTCATTTGACATTTTCAGCAAGCCCAAGACTCGTCTCTTGACGATTGATGTGGTTACGGCCGTATTCACGCACAATGAAACACTAAATAAGTGCCAAAATACATAATAAACGGCCAATTCGCATTAGATTTACTGGATAGCATTGTGTCCTTGAGCCCCTTGGAAAAACTGGCTGAGCAATATCCTGGTGACTGGAATGGACGCAGCAGCAGCATTTCTGAGATATGTTGGACTAGAACGCGAACGTATCTGTGTTTGTAGGCTTGACAACAGCCAAACCCAATATCTGAACTGCAATGGACGAATCTGGTGATTGTACAATGTATTTCAGAAAAAGACAATTCCAGTTCAAAGCTATAGTTTGTGAGCATCGTATAGGTGTTGTGTCTATTGAATAGGCAACCACTGCAAAATAAGTATAAAAAAGTATTTCATTTTACGTGAATGCGATTATAATAGATGAGCATCGGCGATCCAGCTACTGGTCTTATAATTTTGAGCAAAATTTGTCGAGTTAGCATTTGATAGTTTAAACATTCAATTGTTTAGGGTTGCCAATGTCATGGCCAATACAGTTTATTCAACTTTTGCGGATCGTCAATTATTATTGTTTCACAAATCAAACGAGATTTTAAATACGCAATTGATCAATAATGCAAACTTTGACAGTGTATTATGCAGTATCTCGATAATAGTCCCTGAAAATTCTAGCTCGAGATATGATTCCGATTGTAAGCCGTTTCCATCGGCCAAGCGCATCCAGTTGCCGTTTTTGAAGATATGCATTACGCTTTGCTCTTTCTTCCTCTCCCAGCCCCTTAAAATATGAGCATGGTATGAAAGTCAATCACCTGCCGCTGCACAATAAAAAATACGCAAGTGAATTCAACAGGTATATACTTACTTCCAAGATGATCTCGCCATTTTCCGCTGTTACTATGATTCCATCCAACAGTGGAATGGGTTTGCCTCTTCCAAATTGAAACCCCGTCTTTAAATCAAAACGAGTTAGTTTGATTACAGTTGCAATTATCTGTGCGACAGTAGAAAGTCAATATAAATACATACAATGGCAGATGCATAGTCGATTTCAAGCTGTTTTGCAATATGGCATGCTCCTTTGCCTACAAGTACAAAAGACAAGTCAACGCATATCCTGTTCAACACCATCCGTTTAATACTCAAACTATCAACACCAATTTGTGTACCTCGAATATGAACAGCTCCACGAGGAATCATCCTGGGATGAAATATTTCAATGTTACCGAAATCATTGCGAGGAATAATTCCCTTTATAAAATAAATTAGTTTCTTTTTTCTGTTAAAATAGTATAGCCACCACACGGATTTAGGACTTACATCTATTAGTGCAAGAGGTTCAAGGGGTTCAGTCTGCCATTCTCCGTAAAGCCAAACAGAACCATTCGTCTCATTTGAATCTATAAACATATCTTGATCCTCTATATTGAATGATTTGGATGAATCGGCTAGAGATTTTTGCTTTAAAACAACACCCGATTCTCCAGATTTAATTTGATATCCAAAGCGCTTCCAAGACTCTGAGCTTCGAATCTAGAGTAAAGGAGATTAGTGGACATTTTTGTCAATATACCGCCATGCTTAGAATTACCGTTTGCACATGTGTACGGGGATAGATTGGTTCTCCTTTAAATGTGCCAACAATATGCTTTTTTCCATTTGGGTAAATCACTTGATTTTGTTTACAGTGTCTTTCCAGTGCGTATCTGTTTAAATAATCCAACCAAAACAGCGAACCACTCATAATTAGCCAAATATAGGTTTGCAAGATCGATTGTCTATATTCTAATTACCCACAATGGATGGTCTACAAATCCAGAAAAAGTGTTTGGCATAGATTCTGTCAACTGAAGAATCGAAGTCACATTATCTTCATGTTCATCGCGTGTAGATTTAAAAGACTTGGAGTAGAACCAAAGCGATAGTTTCCACCAACCATCGCCAGACTCTTTCAAAGGAAGCCGTAGCTTTCTTGTGGTAGTACTCCATAGCGATGCGTATCGTCGCGTCACTTCTTTGATAATATTACACGGCTCTAATGCAATGACGTAGCAAAGTGATTTCTGTTCAATGGCATCCCAAGGACGCAAGGGATCATAGACTGTACATGACTCAATCCTCAATGGGATCCAGAGTTGTTGATCCCAAGAGTACACTTCGCACCAAAGATTCAGCGGATTATGCACTGCATCCATCTTTTTCAAGGATAAAGAAAGAGGAATAGGATACAGTGCAACAACCAGTCTGATGTCCAATCCAATGGATCGACATAATGCAACAAATCCCAAAGTAAAGGTTTCTGTGTCATTCGATTTTTCCTCATGATTGCTCAGTCCAAAGTCTTGAAGTACCTGAAAGCAACGACTGTTTATGGAAGATACATTTTTAAAATCAATATTAGTATGTTTTGGTAAATCCAGTTGCCTGCACCACCACTGTAGTAAATCTGTCAGATAAGGAAGAGTGGGTGACTTTTGCTGACGCAAGGTTTCTATGCCTTGAATGAGATGAAACGGTAAAAGCGACATCAGCATGCTCTAAGTGTAATATTATTGCAAGTTAGTTCATGACTAATTCATGATTGCAAATTATTCCATCAAGCGTTTGGAAATCCCGAAACCAACCTGAAGCATTGCATTGCAACACTTTGCATTACGATGTAATGCAGCCGACAAGAGTGTCAGCAAGTGAACTTTATGCAGAGTGGAGTGTTGCTTCCTCTGCTGTCTAGTGATTCCTTGTCTTTTTTCCTTGGGTCTGTTGATCCATTCATCCCATTATTTAATTGAATATTAGTAGTTATAAGTATTCTGTTGGTTCAACAAGGTTCGGCCTACTTTGTAATGACTTCTGAACAAAGAATCTCAATTGTTGATGACTCGGGAGGTATATCAGGATCAACCACTTCTTCCCAAGTCTCGCTGTCCAGTGAACTACACGATTCAGTGTCTGAGATGCCAGCAATGTCTTGATCTTTAGTCAAAGAACTGGTCAATAAACCCAAAGGTTTGGTCTCATTACATTGACTCAGTTTGGTAGTCTTGATTGCACTGTTTTGAGAGTTCAAAACACTTTGATCATCATTTAAACCAGCATTATCGTATGTCCGTTTCTGTTGTGGCATGACAAATCTGCAATCCAACTTGCAGTTTTCAAATAAAATTGTAATAAAAATATAATTCATGTCAAGCCAGTTTAACTGTAATGGCAATCAAATTAGCCTTGAACAAAATAGTGCAATCATCAGATTTGTCAATTTATGTTCTAGTTTAACAACGATCGCACATCTTAGAAATGCAGCTGTTGTTTCATGTCAATCACCAGGAGAAAGATGGGTAAGCTGATATCATTCCATGAGACTGACTGTTATTATGTATTTTGGCACTTTATTTAGTGTTTCATTTTACGTGAATATGATTGTAATTAGAATGAGTCAAGTAGTGATACTCGAGACAAATAGTAGGGTCTGCTCTTGCATCACTGGATGCTTGACATGACCTCCAAAATTCGCATACGAGTTGGAGAGTCAACTTGTGATGGAGCAGTTGCAGCCAATACATGTTTACAAAGTTGTCTAATATGTTCCAACTCGGACAAAACTGAAGGAGCTTTGGCCTCCAAAAGGAAAAATATGCACTTGAATACGATTGGGTTTTCTTCAAAATCCCGTTTAAGCGGAAGAGCTCCAAAAAATACGGGAATGACTTGATCCAAAGGAACAGCTTGCGAGCAGCGTAGAATCATACGAGCTACTGCCCCGCATGCATTGTCTGACATGTTGGATTTTGAGTCAATCGTAAAAAAGGGATAGAGAAGCTGAAGCAATTGTGGATAGTAACTAATGTGTAAAAAGTTAGTAAATAGCAGGAATTACAGCTACAACGCACTAGTGGCTTTACCTGCTTAAATCTGTGGTTGAATAGTAAATTAGAAGCCCGATTCCAAATGCACCATTGCTACGTACTTCGTCATCTTCATCGCGTAGAGATTTGATAAACAGCGGTAGAAGATCTTGCGTAAATGGCGAAACACCATGCTCAAGACCATCTACAATTTCGGCAAGGGTTCCAATTGCCATACTTCGATCCGAAACCGGTTTGGACTTTTGATAATGCTTTGCAATAAGTGGGAAAAATGGTGAAAAATAGCTACCATATTCAGGTCCAAGAGCAGCAGCCAAGCCTCCAAGAGCATCTGCAGCAGTACTAATAACTAGAGCATCAAGTTCCGCAAGTTCATCGTCATCATGTCCAGCACTCTCATCAAAATCTTCGTTAATCTGACAACTGTGTTCTCCACGGAAAAGCTGCAACAGCATATTTGCAAGCGCATTCACGTATTGTAAAGAGTCGGGTGTCGACGAATAATCAAAGCCAACACTAACAGGTCCAATAAGCTTGATCGTTTCAACAATCTCTTGTAAAGTTTGAGCAACCACCATTCTATCAAATCAAAAATCGAATTGCAAAATACACAAACGGTTAGATTACATCATTATTCCAGTCAAATTTGACAAAATAGTTTAAAAACAAAATAGGCCGCTTCAGAAAGAGATATCTCAGGTTCATATCAACGTGCTTTGCACTCAGTGTGAGCTGGGTACTGAGAAGGAGTCATCACAAGCGCAGTTTAAAATTTCAAGGGATTGAGCATGATAAAACAGTACATACCTAGCTTCCTCTTCATCGAGCATCTTCAACACACCCTCCATAGCAATCTTTCCAATCGAAGCAACATTTTCATGAACAGGGGTCTGGCAGGGGAGACCAGCCTGCCATTCGGACGAATCTGCAATAGACTGCATGGCAACAAAAAACTGTAAAAGACACTGAGCAGCCGAGATTCGAACATCATCATTGAAATTGTCTAATGAGGATAGAGCGGCATTGGCACTGTCAGAAACAAAGGGTAAAAAGGCTGCCCGGGTAGCAGTAAACAGTAGACTCAAAGCTTGAAAGGAGGATGCTTTTTCCAAAGAAATTGCAGAGTTGAATGAATACTTTTCAATGGCGCTTTCCTCATTGTCACTTTCTTCAGAAATATCAATGTCCTCTTCACCATTAGGATTATGAGCAGGATCAAAAGAGTTGGATGATTTTAGCATATCATTCCAATCTGTATCTTGCTGATTGCACGAGTGCATGATGGAAGGAACGACAAGTTGAAGATAAGGTGAAAAATCTTCACCAAACGTGCGTGCCAAAACTCCAAAAAACAGATAGCTGCACTCACGAAGTTGATAGCTGTCGATACTAATGCCACTGATAACTAAATTCATCATTTCAGACATGTGTGGTGCAAATGCTTCTTTACCCACTGCCTCAGCAACGGCACCCATGGCATCAGTTGCTATTGCACGCATATCTAGGTTTGATGGCTCTGTGATCATCATGAACGAGCAAAGTTGTGCCATTGTCACTTTGAAATAGGGCAAAAACGACGAGCCAGAGGAACGAGCAACTGAACCAATACAGTTTACAGAAGCAAGTACAGATTTGCGATTTGAAGAAGATATCAAACCAATTAGTTTTGTAATAAGCAGTTCCAAGTATGGAAGAATCGCATCGTCTAGAGCCTCAACCAGCAATACAAGAGTTCCCAAAACGACAGGCTGTACTTCAACATCAGGATCATCCACAAGCGTAAGTAATAGAGGAAGTAACACCGAATGCTGCTCGGCAATCTCATCATCTAGATCTACTGACAAAGCACCAAGAGCAGTACATGCTGCTCGACGAACACATGGAGTATGGTCTTGCAGAGCATAAATGACGGAAGGAAGAATTTGATCAATTTTCTCACGCATATGGTCAGCACATCCTTCTACAAGAACGGCAATAGCAAGCATCGCAGCACGACGAAAACCGGATCGCTGAGAATCTTGAATAAATGTGGCCACATGTCGCATCACAGCAGGATAAACATGATGTGGAGGAAAGGCAAGAGCAAGTGAATTGATCACTTGAATTGCCGATTTGGCAGGATACCGATCTTCGCGATCCTTGGATTCCTCTTCAGCAGCAATGGGAAAAATAGCATCAATAATAGTGGGAACTAGACGAAGTTTAGTCAGTCTTGTTTTTGCGTAGGATGCAGTAAGCATTAGGAAGGACATGGCCATGATTCGAATTTCATCGGAATTGTCAGGGGTACTGGCGATTACCAGGTAGAAATTGACGAGTTCACCAAAATACTTGGTAACTAGTGGAACCTCCTAAAATACCAGCACAGAATGAGATGGACCGAAAAATAGTAAATCAGCTAGCAGTGCTACATACCAAAAGCAATAGTCCTTCAAACACTTCAAAGACTTTCAAAGTGTTGGCATCATCTCCAGCTACCAATGTACGCTGCATCACTTGCACTATACTGGGAATAAGGTCACAAAAGGTTTTCTAAAATACAGCAGACTTGATTTAGTCAAAGTAGAATCAAAGTAGTAAACCATCAGTATACTTACAAAGCTAGGTTCATTGGGATCTTCAATGAATTCGGCCACTTTTCCCAATGCTCTATAAACCAGTACAAAATGATTCATCAATAAAAAGTTTACAAGCATCAACCCAGTCCATCCAATTTTCGCTACTTACTGCACAGTAGTCACAGCGACAGTGATGCTCTCGGGATCATTGACAGATTTACAAAATAAAGCAAGTAGCTCAGGAATATAGTCTGAGAGTTGATCGGTGATAACTTCAAACAAAGTATAAAGAACATATACACCAACCTAGTACACAAACAAAAGGAAAAACAGGTTGGTAATCATACAACTTGTATATAAAATCAAGTCATGACAAGCACGTACTTCTCGCTGACCAACGACTGGGCTAGCACAGAGGGAGTTTAAAATGGTAATAAGCTCAATCCAACGATGATTGGAGATTTCGATCTTGGCAATTTCAGAAATAACACGAGCTAGAGCATTTCGGACAAGTATGCTAGTTTTAAACCAAAGAATGAGAATTGCATAGCAACAATCTATTTTGCGTATACACCACACTACACACCTTTCTTGATTAACAGCAACACTCAAAATGCCAGTCTTGATCTCTTGACGCACTTGCTCAGACAGAGCGAGCCAGGCTTTGCCATCGCTTTTTTCAACAAGTTTGCGCGCTTCAACAGCCGCTAATTGTCGAGCCTGAAAGACAGAAAAAACCCAATCAATTACATATTCTACAAGATGAACTTGATAGGGTTGCCATTATAAATGAAGCAAGCATATACAATGGGCAATTTAATGTAAAACTCATAAAAATGATCAAAGCAACATACTCCAATAAATGATGAGTTTGCAACAATCTGAAGCAGACGGGGAATGGTGTCAGGTTGCTTAAGCCAATGTGTACTCAACTCCGTAGATGCCTTTTTAAAATAAATTAATAAACATTCTGTCAGTAAAAAAAACCGACATTCATTAGCCCAAAATACGGCTTGACAAAATATACATTCAAATACACACCACCACACCTGCGCTAGTACTGCTGTATTATGCTCAGTGGCAATTGTAGTGAGGAGAGCCTCTAGTTTGACGACAGTACTCTATGGCAGGAATAAAAATAAAATCAAACAAATCAGCTTCACCATGACAAAGGAAACCAACACATGCTCTTAAAGATCAATAGCTTAGTATAAACAAGCTACTATCAAAGACTGGAGAACAAAACAATCCATACCATGATCTGGGACAAGACCAAGTTTTTTGATTAAATTGTAAAAATGAAAGAAAAAATTAAACGTGTTTTTATTGGCTGAAATTGTTTAAACTGCACGTGATGTGCGTGACTTGAACTTTGAAATTCAGATTCAATGTCGCCAGTTATAAAAGTTGGTTTGCAATTGTGGATTATCAAAAGTTTAAATCTCGGAAATACAACTGTTGTTTGCATGCCAATAACCAGAACGTTGTGCAGTAAATTAACATTTCATGAAACTGTGCTTTGGCTGATTTACATTTCATGTGAATGCGGCAGTTGAACCTCGATTCATTGCCACGTCATCAAATCTTGATATTTCAAAATTCTACAATTCTTTCCTATAAAGTTGACTGCCACTTCTCACTCAATAAGAAACCATGTCGCTGTTTAACAAACTTACTTACTATGTATTGTGGATTGAGGTTTTATTCTATCTGTTGTCATTGATTCCACTCTCATTCATTGCTGCAAAAACGTGAGTTTAATGGTCTTGAACTACTTCAATCTATGAGCATCTATGCATGCACACTTTATACTTTTGCCTTGTTTTAACGTTGACTTGTACTGTCTATATTCTTATTCCTTGTAGTCGCAAAGATGCTATGAATTGGTTTGGCAAGATCTCAAGCAATGAATATGCTGTGTGGACAGCCAGGATCGCACTTTTGATTATTTCTGGAGTGTTTGCTGACAATGTTCTTCGATTGTTTAAGCTGGAAAGTGAGACCCATGATCATGGTCATCATCACAACCATCATTCAGGAAGTTCTGAATACACCATGGGTAAGATCATATGTCTGCTATTTCAATTCAAGTGGCAGATCCAGACTAACCTGGCATAATGTATTTGAAATTGAAACCAAGAACTTCAAAGCAAATACCAACGATTCTACTCGCAACGCAACGTATACATGAGCGCATTTACGCTGTTTATGATTCTGTAAGTGTTTTTTGACCAATTTTGGATATTGTCGCTCAAAACGCATCATCCAGCTCATGATTATGTAATGACTGATTGTTGCAACTGTCAACAAGTGTCTTGTATCGTAGATTTATGGATGTGTATCGCATTATCCAGCTCGAGCTTGACATTTCCTCTATAAAGGCTACACAAATTCCACCACCAGTCATGCCTGCTTCCAAAGTTGTTAAAGCAGACACTGCCCACAACGAAAATGCCACTCTCACCAACCGGAACAAAAACGATCAAAAGGAAAAGTAGACCAAAATTTAAGCAATTGCAAATCAAGACATGATTTTATACGCCTTTGTTTAATCGCAATTATTCCCACAATACCATTGATGATGCACTCTTGCTAATGTATTTGACTGATTGCCTAAGAGGACTTTGAGCCCTTTATCTTTTTCTTTTCATCCCATCTATATATTCATGAATTGCCAAAATAAATGTTAGTTGATGTGGATATAGGGGATTGGACAAAAGTGCATGTATTGTTAGAAAAACAAATGGAGATTTTGGATAGAATCTAGACAGTATACATACCCCCATAGTGGCATAAAGCTTTCGATGATGCCAACGTCAGCCCATAGATTGGGGAACAACCAACCGCCTTGGCCGATAACCAGTAGCAGCACGACCCAGATAATGAGACGCAACACGGCAATAGCCATAAGAGCACCGATAAGTCCCATCATTCCAAGTGACAGATAGTACACTCCCTGTCGCATTGGCTCTGGCCACAATGGGAACATTACGCCAGCAAAAGTAAGTAAAAGTATGCCAACACCAATCAGCGTGCCAGTCAATTGAGAACCCTCGTATACCCAAACGTAATAATCATCCTCGTCGAATGGCTTTCCTGGCGGCACAAGACCAAGCTTCTGACTTTTAGGTTCTTTGGAAGCTGGTGCAAAAACATGATGATCAAGAAGCGATGAGATCATGGCTTCACCAGCTGATCTATCTGCGACTGTGGGTCTTTTTGGATCTTTTCTATAGGGCTCGCGAAGAAGAGCATTTACAGCATGCTTGCCTACAATGGTTTAGAATTGAAGGGAAATGAGTTGGTAGACATTCAAGATAGATATTTTTTCGAGAGGAATACAAGACTTGAACAAGATGAATGGAATGATAGTTACCCTTGAAGAACTCGACTCTCTTTCCATTTAAAAAACCTTGACGCAGCCGAAACTCGGATTCTGAAGTATTTCTGAGAAAGTTGATGACTAAAAGTAGTTCTGCAGGAATTGGTTTTTGTGCCTAGTTGTATAAATCCGCGAGTGACAAGATACAACAACAGGAATGAATATACAAGCACATGGTAGCCGAGTGGCCATTTTGAATCAAAATCAAGCAGTTAGTAAAAACAAGCCAACGAGATGATATAAAATAGCACATGAAACAAATGGACAGGTAAAAGGATTGTAATAGGCACCAAGATATGAAACCAGAGTGGTGCAGACTTGTAAAAGACGAGCAGGTTAAAATACAGATAGTGGCACTATCAAGATATGAAGGTTGGAGTAGCAAGTAGGTGGATAGAGTTCAAGTCTATTTAAAAAAAGATTGCAAAGAGAGTTGATTCCAAACGCAGCGTTTCTTGAGTTGGATTTCGATTTGAAATAGTAATGAATGCATCAAGAGCAATACAAGTGTAGAAATGAAGGATATTCACAGACAAGTATTTTGTAGGTTACAAGACGAATGAAGAATGAATGAATTGAATTAAGAAAGGATTCAAGACTCTTCAAGACTCTTCAAGACTCTTCTTTAAGACAGTTTACTTACAGTCATGATGTGAGCAAGTTGATTGATTCCAAAAGTACAACTTCAAAAGTCAGCCGCGTGTTAGTTTCAGTCAGACTGCAGTTTCTGCTTTTTACTTCAATTTGTTTCGCAAAACTAATGTCTGGTTTGTACTCACTCTCTAGTCCTGCTTAATGCTCTTCAATCTTGGCATTCGCTTGACTCTTTAATTCTATTCATTTTGTCATCTTGCGTTACAACTGATTCAGGCTTGTTCGGCTGTTGCAGGACTTCTTGTCTGCATTATGACATCCTTACTCTGTTGATGCCATGCATAGATTGGTTATCAGATTCCAGATATTATCGCATTTCTGGCTCAACCCTCATGCTTGTCTTTTACATCCACAGGCTTGATCTGACTGATATCGATAATTTACCATCGAAGATCTACTTGGTCTGCAGATCCTCAACTATTTTTATTGCTCTCAACCACTGCTTCTTGGTCTTTCATTTTGTTTTTTCACATCATATCCTGTAAGACTGAGATTACATCCAAGCATGATGGTTGTTTACTAATCATATCCTTTGAACTTGGACTTTTCAACCAGCTGCAGATTATGACAAATCTCCAAGACACTCAAGTCCCGGCCGCCGAGATTTGGACCGAAACCGTTCTCGTTCGCCCGGAGCTTCTCGAAGGTCGCATGGACCTGCTCGCTCGCCTGATCGTGCCCCTGCTGACAGAGAACGATCGTAATGTCGATATGCCTTGTAGTTTGTATCAACTCTTTCACCTTGTCTTGCCATTCAACAATCCATCTGCAACGGCGGTACAATTACCTTGTTGTCATCTGCAATGTTCAATCATGCTCTAATGGCAACCACACTCCATCACACATCTCATTTTACTCTTATTTAATCCAAGAATTCAAAACCAATTTATACATCAGATCTCATACACTGCCAATGTCTGTTTTTTGGTTCCACTTTCAAGTTTAAAAGCTTGACTAGTTTACTCATCTGTTTTTACTTGGAATTCCAACTCTTGTTATCATCAGAAACTCAACCAACACTGGCACAAATTTGTTTGTGAGTGGGCTATCCATGGATGTTCGCAACGAGGATCTTGAAGGAATATTTTCAAAATACGGCAAGGTGTGTTGGATTGTGGCGATTATCCATCAACAATTACTTTTTTAAACTGCAAGAGTTGGTTTTATACTTGTTGCTTATTTTATTTGTATTGCCAAACCTTTAAATACTTTTTAGGTTCTTAAATGTGAAGTCATGTATGTTTAAATTTTTATTGCAATCAAGAGTGCTTGTCATTATGCTTTGCAATCATCCAATACATGCTTTGAAATACCATAAAACTGACTTTTATTGTAAACACATCCATACAGGTTTGATCCACGCACTAGAGAATCGCGTGGGTTTGGATTTGTCAACTTTGCTAATGTAGAAGATGCAGACGATGCCCTGACTCTTAATGGGGCTGACTTGCTTGGGCGACCACTAATGGTGCAAAAGGTATGACTTTTGAACAAGACATGCATTTGATTTGTGGTTGTACCCTTGAAAGTCTTGTTCAGTTGAATATATCTTAAAAATACATAGGCTCGGAGACAGCGTCCTCGAACACCTACACCTGGCGAGTATCGTGGTCCTATAAAGGAAATCCTTTACGGTAAATCAGCTGTCATTGATGAGTTTTGACTATGCTTTAGTGATTGGTTTGCACTGCGTTTTGCACTACGTTTTAATTTATGTTTTGATGGAATATCTATCAATATGCCACATTTGCTTAGATCGTCGTCGCGATGATCGCTATAGTCGTGGAGGTCGTTCCAGTGATCATGATCCGTATGCAAGCAGAGAACGCTTTGATCGACCTCGCGATCGCTACGATAGTCGTGAGCGTGATTATGAGCGTGAATATGATCGCTATAATGGACGAGGTGGAGGCGATCGTTACGATCGTGAAGGTGACCGTGGAAGACGCTGGTAGATCTTTAGCTTTAGCTTGTATGGATTTGTCGAGTTCAAATAAAAATCACACTATTCTGGCCATTTGTTGCAAATACCCAGCGTTTATTTCATACAAAAGTTTAACATGGTCATTAATAGTTGCACTATCCAGGAGAAAGAGCTCTGTTAAATCCCTTGGATCTGTTCATATATTGACGGTATTGGCGCTTCTTATTAATCTTGGCATTGCTGATATCTGTCCCAGGAACCTTTTTTCCCTAAAATAATACATGCAATTTAAAATGAGTTCATATCGTGCAGTACTCTTGGTAATAAACAGACAATCTCCATCATTTAGCCAAGTATCAAAAGAGTGCATTGGATGGGAAAATGGTCTAGTATTTTCATGCTATAAATAAAATACCTTTGTCGAGTCAAACCCATCAATTCCCATAAGAAGACGCATCTTTGCTTCTTCGTCCAACTCCTCTATATTATTTCCATTCTCAGAAGTGCAATCTTGCAAATCACTATGTTTTCCACTTAAATTATCGTTTGAATAGGCACGACTAGAGCTGGCTTTTTTGATAGGAGCTTGATTGGGTTGTTCACGATCGTCTATTTCATTCCTAGATCGGCGATTACGCCCACGTTCTACGCTTGGACTGCGACTAACACTGTAGCGTCTTCGATGATGACGTGGCGATGTAGATCTGGAAAGAGAGCGACGTCTGTCTCGACTTCGTCGATAGTCTTCTTCACGGTCTCTGTAGCCTCGCTCAGATCGATCCAAAGCAAGATGGTCGTCTATTTGAAAATACAAAAGGCAATAGTTGGTTGAGTTTTAAATCTATTGTTAAAACTTTATTTTTCAAACATGCATCCATGTTGACTGGGTAGAATGAATAAAGTGAGACCACGTACCTTTAGGTGAACGAGATCTTGACCTATATTGGCGATTGGAGCGGCCTCGACTTCTGCTGCGACTTTTACTGTGTCCTCTACCACTCGAACGCTGACCATTTTCACGAGAGTTGCTGTGACCACCTCTGCCTTCATAATCCAATGTTTCAGGCATAACTAAGTTTCATATACAAAAGTATTATCAACTTGAGTTTCTATGCACTACACTGCCGAATGTCTGATTCAGTACATTCCAGTCTTGAATCAAAAATAAAGAAATAACTCTAACCTTTATCTGGAGTATCAAATGTATCTGCATCTCGATAACCTCTACCACTACTTCGCTTGCTATGGCCTGACTCTCTTCGGACATCCCGAGAATCTCTTCGTCTGTAGTCTGACATGACTATGTTGGCTGCAATTGACGGGCAAGTTTTGACATTTCAAAATTAGCCAGAACACCAGCACTTTGCCCAAATTTCATTTTATTTTTCAAAGATTTGGCATTTCATCAGCAACTCGATCCGTTTCACGGCCCTATTCATGGAGAATGAAACACTGGAGTGTCTGCATAATAAACAGGTTTATGAAATGATGAGTACCAATTTATTAAACAATATTAAAATATGTCATCTTGAATCAGAGCGTGAATATATGAGATTGTATTGAGAATAGCCGAGTCTAGTATCTGAATTGTAATGAATCTGATTTCAGTTTTTGTAAAATGATTCTCGAGAGAGTTTTAAAAAGAACAATCTCAACTCGTCGCATTATAATAGATTGATAATGCTTTGGGTAGAAACACGCAACGAATATTTGACCATTATTCCAAAAATCAGACAATTATTACAAGTGTTTTATTTTACGTCAATACAACTTCAACTCAATATCAACAACCAATGGTATCAGACAGTGTCAACAATTACATTGACGAGCATCAGAACTACTTTGTTCAGCGTCTTGCAGAAACCGTTGCAATTCCTAGGTATGTTGGTTGATTAAATACTTTTAACCAGATTTACTATACTGGTGGTGGTAAAGTGCTGTTGGAATGCCATGACTTGTGATAGCCAGTTGTCTTGGTTCTCACTGATCGATTGTTGCTCATGCTTTATTTTTCATGATTCACTGTTGCAGTGTCAGTAGCTCTGCGGCTCACCGTCCAGATGTAGTTCGAATGGGTTTTGTAAGTGCAAACTTTCATCATGTTCCATCATGAACAGTCTTGCAATTCACCGAATCTATTGTCTAATAATAATGTAATCTGTTGCTCACTTTAAATGATAATGATCTGTTCAACTTGATTCTAGTGGCTGGAAAAGGAACTCAAGGGACTTGGCGCCAGGTATTCATTGTTCTGTCCAACAGTTTTACTATCAAATCTAAACTATTCATTGATAACTTTCTTGACGTGCTTGTTAGTGTCGAGCTTCGTTACCCCGGAAAACAACAGCTAGAAGGACGTGAGATTGATCTTCCTCCCATTGTTCTTGCCACATATGGCACAGATCCCAATAAGAAAACTGTTCTTGTTTATGGTAATTGTTTGGATCTGGACTTGTTTGCAATGCATATTTTGAAATCTAATACATAGATATTGCACTACATATTCAGGTCATTATGATGTCCAGCCTGCTCTCAAAGAGGACGGGTATGTATATTTAATATTGTGTATTCAACTTGATCGCAAATACAGATTCCTCGACTAGTCCTAATCACATTGCTTCAACTAAACCGCCCATTTATGTATTGCATTCGAATATCTGTCATAGGTGGGCAACAGATCCTTTTACTCTGGTGGAGGATGATAAGGGTCGTATGTTTGGTCGCGGAAGCACTGACGACAAGGGACCAGTCATTTCTTGGCTCTGGGTTATTCAGATTCACCAGAAACTTGGACTCGATTTGCCTGGTAAGTGTCAGTGTAGATATATTTCAAGTAGTGTAATATTTCTAATGCATTGCTTGGCAATCATAGTCAACCTGAAAATGTGTTTTGAGGGAATGGAAGAATCTGGCAGTGAAGGTCTTGACGAACTGATTTACAAGGAGGCTGCCCTGTATTTTAAAGATGTGGATTGCGTGTGCATCAGCGACAACTGTATGTAGTTTTTATTCGCATCACTTACTGCAATTGTTTGCTATTTTAAAAAGACTAAATCAATGCACATTGCTGGATGTTAAGATTGGCTTGGAACAACCAAGCCCTGCATTACTTATGGTCTTCGTGGAGTATCTTATTTCATGCTGACTGTTTCAGGACCTGGAAAAGATCTTCATTCTGGTGTTTTTGGTACGTTGATAGGATTTGGCTCATTGTTGAATACAATCTACTTTATGTAATGCTCACCCAACGATTTGTAATCTAGGTGGAACTGTAAGATCAATTCTGTTGAGATAGGGGGTTTAAATCGTTCAACACAGTAATGCTTGGACTGTTGCTGAATTATTGTAATAATGTATACTTTATTTAATCTCGTTCTCAACTTTCTCAATCTAGGTTCATGAGCCAATGACTGATTTGGTTCATCTGATGCAAAAGCTTGTTACTCCAGATGGAAAGATTCTTGTTCCTGGAATCATGGTATTTTTGAGTTTTTTGTGTCTGTACTGTCATGTTGGTGAAATACTATAAGCTAGTAATCTTTGTTAAATGCGATGTTTCACTTTTGTTCCAATACAACTTGTAGGATGATGTAGCTCCTGTTACATCTGAAGAGGATGCCATCTACAAAGCACTTGATTTTAGCATGAACGACATTTATAATGCTATCGATGCCAAGAACACTATCCATGACACTGAAAAGAATGTGCTCATGTCTCGCTGGCGTTTCCCATCGCTTTCGCTTCACGGTATTGAAGGCGCATTTTACTCTCCGGGTGCAAAAACTGTCATTCCTGCCAAGGTGATAGGCAAATTCTCCATTCGCAGTGTTCCTAATCAGGAGCCTGCCAAACTTACAAAACAGGTGGTTGACTACATCATGAGCGAGTTTGCTAAGCTCGGTAGTAAAAACACTGTCCACGTTGAATGTGAGCATGCTGGAAAGTCGTGGGTTGCTGATATCAACAGCTGGAACTATGGTAAAGTTTAAATTTTGAAATCTTGGATGCTTTTACAGTCGTATTCACGTAAAATGGAGCACTATCTTGCAATGGCTGCCTCTATTTTGCTTTGGCATAGAGATGACTGAGCATTTGCTGCATGTTTCTACTAGAAACTGTCTGCTTATTCAATATATGCTCTCAATTCTTCAAAACACAGCGTACATAATATGATGCACACAATCAAATTATAGCTTTGAATTGAAGTGGTCATAACTTTACAATCACCAGATCCGGCATTGCAATCTAGACATTACATTTGACTGGTTTGATGCTGTCAATACAACTCTACAAACTTGGTATTTCATTCTACGTGAATGCGGCTGTAATTATTGCCTTGTATTTGCTTCCAATGCAGAGCTGACTGATTTTTGTGATTTATCAACAACCTTTGCTATTTGGCTCCAGTTGCTGCTACCAAGGCGGTCCAAAAGGTTTTCAACGTCACCCCTGACTATACTCGTGAAGGTGGCAGTATTCCTGTCACGCTTTCCTTCCAAGAGGCTCTCAAAAAAAGTGTATGGATTATATATAGACTAGAATTGTTCATGTTTTATAGTCAAGTTACAACTCGGCAAAATACTCACATGAACTGTGAATGCCATTAGGTTTTACTTCTTCCTATGGGCCGATCTGATGATGGTGCTCACTCCATCAATGAAAAGCTGGATCGCAGTAATTATATTCAAGGCATTAAACTTTTGTCTGCGTATCTCTACGAAGTCAGCACTGTACAATCGTAAACTATTGTGCTAAATCATTTGTCTAGTTACTATTTGACTTGTAAAATTTTGTTTGAGCCATCAAATCGTTTACTTTTACAACCGTACCATGTAAAATGAAACACTATCTTGCAGTCACTACTTTTGCTTTGGAATAATCATTGATTGACTGTGCTTTTCTATTACAAATCAACTGGGTTTTAAAACATCTTTGACATAACCCTACATTGTACGATCATCAGATTTCGTCAATGTAATCCAGAATTGAGTTATTTATGTTCTAGTTCAAAAAAATAATGATGACATTTCAGGAATACAACTGTTGTGTCCATGTCAGCCAAATAGTTTTCAAAACAATGCTAACCAGTAAACTTGATGTGAATGATCGCTTCATGAGATTGGCTGTTGTTATGTATTTTGACACTTTAGTATTTCATTTTACATGAATACAACAGTAAATTGTCTGTTTACCTCGTCAATATATTATCACATTTACAAATGTTTGTACTATCCATTCTAACGGATATTGTGCGAGTCTTGCCCAAAGACTTTTACAAAGGCCAAGAGGATGCGATTGTTGATGAGCTCAATTTTAAATATGCAAACAAAGTGCTGCATAATGTTGGGTTGTGTATTTCTGTCTATGACCTGACCAAGGCTAGTGATCCTGTTGTTCATGCTTGTCAGGATGGTTCCTATCAATGCCAAGGTGCGTCAATACATTCAAGGATTTGTATACAACGATTGCACTAGTGTTTTTTTCAAGTTTCTACTCGATGCATGGAAATCAATGTGGTTTAAATAAAATCCACACATGTCAACTCATCCTACTTTATGAATGAATCTTGATCATTCTAGTCGAGTTTAGAATGATTGTGTTTCGACCCTTCAAGGGAGAGATTCTGGAGGGTAAGATCAAGGATTGCTCGCCAACAGCTGGAGTTCGAAGTAAGGTTTCAAAATATATGCCATGTATCAATGATGGGAATGTACGATCTTGCTTGGCTTTGATCGACTCTGCTTACACTAACCTATATTTCAACTTGGTTATGGAACATGTGGCATGGCTTTGTTTTGATTTGCGCTGCGCCTAGTTACAATGAACTTTTTCGACGATATTATTATCCCGCCCTCATTTCTCATGCCTGGAAGTGAATAGTAAGTCTGGAGTAGTTGGCAAATCTGCTTTACAAAAACAGGTTTCTAACAATGCTTTATTTTTACTAGTGATACAAATGAAGGACTTTGGGTATGGAAATACGATGAAAATGATCTGTTTATGGACAGAGAAGAGCCTATCCGGTTTCGCGTAGAAAATGAAGCATTTGTGGACGTTGGTCCAGTGAAAGAGATCAAGAGTGGGCAGATTGGAAACAAGACTATAACTCCAGCATCAGGAGGTGCTGGAACAGACGAACCACATCGCGATCCGCCTTATACTATTGTGGTAGGTTCATGTACTAGATTATGGATAATACTTGGCCAATCCACCTTATCTTGGGATCTATATTGAATAATTCATTTTATTATAGGGTTCTATTTCAGAATCGGCACTTGGACTCAAGTCTTGGTGGGATGGACAATAACAATATATAATCAGTGAATATAATTACACATTCGTATTGTAAATGGTATTACTCTAGTCATGTTTCCTTTTTTGCTATATTGTCTTGCACCACTTTTTAAAATGACATTCAGATAAGCAACACTATATTTAGTCAGTCGTCTTTGTCGAAAAACATAAACTGCCAATAATCTGGCTATCAGACATACTTGATGGGTGATTTATATTTACACTCGTATTCGTATAAAATGAAACGTTTTATCCTTCAGTGATTGCTCTGAAATAATCCATGATTTGATACTCGTTTCACCTTATTACTACAGATTGAATTTAGACATACTCAGTTATTTATCTGGAATTGATTGGCACACAAACATATTCCTTACTATACTCGAGTCGTTTATACTGGGTCAAGAATCGATAATATCAAACTGTAGTGTAGTTTCAATCTGCGTGTCGTTGTTGAATGGTTGATGAACCATATCTGATCAGACAGTTATTTTGTGGAATGGAATGTTGTCTGGAGCAATATACATGTTTGGGAATGTTGCATGTCATTGTTTAAAAAGTCTTGACAACTTCCTTGGTCAGTCTGCAAACACACCGACCATCATATGATACAAACTATAGTTTTGAACTGATGTGTTTAAACCTTGCATTGTTGCGTTTGATTGCATAGTCATACGGTGTACGATCATCACATTCATTCATTGCAATCCAGACATTGAGTTTACTGTTTGAATATTATCAACAAAAACCTGAACATATTCATTGTTGCTAATCAGTCTGTCACTCGACAGTTGGTTTTTGTACATAATATTGTTTTCAAGATCATTGACATTGTTGACTGGTATTTGCGCATGGTAAGATCCACAAGTGTGTTTGCAATGTCTCGTTGTTCAAGTGTTGATGATTACAGGGTTGTCAGGCCATCAATCAACAATCTGATGACAATATATTATACAAAGTTTTGGCATGAAAGTATAAATCCATACGCAAAAGAACGTGACTTGAATGTCAAGACCAGCAACAACTGTTTCTGAACAATGACTTCAATAACAGTGTCCAGCAAACCGACACCAATCAAACATGCGACTGTTTATCATGTATTTTGGCAGTTTAGTGTTGCATTTTGCGTGAATATCGCCTTATTCACGCTATCTTCAACAAACTATCACCAAGTCGTTAAAGCCATATGGTTACAAACAACCATTGTCAAGGGACAGCAGCTAAGCATAAATGGTTTGTGCGTCTATTTATTTTGACACAAGTCAATGTAACACTGTAAACAATATTCAGGTGCTTGTGACGTGATATTGGAATAGGGTGATGGACCACGTTAAAACACGACTGAAAACAGCTTGAATAAAAGGGAGGATAAACTGGAAAACGACTATAAAGATATTGATAATCAAAAACACATACTTTATACAATAATCTTTCATCAATATAATACCAGCTGCATCATCGATTGCGAGTTGTACGAACTGATTGATCATACTTTGCATTGCATACTGCTTTAAATGGTTCTTTTTTTGGTAACAGTTTTAGCTGCAATATCTTGCATCAATGCTCAAACTCTTACAACATCAACACAACCTGCTGCAACATCAACATCAACACCACCTGCTACTATTAAAAGTAAATGGTCCGACTATAGACCCATCAAACTCGATCGTGATGCTGGATTGTTTACCTTTTTTCCATATACTCTTGAACAACGAAATGTTCTAGTGTCGAATGCCGAAAATGTATTCAAGGCAAGTTGTCATTTCCACCACAACCTGATATCATAACCAACACAATATATTGCAACATATTATTAACTGACCAACACATTACAACCGAACTCCAATGATTCAACATGTCCAGGCATGGGTCAATTTTGAATCAAAAATAAAGCATCATGGTCAAGAAGCAAATCCGTATCCTGCTCTTGAGCATATCCGAAACAATATCAGAACCCTTACTGATAAACAGCTCCAGCTTGGATTATTGGATGTATTCACTCGAGCTCGTGACGAACATACCATCATGACATTAGCTGGCACTCATCGTTGTTTTTTCGCTACCATAGGAATTTCTTTTCAGTTTATTGATGGTCCAGGCGATATAATCAAAGATCCAACAATCGTTGTCAGTAAACCCGTCAATCGTGAAATACTGAATCTACTACGTGATACCGCTTATAATCGAATCAATATTGGAGATCGACTTGTCAGCATTAACGGTCTCACTTTTTACGAATGGAAAGAAAAGCATCGAAATGCCATTGGTGGATCCACCGAGTCTCATAGTCAGCGTCTAGCACTAAGATATTTGACCTTCAGATATGGATCTTATACCCCACTTCCCGACGAAGACTCTATCGAGCTTAAACTCAAATCCCATAGCGGCATCATATACGAGGTTAATGTACCGTACATGTCTGTATATCAATATACCTGTTGGGAGTACTCTAGTAAACTTTACACACAATTGACAGGCGTGACTCTTGATATACATTTACAAAATACAGTTGCTGTAAAATCCAATAGTCATGCATTGCCAACTACAACAGTCGATGATCATACCACAAGTTCCCAATCTACCAAGTCATTGCTTACTCCTCGCCGTATTCGAAAGCGGGATCAAAGCAGTCAATATCAAAACACGGGACGATTGTCAAAACGTGATTTACAGATTACATTTTATCAAACGAGTATACTCGAACTGTCTTGGACAATTTGGAACCCTGACAGCCAAAACATGGGAATAATCAAACTAACATCATTCAAGTGCACATCCCGCACAACAAACACACGAGATATTCCTGAAGGAATTCGTGAAGTGAAAAGACTATTGACCACAGTGCTCAAAAAAACCAATTCTATTTTGATCGATGTTCGTGAAGGTGGTGGTGGAAGTATGAGTTTTGCAAATGCCATTCCACAGCTATTCAAGAGCAAGCTTGAGCCATTTCAAGTGAAATATCTCATGAACGACGTCACATACAATATGTTTGTACATCCGCCCATAGATTTGAAATCATCTCGCGATGCTTGGTTCAAAACACCAGCCAAAAGCCAGTATTCGGTATTCCATGATTTTTTGGATCCAAGAGCATCCAACATTTACGATCAGGTTTATACCAAACCAGTGGGTGTATTTACCAGTGGTGATTGCATGTCTGCATGTGAAATCATGACAGGAACTATGCAGTCGTTTAAAATTGGAACAGTGTTTGGTGAGGATGTCACAACGGCTGGTTCCGGTGCAAATGTTTGGAGTTTAGATCCAGAACTTATCACTCATGATCCGATAGACTTTAAACCAATGCCATTCAAAAAAGAGTTGACATCTGATACCAAGGAAATATTTTACAACAAAATGACTGTAGGTCATCGAGCATTTGTTCGTAATGGTGATCATAAAGGACAGTCAGTTGAAGATATTGGCATTGTATCTGACGTTGTAATCCGACCACGATTGAAAGATATTATCCCTGGTGCAACGGGTAATTCTCGGTATGATTATATTGCAGATTATTTGATCAAAATTGGCAAAAGATCAGCCAAAACAGTTTGGAATCTTTGGGGAATTCTGTAATGAAACAGTTGATTACTATAAATCGACGAGTTTACGTTACTTTAGCTATTCACTGCTGTATTCACGTAAAATGAAGTTTGTATTTATCTTGCAACGATCGAGTCGTTGGAATAAACAATGGTTGAATACTTGTCGTTTTCGTACATAATTGGTTGCTTTTACAATAAACATACTCAGTTATTTATCTGGAATTGATTGGCACACAAACATATTCCTTACTATACTCGAGTCGTTTATACTGGGCCATGAATCGATAATATCAAACTGTAGTGTAGTTTCAATCTGCGTGTCGTTGTTGAATGGTTGATGAACCATATCTGATCAGACAGTTATTTTGTGGAATGGAATGTTGTCTGGAGCAATATACGTGCTTGGGAATGTTGCATGTCATTGTTTAAAAAGTCTTGACAACTTCCTTGGTCAGTTTGGAGTAGTATAGAAAGAGCACCAAATGATACCGTTTTATTTAAAGTTTGTAGGAAAATTCATACAAACTTTGGCTCTATTTCATTGTAAATAATTTGAATGGTAAATATAGTTTTTCATAAATTTGTTATATTTTGTCATTTTTGTGTCTTTAGTTTTATTCCACAAAAATGACAAAACTTTGGGTGAAGCTTAAGCCAAACAACGCTGTCAAAGTCTACTGAAGACTGCGCAAATGTCGACGACTTTAAAGAAGCTTTCAACAAGAAGCTTTCACGCGACTTTGACTCTTATGACGCTGCTCAACTCTCACTCTCGCTGACTGATGGTGGTGAAGCTTTGCAGCCATACGACCCAGTTCCAGCTCAAAATACTGGAGATCATCCACTCTTGATCACTATTACAGGAGTTTCTGCTGCTTCCCCAACTCAACTTGTCATCCCATCATCTACGGATAACACAAGTGGAAATTTTACTGCCACTCACAGTCCTTTGGTTGGTAAGGTGCTTTCAGTTTCCATCAATCAAAACAAATTGATAAAGTACCTTACACCTGTTGGCAGCTCTCCTACAACTCCAATGGGAAATCC